TCTCAACCAATGTGTTTCGGCTAAATTTCTTATTTATCATTTATTGCATATATGCCGGTAGCTTGTTGTATCATATTGCATGGATGATGGAGAATGTTGACTGCAACAATTGTCTTTTCCTTGATATTAAGTACTTTTACATAGTTAGTTGGGGGGGTTAAACATGACATCAGTAAGTTTTTTTGTATGTAGTATTTCTTCAAAACCCTGTGCCTCAGTGTGTTTGTTAGCTGTGCTCACTGTATCACTGTAATTATGAATATTATTAGTATTTTTATCATTGACACAAGCCTTAACACCTCTGAGGGCATTTTCCCAACATGTTAAACAATTCATCCAGCTATCTGTCCATCTGTTCATCAATACACCATCCTTTTCCTTCAACAAATATATACACTGGATACTGAGCAAGGATATGAACTGCTGAGTGTTCATCCTTAGTGCTGACTTGGCAAGCACTCAAAGTGCTCAGGAGCTGGCCGGCCCTCATAGTTATACAGTAAGCTTGTTCCTGCCAGAAGCTTCATAGCTGCTATTATTTGTCACTTAGAGGTGGAAATGGGAGGTTTAGGGTAGGAAAAGGTCAGACATTGTGTGTCGATTATACTTTGTAAAAGTCTAATTAATTAGTGTTAAGCAAGTTATATAGCAGTATAATTCTTAATTTTTGTATATTTATAATTATTAAATTAATTGTTGTGTGACGAATAGCTTCATACCCACTGCATGGGATGGCTGGACTCGCTTGGAGCCATTCTTTTTTGGTTTTCCATTGGCAAAAGTTGTGCATTGTACCTGGTACCTGTTTCTTTTTTTGGTATCACCTCGGTTGAGGTTCCAAGCGAGCTGAGCCGATTCTAAAAGGTGGAGTTCAAACACTGCAGGCTGCTGATTGGCTTGATGGGGTGCTTAATAGAGAAAAGCACCTTGTACCAAAAGTAAGTCAAGCCGAGTGGAAACAAGAGGTCATTTTCTTGAGATAACATGATAATTATCCGTAAAACTTAGTTAGGGTTAGGTTGCACATTGACACAGCTGAACAGGTTTTAACCCTCGCTCTCTGGGTTCACTGGGTGTTTGGCAGATGAGTGGGGATGTAGGCTAAAGAGGTTTGGTGGAGTGACTGCCCTCTGATGCTCCGAAACTGACACTGTTCTTACCAGCGATCTTGCAGGTTCATTGCACATCACACTGCAAAATGGGATTTGAAAATGCACCAAAACTTATTTTGACCATAGTTTTGACAAATTTCTTTCAAACTTTATTAAAATATTGTGTGTAGCCAGTAATCTATATCGGTTGGTGTCAGTGTTTCACAATATGATCTAGGACCAGGACCCACGTCTTGGATTGATGACAAAAACTTTGACAATCAAAAACTGTTGTCAGCGTTTGTCTGGGACAAACCAAAATCATTCCATGCAGAGGTTCCTTTATACTTAAACTGTGACCTGTTGGCTCAGTGGGTCTTCAGCATTTTAAGTTTATTTTAAAGGTAAAGAGAGTGAGCAAACACCATGATCTACTCCACCAGCCAGGTAATCCCGCCTCATAGACAATGAAATAAATCACTTCCCAATAACCCAATCTTCTTGTGTTCTGAAAACAAACACATTCTCTCCTGTCTATAGCATTGTCAGCGGCAATGCTTAGTGTGTAGTTATAGAGGTACTTTCTCTCATTTACTTCAGTTTTCCCCACATTTTTTCATTAATTTAAAGTTTTTCCATCCCGTTCTCTTTACTCAGACGCAAATGACTCACCTGCTCACATAAACTGTAATATCTGTGAACCAGCAAGTGTTTGCCCTCATCCCCCTGTCGTCTCTCCCTGTTTAACATAGTGTTCATTAATAGGCAGACGCCTCTGTGTGGTAAAGGTAATTTTCTTGGTTTTGCTACACTGATTACCGTCACGTCGTCTTAGATTCTGTCTGAAACAGATTTCCCTGCTCTTATTTCCATGGTGCTCCCAATCTCCAGTCACTCTTTAGGTGCCAGACTACGAGAGGAGGAACTTCTGTAATGGCTAATGTGTGGTACATGGGTTTACACATGTTCTAATACACAGCTGTGTGGATACTGTACTGTAGTCAGTAGATTTCAGCAATGGGATGTCAGTCAATGAAGTTCCTACACTAAGGTAAAGAAAAACTTAAAATCAAGTTTAATACAATACTGTACTGATCAGACCACAGTAGTGTAAGTGTACAAATATGATTTGGGTATTGGAGGTGATCAAATAAATAATACAGGAAAAATAATACAGTATTGACACATTAGAGGATTCTCCTCCCTTTCCGCTATCTGCAGTATTGGTACCATTTTGTAAGGGCACCATCGCTTGCAGAGGTATCTACTGAGGTTAGCATGCTAACCAGCTAGTCCCAGCCCGTCCTGTCTCATAATTTAACATTGTACGTCAATAGCTGATAGTCTGACAGGCCTCTCCCTGGTAGTTGTAGCTGGGATATGTGTGCGGTTGGCAAGTTCACTATGTTATACAAGCTGTCTTAGCTTTTTTTACTCAAATAAATATACAAAATAAACTTAAAATTTAGAGAAAGGAAATTCTTACACCTGTTTTCCATATTAAACAAGTAAATCTTTGTCTTTCCCTGAGTCAGAGTTCCCGCTGTAGCCGCTGTAAATCACCTCTGTACTGTATTACTTGTGGTCAGACTGGCCTCTCTGAGGCTATGTTTGTGTATCAGGAGAGGATGTAGTGTTAGTCTTATTCTAGCCTGTAAGCAAGAAACGTTGCACCAAACTCCTTTCGCAAATCTCTGATTTTAAAGTTAATTTGCTTCTCCGCACGCATGATTCGAGTCTTTTTCTGAGCCGCTATGAATCACCTCTGTACTGTATTCCCTGTCGTCAATCTGGCCTCCGTATGTCTTCCTTGCAGCAAAGCTCCCCGCCGGCATTCCCCACTGGGTCGCCCTCGCCCTGGGTCTCAAAACCACCTCTTCCCGGTGGTGCAAAGTTCCTGTGCTGGAGGCCACCTGATAGGACCGCTACTAGCTGAAGAGTTAACTGAGCTAGCTAACGGCAGCTGCAGTTCGCAGCAGTTAGCAGTTATTGATATGCTGCCCCCTATTTGTTTGGAGTATGAATTTGACAGGAGGCCAAAATCTTAAAATTCTTACACATTTACATACACATGCACCTTTAAAGAAATACAAACAAGCCAGAGCAATTTTTGCCCCTAATAGCTTCAGCCAGACCTTTCTCTTTTGCTGGCATAGCGCTAAAGTGTAGAAATCTGTCTTGTCTGGTCATTTATCATCAACCTGCAATGCCTGTATGTAAATCTCACATATCATCCAAACAAAATGTTGCATTCTTTCTCTGCTTGTGCCTGATGTTGCTCTGTGTGTCAGCTCTTGGGCTACAGATCTCTTGTGCACACATGAGCGTATAAGCATACATGAATATTCTAACTTGCACTCATTGTTAGTCTCTCTGAGTGCCTGTAAATTTCTTCAGATGTGTTGTGATAATACTACTGAGCAGTTGCCACTTTGTGCTCTGAGTCAAATATGTGACATGCAGTGAGCGTGGCTGACACAGTGCCATCTGTGTTATGTTGTGTGTGGTGCAGGATCCCTGGCAGGCTCAACGACAGACGCACTCCCCTCGGAGAGCTCAACTGGATCTTCACAGCCATCACCGACACGATCGCCTGGAATGTGCTGCCTAGAGGTGAGGCTTTACATACAGAGACACACACACTGGAGATGCACAGTAAAACTTCTTTAATCAAATGTCACCATTTTATTTTCCTCAGTTACCAAATTGACAGTATAATTCCAATTTATCACAACTTGGGTCTTATTTTTATAGTTTTGGTCATCAGTTATAATAGCATTGAGGTAATTGTTGAAATCCATCACACTCACATTGCTCAAAAGTCTAAAAGGGCTAAAAACTTGCTGGTCCAATCATTACTTAGCAACTGTAACTAGGTACAGCATGTATATCATGCCTTGGATTTTTCCACGTTCTCTCTCCAACAATGTCCATGGGCCTGTATTAAGTGTTTATACTTTGTATATAAAGGTTTTAAAAGGTATTGTCTATTTTATTTTGCCTTTCCAAAACCAAAAAAACACAAGAGAGAAAGTGTAATGAATTTTTAAACATGTCTGACGTAAAAACAAAATGCTCAGTTTACGATAGCACATGCGCAGAAGAGGGTCCAGGATGCTAACATTAGCATTGCCGTCCTGCTCTTTTGGAATTGGGGAAGTTTACACTGTATCCACCCCAGCCAATGTTACCTTAGACAGAGAGAATATCAACAATTCTCGACTAGAAATAAGAACCCTGTTTTTCTCTATCTCCGTTTGAAATCAACAACCCTTTATTTCTAAAACGACTAAGGATTTTGTGCGGTAAATCTGGCACCACTACATCATTGTAAACGGCATAACTCCCATGGAAGAACAAAAAGCTTGGCAAGTATTGCAACACTAACTAAGGGGACAGGTCTAAGCCAACGGTCAAAAATACACAGGTTTCCTAACCTGTGGGACTTTGTTGTACCAATGTCGTTGTGTTCTCAGGTCTGGCGTTTACTTCGGTGACTACAGTGTTGTCATAAGTGATAGAAACAGTGGCCAAAACTATGAAAATAAGACCCCAGTTGTAAGTTGCTGAAAGCAAAAAAGCAAACAACCCGAAACACTGTTCTTACGGGTGTTGAAGGAGATGGAAACACAAACTTGTAAAGATAGCTTAGGGTACACAAAAGTTGTCAAACAGTTAAAAAATATCTATTTTATTTTACATGTCTAGCCAAAGATGAAAAATGAAATGAGCCATGTGTTTCAGCTTCCAGGGATACCAAATTAGGACACCTAATAAAAACTGTACAGTAGTGAAGCATCAGCAATACTAAAACTTGGAGAACATCCCCAGTGGTTGAAAATAGTGAGATGTTGATATAAAATGCCAGAAGTGCAGTAAGTGCAGGTTGGCTCCTTAAATGGAGATTAATTGTGTTTAGAGTGTCTAGCGCAGTAATTGGGGACATCATTTTACCCATAATTTGGCGTCCGTAAAAGCAATATGTGCACACATACACATTCAAGCAAAACTCTGCATGGTGTAAACAACAAATATGCATGCGCGCGCACACACACACACACACACAGCTACACACACACACACAGCTACACACACACACAGCCACAAACCATTACCCACAGGCTTAGCTTGGCCAGATAAACATACTCACACACTGTTCTTTTTCTGACATACATTTGTCGTTTGCATGCAGCACACACACTTTCGCTCATCGCTCACCTGTCTCTTGTATGCAACACACATCCACAGAAACGCACACACTTGCACACACAAGCACACTCAGACTCCCCCGAGACAAACTGTATCCCAGCTAGAATAGCAATGTGACAATGCTGATGGCTGCCAAAGCCTTTTAAACCCCGGGGGCTCTGCTGTTAATGAAGCAGCCCACATCAGAGAGAATCCCTGTAATGAAGGCACAGCACACCTAATCCAAATCTCTCTCTCACTCTGTCACCACACACACACACACACACACACACACACACACACACACACACACACACACAGCAGCTCAATCACTTAAACGTTTAAACTGCAACAGAATATAGACGGTTAGAGCCAGAGTCATAGACTGTGTGTAAGAAGTGGACGTAGTGATCGTGACGTCATCCGTTGGTTTGTGGACTGCCGCTTTGAAGCCTCGTGTTTGGCCATTTGGGCGGCGCCATGTTGAGTTTTTGCAACCAGCGGCACCAGACGTGACCAGATTTGGAAGAGACTGTGGAGCCAACGGCTGTGTGCGGAGCTAGCTAGCTTGGTTAGCTATGTGCATCTTTAATTCACGTTAACTGGCATTTTAACCGGGATGGTAATTTTGTCTAGTGAAAAACAGGCTTAAAACTAAATGTACTCACCAGAGAAAGTGAACAGCCAACTCCTAATAAGCTTTTTCAACTGCAATTTATACACTCCTGTGGGTACGAGTCACTCTAGCCCGATTGACAGGTCGCCATGGTGGCGATTGATTTTAAATGGAAATATTCATACTCATATATCAAACTATGATTTTTGTATTATATTGTTATTGTTTTATATTGTCATTTGTATTTTTCCAACAAAGTTCAGTTGGCAGTTAACACCAGAATAAGTAAAACAACTGAGGACAGGCCAACTCATTAGATACATTGTGTTTATTCTTTCAGTGTAAATCATTTCTAAAATGTGTCACCCCTTGAGTCAGCTTGCACTCTATGGGTGTAACACTAATAGTAGGCGCAGGAGTTGTCAGACACTGTCTCTTGTATAATGTCCTTGACACACACACATTCCCTCCCTCACACAAAAAGAGGGGAATCACAGTCATAAGCCAGAGATTGGCATGGGGTTGGCCTGACCCCATTAAAGTGAATTAGTGAATTCATTAATGAGCTGATGAAAATGTGACTGCGACCCATCACTTTAATCTGCAAATCACTGTCTCTCTATATCTGTAAGCATACTCACATGCTCTAATTAAACTTCCTCTGTTTTCCCTCACTTCCTGCCTTTGTGTTAATTGTATTTATTCTCTTCTGTCTCTGACCTGACGGACAATTTCTATTTGCTCTCTCTGTCTTTAGATTTGTTCCAGAAGTTATTTCGTCAGGACCTGCTGGTGGCCAGCTTGTTTCGCAATTTCCTTTTAGCAGAGAGGATAATGAGGTCATACAACTGTACACCGGTCAGCAGTCCCCGTCTGCCCCCTACATACATGCACGCCATGTGGTAAGACACACACAAACTGCGCTCACACACAGATACCCAGATGTCCTTGGTTGTGTAGAGCAGAAGGCAAGAGGAAGAACAGTCATCCAGAAGGCTTTGCTGTTTGTCCATACACACTGAAGTTAAAGGATGAACAGACTTTTAACACATACTGTACATTCTTTGATATGACATGAGACAGTGTTGTGTTATTTAAGGTATTATATGTGTATTTAAAGATTGTAGCAGTAGAGAGATTAAAAAAAGCTATGAACTTGGTCACTTACGCACACATGGCAAATCTGCTTCAGGGTGTATTTGCCAAATGTTCTGTGCTCCTTTATTAAATGAAAACTCTTCTCTAAAACAGCTTTCCACAGCTAGTACTTTCTTGTTTTTTTTTATTTTTCTTATTATTATAAGTAACAGACCACCTGCTAGATACTTTACAAAGCTTAAAGAAATACTCTAACTGTCTTGGAAATATGTTTGTTTACTTATCAGTTTCAACTCTGGCATTCAGCACATGTTCTGGTCTAAGACATGTTTAGCTTAGCTTAGCACAAAGACTGGAAGCAGGGGCTTATTTCATTAAAAGTGTTATATTGCATCTTTTACTGTACACATTGTATCTTGTGGATTTAGCACAGGTAGAAACAGAAAACAGGACACTGTTGTTTGGCAGGGATTTTACCCTTTGGAGCTAATTACTGCCCAACAACACTGGGGTTGGTGACTGTATGCGCCATATTAGTTTTTCACAGTTGGGTTTACATACTATCCTGACTCAACAAAACCCAGGTGAGTCTTAGATGTTTTGATGACTAGGTTTCTTACTAACAAATTAGAACACAACAAAAAAAAAAGGGTTCAAAGGTTAGCTGTTCCCTGGATCCAGGTGTTGCGCTTTTTTTCTCTACAGAATTAACAGTGATGACAGCGATATTTATCTTCTCAACAAACTCTTGAGTGATAAAGCACAGAAAAGTTTTTGCCAAAATATCAGCGTATTCCTGATGGAGGCACAACTGTGTGTGTCGAAAAATAGTGTGAGAAACGGAGCATCGCAGTCAGACCTCAGATGGTAGAGCATGATCTCTCATTTACAACCACTTCATGTAAAAGTAGGACAAAAGTGGTCCATCAGCCAATAATACACATTTCATTCCCATAGTTCAAGCCACATTCATCATACAACACAGAAAAACAAAATGAAATGCTATAATCACTCTCAAAATAAATGCTGTTGAGAGAGTGTGAGACAAAACATGTAGCTGTTTTTATTTGCTTCTGCGCTGTGGCATATGCACACGCCTCGTTCATGCTAAGTATAATTTCCACGGTTGTTTTGTCAGTTATTTCTGTATGTTAACTGTTGGCAGTGTCGCTGTATGTATTGCTGTCTGCTTCATAGCAGAGGCAGACACGGTCTTCACCGGCAGCAGCCTCAGTCGTCCTGAATGCTGTGCAGACAGACACAAGACAAGTTGTGCTAAACATGGCAGGTTAAAAGCACTCGTACCACAAAAAATAAAACTATACCAGTCCACAAAAAAAGTTTTTTTAATTACTACACAACACAAATCTAAGAGTCTTGTCCCCACTCACACAGCTTGAGGCTTTTTAACCATTTACCGGTTTGTCCTCCATGTATCTCATTACTAGACTGTTAAACAGACACACAGGTGCTCAAAAGCCTCCTGTTGTCCATTGACTTTACATACGCCTCCACACTATGTAAGAAACATTATCCTATCATCTATCTCCATTTAGTTACACAAATACTTCTCCCACTCTCCATTGTTTCTCTTCTTGGTCTTCTATAAATGCCTCTATCTCTCCCACTCATTATGTGGCTCGAAAAGAAAAAAAAAAAAAAACCTTTCTCACTCTCTTTGCCTCAAGCGGCGACTTGTTGTGTAAGTCCCTGGCATCACTTGATGTAAAGAACACTGCTCCTTGCTCCTTGAGCAAGCCCTAGTCTGTCTTTCCTCACTCGTACAAGCCCATTATTTTAGATTGCTGGTGTATTGCACTGTTTACCGCCAAAGAAATTGGGAGTTGCACTTTGTTTCGCAGTAGCCACATGCAGTATTAAGGAGGACAGAATAACGACGGAGAGGTGCTTTAAGAGTGTGGGAAACAAGACTGAGTGAACGATAAAAACTGGATGTGCCAGAGATAAAAGGCAGTGCTAGAAAAATAAAAGTTTGGATCAGCATAGATGGGGGTGGGGGATGACGATGGAGAGGGGGAATTAAGCAGTTTAGGGGCTTGTTGATCGATGTTGGTGCCCAAAAACAAACAGCAATTGTTATTCAGAGCAGAATAGAGGATAGCAGATAAACCTGATTACTCCCTTGTGGGCAGTTTCTGTGTGGGAGTGTGTGTCTACTTTATATGTGTATTGTCAGTGCGCGTCGCTGCACCACTCTGCAGCCAACAGGAAAAAGAGCTTAGTCAGCCACCAACTGGTCCCCTGCACTCCTCTGTTGTCGGCTGTCCCCTCATCTCACACACCACACACTTGGTTTTGGTGAGTTACTCATTCCTATTGGCAGGCATCATGCAAGTCAATGTTGTCATTTCAAACGGTGCGGCAGCCTCCTCCCTGTGAGCGTGTCGTTGCTGATTAGACTGCTCTATCTGCTTGTTTGCACACCTTTGGATTAGATAAACCCCAGCAGGGATGGAAATTTGTTGACAAAATTTCTACACAGATTCCAATACCAGTACTTAAAATTAAGAAATATCCTGTTGATACATTTCTTGATGATGGAAAACATTTCATATGGAGACATTAGGACAAAAGGGTTTATTTGCCTCTCGAATAAGACTTATTGGCAGGTTTCATTATTTTACTACTTTCTTATATTCGTTGATACCTACTGTTTAACCCCTTCAATTACATTTTTGTTTAGTTTTTAATGCATTAAAAAATAAGGTACAATACATAATGAAACAAACCGGCCAAAAGAGAACAAACAGTAAACAATAAAGAACTACTGGATTCCAAAAACGAAGAAAAGAGCTCAAATAATCAAGTTCAGATGAGCATTATACTGATTTCACACAGGCATTTTACAAAAGGCTGAACACGGAATCAGCAGCCATGCAAGTTAATAGTACATTCACACAGCATGTAGAGGAAAGTAAGTGGCTTCATGGGGCTTGGACCTGAAAAAGTCAACCACATAGCCCATTATAATATAAACTTCCATTATTTTCTGTGCAAAAGCAATCATTAACATAGAATAAACAAACTTATCACAATCACTTGCAAACCCAAGACAAACTGTGAGGCTCAAGTTGGAGATGTGGGGTGGGGCGCAGTTATCTCAATTTATTCTAAGGGGGAGTCCATTCTAAGTCCAATCTAAGGCGCTCAAATACTCACCCAATAAAATTCTGGATCTTAGTCTGGGCAATTTTACCCCCAAATTCTTTCTTGGGTGAGAGCTTCATGAGAAACAATGAGTTACTATTAAAATATATAACCACCATACCCTTGTCGATGGGAATTTGTGTTCCCCCACATTAAACTAACTACAGGGTTGCTGGTTCCAATCTGTAAAATACGTTCCCTCTCAATTAATTGCCAATTAGACTTAGTTAGTGATTTTTAAAACCATGCTGCTATCGAGCACTTACTATAGCAGATGCTCCGCGAATATGTCAAATAGAACACAAATAACTCTAACTTCACTGACATGGGCATCTATTAGTCTTAAAATATTTCGCAATTATCATACATAGCAGGGTTATTTATTTGTAGGGCTGTACATAACAATTATTTTTCAAGTCGATTAATGTAACGGTTATTTTTTCCGATTAGTCAATTTATCTAACGACTAATTTTGTGTATTCTAAAGGAAAAAAGTTCCCTATTACTCGATTAACATACCAATTTATCCAAAATAACTGTACTGTTATTGTTGTCTGTACTGTTAGTTTCAGCGGTTTCTCGCTCATATGTGTCCCTTAAATAAATAGAAAATATGAAACTGCTGAATATTTCCATGACAGCAGCGGGGCAGAAATTACTTTTAACATGAAGGTGATAAAGAAATACTGCGTGTCCTCGTGCTGATAATGACGCATGCTTGTGTGGACACAGAAGTAAACACGATCTGCGGTGCTGCCGTCTAGACAAAGTTCTCCGGGATGCTTTCGCTTCACGTGTTCATGCTGCTTCACGTATTCGTGGACAGCAGTTGTGCTGCAGTGAAGCTCCCGTAAGGACGTTGTTGAGTGTCTGTCTAAAAAACTCCCAGACTTTAGACAGTCGAAGGCGCAGTCTTGTAGCAGGAGCTTGTCCGGGGGAATCCCACAAACACCGGATGCAGCGACGCATTGACGATTTACGCAATCGATTACTCGCCCCTGCCCTAATTATTTGTTTGCTAAATGCATTGTAAATACATACAACATATGTGTACAAGTGCAAGTTGAGGTCTTTGCTTCAAATCTGCTGGATAATTTGTGGTTCAACCAGTGTTTACACCATCAATCTAATATTTACATGGTCTGCTTTCTCTAAAATCAGACTTTATATAGCAGCAGAAACCTTGCAAAAGGAGTAACACCTTTTCTTAATAATGCAGTAAGGCCTGGAATGCACTGTAGACATTTTTGCTTGAAGGCTAAATGTTTTGCCTGCTGCGGTGGCAGCTGAATTTATAAATTCTCCCATTTAGCCTGAACTTGTACCAGCTGACACGAATGCTGGAATAAATTGCCTTTTTGATGACTTTTAGAACAATTTAAAAGTAGTTGACAGAAAAAACAATACCAGCTGCCAAAATGTACCTCCTAGTTTTCTTATTAGACAGCAGTGTTTTTTTAGCCACATACTTTGCTGTGTGTTTGCGTGTTACACATACATAACAGCAGTGGATCCACGGTACCTTTAACGCTGTGCTGTCGGCCAGGAGTGCAACTCTATTATACTGCTCTCAGCTAATGGGAGAAGCTGTTTAAGCAGCAGAGAGAGTCTCCGACAGAGTGAACTCCGTGTCACTCGTTCAGCATCACATTACATCGCAGTGCATCGACTGGGAACATGACTCAACCCCTCACTCGTGCTAACTGAGAGGAAAAAGCCCCATCGAGGCCTTGAGCTCAATTTGATGCAAGAAAAAGGAGCCGGAAAGTGAAAGGAAAGAGACTTGGACAGAAAGAATAGAGAAGCTACGATAAGGTCTGATGTGAGTTGCATAACCCCATGAATTAGATATGACGACCATGAGAGAACGCTGGCGTTTAGAGAGGGATTCAAGGCTCCTTGCTGCCCCCTCCAGGACCTGAGGCTGGAAATTTAAAGAGCTGTTTGTGCAGGGAGGAGAGTGCAAGGGCGAAAACTGAAGCTGTGGAGAATGAGTGGGAATGGTAGGGTGGAGAAGGAAAGCCATGACCATGGACTTGTTTCTCTTGCTTCAGATCGTAATGAGATTCCTTTTCAGTTGTAACTAATGTGTGTGGTTTGGTGGTTATTCCTTATAATGTGTGTCGTAATTCTAATGTGTGTGTGTGTGTGTGTGTGTCACCTCTCTACAGGCAAGCGTGGGACCTGGCCGTGGACATCTGCCTCTCTCAGCTGCCCACTATCATTGAGGAGGGCACTGCCTTCAGAGTAAGTGTGTGTGTGTGTGAGAGAGAAAAATAAACAGACCTATTTTTTATTTCAGTTGAAAGGGGGAAAGGTGCTGCGTCTGTGTTTTTGCGAGCGTGTGTGTATGCGTATAGGTTAGTGGTCACTGGATACCTAGCACTGATGGATGGCTCTTATCTTGGATCTGTCCACCACTGACGCCTGTAAACATCAACAGTGCTCCTTTGCTGTCCTCAACTAACAGCATCTCTATACGTCTTTCAAACACACATACTCATTCCCTAATACTTCAAGTGTGTCAAATACAAAAATGACTGACCCTGCAGTGTATTGTTATGTTTACTGACATGGCTGGGGACAGTGATGGACATGCTGAGAGGAATGGAAACACGCTGTGGGAGGCTGATAGACCTGATGATGGCATGTGTGTGTGTGCAGACATCTGCTTTGTGGTGCAAACTGATCAGAAAACCCATAGAAACCGAGAAAGTGGCAGCAGAGCAGCTTTTCCCCGATGTTACCTTTTCTCTCCTCCACCTGGCCCTCGGAGGTGGGCTTCTTCTCCGTCGCTCCCCCGGGGGCAGTTTTCCATCCTTGATCCTTCCTCTGCTTCCTTCTGCACTCTGGCTGAAAACACTTACCAGCACCGTAATTGAGCCTCTGAGGACTACTAAAGTAGATCTTCCCTCTCTTTCTTGCTCTTTCAGGAGCCTTTAATTCCTCTCTGATGTGCTCCAGCTGTTTACATTATTGTCTTGGTCTCTGCCACAACTGAATTTAGAGCTGGAGAAAATCTTTTACCGATTTTACAACTTCTATTTTATTTTGTACTCTTGACAATGCTTGAGTGTTATAATAAATGTTTAACCATATAATGCTCCCCTTACGGCCCCTCAGCCAAATATATTGGGTTTTTTTCAGTGTGCCATATGGACATAACAAACACCAAGAAAAATCAGATTTCTGTATAAATAGTATAGAATAGTATACATTGAAAATAAGGGGGGGAAAGAAAGGCCTTTGAAGCTATTACAAACCCTCATCTAAATTTAATTTACAAAAGTCATAAATATTTTTTCTTCATGTTTTTGTATTTTGTAATTGTAGACTGTCAGACGACGTTATACACCTTTAAACTAAAAGTGGGATTGCTGCGACAGTCGAGTGTTCTACAGGAGGCCATTCAATCCCACACATCAGAACTTTAGCAAATACTGTTGCTACTGTAGCTAGCCGATTTGTTCAATCATTTTGACTTAGTTAATACAAGAACCCCTTTTCTGTTGCTTATCCGCTTCCAGGTTGTGATGATTTAATCCACGATACCATTAGAAAATGTTATTATATGCTGCTGGGAAAACATTGATATAAAAGTAAATAGTTGTAGGACATATTGTCCCACTGGTTTTTTCATCATTACTATAATACTTAACACGGTATGGTCATAAAATGGGTATTAAATGTCATTCTGTGTGGTATTAAAAAGGTCTTAAATTTAACTCGGTGAAACCTGCAGAAACCCTGAGGGTCTCAACCTCTATGTCCCCACCATCATTCATTTTATGTTATCAGAGTACAAACACACCCCCCAAAAGCTATTAGTGTATGAAATATGAATGTGAAGTATTATAATAAAATGTTTTATTAAATTCAGGTAACTTCGTAAATAATAATTTTCTCTGTCTTAAAATTCATTCGGATTTCCATTGTACGCCAGGGAAGTTGGAATTAAATTTCATCCTAGGGGGTATTAAAAAGGTCTTTAAAAGTCTTAAAATTTAACTTTGAGAATCCTGGGGGTACCCTGATTTAGTTTTATTAATTAATAGAGATACTAGAATTGTAGTTAAGATGCCAATACAATGTTATCTATCATGAAGCATCAGGTCTCTATCAAGGAAACTAAATGTTATTTTGAGTTTTATGTTCCAAAATGCAGCATTAAAGCCTCTTTATAGGAGTCTCTAAGCGGGGCCTATGCTCACCATACGCCACTTTCTTCATGTATCAGTGAGTATGTGACAGTGTGTATAGAGTTATTAAGCTTTGATTATGCACAAATTAATTTAGCCATCCACCCGAGAAGCCTTGATATTTCCCCCTTTCTACATCCATCAACAGTCTACACAACGCTGTCGTAATTCCCGCTGCAATATTAACACTCAGCGTGATCAAAAACTCTGCGGCCAGCAACCAATCAATCAGGCAAACTGCCATAGCTGCAGAGAGAGAGGGAGAGGGAAGGTGATCATGATAGATCAGGATTTATGTCGTTACTGCAGTGCAGTGTCACTTCTTAGCTCATTGTGTCAGGGCTTTTATCAAATGATAAGCTAGTCACTGCAGACTGGCTCATTACCGTGTGTGTGCGCGTATGTGTGTGTGTGCGCACGAGGAAGAGAGAGAATAAGTAAGCACATAAATTCTTTAAAACCATGACAAGCACTGTGTGTGTGTGTTTTGTGTCCACAGCACAGTCCTTTCTTCGCGGAGCAGCTGACGGCGTTTCAGGTGTGGTTGACGATGGGCGTGGAAAACAGAAACCCTCCTGAGCAGCTCCCTATTGTACTGCAGGTACGAGCACACACACACACACAGAAACACACACACACACAGAAACACACTCTTTCTCTGTTTTGATTTCAATTTTTCATTTTCGCTAAGTATCATATGTAAATTCAGTTGTTTTTCCAAAGCATACAAAGATTAAAGTGATTCTATGAGAAATTAGAAATTATGAACAGTAAACATTAAAGAAAATCATTATAATTTTTATATATCTTGTGTACCCTTTTATCTGACCGAGATTTATGTTGATGCACACATCACTGTTCACACAGTCCTGTACAAGAGAAAATGCTTTCAAAAATATACATGCTTATATGTGTCAATTAACAAAATGTAAAGTGAATGAGCAGAAGATTAATCTAAATTAAATGAATATTTGATGGGACCACCCTTTGCCTTCAAAACAGTGTCAGTGCTTCTAGGTACACTTGCACAATGTCAGGGATTTTGTAGGCAGGTGTACAGTATGTTTAAACAGTTATACCAAACAGGTGATGATCACCAGTTCAGTATGTAGGTTGAAACACAATCATTAACTGAAACAGAAACCGCTGTCTCGGAGGAATACTGGGTGAATAAACTAAAACTTTAATAGGTTAACAGGTTATTTGTCATCTGTTTGTCTTGTGTTGTGGAAGCAGACACCAAACTGAGCTGTAGTTGTTTCTGTGGCCCCCAAACAGAAAAGGAAGCTTTTCACAATCAGACAGGTCCATAAAGCCTGTGGAATCTTTTGCAGAAGCTTTTCTAAAATGTCTCTTGTCTTGTTTAATTCTGTTAGCTTTGATGATAATTCAGCATTATAATTAGAACTCAGTGTGTAATCTGAAAACATTTGTAGTAGTAGTCAATACTGATGGCTGAAGGAACCATGATTACAGATTTCAACAAAACCAAAAGACACAAACCAAAGTAAACTTTAGGGAGTGTTGAAGAATATGAAATACAGCAGAGAAGAAATAATAATAGTGGAATATGCTGATGCATATTATGCAGGAAGCTCTTTAATTCACTCATTGTCTCATTTTTTGCATCATTAAGTTTCTCTAGACAGCAGTATTCACACTCGTACACCAGTATCGTCACTTTATTCCATTCATCTTCACATTTAAAATGAAGTTGCAACAGCAATTTTCCACGATTGGACCTTAAAACATTTCAGTAACACTTGTAATATATCTCCGGTTTGAATTAAAGGCAGAGGAGGTGCCAAATATCAAGCAGGCACTGCAGCTGCTTGAATTGAAGAACTGTTTGATCAGAGGAATTGTGCAACATTTCTGTAACCGACACCTATGTTTGAATGCCATTTCTTTAACAGATACATGACATCAGATATGTTGAAAGAGGCCTTATTCTCCATTATGCATGTGGAAACTCATTGCGGCAAAAGCATCTTGATTAACACACACATCACATGCCAAGAGTCATTATCTTAGAAAATTACGATTACAGCAATACATTTTTTACTATCACTCTCACCGCTCTCCTCTCTCCCTCCATTTATTTATCTTTATCAGACACTATTACTTCCAGGTCACCACTTAAGATCTCCCAGCAAAATCCTATAATTTGAGCATTGGTAGGCCAGTTTTCTTCATCACCTCCCTGCAACAAAGCCTGTGTGATAAGAACAGTGGCGGCTGTGTTCCCTGTAGTGGCATTAGATTTGTTAGGGATGCTTTAATTGGGGTGAAATCTTGCTAAAGCCTTGTAGTGTACATCAGCTGTTGAGCAACAGTCCCCTCCTCTTCCCTCTTCCTCCTCCCACCACCACCATCCCGTGGGGTTGTACAGTTGTGATGTTGTATTATATCACAGCGTAGTAGTGGTGTGCCACTGTCCGTGTTGAATGGTAATTTCCTGCTGACTCAGCGCGTCCATACAGCAGTTTTGTCGGGACCCGTTAAAAGCCAGACTGATTGGAGAGCACTGGATGGTGTGTGAAGTAACGTGTGTGTGTGTGTGTGTGTGTGTTTGCTGTTGATATGGATTTAGAGAGAGCGAGAGAGAGAGAGAGACGAAGTAAAGCAGCAGTATCCTTTAAGATTATGCAACATTATGCAGCTTTACACCATGAGGGCAAAGTAATCTCAAGGCTACCGTGTGCTCTCTGATGTAACGGATGGACACATAAACAGGTTTTATACCCTTTTAAGCACACGGTTGCATAAGGAGGAACTTAAAAGACCGGTGCATTCTTAGAGGATTTACGATTTGATTCTAACATAAAATCTGGCTCTATTTGAACGATGCAAAGAGCGTCAAGAAATGGTCAACAGAGAGTACTCCATCAATAATGCCGTTTAATGAAATGAGCAAAGGGAGAACAACAGAGCTCGGGAAGGAGAGATACGGTGCTGCGTTGTCTTGACAACAGTCATCCTGAAAGGATTAACAGATTGTGCAAAGGGATTACAACACTCTAAACTGTGATGTTTCAGGACATTCACCTATATTTGGCATCAGGTGTCTGCGAAGCGTTTAAGGCATAAATAATAATATAATTACATGTCAGTGTGGCTGTCACGGTTCACACACTCACAGCGGGATGATAGGAAGTGCTTACTCATCACACTAAAGAAGATTGGAGTCAAGGTGTTACACAAATAAGGAACGGAGACAAATATGTGCACACACCTTCTTGCGCATTGTAATATAGCAGCAGTGCTCAGGGACTGTATTTGCATCCCTGCTATGATGAAATGACACATGTATGTTCATGCATTATTTGGATCATGTGCATTAAATGTGCTAATGTGTGTGTGACTCTGTGGAAAATATATAATGCTAAATTAAATAAAATTAAAACAAACCTTGTCGATAATAAGTTCATGGTGGTGGAAATTGCTGTAGTCCTCATGGGCTCATCACATTTCTTCTGAAGCATTACATAAATAGACCTTTTATTTATTTACAAATATTTGTAGTTTTATCTATTTTGCTCAGGCCAACAAAAATATTATCATCTGTTTCTTCCAAAGAATAAAAACCAATTTAAAAGGAAGTTTAATGAATAAGCGGCTTCCGTCATTGAGTTTAGGAAAACTAATAACATTAACACAAAAGTCTGATCGCAATAAAGTACACAGACTGTAATACGATTCATAAAATATGAAGTTTAGATGATGTAAACAATTACAGACTTTGTCAGAAAAATTACCATCAGTGACCACAGGGGAACACACAGAGTAGTGAAAATCTCCTCTTTGGTCACCACTTTTTTTCTTGAAACCTGCACCAGGCATATCAGCACACTGTTTTCTATTGATTACAATGTACCCCCACGGCGTGAGTGATATGTCAGGTCATGATCCCACCAGGATAGAAAAACGAACACACACACGTACACCCATGTTCCCACGCTCTTCCTTGGAGCTGGAGGTAACCCCGGACCGGTCTTCCCCTGGCCTCCGTCTGCTTGTGTGGTAACGCTCGCCAGGTTAAAGTCACAGAGAACACGAATTATACATTATGTGTTGGTTGAAATGTGTGCATATGTGTGTGTGTGGACCTGGGTTCCTCCATATGCTTGTTCCCACACACACCGTGTGATAGTCACATGGGGATGGACCGGAGTCCAGCCCTCACACAGACTTTGTGCTGCATTGTGCTTAATGCTGCATAAACTACACACCACACACACACACACATAAACACACACACACATACATTTTTAGCACATACCATATGCCTCCTTAAAATAGTTTTCCTTGGCCAAAACTGTTACATCGTGATTCCGTTTGGCATCTCCGCTGCATTGCATGTAAACTAAAATGCGCACACACACATACATGCACGGGTATCGTCCTAAACCTGTATCTCTTTGAGAAGCCAAGTGAAATGGGGCCAAGAGGACGCACCCTGTCGCCCACACATTTGTGCTTGCGCAGGCACACACACGGAGTAAGCATGTGCGGAGTGTTAGCGGTAGTGGTGGGAGAGCCACCTGTTTCACTCCACCTCCTCACCCTCTCTGCCGTTTCTCCTGCTGTCCTTCCCCCTCCTCCTCCTCCTCTTCCTCATCCTCTTCCTTCCTCCTCTAATCTCAGGCTCCTCTTGGGTTGGAGGTAGCCCAGTTGACCTTCAACCTTTGCTCTCTTTCAGGTCCTCCTTAGTCAGGTGCATCGGCTACGGGCTCTAGACCTTCTCGGACGGTTTCTGGATCTGGGTCCCTGGGCTGTGAGTCTGGTATGTTCGGATTGTGTGCCTGTTCAAAAGTACTGGTTTCATTTTAAAAATGACTCTCCTCTTTGGATAACATTAACAAAATGTCCTTGGCTGAAAATTGAAGTGCTGTGAAATGTTCCTGTATGTAGCTGTGCAAATAGTTTCAGTTTTATGTGCTGAGGTTTTGAGATATCTCTGTGATTTATACCTACATCAATACAATAAAGGTGAACTTGTTTGTGGCACTTAAAGTACAAAAAAAAAAGACGTATCAAGAGCAGCTAATCTTTCCAGAAACGGTGTCCCAATTAGCCTGGATGATCCACAGACTAAAGCTGTGAACAGTTTCAGTGGAACTACTGGTCAGCATAGTATGTGGATTATCCTCGTTATTACAGGAAAAACACTGTGCATTCACATTTAATGTTTTAATGCGCACACACTCATCTCCATTGTTTTAGTGTGGGGGCTGAAGCTCCTAGATTTCTAGATCTCAGGAAAGTGAGAAACTGTCTTTCTGGAATATGAGTGTACTGACCCTTTAATGTGGAGATCTCTGCTCTTTTTGCTGCAAGATGATTTTTCCAAGAGAAAAAGGAAAGCCCCAAACTTAGAAATAGTTAGTTTGAGAAATATTCTGATTTGCTTTGGATGAAAACACTGTCACATTTGTGTGTTAAAGGACAGGGTCACAATTTTTCAAGTCTGTCTTCCAATAATAGTCAGGTGCCCATATGCATGTTGAAACAGTTCTTGCTGTATCTGTTCATACTGGCCATCAAGAGATCCTTCCTCAATGTGCTTTCACAATCCTCGTTCTGTGCAGGAATTGATTCACCTCTAAAAGTCACTTCAAACAACATGTTAATTAGTGAACTTTTAGAGTTGTTATTAGATGTGTTTTGAACCTTCCCCCTGCCTCCAGTCTGTATGCTAAGCTAGTATAAACTAGTTGTGTTCTTGCTCCAGCTCCGTACTTCAGACGTCAGAGTGGCATCCATCTTCTCATTTAACTCTCAGACAGAACTTGAAAAAGCATATTCCCTTCCCTTGTGGCCTGAAGAAAGAAATGCTGTGTATTTAGGTGTTTACTGTGATTGACAGGTCACACTGAGCTAGCTTGTTGAACAGAACATGAAGTGATAAGTAAACAGCGAAGTCCCATCTTGAAAGGAAACATTTTGCTGCAGCTGACTTGTAACCTGGCGAGCCAAAATGATACCACTAAAATTGACTTCTTTTCATTACTTGAAAGATGCACGGTAATACTTTCTTAAAATGTTGGATATCTTATGTAATTTGACATAATCACTGGGCCAGTTCCAGCCCTTTCTGCATGGTCACTCACAGTCCAAGTTAGTAGCATGCTGAATCCTCCAAAAGGCAAACTGGCAGACATTTGAACTGAAGTCAAAACTGCATTTGGCATCCCAGCTCCTGCTCAGCTAAATTCCATTTCTCTGTACATGTTTACAATTCAGACCACAGGTGTGTCTTGGTTTTCATACGTGGACAAACACATTCAGCAGCAAGGCCTGGATCATAACTGCAATATCAATACTGCTCTATAAACACCGGGGCTCTGTGTTTGTGTGTGTGTTTCCAGGCCCTGTCTGTGGGGATCTTCCCCTACGTATTAAAGCTGCTCCAGAGTTCAGCCAGAGAGCTGCGGCCGCTGCTGGTTTTCATCTGGGCTAAGATCCTGGCTGTGGACAGTGTAAGTTTGATATAAAACACTCACGCGCAGTTTTTATTTTATCAGCTTTTTTACATCACAGTTTTATTGTTGTTATGATTTCTGTCTGCTGCACATAATGACTCACTGAAGGAACGAAAGAAAAAGTGTGTGAATAGGCAAAAAAATAAAATTCAGTCACATGTATTTAGTGTGAATGCATGCACAATGATGTTTTCATTAAAGCATCTGCATGTTTTCGTTAAAGCTATTGCTATACAAGTGGGGTCAGACATTTTGATAAATTCTGTTGATTCTTGGTTTCTTCGTTTGATTCAGTCACATCTGAAATTGGCAACGCTGCTATAATTTTTGCAGTGTTTTTGTTTTTGCTTGATGAAATATTGTTTTCTAATTGTCTCTAATGTGTTTCAAAAACCTTGGCTGCATTTACTAAATTCTTTTAAAGAAAAATAAGGAAACCGTGTTCTCCCACACACTTTATTTTGTTAATGTGTCAATTAGACTTTGATTAAGACCAGTAAGTTTAGCTGCACTTTGGGTCATATTGCAGCAGACTAAAACATGATCAAATCCTGGACACTGTGCCGAGAGCTTGTGTGTCATGTAAATTCATGTTATTCCTTAGAATAAGTTAAATGATTAAGTTTTATTTCCCCACATGTCTACATAGGGGATTTTCAGTAAGAAAACTCAACAGTGTGCTATGCCACACGTATTCATTCATAGTTTGGGGACACTGCCACCTGTGAATGCTGCATGAGTGGAAAGCAATATCTGCAATGAAGTGAACCTCCTCCTCCTCCTCCTCCTCTCTCTCGCTCTCTCTCTCTCTGTCTCTCTCTCTCTGTCTCTCTCTCTCTCTGTCTCTCTCTCTCTCTCTCTCTCTCTCTGTCTGTCTCTGTCTCTCTCTCTGTCTGTCTGTCTCTGTCTCTCTCTCTGTCTCTCTCTCTCTCTGTCTCTCTCTCTCTCTCTGTCTCTCTCTCTGCAGTCATGTCAAGCTGACCTTGTGAAAGACAACGGACACAAGTACTTCCTGTCAGTGTTGGCTGACAGTTACATGCCAGTGAGTATCCACTAATGCCGTTTGTACATTTGTAAATAAAGTGACCCTCGTTTAGTTATAATATAAAGGGATATACCGTAAAACTTAAATTTATAGTCGAGTCCTTAATTGCTAACTGTCCCGTTTAATGGCCTGGTGTAGGTACAAAGCAGGTCTTGATCAGACGCCTGGTCTGGTTTTATAGAAGTTGTTCAGATGTATAAAACCTCTGAAAGCTCACTAGGTAAACAAGAGATGGAAGAGGGGGGAAAAAAGCGCTGACTCCTGACCTTTGAAGCGTCAGTTAAGTCCCAATGTGTCTGTCCGTCGACGATTTACATTCCTTTAGTCTGTAAGGGTCCACCAAAAAAGTTTGATTGTAGTTTATTTCATATCTTTACTGAGTAATAGTTTTGTGTGAAAGGAATACAGTACTTTATATCTTCTTTTCTATAGTTTCTTAACTTATTACTTCACTGAATGGTCTGGAGTTGCAACAGAAAAGCTTCAGGCAGGAGTACAACAGTAGATATGCTGAGTCCTTTCTTTGTTACAGGCCGAACATCGGACCATGGCTGTCTTCATATTGGCTGTTATCGTCAACAGCTACAACACAGGACAGGTACGAGTGTGTGTATGAGCATGTTTGGATATGTGTGTATTTCCACTGCACTGCTGTTAATTTGCTTTGCTGGAAGCCCAAAGGGAGAACGTAGCACATTGTTCATTTACTTCCCTCACCAGAACCTCAGCTGGTTGTTTTGGGGCCAGCCGTCACTTTGAGAGATTACTCTATCCCCTGTTGTGTATTTCCCAGAGATATTGGTTATGTGACAGTTTTGTCACCAACAGTCACCTCTATAATCTCCATCTCCGTCCCAGCTACCTCCATGGTGACACTTTATCACCGCAAGTGTCACTTCGGCCTGCTCCTGGCCTCTGGTGTTCAATCCCAGAAGCCTTTTGTGTGTGACACTGAGGGTTCGATGTTGGGATGATGTAGCTCATCATTTCATGGAGTACACACACACACTTCCACAAAGAAATATTCTACCAACACTTTTGCTGCCTCTCTCCTGCCCTCTGCGGTTATTTTTCTGTCTAGTTGTGAATGTTATTTGTCTTACATTTTTTTTCTTTACTGCATTACAGTACTTCTCTCTCTTAACGTTATATACATCTGGCAAATCAGAAAAGCTATATGCGTTCTCAAGCTCAGAAACACCCATTCTTCTTCTATACCACTGTTCCTTAATGCTCCTACCTTTCTCACAGCCCTGTAAATAATAGATGATTCCCAACATTACAGAGAGACTTTCTGCCTGCTCCACATCTCCATTATTTATCCCTCTTACTTTCAACAACAGCGCTCATTACTGCGGTGTCGCTGTTGCGAACATGTCAGCCAGCACTGGCGTCTTAATATTCCAGCTCTCAGGGTTCAGTTGGTAGGCTCGATCAGAGCTGAGGGAACAACACACTAGCGATCTGAGGCACTTGAAGAAAGTGTGTGTTAGGGGGGGCACTGGGGTACATTTTGTTGCTGCTGATAAAAGATTTGTTGTTTTTCCTAATATATAGGAGACAAACATGGATTCTCAGCACACTGAGCGGGTCTATTTGTTGTGGTTCATGTGGTTATGAGGTTTTGCTTAAAGGGTTTTATGTTCAGTGCTGTAATGGTAAACTCTGCTGCTCTTTCGGTCCCAGCTACCAACTTAAAATAAACATCAGAAATTCAGGTTTTCATTCATTCGAGTCTTTTCTTTTTTGCAGAGATGTTGATCGGTGTCAAGCTAGAAAAACTGGACATTAACATGAACACTTCAGGCCGTTGTTAGGGTTGTGAAAGCAATGAAAATGAAAGCCTATTAGGAAAACGGAGGGATCATGCTTTTACTGTGGAACATCTATATAGGAGGTGCTGCATGTTATTCACAACAGCAGCAACACCAATTAAAAATTTGCTAAATGGACAGACTGGATTTAATAAACAAATGAAAACTCAACACTTCCTGCACATTGGGGCGGCCCAGGGGCCCAGTGGAAGGCACTGTGGCCTCACAGCAAGAAGTTTGCGGGTTCCCCATACTCAAATACATGTTAAGTTCTGCAGTCAGTGCCATTGACCTGTGACACTGGCTCAGATCTGGAGTTGGTCCCTGGTCGCTGCTCAGTGGCTGTCCACTGCTCCCTTGGGGATAGGTTAAATGCAGAGAATGAATTTTGCTATGTGTATGTGACAATAAAGTCCCCATACCTTACCTTAAATTGTTTTTCAGTTAAAGCCTTAAAGAGAAGTGGCTCGAAGGGCCTTATTATGCCTCCCTTTCCTAGTGTGCTTTTAATGTGAAACTTCTGCAGGACAGATTACATTTTATTGACAGAATTTTAACACAGATAGAACTCCATGCACATATTTTTCACAGTAAAAGCCTTACCGTGTTTCAAATCCCAGTGTCAAGTCTTTTAATGTGAAACAGAAGGGGTGATTGGAATCAAAAAGTGAATCAAAACTGTATTTCTGTTAAAAAGAGAAACTGAGCATCAGAACATGACTCTATTGTTGTACCTTTTTCTTACTTTTCGCAAAGGTTATCGTCCTTTACAGTCAATCAACTCACTGTACTTGTGTTACCTCATGAAAAAAAGCACAAATAACAGTGAAAAAGGAGATTACTTGTTAATGCTCTGCACAAAATAAAAAAAATAAATAAATAAAGATACCAGCATTTCCATTGTACTTTAGACTCGCTCAAAGCTTTGTGGACCAATTACCATATGATGACAGAAAAAAAAAGATTTGAAGAGGGCTGAAGGGGTTCAAAGGAATAAGTCATACTGCTGCAGAGCTCATAATCTTTTTTTCCATCACACAGTGTGAGGTTACAGGTTAGTAGTGATTTACTGGCTAATGAGGTACATATCTGCTTCTGGCCTGAATTGCTCACAAGGGTTAAGACTGATATATAATCCACAGATTGTCATTTTGTTTAAAATAAAATACTGGCAGGTCTGTGGTGACTAGCACAGTTTCAAGCTCTGTCAATACTTTCCATAGTGTTTTTCAGAGTGCTGACTCATGGGAAAGTATGTATCTTCAACCAAGTCCAGTTACCCTTGATTTTAACCTTCCCGGGATAACTAAGAATCTTCACAGACATTACGCACCTTTCCACCGTTATTACTTCATGCCTCATAGTCCTTCAAATCTTGTTACATTTCCTGGATGTACTCATCCGTAGGCTTCCTCCCTCCCAACTGAACGTCTCTCACACTCATCATTCTGCATCACTCCTTCTACTCTCACTCTGCCACCATCCCCAACCAGGAAGCCTGTCTGCAGGGTAACCTAATAGCCAACTGCCTGGAGCAGCTGTCAGACCCCCACCCTCTGCTCCGCCAGTGGGTAGCCATTTGCCTGGGCCGTATCTGGCAGAACTTTGACCCGGCACGCTGGTGTGGAGTTCGGGACAGCGCCCACGAGAAGCTCTACACCCTGCTGTCGGATCCCATCCCAGAGGTGAGAGGTTTATACTAGAATTTATGTACATTTGAAAAAGTGTGAAGAGATGTTTTTGATCATTTTCCAAGCTCCTGCACTTGTCAGGCACCATTTGCATTTGATTATTATATAAAATTCAAAATAAAGTGATCATTAGAGTACAACATGACTCTGTTGTACAGATGAAATTCATGGTGTTACAAAATTGACTGTTAATACAGGTCATTTATTAGGGACTCGACTTGTAATGCTTGACACATTGTTTTTCTCTTTTTTTTTTTTTTTTTGTACGTCCTTTACAGTCAATCAATAAGCTATACTGTTACCTCATGTAACTGCTTACAAATAGAGAGTATTTGTTAATGCTTTGCACAATATTAATCAGCTTTACCTTATGGTGTACATTAACACATCATATCGCAAAATGTGATTCACAAGAATGTTGGAAAAGAGGCCGTGACGCACAGGTTTAATGAGTTCCAGTAATCCGATGTGTCTCGCATAAACAGCAGAATACCGAGTTATAACGGACCCTGATGTGCGCGGAGGTTTGTGTGGTTATTTTGTAGCAGCTTGGTGTCGTTTGCATGTGATTTAATGAAGGTAAACAAATTGGACAGCCGCGTGTAATGGAACTGCGCTCTGGTGTGGCACTCAAATCCGAGGTTGGAGATTTATCAGCACACGTGTCCTGCTGCCTTTAGATGGCTGCAGGGATTTAATGAACTGAAGGAGAAGCTTTTTTTTATTCAGTAGAAAGCGGCTGCAGAAAACAAATACTGGATGAATCACTCATATTAGTTCATAAATAAATGTAGGCTGATTTGCTGGCATTCCTGCTTTCACCACATTAAATTTTGCTTTTTTATTTTGGAACACATCTACTGGTTGAAGAGTGTTTAATTAAAATATTTTATTAAGCATTATTGCGTTATTACTGCGCAGATTGACGTGGTTCTGAGACATCCATTTTCACTGCAAAGTCTAGGACCGATTTTCCACCAGACCACCACCAACTCACTTTGCCCTGCCTCATCTGATTGAACCTTCCAACTGCTGTGTCCTCCCACCTGAGCACCAAAACACCATACAGACAGGCAAAGCAAATTTTAAGGTCAGGAACATACTGAGCGCTGTTGAACTGGTCGTTCCCCTGCCATGAACAATAGGGCCCAAAGAGTGATGAGTCTTTTATTGACAGCTGGAGACCCTGACTGCTAACACTAATACACACAATCTACTAAACAACAAAAAAGACCAAAAATAAAAAACAAATCGATGGAAATACAGTATGTCTAGGAATCCTCTAGTATATATAGACGTTCTGCAGAACTAACCTGTTTATACAGACTGATAAGAGACAGTTTTGTCACACACACACACGGAGCAGATCAACACAGGCTTAAAACAGTTTGGACCCACCTTGTTAAAGAGGTTAGCATCTGACTGGGTCGTGTGCTGACCTGAGGGACAGAGAGACAGTTTGCCCTGAAGTTCACCCAGGCACTTGGTGCCCTCATTCACACTCTGCACTTATTGGCATGCATTCACACACACACACACACACACACACACACACACACAAGGAACATCTGTTTCCAGCAGTAACTTTCTCTTTCCGCTAAACAGACAGCTGCTTTGGCCGGAGGGTTGAAACTGAGGTCTGCAGACACATCTGCCTGTTACCACACAATCATACTTTTTCAGCTGTATTTTCAGATTGCTTATTTAATTTACATTAGGAATACTCAGTGTGGGAGACTGACTGATCATAATTCACTGCTTCAAATTGTTTTCCTCGGGTCTTATTCCCCCAGAGGAGATGAGTGAAGAAAGTTGAACGGGACAGAAAGTGAAATGAGGAGCAGTCAGTGACTAAGTGGAGAGTTTAATTAAGTTTAAGGTGAAGTCAGTGGGGACAACTAAGATGACACTGTTGTTTAGTCATAGTTTGCAAGTCAGTAAAGCACACACACACACACACACACACACACAGAACACACATCATAGTGATGCAGACATTAAGATGTTAACCTCAGAGTCACTGCACAGAGAGAGAAAGGCAAAAACATTTTTTTAAATGATGAATAGTGTACAACAGACTTGAAATTGTCAAAGGTTTAAATCCATTTTAAAGGATCAAATTTCTATCGATGTTTATCTTTTATATTGTTCTTGCTCTTTTGTGCAGTATGTGGCAGTTTTCTGGACCTGTTTATGTTGTTTGTAATGTATTTATTTTGACTGTAACACTTTTTTTTCTGCCTTATTGGCTAGTTTCTCTTGAAAAAGAGATTTTGATTTTCATAGGTACTCAAACAAATTCCTTAGATTGGTATTGGGTTGTGGTATACAGCTGGCTACACAACACGTCACTAACTATGGCTTTAAACAAACCGTTGATTTAAATCAACACATCTTAGTGTAGATGGTGGAAATAACTGAAGGGCTGTTGTAGTGCACTGTGGTAGATTGTGCAGGTGCAGCTGAGTCTGAAATATTTCAGTGCATAAAGGAATGTAAAAATGTCTTAAGTGATGAGGATTAAGATGTTTTCCAGAATTGTGCTCTTCTGTCTTAATTTACTTTCTAGTCACAGTACTTTTTCATTAGTTTCTTTTATTCCAGGTTTTAGAAAGAAAATTACAATATGTTCGTCAGAAATGTTTCAGTTCATCATTTTAATTGGAGCAAAGCAAACCCTATCAAAGCAACATCTGTGTAGTCTAGCCTCACTAAAGATGCATCACAAGAATAAAAAAGTAGCTGTGATGATGCATCCTGGTGCCTGCAAAAAAGAGTGCTCTGTTGCCACAGCAAACAATATACCAAAATATTTATTCCTGCGCTAATTTGGATTAAACATCCAGTGAAGCGGGCAGAGAAAGTAATTAGTTATATTGAAAAAAATCAGCTCACAGGACAGCTGATAATCTCCAGTGCATTTCATAGTGATACAGACATTTGAACCATGGTCCCACAAAACATTAAATTAAACATTTATGAATAAATCTGGCAAGCAAATGTTTGTATTTCAAAGCAAATGGCACAACACTGGTTTCAGACAGCGCTATGCATCGATGAAGGGAAATGACAGTAAACACAAACACATCAAAAAACCTTTAACATTGTGTTTGAACTGTTTTCGAGGTAAACCGGTTTCGTTAAGGCATTGTCTGTGTCGCTGCAGGTGAGGTGTGCGGCTGTTTTTGCTCTGGGGACGTTTGTGGGAAACTCTGCTGAGAGAACAGACCACTCCACCACTATCGACCACAACGTGGCCATGATGTTGGCCCAGCTCATTAACGATGGCAGCCCTGTGGTCCGCAAGGTCACTGCAACACAATAACACTCACACCAACAACACTAAATACACAGTTTATTAACAACAAAATAATATAAAAGACAAACTAATACGACGCTAGATGCAGGTAGAAATTACGGTTACAAAATATATGGAAACAATGGAAAAGCGTGGGCCTTTCCTTGCTATGCCTTTAGGACTACTACATTCCAGGTAAGACTGTTATCATGCTGGTGCATTCAAGATTATTCAATGCAGTGGAAAGACTTCCAGTGAACTGAATTCACTAACACAATCATTATTAGGTAATGAGGATATTATTATCTAGATAAAACAAATAAGTGGAGTGTAGACTGCAGGACATAGTTTAAAGAAGAAGATCAAAATCTTGGGGGAAAAAGTCCATTTGCTTTCTTTCCAAGAGTTGGATGAAAAGATTGAGACCACTCTCATGTCTGTCTGCAGATATATGGCCGTACAAGGCAATTATCTTAGCTTAGCTTAAAGACCGGAAACAGGAAGTCACTGCTCCTGGATGTTGTTCATAACTGACACATATAAAAGGGTAGAGAAACTAATTTAGTTAAAATATTTGTGATGTATAACATGTAATATCAACTCCATACATGTTTTGACAATATGTATCAGAAGGAGAAAGGGGAAATTGGGCCTGGAGATTGAGTATTTGAGAAGGTTAGAAAAATACAGTATATGGGTAAATTCAAGGTCTTAGGGAGAGATAATAATAATTTAGTATTTGCTGACTTCAAAATTTCACTTTATATGAAGTGGTACATTGATACTGGAGGCAATGAGGTAATAAAAGAGAGATCACTAAAGAGATAATTAACGATGTTTGGAGATTTATTACTCATTTGTCACAATTATACCTGGAAAAAGCCAGCGTGGCTTGATAATAGCACCATGAAATAAATACAGTTTTAAAAATCATAATCACTGGAGCTGAATGATCATTATGTTTTGCTTTTCTTTTCCTGTATGTGTTTGACAGGAGCTGGTTGTTGCACTGAGTCACCTGGTCGTCCAGTATGAGAGCAACTTCTGTACAGTTGCCCTCCAGTTTATAGAAGAAGAGAAGAACTACACAGTGCCGTCACCAGCCAACACCGCAGGTACTGTCAGCACACAGACTAACTCCACTCCACCTGGTCTAATGCTTTTTCTAAGGTTATTAAAATTTGTTTTCAAAGTCTGTGTAAATATATATATTTTTTTAAAGGAAGGTCTGAGGCATTGAAAAAAGAAGACCTCCCTTTTGATGAATCCCATCTATTCTAACATTACACTCATTAAAACAACATTTATTTTCATTGGTTGGGGATTATCAAGACTATATAATGTACGTCCTCCTGTCTTTACGTCCAGAGCCTGGTAACCTGACTCCAGTGAGGGACAGCCCGGCCATCCCACGCTTACGATCGGTCAACTCCTACACCAACATCCGAGCTGCCACCAGTGCCCGCAACCTGAACAAGAGCCTGCAGAACCTCAACCTCAATGAAGAGGGTGAGAGAGTGCTGCGAAATGGAGCGAGAAAAGAAAATAAGGCAGTTCAGAGAGAGAGATAAATGAGATGAAGCATGCATTTAGATCAATCTGTGGGAGGATTGAATGAAGACAAAGAAGATTTAGTCTGCTGAATAAAAGAAACGAATCCATTAGCACATTTCATCAGGTTTTCTCCCTCCACATCAGCTGTGGACCGTAGATGTAACAGTCCTCAGGCTTACTTCTTCATTCCATCATTGCCATTCCTGAGACAGACTCAGTAAGCATTAATAAGAGGCTTCACAACCAGCAGAGAGTTTCTGAACAGTTTGCCAAGCCGAGATAATAGTTCAGTTTTTAGGTGGGTTGATATTTATTCCAGTCCAGCTTTATACTCCCTTTTCAGTGGCCCTTTCCCAAATCAGTGTCTATCCACTGTTTCTTCAGTATGTATTGCCACTCCACATAAGTACAGTAAAACTTGTTTTTCATCATTTGCTGCCTCAGACTACTACTCATTTTAGCAGTGTAGGGTTCACATTGTCTTTGCTCTGACTTGAGCATGGGTGAGTCCTGGTTTACTCTTTGATTTCTCTATTCACAGCCCTGTAGAGTACTTTTTTTATAAAGCAGCTCTTCCCAATACTCAGCGCTGTAACAAGCTCCACATAAATATTGGCCACGGGTTTCATAGTTGCTGCACAAACCCCGCCTCTGATCTTCTTTCTGCTGGCTTGTTGCTTCGCTGTGGTCCCACAGATATCTGCCCCAGTTACAAAGTCAGTGGCACTTTGGGATATAATTTCATAATTTCTGACCCAGCTTTCTGCACCTATGTGATGCAGATTCAGAAATCAGATGTTTTTGCAGTTTATATTTATTCACATGTTTACCAAAGAAGGACAAAGCAAACAGGACAACAATCACAGCTTAGCACAAATCACTCCATCATTGCAGACCTGATTTATCCTGCCTGATCGCCAGAAGGGATGGGGAGCTGTCCATGGTGCTGAACTGTAGGCCTGTTTGTAACAAGGGGCAGAGTTTACACTGTGACACTCCCTATGCATACTGATAGATGCTTTACACCCTCAAAACAATAATCATTTGTTACAAATATTATAGGCAAAGGTTTTAATCTGTGATGAAGTGCTTTAAGAGAACCTACACGTGCGTTTGTTTGGGGTTAGTGCGTTTTGGTAAGTTGCACCAGTGTTGACTTGCTTTTTTTGTGCACTTCTCTCCCCCCTTGGTGTTTTGGTATGTCTAGCTATGTCTTATGTTTATTTGGTGAAATATGGAAGTTTAGCTGTCAACATATAGCAGGAAAATGATGTAGTGCCTAAAAATAGATAGCATAATTATGATAGATAATCCTGAAGTTCAGCAAAATAATCATTGTGATAATGCGGCACACTCATATCACCATAACATGTCCACAGCTTTGTGAACACATGACCTGCTGTCACTCCTGTTTGTGTCACTGCTCTGTGAGTCAGACAGCAAAACGAACCCTCGTCACCTGCCACGCTGAGTAATGCACAAGCCCTGAGTGGAGTTAAATCACTGGCACTTGGTGACGTGCGTAACCTACTGCTGACACCATTTCTAATTCACATTCTCTGCTTATTCCAATATGCCACGGTGTTTATCATCAATAAGCACAAAGCAGAGCGTATTTCCATTCTCTACCAATCTCCATTTCCACATTTCAGCCTGCAGTCAGTTTGGAGGATGCATGGTGTTTGGGTTTATATGAGTCTGAGTAATCTTTGGTGATAAGGAGAGCTACTGCAGGAGATGACTAAGCATGACAGCTGAAATGAAGTTGAATGAGCAAGTTCAGTGATGGCATGTAGCCTCTAAGTATAAGGACTGCTTACGCTATTTACACACCTTACACTTTATGCGATGTTGATTTGGCTAGTGGTTTTGTTTTTGTCTTTTTACAACAATAAAAAACTAATAAACTTTATTTATATAGCACTTTTGCAGCAGTTAAAGTGCATAATGAGATCTGGTATTACTTTTATGATGCTCCATGATTTATTTTGCAGTTTGGATCTAGCTATGTGTATTTTCCTTCATCCAGGTGGACCAGCAGCCTTTTCTCCCGGTAACTTGAGCACCAGCAGCAGTGCCAGCAGCACCCTGGGGAGCCCCGACAACGATGAGTACATCCTCTCCTTCGAAACGATTGACAAAATGCGACGGGTGTCCTCCTATTCTTCACTCAACTCGCTCATAGGTAAGGGCTTGTCAGTAGTACTGAAGCTTTTTTCTAAATGTGCAACTCGACCAGTTTTGCATAATAATGCATAAATGACTGTTTCGGTAAAGGACTTTCGGAACGGTGCACATGTGGACATATTAAGTGGCAGGCCAAATCTCTGCTTTGCGGTGCTACAGCGCCACACAAGCACCACGCTTTAGCCCGGCCTTTCGCTAACTAGCGACTTGAACAGCATGGCCAGTGCCAACGCCAATACAACTCTGCCGTCAATGAGTGCTACACGCCAACTTCTCCCCCTCAACTCTCTGTCCCTCTCCCCTTGGCTCACACACACACCCTCCCTTCGGCCTAGCAGGAACAATAACAACCATCCCTCTTAACTCTCTGCCAATCACAGGTACGAACACGGTTGATTGACAGGCTTCTAAACAGATCGCATATTCACTGACATCCTGGAACACTGGAAAACACAGTGCTTATGGGAAACGGGCTCTTCCTGCCATAGCTGACTAGAACAATCTTACTAGTGACATTCTGACTATCCTGTCTGTTACAATATAATTTTTATTATATTTTATTAGCTATATGTGGTATTGTTTTGAGAATATTTTATTTAGTGGAGAACTTGCTAGAAGTTTGCATCAGTATTTTATTTCTTATTCTTTTTTATTTATATAATTAAATATTATGTGTAATTTGGAAGTTTGTTAAGTGTTTGTTAAGTTTACAAAACTTTTTTTGCAATTTAATGTTTGCATTTTTTCCCCTTACTGTACCGAAAATAAACCAAACCGCCACTTCAAAACCGAAGTACATACCGAACCCTGATTTTTGTATACTGTTACACCCCTAGTGAGTACTAAACAGCCTGTTGTATAATGTCTTCTGTGCTGGGGGACCTTTGTGGAGTCTCAGAACATAACCCTGATGATGTCATTGTGATGTCTTGGTTGTGTTATCTCAGTTTGCAAATGGAGACAACAATTTTTAAACAGAATTCTGGGATTAAAAACTGGGGCATGAAATATGTGGGGATTTAGCATGCTGGGAGAGTCCAACGAAGAGACACTATTGAGTTGCATTATGGGAAGTGTAGGTCTGAGCATTTATGGAATTTGACCCACCCTAGCGTGTAAAAGTCAGAATATCTCTGCCTCTGAGGCTTTGATTTTGACTATTATCTGTCTTCTGCAAGGCCCCTAAAACAATGGTCCCATTGAACCATACAAACAAATCTGTCTTCAGAATCTGATTACTTAACTCTGCAATCCCCTTAACTCTGCTGAGCTCTATAGCCCTTTTTAGCTCATTGTTTTGGTTTTCCGACCCACCAAAGCAATGTTAGTAACAGGCTAGAGAACACAGTGAAGCATCTAGCTGCTAAAGAGCTAGAAATTTTTGGAATTGGTGGAGACCTAAATAGAGCTAAAAGAAAACGGTACATTGGACTCATGGAAATATAAACGCTCATGTTGCTTTGTGGCTGAATGTGTAAACAGGTAATCTGCTGCAGTCTGCTAACTTTAGCTTTATTAACTTTCTAATGCCATAAAATGTCAATGTGTGTATGTTTCCAGCTTGTTGTGTAGTCTTTAGAGGCCGTGTTGTTTTTGAAACTGAGGATTTTGTATTGAAATTAAACAAACATTTTATATTTGTCCTATCATCATGATAGTCATTTTGCACACTGTATGTCTTGTGTGAAATGTTTGTGCCAGTGTACATCTAGGTACTGGTGGCAGCATGCACCCTGCTGGATCATTACAGCAGGCAGCAGCCAGTAGTGGGGACAGTGTTGGATTGTTCAAAACACAAAACTGCCATCCCATGAATTCTCAAGAGAACTAAGCTTGAGAAAGACACATGGGGAAATGAATGACCAGGAGAATGCGATGGCACCAGAGAGGAAGACCTCAGGCTACCCCTAGATGAAAGGAGGGAAGTGACAAAAGGAGAAGCTCTCGGGCTAAGAATAGAGCAAGTGTAAAAAAGGTTTGCAGATGTGTAAAGGACAGTGGGAGAGACCGACCCTGTGATCCTGAGACCATTAAAGTGCTTTTCCTGGTACACAATGAACTCAAACCTGCTTACTTACCCCGGTTCTCAGGTGATTGGCGGGCTCCACCATGCGTCCTGACAGCCAGTTTGTGTGCAAGCAAGAAAACCATTAACTCACTCCCACCCCCTTGGGAAAGTGGAAAGTGAAACTGGGGATTTCCTTTTTTCTTTCCCTCCCTCTCTTTTTTCTTTTTGTTGCATTTTACGTTACAAATCGTGTTGTAATCTACCCCCCACCCCCTCCCCAGCACGTCCGAGTAGTTTTTGCACGGCACAAAGGAAAATGAATCGAAATGGCAAATCAAATGGAAAAGTAAATTGAGCTCTGGAGGACAGTGAATTTGACTTGGCAGGAAAGTAGGTTCAGGTACTATAATGAAATTTCCTGTTCTTGTTGTTCTTTGATTTGTTCCTTAAATGAATGCCACCTTATTTTAGGTGTACCTGACTCAGCCAAGCTCAACTACGTATCGGTCCTTTGAGGTAACAGCCCAATTTCCTCTACTGTTAAATTCAATTTTAATAAATCTGCCGTGTAAATCTGGGTGGAGTCACCCTCATATGCACATTTTCTTCTCTCACACGCAGATAAGAAAATAATTTTGTCTGCCTTTTTTACTCAGTGGTTCAGGATCAGGTCATCTTCTAATCTGGGATTTTGCAACTAATCCAAACTTAATCAAAACCGAACTAAAATTCATCCTTGTCAGCCAGCTGCTCTAGTAGGATTTCCTTTAAGGACACAGGTACCATGGGACACCAAAGCTTGGAAATGAATGTTTGATGGAGAAAAAAAAGCACAACAATAAAAACAGCCTGGCACAGCGCTTGATCCCATTACCCTTTTATCTGACAAATTTAGCAAGCGATGTTCAGTTAAACCTTTTTTAAGCTGCGTGTGGGCCCGAAATGCTGGCATGAGGTCCCCGTGTAAACAGGTTAAAAGACATATTGGCCCTTTGCCCACTAAGCAGTGCCCCCACGATGGCTGAAAAGAATCCCAGCCTCCCAGCACGCTTATTTATAACTCCCACTTTGCAGTGTGTTGCATGTATAAACAAGCTGGGCAGAGCAGATGCATGGATGTTAGTAGCAATATTCAGGAGCATAAAGAAAAGGCTGAAATACATACTTTCAGTTATCTAACTCAGCCGAGACTTCACTTGTCATTTTGACTTTTTTGTTTTTGTTTTTGTTTCCTCATTTGCTTCTGTCTTTTGTTTGGTTTGAAGTTGTTTTCATAAGACCGTTGGGGCTTAGTTTTTCATCTTGCCTGAAAAATGGATTAACTCCTTTTGTCTCTCTATTTTTTTTTTTTTTCAACCGCATACATTCTCAGTTTTATCCCATCTATGTTTTAAAACTGCAAACAAGCAAAAAGAAATGTTGAGAGGTAAAGTGGCTTGTGTTTTATAGTGAGCAGTTTAGAACAAATTGAAACCGTAAATGTTAAATGCAGCAGCTGCTGGACACTGGCCTGCAGGAAACCAGCATGACACCAAAGTTGTGTGGGAGTCAGGGCAGAGTTGCAGTAGTGATGTATTTATTTACATTTACACTTACTATAATTATAAACAAGCACAAATCCTACTACATTATAACAACCAGACCAGCATATCTGTGAGGCTGTAATAGAGAAGAAAAACAAATTGTAAAATGGATAAAAGTTTTATTTTTAGAAATTGTGATGTGTGTGAGTAAATGCTGATGTTTAGCAGGTAAAATGTTTACCATCATAAGCCTAATTCATACTTGCTGCATCCACAGGGCTGTGAGGGTCCACATGACATGAATTTTGTCATCTGCTCATGCCCGTGAAGGTCCATCCGCTTGCCAAAAAATGCTTCTCTCCTCTGGTACCAATGTACTTTATTCCCCTCCTTCACCCTGTTCTTGTTTAGCAGTTGAACACACCATTTTCTTTGATCTTTCCTTGCTTGTTAGTCAGTCAAAGAAGTCTGGGGGGGTACTCTTCTTCCTGTCATGAAGTCAGCTTCTTGTTTTCTACTGAGCATATGTGGAACATGTCTGCATATTGTAGTGCATCTGCTGTTAGTGTCCACAGCTTTCCACGTCCATACTAAATATGAACAAACCTTAAGTTTAGCATATTAGCATGCTAGATTAAAACCTTGTAGATCACCAACATCATCAGGATTCATCCTCCTTATTTACCGTACTTCATGCCTTCATACTCTGTGGAACAGAAGGCCACAATGAACTCCCTCAGTTGTCCTCTATTCTTGGCAGCATCTTTACCTCACCACCCCAAGTTGAGTCCAACTTAGCACTCTCCTGCGCCAGGTTATTTTTGGTTCTTTTACAGGGAGGATTCCAACACAAAACGCAATATTTGGTTTATAATATGCCTTCATAGCACCAAGCACATTTCCCAGCCATCACTCTCATCCATCTTGTCGAGACCTTAAATAACTACCAAATTCCATGGCAATCCAATAGTTATCGAGATATTTAACTCAAAACCAGAAGAGGATCCCGACAATCGGTAGGATTGAAGCTCTGGAGAACATGAATGTCTGTATATGTCCCAACAATCAATCCAATAGTTGTCGAGATGTCAAAGTACAAGGCACTGAACCCCAAATTGCTCCTGATGGTCAGGCCAGCACCTTGCATGGTAGTTTGCTGCCATCTGTGAGGGTTGAATGGGTGAATGAGAGGCAAAATTGTAAAGTGCTTCATAAACGCAGGCATTAAATGCCTGATAAAGGCTTCCGAGGTAACACTGTGCGTTACATTTTCTGTGTCTACGTTGACAAGGGCTTAGATTCACCGCTACCTGTGTCAGTGTATTTGAGGCTCTTTCCCATTTTAAAGAGCATCACAGATATGATTTGGTGCTGCTTACGCTGCTTACAACTCCCTGTGAAATGTATTTCAAATATGCCTCACAGAGGAGTCTCTTCCCTGCTTTCAAATGTCCTGATGCATTTTTTATGCCTCAGCCATTTACAGCTCCAAAAGTCGCTATGCAGTGTTAAAAGTATTTTATGTCATCTGCCAGAATTGTGGAGGTCATAAAACAGTGATCCAGTGGTTCATTTAGCCAGTAATTAACATCTTTACTACTGTACATCCATTTCAGTCTGCACAAGTCTTCAAATGACACAAGTGTCAAGTCAGGACAAGTCACTGGTGCAGCGTTCAGACAGTGAGTAATGTCAGCCGTCATGCTCCCTCATGTGGACTGTGTAGGGAGTGGTAATTTGTGTGTACCCGTAATGTAGCGTGGTGGTTAAATGGGAGAGGAACCATATTTCACATTTATCAACTGGCTGTTTACTGCTGCAGGTAGCACGCTGGCTAGCCATCGCTAATCATATCCTGCCCTCAGGCTACAGCCTAATCACCTCTTTAACTCCCTCTCTCACTTTCCCTTCCTCCGTCATTCTTGCCTTCTCTAAGGTTTCATCTCTTTCCTCTTCATTCGTCTCTGGGGTTTATTTCCTACACTCATCCTTCTCCATCTCTTTTTATCTTTCTGATCCATCTCTGTCATAGATCATTTGAAATATCTTATCCCTTCCTGTTCCCTTTTTCTTTCCTCCAGCTTTGCTCCTTCTGGCCTCTCTGCTCCTCACACTTTCCAGATTCCTCCTTGTTCTGTGTCATATCCTTCTTCGAATCATCCCTTCTTGGTCTCCTGTGTTTGAAGGGTGGGACCATTGAAACCTCTTGGCACTCTCTGGAGAGGAATCTGAGCTACTGTATAAGAGGGTCTAGTCATTCCCACTTCTCCACAGCACCTTAAGGAGTTTGCAGGTCCAGGGCTTGACCTTTATGCCTAATAAAAAGTAAGGCAGTTGACAGGGAAACATCATAAAAGGAAATGAAATAAGAGTAGTAATCCTCAAAGGTCAAGTTTACAGGAACACCTGCATGGCGAATTCTTGAGGAGGAGAAGGAAGAAACAGAAAAGTGGCGGGGGACTGAGAAACAGACTATTACCGCTTTGTGTCCCTGTGGCTGACACTGTGGGAAAGAGAAAGGCGACAGATTGAAGCTGACCGACAAAGGGACATTTAGAGGGAGACAAAGTAGAAAAAGCACAGCAACAAAGAAGGAGGCTCTGTACACTGCAGAGATAATGTGCCAATGCAGATTAAAGCCCAAAATGTTGAGGTTGAGGCCCTGAACAAACTAATGACAGGAGTGATGGAGATGATGGTCAAAAAAGAGGCGGAGTTTAAAGAATGTTTCACAAAATAAACAGTGAAATTGAGTAAATACAATGCCAAAGATGAGAGAAGCAACAGATGAACAAAACCACCTGACAGAAGGAGAGAGACTATGTTCATTTGTATTCATGATAACAGTTGACAGCAGTTGACAGTTCTCCAGTGGGTGAGGAAATGTGAGTGTGCATGTGTGTGTGCGCGTATGTTGATGAATGATTTATATTACCTGACAGTGGAGGTCATTTCCCTCTGCCATCTCAACAATTGTAACAACTGCAGGAAAGGAAAATGACATGGGCAGGATTGTGCATTACCACTTAGCTGTTAGCTCTGCTGTGATAATGGACATAGACTGGTGAGTTTCACCAGAGTGTGTGTGCTGATGGGTGACTTGTGTGTGTGTGTGTGTATTAATTTACGATATATGTGTATTTTGTCTAAAACTTGAATGAGTAAAACTGAATTTCACTTGTGCAAAAAAACTAAAATATGTCTAAATCGTTTATTTGCTTTGTGTGTCTTTTCCAGGTGTGTCCTTCAACAGTGTTTACACTCAGATCTGGAGAGTGCTGCTACATCTCGCTGCAGACCCTTTTCCTGAAGTGTCGGATCTGGCCATGAAGGTCCTCAACAGCATAGCATACAAGGTATGACATGTTGGACTCTTTAAAGCTACTGGAACTTGTTTCTTGATAGCATGTCTACATCATACATAAATGTTCCTGGAGGAGCTCTCGAAATGGTTGCTTAAAATATTGATCCAAGATTTTAAGGTTGTTTTTTTTTACTGCTGAGCTCATTATATGTCATTTTAAAGATGAGTATCAACTAGTGTTTATTATAACATAATGCAGGCTCTGTATCTGTATGTCAGTTCTCTCTCACCACATGGTTATGCAGTGAAAAAGATCTGTTTCCAGCACACACTCCCCGCTCTCCCACTGGCATTTTCTTCCTCCAAAAGGCCATTACTTTTGTGCAAATGCAATTAAGGGCCAATGACTCCCCCAGGCTTGGCAGAGCAGAGCAAAGAGGCTGCCATAACTTAAAGAGCCATAATAACCACTGTAGTCCGCCACCCATCCTAACCCTGAGGAAAAATGTCTTGTGTTTCCTACCACCAACACCAGTTCTCCCTTTAGTTACCTTCAGAAGAGCAGAGTCTATGCAGTGAGACTCCCTACTGGACTGCAGTAAAATAACAACATGCAATAGAGTTCTCTTCTACCAGCTAATGCACTGCTCTGTCTGTGTGATACCGCAACACACCTCTGTAGTTTCTGTGTACCTGCGGTCGTGAAGTCAACTGAGCTAACAGTGGTGTCATATTTACAGAAATAACCAGCTTGACATCCAACATATGGGAACAAACAGAAAAAGACCCAATTCAATCAAACACCTGCCCCCGACCTTCTGCATCATCTTTGGTGGTCTGTTAATCGTAAGAGCTGTAGATCTGACTCATAAAAATTAGGACTTGACTTGAGCTTTCACTACCACAAAAACATTAAATTCTGACCTGGTAAAATCTATTAACAATAAAGAGTAAGACAACCACAGAGATTTATTCCCTCAAAGCTTGAGTATTTATTTAGTAGGCCAACGCATTGAAAGAACCAGACGTTAGCTACATAAAAAGCTGTTAACACGGTTTAGAAAATAATCAAATGCATGTCGGTGTCAGCAAGTGTCAGCGTTCATAGACCTGAAAAACTTGCAAATGACATGCAATGGAGATATGTGACTTAGCCATGGTTCTGCTTGAGGTTTCTGCCTCTTAAAAGGTAGTTTTTCCTTCCCTGTGTTACCTAAATGCTTGCTCATGGTGGTAATTTTTAGGTTTCTGTAAATAATATCACAGAGTACGGTCTAGACCTGCTCTATATAAGCGCTATGAGATAATTGTTGTTGTGATCTGGTGCTATATAAATAAAACTGAATTGAATGTGACTGGAGTTGGACTTGACTTGACTGCGAAATCTTGTTTTGATTAACTTAAGACGTATTTAATTTGTCTTGCTTGCCTTGATACTTGCCTTGAACGTATCGTGATTAACACTTGGCCTGTCTTATATGACTTCAGATGTAACTTGAATTTGTCTTTCCTGACTTAAACTTGTCTCCATTGACTTGACTTGAACTTGTTTTGATTCAGACTTGACTTGAACTTGTCTCTAATGATGTGAGACGTAGTCAGGTGCGTTGCTAGACATAAAGCTCTTCTGGGGCACAGGCCCCCACATCCCTCATGTAAATTATTTTTGATTGAAGTGTATGAAATTCGTTAGTATGTGCCTTACCAGCTTCCCTAATATTTCCTATATATTCCTAATATTGGTCATGTCAGAAAGGGATTTGACCAGAGCATAAGCACACATACCTATTTTATGTCTGCTATGTTACCTGTGAGCCATGTAAACAAATTGCCACTGCTGCACAGTCACACCTGACACTGCATTGCTCTTACTACTACCTTTAAAACAGCCTGTCTCTGTAATAGGCCTGAATGGAAACCTCTTCTAGAGAAATCCTCCAAAGTCTGTTAGGACTGCTGCACATCTGTACATCTCTGGCTGTGCTCGTACTGACTGAGGCTGCTTGTGTTTCACCTGGGTCTGTGTGACCTGCTAAAGACGTCTGGACTGGGTCTGTGCTGGTACTTGAAGGCTGATTTTTGCTCCTTAGTGAAAGCTGAAGAAACCAGATACTTAATTGTGGTTTTAACTATTCTTTATGGTCAGAACATGAAAATCACTTACCAAACAGTGGATCCCTTCACAAATATGTTAAAATATTTTTTTCAACAAATATGCATGAGTAAAATTAAGTTAAATCTCTAAAATTTCCTCCATGAGATAAATATCTTAATAGAAAAAGTAAGTGATTATTCCTTCATGATTCAAATGAATAAGATCAAACATTTATTGAAGATTTGCTATATTGTTATTGAGAAAAATTATACTGTGATAATTGTTTTATTGTTGTCCAGCTCTAATTTATACTATGACTTGACTGAATACTAAATATTATTATATTCTTATTTACTGAGAGATGTCCATCCATATTGTCTGCCCTGCTAATCAACATTTTAATAGTCAATGTGAATCCAATGCTTTCCACCTTGCATTAGTCCAGAGTTGTAACTAAACCTTCACTGAGAGAAAGATAATTATTGTGTTGTCTGGGCTGGTCCTATTAGTGTTGCTGCTGGAATGCAACAAAGTCTGGCTGCGGACATTTGAGCGCAAAGGTAATAAATAGTTGTATTTCACTCAAATATTGTTCAGTCACAGTCTGGCAAGCAACAAAGACAAAAACAGACCTAGAGGCTGACTCAAGACCCGTGTCCACCAAAGCGTTTTTTGCCAGCTGAAAACGCCAGCTACTCTTGTGAAAACGCCCAGCAAGGAGCGCTAGCGGGCGATTTTGAGGCGCAGCGTTTTTTCCGACCGCTTTGGTTGCTATGATGCATAAAATCCGTGGAAGAGATGTTGCAAGTAGTTCTACCTAACTTTTACTGGATGTAAAAATGTCAACACAGAGTAGAGCAGGTAGAGAGAGAGAGGACAGACTCGTATGTGGGTTCATGAGTTTTTGTGGGCAAGGAAATATCTCCACGAGTAGCCTACCACCGTTTGGTCCAAGAGCTACTTGACCGTGGAGCCCTACACGTCCAAAAACAACGCCAAGGGGTCTTGACAATTTTAATACTGGGGCACAACACATCAATACAGGGGCACGTGCCCCAGTGAAAAGGGTCTAGCGGAAAAGGGTCTTATGGACGTGGTCCTTTTTCATGTGACTTTTTATTGAACCGATTCTTGTGGTTTGTCTCAATCCACTAGAAACTTGACTTGGTCTCCTTTGGATTGCCTTCAAAGCGGCTGTGCTACTTCCTTCTGCTGAATGATTTCGAAAACGCAGGATAAGATGTCATTATCCTTGAGAGTCTTCTTGCTGATGGTGAACAAAACACCAAAGTGACTGACGATGGAAGGCTGACATAGAGGTCCTCACCCTCCTTCCTTGATGTTTTATGCCTCGGGAGGTCTCATCTGTGAATCCTGGCGTCCTAGAAACACCCCCTCTGTGTCGTTGTGGCCTACTTCGGGGCCCAGCAGGGGTCTGGCTGCTTCTCTCTGCTGCCTCTGACGCAGCTTTGATGGATAAGTGCAGGCTCTGGCCTCTGATTCCCAGGTCTCTGAGCAATCTGTTGGTAGTTGTTGCCACAAAACCTCTGCACCTCACTCCCGCAGGGCAGACTTCAGTGTTCCAGCCACAGTGTTGAGCTTCAGCAGCTGGCTCGGCCTAGCGTAAATGCTTTCATTCATTAACCTCGTCCACCGAGTCCTCCCGGAGTACCTTGAGCTTGATGATTTTTGGAGAGAAGGGGACCAGAGCACCAAATCAGGCCTTTGGGTGATGGTAGCAATCTCTGGAGGAAATACAAGTCATGGGTCAATGTTGATCATTCAGTTATAGGCCAAGCTTAGCTTGCCTCGCTCCGGTGGTGTGGAACCGCTCCTGGTTACCTTTGGTCCCTCACAGACAAAAGTAGTTTTTTGTAGGGGGTTGGATGACTGTGATAAGATCACATGCGCCTCTTTTGCTTTGGTTACACACCTACATCATAGTCTAGCTTGAAATGATTCCAACCAAGCTGTACACGATGTACACTCTGTGGTACTAGTGTCATTTGTGTCATACATACCATCCTGACATGGAAACAAGTGATGAGGGATTAAAGCTCTGCCTGTGTTATCTGTGGAAAAAAAAATGGCAAAGAACATTTTGACATTTAAAACCAAATGACAATCTAAACACCTTTTAAATGCCTTATTTTCTGAAGTTAATTAATTATCATTAACTTAATGAGCCCAATTTAATTTGTTACTTTCACACAGACAGCTTAATCAGAGAACATTCATCCAAAGTTCACAAGTGTTAACATTAGCCTAACTAGCAATCCAGCTCCTTTAATTAGGATTTTAAATGTCAAATGTTATTGATTTGTAACAAAGTGAACAAGGTCAGCACCTAATCGAAAATGACTTGCTTCTCAGATGATGATCGCATTAACTGCTTTTTTAATAGCCCCCTCTTACTGCATGATGCTGGGGCGAAAGTCATGGGTCTGTTGTTTTATTCCTGTTTTACTAGTGTCCGGTCTCTTGACTACCTGCTGAAGTTTGACTAGTAAAGTTGCAAAGAAAAGTGTATGCACTCGCAATGTTTGTCAGCATTTAAATGTTTCTTTTAAATACATTTTTAATATTCTTTTTTAAATTAAATGTAAAATTAAAATCTGAATGTTTTAAGATGTAATTTTTCAGAAACAATATTACCGTACAAAGTCCTTTGTTTGGTCCTATCTTACAGTTTTGTTTATTTTCAAGGAAATAAGTGGTCATACAGAGGCTTCAATCATCTTATTTATATTTATATCTGACTCGGCCGATATCCCTTCTCGCACGCTTACCCCAAGACACCCACCACATCTTCACCTCCACCAGTCCACCATCTCTGCCTTGACCAATCCCCTTTCACCTTCACCACTTCCATGTCATCATCATACATCAAGCCGGTGTGTGGCACTTTGTCCCCCAGCTAATCGTTTCCAAAGCACCTTTAATAACTAAGCAGGAACACTTAGAGGTTTTTCTAAGCTGTCATCAGCTTTTACGCCTGTGTCCTACCAGAGGCCTTGCTAATGGAGTGTGTGTACACACACTAACTTGTTTGCTCTGTTGACTCACTTTCTAGCCAATTACTGATGGAGGAAGTGAGGGGAAGCGGATTGAAACAGAGGGAGCAAGCTGTTCCGCAGTGTGGAGCAGCTTACCCCGTTTCCTGCTAATGTGGGAGTTTTGCATATGTAATTTTCTGGAAGGCTTGTCAGCAGATAAGGCATGAGGCCCACCTGTCTTAGCATGATGTTTGTTAACCACATGTTGATGATCTGCAAATGTTGATGAATAATCCATGAACATGTTGCATAATCAAATCATTTGAATTGATGAGCTTGCAGCTTCACATTCATATCAGCATCTGGTAAAATGTCCATAACTGGTGACTTACAACACATGGATAAAATACAAGGTAGTTAATGGACTGTTGGGGGAATAAAACCTGTGACCTTTTTAGTGCAGGACAGGTTTGGTAACCCTTCATTCACCCTACTGCCTGTTTTTTTTTTAACGAGATTCTTCTGTCTGAGCTTTTACTTGTGTACAGCTCCACTTTGCCGCAACCTCTTTCTAACTCTTAAATGAGCTCCAGAAGGATTAATGCTGCAGTTGCAAGCTCAGTTTTGGCTTTAAGAAATGTCTGCATGTTGGCCGCCATGCACATCTCTCTTCTCACACACATGCTGCTACCCATCGTCTTTACATACCATCACCTTCCAAAATAAAATACAAATCAGCTTAAGTTGTTTATCTGCTTTTCCTTTTTATCTCCTTCTCCTCATATTGATTGTGTTGTGCTTGAATTGAAAATGTACTTAGATTAGAGTCCGAGCTATTACGATAATAACCCTTTCAGCTGGTTTTAGTGCTGTTTTGTTTAATTTCCAATTGCCTCTTAATGAAGCGCTAACAGCTAACTCTAGTAACTAATATATTTTCCCCCTCATAAATGCAGTGGATTGTATGTGTGTGGAAAGTTTGCATCAAAAACTTTTCTCCCTTCCTCTTGGCCTTTTAGAAACACTCACAAACAGACGATACTTGCCGCAATTTTGTAATTAGCATAGAAATCAAATGAAAGGTTATCCCTGGTAGTAAAATGTGTTTGCCTGTGTTAACTAGATTTACGCTGCACAATGTTTTTTCTCCACCTGACTTCAGTAAACAACAGCTCTGCTATTCATCAGTGATGCTTCGCCTTGTCGTTATTAAGTTTACCCCTCCCTTGTGTGCATCCATTAGACAACTCACAATGAAGAGGTTATATTACCTGCTCTGCCTAATGAGATAAAGTTCTGGAAATTTAAGCAAACTTTGTAAAGTGCTGGACTTTTTACATACTGTTACAGCAGGGCGCATATACAGAAAATAGGTATTGCTTCTAATCCTGATCTGTCCTCAGGTTTGTCTCTGAAAATGCCGTCCCCTCCTCCCTTTTTAGCCAATAAATTCATATTTCCAGTGGGATGACTTTATTAAACAACGGAGAATTAACCACACACTTTTTTTTGCCAACAGGCAACAATGAACGCTCGCCCTCAGAGGATCCTGGACTCTGGTTCTCTCACTCAGTCGGCCCCAGCCAGCCCCACCAGCAAGGGAACACACATCCACCAGGCTGGGTGAGGGAAAACCTCTCGCACACATGAGCATGTTGATATACAGAAAACACATTACAGTAAAGCCCTAAAACACATGCATCCAGCTCACTCAGCCTTCTTTCTGGCAAGACAGAATCTTAATTTAATTTAATGAAGTAGACAGTGGGAGGAACCTTCAGTTGAAGAATGTTAACTTCTTAGAAAAAATATCGTTAGCAGGATAAACTCCTTAAAATGCCTAACTTCTTTTTCAAGAGGCTCCTGACAAATGTTACTACGGAGCTCAAGGGTGCAGCAGATTTAGAACATATGACATTTCATAAAATATTCAATAATGTGGATTGCTATTGAACAGAAACATATAATAAACTAGAAAAAAATTATCATACTAAATCCTAGAAATAGGTATTTTATGATGAATATGATAACTACAGAAATGAGGTTATGGATTTTATGTGTGGAAATTATTCCTCTTGAATGGAGGCTAAAACAGACATGAAAAGGCAAAGCTGATGATGTCTAATTTCTTCCAATTTGTTTCCTGTCCTCATGTTAATTTCTCTGTTCCTTCAGCGGGTCTCCTCCCATGCCCAGCACCAGCAGCTCCAGTCTGACTAATGAGGTGCCCAAACCCCCCGCCAGAGAGCAGCCGGCCACACGGCCTCCCTACACCCCCACATTGGGAGGGCAGGCACCCCACTCACACCAGTTCCCCCGCACTCGCAAGATGTTTGACAAGGGACCTGAGCAGGTAGAGGAACACCCTGCTGTATGAGTCCCTGTGTTTTACTGGGGCATTGTGTTGGTACAGTAAACAGCAATCAGCTGCTGCAACATTGTTAACGTGAAATAAAAGTAAAGTAAAAGTTGCACATTTTTTGTGTGTGTGTCCAGGCAGCTGAGGATGGGGACGACCCCGGAGGTCACAGGAACTACATCAGTCCTTCCCTCCAGACGGGCCTGTGTGATTGGAGCGCCAAGTATTTCGCCCAGCCTGTCATGAAGGTATTGTCACCGTCTCTCTTCTCTTTTCCATCCATCATGTAAGTCATCACCTCTCACCCTGCCACGCCACTGTGAGTCAGATCATAGACTGTAAGTGTGAATTGTGTTTTTTAATTCAACGATAAGCCACAAGCTTGTGTGTCACAGTGATAACAGAACAAGCTTAAAGCAACATGTTGGTTGAGTTATTGCTTCAATGATACGCAGCTAACACTTTGTTGAATTTAAAGAAGTAAAAGAGCAGATCCATCTTGTGTTAATCCATAATTTACAATGGCTTCAGGAGTGACTGAGCCATCTGAGAACATGGACTCTGTGTTATACTATAATGTATTTAAAAAAAATAATGAAGTCCTATGGAAAACAGCAGGCTAGGGACCAAGCGCAGTGTGAGAAAGTACCTGCTGCTTGTACAAGATGGCTGTGCTTAATAATTGAGCTCTTGGAGCTCCATAACTTAACTTCCACCCGAGTGAAAATTAAGATTGAAAGAAGTGCTTTTTACTATGCACAGTAGTTGGTGCCGAATTAAAAAAATATATTAAATCAAACTTCCATCTGTTTGAACATCCTAAACATGCCATCCTCTGTGGAGAAAAAAGGGGAAAAACAACTGGTGTCAGCACATTTTGTCGAGGTTAAACGAAGAAGAAGGGAAAAATTAAAAGCGTCAAGCGTGAGGGTCAAATGGAGGAGAAAATGGAACGTTTTACGTATAAGTAAGAAAAGTATTAGGAATTCATGTGTGCATGAGAGACAAAGTGGCTGATGCAGAAAGAGAGTGAAGAGAAAAGTAGATTTAGTCAAATAAAATATTTACAACACAAAGACGCTTGAGGCAAAAAGAGCAGGGAAGGTGATCGTGCGCTCAAAAAAAGGAAAAGTAAGAGATGATGAAAATGAAATATATGAAGAGGAGAGAAGACATCGAGGGGCAGAAAGAGGTGGAGGGAGAGTGTGGGTGAAAGAGGGGGAAGATGAAAAAGACAGGTGTTGAAAGTGAATTAAAACACTGTATAAAGAGCACAGCAGCAGGATGAACAGGATGAAAGGAAGGCAGAGCCAGAAGTGACAACAAAAGGTGATGAAAAGCAGAGTGACGACTGAGAGAGCAGGCGGAAGAGGAGTGGAGGGGTTTTGCCGTAGCGCAAATCAGAACGCTGTGCTGGCAAAATTTTGAGTGCTGCCATAAAACTCCACTCCATTACAAAGCCCTGTGTGTGAGACTACGCCTCGAAGTCTGCACACAGGTTATCATATCACTGTGTCAGCAGCATGAGAGCAAAGTGTGTGTGTTTCAGATTATATCCACACCTATAGTTTTAGGGGTGTAGAAGACTCTCTTCACATGAGAGCGATTTAAAAAAAAAAAGACGTCCACAGCTACAGGTTAATAATTGGGTGATAGAGTTAAAGAAAGTGAGAATGGTTACAAACACAGATGACCGAAAGTATGTGGACATCTCTGTTATAGTTTAGGTGCAACCGGATTAAGTAAATCAAGTCTAGGTCTTGTTGCCCAGTTTAAGTGTTCGACCTCTCAAATGCTATTTCAGCTGAATGGGAGCAAGTTCAGGTTCCCAAATCTTGTGTAAAGCATTCTCAGAAGAGTGGAGGCTGTTGTGGCTGCATATTAACGCCCATGGTTTTGAAATGAGATGTTGAGCAATCAAGTACTGTGTAGGCATAATGTTATAAGGTTGTCCACATAGTTTTGGCCATATGGTGTGGAAGATACATACAGCAGTCTCTCTCACACACACACTTTTTTTTAACCTCAGGGTCTCATTATATGTTTCATTAGCAGCTAACACAGTGCAGGACCATAACCTTGGGAACTACGGTATCAGCTGGCTCTTACCTCGGCACACACACACATACACAGTCTTTGTGTATCTCTCAGCTGGGGGAATACGTCAGCTATTGTCTGACTGCTAAATCTGCCACCTCTCAGGTCAGGAACCATAAAGCCATAAAGACACTATGTGATGTACAGATTAACCTGACTTGACAACACACTCACAGAAACATACAACAATGTACATGCATCTCATACACAAATATATTTACTCACAAGCTTCACTCTGTGCTGTCAAAATGTAAAAATGTGTGTTGTGTTTCCGTTACAGCAACATACACAGAGTAAAGATATTAGAGGAATATTGATTACACACTGTAGTAGTGTATTCAAATGGCAGTGTAGCTGTGTGTGTCAGGCTGTTTAGCATTCAGTGTGCGTGGGAGGCCTCGCTGTAGAAATGTGCTTAATAAGCACACACTGGCCACCAGCATTCACACACACTATTAGTTTTTCTGTGTTGATAGCAATAACAATGTACAAGTTTTTAATTTATGAGTTTAATACTTTAAACAGAATAATGAAATAAATCAGCTTTATATTATAATCTGCATATTTAATGTCATGTTAAAAAAGGGAGTCATTCTGTTCTCTTCAAATAAAGCCAGCACAAAATCTGTGGGGGCCTTTTTGTTACGTAAGACTTAATAAAGCTAATACTTTTCATATTGTCCCTCTGCTCAACAGATGTGATCATATGTGATTGCATAATGTCATTATCAAAGTAACCGCATGAGCTTCACTTAACATTGTTGCTGGCAAAGTAATCCATGCCTGTAATGTGATGAGAAAAGTTGGAAAACTTTGATCAATAAGCACAATAATGCATAACATACTGTGACCTGAGCACCAAGATCCAATCATTAAAGGAATAGTTCAACAATTTCAGAAATTTGCTTTCTTCTGGAGAATGAAATGAGAAGATGATCTTGTGTCTCTGTGTGTAGTATTTAGCTGGAGTCTGGACATACTTAGCCTAGCTCAGCATAAAGACTAGAAAAAGAGGTGAAAGATCTAACATGGCTTTGTCCAAAGTAGAGAAAAACACCTGCCACAATTAACTCCTTGTATCTTTTTGTTTGATCCATGCACAGGTAGAAAAGTAAAACATGACTTTTTGTGGTTTTAGCAGTAGTGACATGCTTGAACTATACTTAACAAAATTGTAAACGCAACACTTTTGTTTTTGCCCCCATTCATCATGAGCTGAACTCAAAGATCTAAGACTTTCTCTATGTACACAAAACGTCTATTTCTCTCAAATATTGTTCACAAATCTGTCAAAATATGTGTTAGTGAGCACTTCTCCTTTGCCGAGATAATCCATCCAGCTCACAGGTGTGACATATCAAGATGCTGATCGGACAGCATGGGTATTGCACAGGTGTGCTTTAGGCTGGCCGCAATAAAAGGCCACTCAAAAGTGCAATTTCACTGTATTGGTGAACATTCCTGCAGTGAGCATGCCTATTGCACGTTCCCTCAAAACTTGCGACATCTGTGGCATTGTGCTGTGTGATGGAACTGCACATTTTCGAGTGGCCTTTTATTGTGGCCAGCCTAAGGCACACCTGTGCAATACCCATGCCATCTGATCAGCATCTTGATTTTGTTCAGTGTATTTATTGGTAACAACAGCAGGGCACAGTGACTTTGGCTGTACCAGAACCTGTGCTCAGATATGGCAACTGGAGCTATAGCCATGGACTATGCAGAAGTGCTAGCAGACCGATAAAAGCAAATAAATTTTTCCCATTTACTTGTTTATTGATGAAAGGAATAGCAGACAACTGCTAGCCGACATAAACACAGAGGCAGCTTACAAAATCAGCAGATGTTTTACGAGGATGGAAATGCATTCAATACATTTGTTAGGCCTCAAGGCTACACACTGGTAAGAAACACTGAATTTAAGCATGACATTACAAGAAAACTCTACAGCGTACCTTTACTGTTCACCTGCCTGTATTTCTGAGAGAAACAGTCAGACCAAACTCAATATCTAACCCTGAGAGCCAGTTCTGCACATCGCTAATACATGTAGCATGGGTCTGCCCTCATGTTTAAAAAATCCCACACAAATTCTATTAGTTTCTGCCTTATTCCTTATGCATTGTTTATCCCTTCTGTGAGGATACATCAGAGACCCCAGAACAATGAACACTAAATATCCAGAGAAGACTTCTGGCATCTCTAGTCAAGAAGAGCAATGGAGAGAGTGGGCTGAGAGTCATATAATGGGGAAAAATGGACTAAATGACAGGAAAATGAGGAGAGGAGCACCATCAAGAGGGCTGAGCTTCCACCATATTTGCTAGGGCAGCAGCTGAATAACTTAAGCAAATGATGTCTGAAGTGTTTATCATATACTTCCGCTTTATTTTTTATCTCTCTCGCGCTCTCTCTCTGTCCTCTATTGTAATTCACTATTTCAGATCCCAGAGGAGCATGACATGGAGAGTCAGGTGAGGATGGAGCGGCAGTGGAGGTTCCTGAGAAACAGTCGTGTGAGAAGGCAGAGCCGAGGCATCACACAAAGAGGTTAGACACACACACAGCTGTATTCCCAGATGTATACATTAATAGTATTTATATAGTATTGTAGACCACAAGCTGGAATTTTGATATATATATAAAAAGTCAGACAGGAGGAGTCGTCTTACTTATTTACAGGTAAAAGGAACCCTGAGCTTTAAATGCAGAAATCATTTGCACAGATATTACAGGAAATTCTGTTGAATAATTTATCAAAATCTCATTCCAGGTTTTAATCACATTGGCATTACATGACATGACCGGTCTCAGATCTTTTAAAAGGCGAGGCAAGTTTATTTGTGGAGCATATTTTGATGTGCAAATTAAAATGATTAACATATGCACAGAGCATCAAAATCACAAAGATTATAAAGTCAGACAAGTGTGAGAAGAAAAAAAAGTCTGAAAAAGCACACAAATATGGAACAAGTATGATATCAGGTCTATTCTCCAAAAACGTGATGAAAAATACGTAAAAATCTTAATACACTGAACATTTAAAGCAATTGATATGTTTTACACAAACAGATTTAATGGATTAAATGACTGTCTAATGTGAATGAGGTCACTTAAAGTGACAACCCCCCAATTATCACCAAGTCTATAAGCCTGTGAAGCGTTTTATAGTGTTTTAGCCCATTGTTTTGGTTTTACTGAACATTTCCTCATTTCCAGCAAGAAAAGGCTTTTGTTATGGATGGTAATGGACTTTTTTTTGGGGGGGATTGGATTTTGTTCATCAGGTTCACAGTTTCAAGGTGCTTAATGCTTTGGCATTAGCCACATTTATTTCCAAATTGTTAATATTTGCTTCCGGAAATTGAGGCATGTGTATTTGACTGTAGTCACAAAGTGAAAAATCTGCATATTTCTGTTGGTTATTTTGTTTACCACCAGCGGTCTAAGGCCCGATACCTGCCGGATTGACCTACTTGAATACACAATTACTGAAGGGCAGAAATAAGTCGGTGTAGGATCCTTACAATTTAGAACAGTCCTTTCTGATTAGTAGCCCTACGGGCAGCAGTGTCGACTACAGTGGTAAGATCACAGAGCATAAGCTCTGAGCTTTTGCCAGAATCATGTTTAATTGAACATATTTAGAGCCTTGGAGAGGGCAGAATCTGGGTAAAATCCACAAAAGGATAGACTGAGGCACACAACAGTGATGGTGTTGATGGTGCAGCTTTGTTTCAGACATGTGAGTGAACAGATGATTTCCAGTGATGAGAGAGGATTGATTGAAACCGATCCAAAGTCAGAAACAACCCCTTTGTGAGTCACACGACTCCCCTCACACACAGACCCACACATTAAAGAGCCCGGGGTGCCAGCATACACACAGACTCCCCAAGTGAAGTCAGAGCTTTCTCAAATAGAATACCTAACACCGCCAACGTCATTGGTAGCCCCCTTCACACACACACACACACACACACAGAGTCACGAGGCAATTGGCGTCAGAGCCTCGGCTCACAAACATGTCTCTCCCTCGCTTTCTGACTGCTTGCTAAATCATTGAATTCCCCTCTATACTCACGGTTTTTGAAAGAGAGAGAAGTAGTAGGGCTGCCCTCATTCAGTCTGTTCCCTCCAGAGAGAGAAACAAGACGAGATGAGGAGGAGGAAGGGTGGGATGGAGGGAGAGGGAGACTGAGGAGGTGAGAAGGAGGCAGAAATAAGAGAAGGAAAAAAGTGCTTGAGAAATAATTTGACTTGTAAACCTGACTTGACTTGGTTTTTCTTTTCTTGTTGATGCGGTTCTAAAGTCCTCTGGGTAGATTTAGATTTTGCTGTAGTTCTAAATCGACAGCACAAACAAAAGTAAATCAATGGTGATGATCTTGCTCAGCCTGTAACCAAAGGCCTCAGCTTCTCATATCTACTTTTCCCTCCGACTACAATATTTTTCCAACACAGCTGCATCTGTGATGAATTCATGATGGATTTTTCCTCATTCTTCTTCATCTCATTATGGCGGTCTCAGGAGCGCGTTCAGGTAGCCAAGGACAGGCTGGTGAACCCGACATGTGTTGTTGCCATGACAACATATGGTAAGGCAGTGAACTTATCAGTTGCATCGCCGTGTTGGCACTGTGTTATACTCCACTGAAATCGGCCAAAGTATACACAACCAGCTATTTTACTCCACTTTCAGTCCTCTACCATAGACTGTCGTGGTTTGTTCGTTTTTCTTGCTTTACCTGTAGTCCTTCTGTTGTTATTTTGTACCTTAGTAATACTGTAATCCTTTGTGTTTACCATAATTGTTCATTTATTCCAGTATTCTGGTTTTAAAAATAACTTATAAAGGCCTAATTGCTATTTATTTAGTTCTGTTCTGTTGTTCCTCTGTTCTGCCCTGTCCCCTTTGCATCTACAAATTGCCCACTGGCATAATCAAAGTTTCATCTGAATTTAGAGAATATTATAAAACATTTTAATTATAAATACCCAGAGCATCCTTAGATACGTAGCCATCCTCATTTACAGCACTTGAAGGTAATTAAGGTTGTCTTCTTACATCCTGTGAATGTGTAAGTTAGCATACATGCACAAAATGTGGCTGAGTCTGAAATCACTCCCTTGTTAGCTCATTCAGTGCTCCTTAAATCATAGACTCTCCAGAGGTTACTCAGTAGTGAGCAGTCAGTTGAGATTTAGGACACTTACTAATCATCATCACTGAGAGGTTTAGAGTCGCTATAAAACATTTATTTTCTGTGTAGCCAAATCTTATTCCTCTATGCTATAGAGCTCTGCTGTTGTCCTCCAACACAAAAGACACATGCACTGTAGTTAATTTTGACTTCATCCCACATATACCGTCCTGCTGCCCGAAATGCTGACTAGAGCAACAAATTTTTATTAATCCACAGCTGAAATTGTCCAGTTCGTTTGCTAAAACCTACAGTGGCCAGCTGGCCTTTAAAAAAATAAAACTACAGTATATATTCCTGAGCACTTTTTAAAATATTTACATCTTAAGTAGGAACAAATGAGCCTGGGGCAGCTGAGGAAGCAGGACACAGTGAGAGCTTATTTTGAGTGTTGTGGGTGAGTGTATGTGGTTGTGGCTATTTCCTAGAAAGAAGGTACCAAAAAGGGTAGATTCAGTTATACGATTTCTACCGGTGCCTCGTGCTATAGCTAGCTGAAGATTCACAGGTTGACAGATGGCAGGATGAGGCCCTCCAGCTGCGGCAGGAATCAAACCTGTGATTTTCCAGTTTAAAGAAATCCTCCTCCTTTTTGCACTTGTTCCCATTCTGGCTTGTCTGTCACTTTACAGGTGTTTCCCGTCTAGATGATCAAATATTCATCAACCGCAACCCTGGAGTACCGTCTGTTGTGAAGTTCCACCCCTTCAACACCTGCATCGCCGTGGCTGACAAGGACAGCATCTGGTCAGACTGAGAGAACGCACACACACTCTGGAAAAAAAATAAAATAAAAATAAAATCAGCTTTACGACCATTATGCAAATGATTCAGTTTCATACTTGAAATAATTAGAGTGTAATTGTGTGTGTGTGTGTGTGTGTGTGTGTGTGTGTGTGTGTGCGCTAGTTTCTGGGACTGGGAGAAGGGCGAGAGGCTGGATTACTTCTACAACGGAAACCCTCGTTACACTCGCATAACAGCCATGGAGTACCTGAACGGACATGACTGTTCATTACTGCTCACTGCAACAGGTTTGAAACACGCACATATACACAAATACACACACAGACGGCTCAAGTGCACACAAGAGCAAAAATTCAAGTAATAAATTAGTAGAATATTCTTTGAGTGAGCATCTCAAATGTTCACGCCCACCAGCACAGCAGAAATCACAGTGAGACTCATTTGTAGCAGCAGCAAGCCTTAAACACTTGACTCTTATCCCCACAAACACAAAGCACTCATGTATTCTTCATCATTTATCGACAAAATAAAGCAATTACCCTCCATGGCTTTATCTTCATAAACCATAGGAACTGTAGAAAACAAGTCTGCATTCAAACACGTGAATGCTATTTTCTATTGCACACCTCCTGAAACCTTGATAAAAGCTCAGGGATAATCTCATCAAAATATCATGTGCACTTATTCATCTTTTCAGTCATGCTGTGAGGGATATCAGGGAGGACAGTGGTTGTAAGATCAAGTGAAGACTTTTATGTGTTGTAATATCTTTCTCATAAGAGTTCATGGACGTGTTTACCGTGAAGCTCGGTGTCTTAGCTGTGATTCAGCTACGCTGTTCAGACTGAGGTTTTTTAGCGTTAGAGACTTTTGCATCACCTTGTTTCTCACTGACAAGACACTCGCAAACAACGAACCTTTTATGATGCTGCTCTACATTCTCTATTGATTCCTTTGTGTGTGTGTGTGTGTTCATTTTCAAGTCACGCTGTGTGTTGCATGTTTTGAAAGACTCTTACTTCAAGATTTTCATCAAATCTGCACAGGACAACGTGCTGTTCCAAATCCATTAAGAAAACAATAAGTGTTGGGTTCTGCTGGCCTTAACCTTTGCTCCACATTGGATCGATTCCTAATCTTTCACTTCCCTCTCTGTATCTTTCAACCCCACCCCTCCCCTGTCTCCAGATGACGGAGCGTTACGTATCTGGAAGAACTTTGCCGACCAGAAGAACCCGGAGATGGTGACGGCGTGGCAGGGCCTTTCGGACATGCTGCCCACTACCAGAGGTCAGCCCTCCGCCAGCGCTCACAGTAAAGATCAATGCTCTATTTTACTATCTGCCACCCCTCCACCCAACCATACTTCCACAGTACTTCCTGTAGTAACTCGCCGACTGCCACACTGTTCATCCCAACCCCGTCACACTTCCACACCTCGCCTCCTACAGAGAAGCCAGGGTAGTAGCAGAGTTTCTGAAATTTCTCGTTTTCCAGTGCTTTATTGAACCATCCAGTTTTAAATCCTACAACTTTTAACTGCAGTAGCTTTATGGAACATCTGAGCCGACTCCGTTATGTATCTACCTAAAGTTTGCTAACATTAGCTAACATAAGCTACTGGTCATACCAAACCATTTAAGGCTGTAGCAGTAAAATGCAAAGTGTTTTACTCTTTATGAATTTAGCTTTTCACTTGTTAAACGAAGAATGTTATTCCTTCTTTCAAAAGTTACATTGCCCTGTGAATGTGAGTTTCCAACTAAAGGCTAAAACTCATAGAAACTCAAACACACTAGGTTTGCCTGAAGAGTCTTTAAGTGCTTAGCTTACCAATTATTATATATATTATATTTGCTCTTTGTCCAGATAAACGCGTTGTGTTGATTATGAAAATTAAATCCTGCAACAGAATCTTTTAATATACACGCAGCCTTTGTTACATAATACGTTTAATTTAGCAAAATTCATTTTAGCAGGCTACATTAAAAATAATTGAAGTTATGTATAAGTTATTATTTATAGGCTGGCTTACAGAAACACTGCACTAAGACCTCTATTAAACTGTTTCAATATAAATGTAAGATTGTAACCCTCATGAAGCCTGGATTTAGGAGTGCATTAGTTCATTAGTTCAAACTTAAACATGTTGCACAGTAACCATGAGGTTATTAGAAGAGATCACCAGCCCCATCAAACCCAGCAAGAGTATATTTCCATTACATTTACACTTACATTTACTCATTTGGCAGCCGCTTTTATCCAAAGCGACTTACATTTGAGTAACAACATACAATCATTTACAGAGCATAAAATACAGCATGAGATCTACAGCTGACAATACAATATATAATGCAGCCATTGCACAGCATATGTCCTAATTACAATAGATGTGCACTTGTGCACGCAATGTAACCAAGTGTGAGAGGTTTTTGGTGATGCAAGCAATGTGTCCAAAACAGCAGCACACAGTGGGGTTGCCTTAAGAACCAGGTCAGTGTTGTCGGTATGTGTGAACACACACAGGCCAGACCACTTGACCAAGTGCAGGAGCGTGTGTAACATGTGGTCTTTGCAGTAACTGATTTGACCTGATGCAGTTCAACAGAGTTCAACTTTATTTCCACATTTGTTGTAGAGTCGGGCGTCTGAAATTAGTTCCATTTGTCAAAACTAATGTAACACTAACTTACAGCCAGTTATCAGTCTTACCCTGTCACATATTCCATTCCCATCAGATATCTGTCAAATGTCAGCAAGTTGGAGGAAAGCTGAACCTGTTCTGAGGCCTACATTTAAAGTCAGTTTATGTAAGAACACAAACAGGTAGATTATCAGCCATTCTTTGCTCAGAGGGGGTGTCTGAGTTGCATATATATAGATAATTTTAAACTTGGGTTGTGGACATTGGTGGATTCGCTGCCGTGTTTACCTTCTATCTTGACACACTTCCTTAATTTGTGAGGCAGTTATTCGCAAATATGTGAACCAGGCCAGACAGCCACTGTACACAGCTGTCAGACATCCACCCACTTCTGTGATCTGCCAGGTTACCCCTTCTCTCTGTCAACCCTCTCCAATGCTCCACATTTTTTGCCTTGAGTGTTTCTCAGCCCTCGATTCTGTGTCAGGGAGGTTTTTAGGGAAACTGTGACAGCTGTAGGAATGATTGTGTGATCCTACGAATACTTGACAACCTGTTTGGTACATTTATAAATTAACTACCACACTTCTGTCTGGTTTGAAAAGATTTTTAAATGATCCTTGACCCAGTGTACTAGCATGAGCACATGTGACATCAGTCTTGTGTGGGTGGACAACCTTCTGCATTTTCAGAGTAAATCACATATAGAATAATACATATTTGGCTGATTTGTTAGCAACAAGAGCAGAATTGACTGGATGAGTGACTGACCAACTCAGCTGACTGGATATCTGTGCAGAGATGTGGACCACACACTGTGTGCACATATGCGTCTCCATCAATACAAAGCCACAGAGTCACCAGAACTCTGGGGCGACCTGCAGAGAGTCGACACTCTTAACTGGCATCACCGCCTGTCTGACTCTCACAACACAAATCGGAGACTCTTCCCTTGCGGAGGACTCTCCCCACAGTGAGCCACAGCCTTGTTTTCACTAAGACACTAACATTTAATGGTGTGCTTGTTATGCTGGATGTGTCGTTAGTGACAGTAGCTGTGTCATTTCTGCATTCAGACTACACTGGGAGGCATCAATTTTAATATAAACAGCCACTCGACTGAGATCTTTTCTGGAAAAGTTTTACAGTCCAGCAGCTTGTGGTGTTCAATTTTTTTTTAACTTGGCAGGAAACTTCAGAAACATCTGCAATCTCTCCCTCACACACACACACATGCACAGAGTTTTCCCTATTGCATGCGCACATACCACGTCCCCTCCTGGTCCAATAATCAGTTTATAGTTATTACCATCGCATGGAATGTCTTTAAGATAGAGTTCAATAATTTTGTGCTTGTGTATTTAAAATTTTAGATTTTTAGCATTGCCTCAGCAGCATTAATAATTTAAAACCCAATGAAATATTACACAGGTCCGTCTTTTTGCTGCCAAAAACCTGCCCCATCTCTGTAGGCAGTTGCTTCAAGACTGTGAACGTTTCTCAAGGAGACGCTGGCAGACACACACACACACACACACACACACACACACTTCTCTTATGCACACCAGTCCCTGCACAACCTGTCCTCACTCATCCCGTCCCTGTTGTCCAATAACATGCTTTCGTTTTTCATCAGTGAACCATCTCGGTAGACTCTCTGTCTGTCTGGCTTGTTGTTTCTTTGCTCGTTCTTTGATATTGTTCTGTGTTTTTCCCCGTCTCGAGAGAGGCTGAACAAGGCAGCAAGCAGTTTTCCCAAAAAAAACATACACCTACTCAAAAACTCAGAGCTCTTGCTATCACACGTCATTTCGTGTCATTAAATTAACGGACCAGTTAAATTATTTCTGCGTGTCCTTTTCACTATCGACCTTGCTCAAACTCTCATTCCCATGCACAGACACATTCAGAGTCCTCTCTAGTCAAGCTTCTGCCCTGTGGTGAAGGGATTTAGGATTCTGATTCTGCTGGCTTGGAGGGTGGGGACCTTGTGCAGCTTCCACAGCCTCTGTTTGTAATGCAGTGGCAGCAACTCAGCTCTCTCTCAGTCTCTCTCCTTTCACTTTTTGATCCCAGCATATCACTGTTAGTCATTTGGGAAACGCCACACTGGGAAACAGCTGCCTTGTTCATCCTTCAGCTGTTTGAATGCATGTGTTGTATACTCATCACGGCATACTTGTGTGTATGTGTGTCATTGTTTGGGTCTGCATGCACTGGGGGGGGGTCCTTGCTAATTTGTTGCTTGCTTTGTTGCGTTCCCGCTCTACTCCCTCCCTCCCCTCCTCCCCCCTTCCATGTGAACCCTCCCCCGCTCGCAGGTCTGGCCAGAAGGGTCTCCATCTATCTTGACAGGAGTAAGCAAGGAGGTGAGTGTCACCATTCTCTTCTCTACTCCCTCACTCCCAGAGCAAAGGTGCTGCACTGAACAGCCGGCAGCATGCCTATTTTTTGTTTTCTTTTATTCACCCGACCACCGCCCTCATCACTTCATCCGTCCGGTGAGGCTCCATCACGTCATTGCTAGCAGTCATCCCAAAAGTTAAAAGACTCACTATGAAAGTAAGGGTAAAGTACCGACAAGCCCTCTTTAACAAGTTGGACACTTGTTCTCATAAATAATAAATTGCTGAGCCCTGCTCGCTTTAGTTATTGTTGTTACACCTGTCTAGCTTTTCAATTCTAGCACCTGTCTAGCTTTTCAATTCTAGCACGACACATCTGATAATGGAGGCAAAGGTACCACTCTAAATTTTCAATTGTCATTTTTGATTATTGACAGAATTTGACAAAAGCAGACTTCTTAGTTTTAGCTGTTGATATGCTGGCTTAAATGACTATTGGACAAAAACCCCAATAACACCCGCTAACAGGTACAGTCGGCATTAATCGGCATTCACTCCCAGCAGCCAGCTGGTGCTGCAGCCAATATCCCAGCCAATACTTGGATATCGGCTGCAGCACCAGTCGGCAGTAATGTATACATAACACCCGGGTGGACACGCACATTTACCACCTGTCGCCTGTCCAGTACGGTGCTGTTAAGTAGAAACACTGCGGCTACACCTTATTTGGTATCATCTTATAATGAGAACCCTGTGTGATCCTAAATATTTACTTGTGGCTACCTACAGGATGTTATGTTAAAAGACTGAGGCCAAAGGCTAAACCTTGATGTCCCAGGCAAAAAGTCAGCATCCTCACCATTTGAAGATCCATGTAGAAGAACGTGTTAGTTATTAATATGACATGGAAAAAGCAAAATCAGACTCATATTTCACAACCCCATCTGGCTACTTTGCTCACATACTAGTTTGTATTTTTCATGCCGTGCGTTTTCACAGAAAAAAAAAAGGCTTTAAGGACTAACTGATGTCCGTGGCAAACTTAAACCTAGCTCAGGTATAGCTGGGAGAGTTTGCTTGCGGGAAAGAGCAGGAGAAAGCTGCTAATGTTAGCCTAAACTCTGGAAGCACAAAGGATCGACTTCCACACAGAGGGGAAAATACTACACAATGCATGTGCAGGTCATCAACAGAGCTTTATGTGAGTGTAACCCCTCACACTAAAGTAGTTCGGTAATGAGCTAAGTGCTGGACATGCTAATGTTTAAAGCTTAAATTGGCGCTGTTCAATCCATTCCTCACACTTTTGCTTTTGTGTTTTTTGTCTTTATTAGACATCACCCTCAAAACTCTTTAAATGCGTGAGAGTTAAGAGTATCCCTCTTACTGCAGCTTCAAAGACACCACTTCAGTATGTCGAGAAAGCCAAAACTTGAAACTGCCTAGTTACAGTTGCTAAGCTCTTATTAGACCATCAAAATCAAATTTGTACATTTGGGTAGTTTTGTGGCTTTTGAATGGGTGAAATCCACTCATTCGAAATAGATCTCAAGCTGAGCTCTCTCTTCAAACATGCATTGACCCCATTACTCATCTTCACCTCAAAATGGCCTCTGTCATGTAAAAAAAAAACAACACTGATCCCAAAGGTGTCAGTGTTTAATTGGGAGCGTGTCGGTACTGTGCGATTTTAATAGCATTGAGCCACTCAGTCTGTCTCACCGGAGAGATCAGCCTGTTAAACTCCAGAGGAACCAGTGAAATTATGGGATCCGTGGCTGGCACAAACTGGAGAAACTATTCCTGCAGCTACTGCACAGCACGCAGACTTCACATCTCTGCAGATTAGATTGAGAGCCGATCTAATTAAGTTCTGATCCACATACTGTTAATAATGTTTCAACTTGTTTTTTCCCCTTCATTTACCTCCATCCCCTCACTCTACTTATTCCAAGCCCTGCAGTTGCTCAAGTGGGGATGTTTTTTCCCCCTATTATTTCTTTCTCTTTGTCCCTTTTCTTTTGGCTGCATAAGTGAAAGTAGGGCAGCCCTGACCTCTTTGGCTTTAGGGATGCAGATGCTGTGTCCTGCTCTACATTTGGGTGCACTGCCTGGTGCCTTGTTAACATTGGGCCTCTGGAAACCTGCCAAATCTAGAACCAGGCATTCATGTGGAGTGGGAGAGAGGCGCATGGAAGTTTCAGGAAAATAAGAGCCTCCTGGCAGACTCTTAAGCTGGAATGCAAAGCAAGGTGTTTTAGTATACTGTAGGTCAAGAATAACACCAAGTAGAGTGTTCCCATATCATATATGTTGTTAAGAGACGTGCAATTATAGCAGGAGATCCAAAACTGCAAGTTTAGAGTTCAGCAACCTAACATGAACCCGATGGGTCTAGACAACTGTTTGTTTTTCAAATGTAACTGAAAAGAAGTAATAACTAAATCATAGCCTTAGTCTAAAGTCGGGTACAAGGCAAGTTCAGTCAGGTCGGGTCTGAAAGGCCCGGGTACGGGCTGGCTAACTCTGCGCAGAACTCTACACCAGTTACAGATTGGTAGTGAAACTAAAACTTGGATCAAATAAAACCTTACATATTTTGTTTACACAGGAGAACATAGACGTGTACACTGCTTTTTGACGTTATAAACCTTTATTATAAACCTTACGAGTTGAACTTCTCCACCATATTTGACTCCTTCACCACAAAGTTGCATGTCTTCAGTTCCAGCCGTCGGGGACCCGTTGTTGTGAATTATGTAAAATGATTTTAGAAACTACGGTTAGTCTCCTGTCCACAATAATCAAGTCAGCAAGTGCTAATGTTATGTAGGTTATGCCTCATCTCACAAGGTCTTTGTCAACCAGCCCGGTCAAAGCGTTTTACCTCCAAATGGCAGGCCTCTGCCTCCAAAGTTCAGATAAATGCCACAGCAGGAAAAGTCTCACTGCCAGTCAGAGGGCTTCCATAGATAACGTCATCTTCTATTAGAGGGACGTGCTGGGTAGGTCCCCGGTAATCCCGGAGAAGGTTTATTACCAGAGTCCCGGAGAACCTTTTCAAAGCAAACACGATGAAGTGAAAACGCTGAGGGAGAGAAGAACTAGGAAGGCTGGTTTAATGAGCTGCTCTGTGTGGGATTGCTAGTCCATCACTGGAGATAATGGTGCAGAATAAGAACGCAGAGGAAAGCTTCTTCTCCAGAGAGAAAAGAGAGAAGTGAAACAGAGATATTTATGCAAAGGAATAATTAAATATATCACAAATGAGGGATTGTCTTGGCACGCAGGAACGGGAACAAGATGATCTACCACAACTGCTGGCAGCCCGGCTGTTAGTGGTGGTAAAAGTAACTTTTTTCCCATGTCGACAATTCAACAAAGGAGAAGCAATTCTGCTAATTATATCATTACTGTTTTTGATATTATCATTGGGGAAGAAAATTTGATGTCAAGCAGCAAGTGAAAGAGACCAGGCTTAAAGAGAGAATGTACATCGAAGCTATCTATACCTCCACCTCTGTAAGGTAAGATTTACAGCTGAGGAAACATTGCCCACACTCTTTTTCTCCTGCTCTTCCTTCTCACATCTCTATTCTCCGTGTCCATATTGATTTCTGTGTGGGTAACTAAGATCCGCTCAGGCCCACAAAGATTCCCTCATTGCTGAATTTTAACCCGTTTTGAGCAGTGTTGAGAGAGACAAACCTGCCGGTTCACAGATCTGTGAGCTCTGACCCCCTGAACTCCTGGTAACTGTTTTTGATTGGAGTCAGGTGGGATTTAGTCGCCTGAAAAGGAGAAGCAAAGAAAAGATAACAAGGAGACTTGTGATGAAGTGAGTCTGGGGTGAGAGGAAGTGGGTAGCTGGATTAAGAGCTAGAGAGATTGATGGAAGGGATGGAAAGACAGATGGAATAACTACCCTGGCATCCACAACTCCAGGAAACCAAAAGCCCCCAGTTTTGCTGAGTGAAAACTCATTTGTGCTAATTTAATGGTCCATTTGTTTGAGAATATGAACCATTAAAGCACAATATCAACTGACATAGTATGGGCCATAAGGTGGGTCCTGCTTTATCACTCAAAGGATAATTGTAATTCATTACAACTTTGCACCTTTTCTACCGGTTATAAAAACATTGTACGCACTAGAGTAATTACTAATGACGTTCTTCATCGCAACAAGGAGGCAAGACGCAACCGACAGACAAGCAAACTGTAGCCATATTGTCTAAACCACTTTATTTGGAGGTAAAACAAATGTATTAATAATTCCTAATTGCACAGGAAAACTGTGCACAACTACAGTAAGTGAAGTATATGAAAGTTGAACCAGGAAGTCAGTCTGGGGGAAAAAAAGGATTTTCTCATTCAGACATTCTGAATGGAGTTTGTGAAAGTCTTTTGCTGAGCGACACATATTAATGAATCGGTAGGAAAAATCTGACAATAGAACCAGAAATTGGAAAGTAACATATATTAAAGGGATTAAATAAGGTTTTCAAAATCTGTTTAACTAGAAGTTATGTTTGTATGAATGATTTTAGGAGTTATTATTTGAAACCCACAAAAATAAGAGAAACGTTGTAATATACTGGTATTATTCTTCAATTTGAGGCCTTGTATCTTGAGAGTCTAGTTATTTCAATTTTGTTTTTACATGTACCCTTCTCCTAAATTAATTAATCCATCAAAGTATCATAAAGCAAACATGGGGCCACAGTGACAATAAGACCATAGCGCTTAGGCTGGTGGGGGGGGGTCTTCTCTCAGACACATGATATTTCGTCCACAATGGATTTCTCATCATGGTGAGGACACGGGGAAAAATAATGATGCATAAAGAACTGAATCTAAACTGAAGGAAGGATTGGTGACGTGTGCTCCTTATTTTAAAGAAAACACATGCACACACTTTTGTGAGTTGGGAAATCTTCTCTTCTCCACCCTTCTCGTTGTAACCCAGATTTCCTCATCACAAAGCTGCCAGCTTCAAAGGGAATGCCTGCTCTCTTCTCACAGCCTCTGAAATGAGCCAGCATCAAATATGCCTACATGCGACTGTGAATGTGTCACTGACTGAGTGGTTTTCCCTGTGTGCTATCCCCCAACATGTGCCCACACTACCAGCAGTGTGACGTCACAGTAGAGGATTTGAAGCCACCACATGGGACCTGGGTTTTCCTGACAAGCTTAGTAGAACCGTAAAAACCCTGTCACAGATGGTTCAGTAGGAGAAAGTTAATCTAAGTTACAACTCATAAAGGAGGCACACAGAGATGAGCAGCGGGAAAGGATCACAAATGATGCACGTTATTGTTCTGCAAGGCTCTAGAACAGCAATGTAACTGAGTCCTTATCCTATTTATATTATATTTCAAATGAGCAAGTTTGGTGGAAAGAAGCTGTGCAAAAGAATTACATGAATGTGAAAAGCAACGTGGTGACGTAGGTGGGTGAGTCGGAGATGTTATTGATTGTGAAAAAACTGGGGGAGGAAGTGACTAAGGAAAAGGAGAAGGAAGAAGGAAATGAAGCATGGCATGATGGGTTTCAAGAGGAGGGAAAAGGGTGCAGTTTCTGAAGCATCTGTGGTAAAAGCATTCTTGTGAAAGAAAGACGGAGAGTGCTTTCATGCATTTTGTTTTCTGGAGTCCCTCCTTGTGCCTTTATCCCCTCCATCATATAAACATGCATTATCAAAGCTCTTCTCAGCTCTGTGGCTTGTGGGAAATGTGGTTGTTCAAATGCTGCTGGGGTTCCAGATAAGCTGAAATGATACTTTCCACATGCATCTAGCCACTAGGATCTCTACTAACTCACGATCTACTTAGGAACTTCATGCAAAGCTTTCAGCGGTCTTTGGAGGGTCCTGACAATGAACTGCAACATCCTTGGTTTGTGTCCAGCCAGGGACCTTTGTTGTGCGTCATTTCCCATCTGTCTGTCCTCATTTCTTGTCATCTGAAAGCAAAAAATTTAAAATGATTTTTTTTTAAAGTATTTCTAAAGTCCACTAAATGTGGTTAAAGCTCCAGAACAAGCTAGCAAGTACAACTTTTGTGAGATTGCTAATCGCAAGGCAAGACCGTGTCGGAAAGGTGTGGTGGGAGAGGGTTTCCGACACTGTTCTAGGATCCAACAAGCACTTCATTTGAAGAGTACTGACACCTTTAGGCTGCAGCCAAAGGCCTCTGCCAGCCACCACTGAGCCAGCAGGGCAAGTGTGGCTGACATGGCACTGCTCACTTGATTCCTGCTGCGACTGCCAACATATGAAGAGTCTTGCTGTCTTCAGCTTCTTCACTCGAGTGCCATTTGACTCATCTACAGAAAGCCAGAATCTGCTGACAGGCTCAGTTCCAGGGTCAGTGTTTGCATCTCCCAGTGGTCGTCTTGACGGGGGAAGGATGCAAAATGCTAATCCATGCTTCCGTCTGCTTGAAGTGCATGTTTATACACTCAAGAGTGTGGGAGCCTTAATCAAAAACACAGACTTGACAATGTGTGATATATGGCTTTATAAATTGACATAAAAAGTTATTGCACCTGCAGTCTCTGCAGAAAGCAGTGTGTTTCTGGTTTTGCTGAGTCCTTTGAGGTGTATTTATCAGTTACACAGAGGTGCAGGGAGCCGTTGCACTAATCTGTCATTTGACTTGCTACATGTGGCAGCAAGAGCCTTCTGAAACCTCCCACAGATTGTGTGTGTTGTGCATTGGGGTGATCAACACATGCTCGGTGTGTTTACCAGCTGCGTTTGTGTGTGATGGTTCACTTATAAATTAAATTAACTCTGTTTCAAAAAGGTAATTTAAAACAGCAGTTCACATTGTGTACAAATTCTCAGTAATTTAATATTTTATATCAGATATTTGGGCACCTTTTTTTCAGCGTTAATTGTGATTAAAAAGCCACCTTCTGTTTTGTGTTTATTGAATTGGTCCAGATGTAGAAGTCTAATAACAACACACAGTACTGGTGTGTGTTTAACGGAGTGTGTACATGTGTTCTTGTATATTTGTGTTTGCACGCTCTGCATTATAATTGCTGTGTCATCCTGTGTTGTAGGTGCAGGCATGGTCGTTGACTGGGAGCAGGAGACGGGTCTCCTTATGACGTCTGGAGATGTCCGAGTAATCAGGATCTGGGACACTGACAGGGAGATGAAGGTCCAGGTATTGTACTGCACCTGTCCTGGTTGTATGTCTAATTTTCTCAAAAAGGGTCACAATGAACTTATCTGTAACTTGGCTGTAGTCTAGAGCTGTGCTTGACAAGATGAGAAGTATCATAGTGACCACTCTACAGAGGATGAACCCTTTTAATTTGGAAAACAAAATGGCTGGTCCTTGAAACTATCCTCAGAATTACAGCTATTTGCTCAATGTGGTCTGTTGATACTAAAACATAAATATGTTAAAGTTATGTTAAATGTTATAGTAAATCATGTCTTTGATTCTGTGTTTTTTAGCTCTTTATATTTAATGATTTAATGTGCACAGTATGCTCATGCTGTTGTCTGTTTTAGTAAACTAATGGAAATCTGTTGCAGAGCCAGTACCATTAGTGTTCTTTACTCTTTCTTTCCTTCTTTGTTTTTACACATCTATTGGTCCTCGGTGTGCTAATCATTGTCTTGATGGATGGTCTTAATACAAGTACAATTGGCCCAACCTCGCCTGTGGCTGCATATTGATGCTAGGTCCAACTTCAAATGAGCCAACAGTCAACAGAGCCCTTGACTGATGATTTCAAAAACGGTTTAGTGAGAAATGAGCATTGTAATGACAGTGGTAGTTTTCTGTACACACCTTTAATGGGGATGTGTGTGTTTGTGTGTATCCACCAGGACATCCCAACAGGAGCAGACAGCTGTGTGACCAGCCTTTCCTGCGATTCCCAGCATTCGCTCATCGTCGCCGGCCTGGGTGACGGATCTGTACGTGTATTCGACAGGAGGATGGGTCCAAATGACTGGTAAAACACACGCCCTCTCTCAGATCTTGCATGCAATGTCTGACCTCATCACTGTCTTATCACAGAGAAGGTTAAACTTATCATCAATTTATGGTTTTAATTTCCAACTTCTTCTTCTTCGTTTTTTTTCTTTTCGTGTCTCGCCATTATTTAAATACATTCAAGAACACACACAGCAGTTTCTATGAGCATTAACTCCTACAGTCCTACATTATTAACTTCTCTAATCTATATTTATTACATATAGAGTGTTGTAAATCTCCCTTTGGAGTTCCCACCTCTTTAATGGACCCCGGTGGCACCATATCCCCCCAGTTGGTTTAACATTATTTTAATTTCAGTCCCAAAGGGGGAAAACAAAGCCGTTAAGCCATGAAGTGAACCATAAATCTTTAAGTAAAGCTAATTTAATAGTTCCCCTCGGGCATGGAGTTACATCTTTCAGCATCTATGTTGCTCCCCCTGAAATTAGTCTGGGACCAGCAAACAGCGCAATACAGGTCATGTTGGGAACATTCTTCAGGAAATGTTTTGTGTACTTCACGTGTGCAGCAGTTTACAAGGAGTGTTTTACGGCTGTAAACTAAAAGTGACTGTTAATTGTTGTAAATTCATGTTATGTCTACCCCTTCTGCTTCTTGTTGCCAGCACTGGAGGAAAATCATCAAATTTAATGTGTTTACCAAGTGTTGTGTCCTTGAAATTTAGGAAGATCAAATGCATTTGCTGCCTCACCTGTAGGATGTGTTTGACTATGTGCATTAGTGGGAATGGGTAATTCAGGTACAGCTCAGTTCTAAAAAGATGTTTGAACATGTTCAACTCTAATGCCAATTCAGTCTCTCAAGTAGACAGTTGGTGCCACCCAGTGATTTTTCACCTATATTACATGTTACAGCATAAAGCGAGTTGCTTGACTTCCGTTTATTGGAGCTTTTTTATTATTATTAAATAAGAAAGCAATCCACTATTCCGCATGGCATATGAGAGGAGGGGCTTCAGCATATACACACAAGTTCTAACAATGTGAGACACTGTTTAAATCAATTCAAAATACTATACAGACTCCTTTTATTTAAAGAAAAAAAAAATCTGCCCAATCCTCAGGAACAAATGGAAGCTATAGTTTCTTTGTGTCTCCTGAAATGTAACACTTTTGGCCTAGCATTTTTGACATTATTTCTTATAAGGAAATAGCTCTAATGCTGAACCAGGTCCTGACATGTTAGTACTGTTCTAACCAAGAACACTACTCCCCAAATGTAGCTGGCTGACTTCATGAAACCTTACAACTAGAGAAGATTCAATATACTTAAAAAATAAAATTACATAAAAACTAAAACAAGAGAAGTGCTCTCAGTTTGATAGATGCATTGACACACATGCACACACACAAAACCGCACTTTTCTATTTTTTCATTTGTTTGGTGATTTTTGGGGCTTTTCTCGTTTTTATTTAGTTTATACTGGAGCTCATGATGTTTGCAGTCTCACAGCTCTGGTGTGTTCCTTTCCTGTGTTTGCTGTCAGGTCATTGTGAAGGAACACACAGTTAAAAGTTACCTTACAGTAGTTGACATTTGTTCTGTCTGTTGTTTGTTTCTGCAGTCGGGTGATGACCTACAGGGAGCATGGAGCCTGGGTGGTCAAAGCTCATCTACAGAAGGAGACGGACGGACATATTATCAGCGTCAGGTATGCTCTGTCTGTAGAATCCCAAAAATCCAACCCCCTCCCTTCATGCCTCCCTCCAAAGCCACTCCCCCAAAACACATGTTCATGCGCAATGAGTGCACGTAGGTAGGCAGGCAGGTGGGCCAGCCAGTCATACCCTTCAGATCGAATAAAATGATTGGCTAGCCTACCTGCCTGTCTGTGGGATGTAAAGAGAATTTCAACTAATACAACAAAAAACGTTTCTGAAATAAACTCACTACCAAAGCTTTAAGATTTATGCAACCTAGCTTTTTTTCCCCCTCGCCTATGCTGACTTTGATGCTCTCCACCAGTGTTAACGGAGATGTTCGATTCTTTGAACCGCGGACACCAGACTCCATCAACGTGCTGCAGACAGTGAAGGGGTTAACTGCTCTGGACATCCACCCACAGGCCAACCTGTTCGCCTGGTGAGTTTGTCATTCTTCCTTTGTCAAATGTCGTTCTTTCTGTGGACTTGACTTGACAAACAGAAAAATTGTAACTGGACAATACACCTGACATCCAGCCAGAAGGTAAAATTTCTCCACAAAAGAAATCCAATGCAGGACACAGCTTATGATTGGTGTTATGTTTAAAGCTGAAACTCTCTCTCTCTCTTTGTCTCTCTCTCTGTGTTTTATCCTCTTCTCTCCAGTGGATCGATGAACCAGTTTATAGCAGTCTACAACATTAACGGCGATGTGATCAGCAACATAAAGTACTATGATGGCTTCATGGGACAAAGGATTGGGGCCATCAGCTGTTTAGCCTTCCATCCTTACTGGGTAAACTAACACTTACAGTCACTGAGCACAACAGTATTATATGTGGAAAACCTCTTTGGGCAATAAACCTGATACTGATTCATGCAGTTGTACATCATTACACAACATTTTGTGGAGTTTGGGTAGTTTAATCTGTAAAGTATTGTTTTATGTTAAAAATCTTAAAGAAGTAATAACAATGGATTAAATTTAAACAGCACTTTATCTTGATACACAAAGTGCTTCAGAGTGAAGCTCACCTCATCCACCACCAATGTGTAGCACCCACCTGGGTGATGCACGGCAGCCATTTTGCACCAGAATGCTCACCACACATCAGCTTGAAGGAGAGAGAGGGAAACATAGAGCCAGGACAGCAGGGAACCCAGTGCCCCACTGCACTGGGATTTTATTTGGCCCAGAGGGAAGACTACCCCACCAACAACACTAGGTCTCACCTCCAAGTACTGGCCCGGCCCACACCTGCTTTGCTTCGATCGTTCAGCAGAAACACCAACAAGTAACAGTAAACACAGTATAGCTGTCAGATAAATGTAGTTTAGTAAAATGTACAATATTCCCATCTGAAATGTAGTGCAGTATATTCAAGCATAACATTTAATTTAATTAAAGCTGCTAAAAAATGTTTTAAACAAAATTAAATTAAATTTAAAAAACAGGCCCTATACGCTGTCTGCCCAGGACTGACCGTCAGACAAAACAAAGTTAGCGACCAGCTGTTGAACACAGTGGCACAATTAGCAGCTAAAGATGTTTTTTTAACGAGACCAAACAGAACTAAACACAATAATTATTGACTTAGAGGTAGCTAGAAACCTACTAACTTTGGCCAAAAGTGGCCAAAACAAATCAATTAATGCAGTTTTAGGTAAATATACTAAGTTACTAAGTCCTTTAACATGGATCCACCAATCACTCTGCTTGGGGTCATTCATTGCCCATGTCGTTGGAGCTGCACAGCTGTGTTTTGCTAGTTGCTAGTGCACGCAAATTTTGAGCAGAAGCCATGAACATCTTTACCTATAGCTTCATGGACAATGTCAGCAAGTATACCATCTTGATCAAATCAGTATCTTAGTATCAACTCGACATTATTGTTCCAAACCTATAGTGGACTATATTAAAATGATAATGTAAAGTTGAATTCCACAATAGCATTATAATTTTCCACATATGCATATGTTATTTGGATAAAAATTAAAATGCAAACCAATATGCATTTTCTTTTTCACATTCTCGTATTGGCCTTCTATGACCACATTAAATGAAAAGCTGTTTTCCCGCCACGGCTCTTGTGGCAGAGACATCAACACTCCACCAGTGCTCCAGGAAAGCTAGCTGCACAGCTAACAAGTAAAGCTATCTGCCAGGAAACTGTGTAAATCATTGAGAGTTGAGGCAGAGCAGCCGGAGGACATCGGAGGGAAAACCACAAAATATTTTCACCCAAATCGGTTAATAAAGTTATCAAGTTGTGTTTTGTACAGTAATCAGTGAGGCACGGCCCCCCACAGCAGTTTTTCCAACCTAATTCGTCTCATTTGTGGTCTGATGAACAGTAAATTCATCTGTCTTATTCCGCCGAGGCTTTCCTCATAAGAAAGCGGCCGTGGTTTCATCGAAGGTCGGTTGGAAACATTTTATTTTGAAAGAGTGTTGTGAATAGTTAGATAATTGCATTTTAATTTTAATTATGACTTAAATAATCTAAATAAGTCAATTAAAAATCAGGTTACATTGTTTACATTGCATTTTCATTTTCAAATTTAATTAACATTTGAATAGTATCCAGTGTGCAGCAGGGTATGACTGTTAAACAGCTTTTCTCTATTAATTATTTGGTTATAGAACACATTTGGAAAATGATAACCCTATTGTGGATTGATATTATCCTTTTTAAGTTTGCAATATCATTTTAATATAGTCCCCATAGGCTTCCATAGCTGTGGCCTCAGTGCAGCCATCTTCTCGCAACTGGTAGCTGTTAGCACACCTTGGCACCACTTCTATGTACAGCCTGCGATACGAGTACTTTTATGTCCTGTGAATGTAACTTATCTATAATCCTAGTAAGAAAACTAGGAATTTCTTGCCCAGTCTGAACTGTTCTGATACCTGTGGTCCCTGATTATGTGGGCACGTGAACATGTCTTTGAAAAACGTTTGATTTGAACAACCTACCTTTTCCTGGCACTTCATATAGCAATCACATTGGCTTCAGGGAAGTCATGACTTTTACATTAGCTCATTGCCACTGAAACTAGCATTAGCAAACTTTATATTGCTACATTGGCAGGCTTTTAAGCTTTATTAGATTACCTCTGCATTTGTGAAGGAAATACTGACGTGGAACGTCGGGGACACGAAATGGTATTCCATTAACATTTTGTCTTAGCTACAGTTCTCACTTTGACCTCCGCTCAATATTTCTGAACACACACACACACACACATCATTACATCCACCTGTAGGAAATAAAGATTATCTAACATGCCTTTTCTCTTTGTCTCCCTCCAGCCCCACTTGGCTGTAGGCAGCAACGACTACTACATGTCCATCTACTCAGCAGAGAAGAGGCTCAGATAACACACCAGCATTCATCACCCCCCATCTCCCCAACAAAACCACCATATGACTTCTGACCCTGAGCCTCGAGCTCCGGGATGTAAATGACATTTTTGTTGTACATATGCAATTACCACCCTGAATGTTCTAGTAATGGCTGCTGACAAAAACTCATGCTACGAACGATATATATTATTATTATTATTATTATTTCTCATTGTTTATTCATGTTCTTATTATGAAGCTAATGATTGTAGACTTGGCTGTGCTGAGGAGTGTGTATATTTAAATAGCGTATACAGAGGAATAGAGGTTCTATTTTAAAGAAGTGGTACCCTCGATCACTGGGGCTCCTCCTCGCCGCGCAGCGAGCATCACTACCTGAATGAACTGTAAACCCCAACGAAAGTGGCAAGTGGGGGTAGGGCGGCCGCACAGAGGACGACACACACTGTTAAAACACATTCACTGGTGCAGGAAACACAGACTCGCCCTCCGCTGGACCCCGGGGTGTTTATAAATTAATTTTAATGACCGTCTTGCAGTCAAAGGACACAGCTTTGCTCCTTTGCTGCCCCCCTGGCAAGACTTTGGTATGGACGGACCCAGAGACGGTGGACTGTGCCCATTCTTGCCTGACACGGCGACCAGGCAGACATGATGAGTGTTTGTTTGTGCGTGTGTGTGTGTTAAAGTGGATTATAGCACAGATGCGCCCCATAGTGGGCCTTCACAGCCTTGGACTGAATCGATGCCCCAAAAATGCTTGCTTCCATGCTTGAACTCTCCTTCTCTACCTGACCCCAGCGTGCCAAACATATACTCATATTTTCCATGCAAGATCCTTTCTTGTGGCTCAGAGGGATGTTTTTGTTGGTTTATTTGTTTTTTAATTCATCACCTGTAAAAAAAAAAAAAAAAAAAAGGGAAGACCTCCATCGCCCCTAGGATGATACAACCTCTTTATATCTAGCAGATGTAAGAGGAGGGCTAGATTGGTAGAACCTAAGCACCCAGTCCTTTAGTGAGCCTTAGGTACCTGCCTTCCTGCCCTGCAAAGCAATAAAAAAAAAAAAAGCTCCCATGATTCAGCCTCAAGCTCCTCCCTCGACGCTTCCAATAAAAAATAGCATTTCACTTTGAGGCGATAACAGCACCGCATGCCGCCGTTAGCTTAGGACAGTTCCTAGAACCCAACCCAGAGGTGCCACAGTAAAGCAATACAAACACACTAATTTCCATTCATAGCAGTGTAAATTCTTTTTTATATATATATACACACACACACACACACACTTAGAGTGCCAGATAGGTGTGTTTTACCCCATCTACTACCAGTGACAGGAAAGACATCAATCAAATTGATTTTCCTGAAATTGTCTAAACTTTCCGCTAATCAATATGTCCAAATCCTCCAGGCACCGTAGGTTTAGAGACCTTCTAGGTTATGTGACTCACCACACTAGGGATCACCTGCCCCCCCCACCATCTTTGAGTTTTTATTTTGAGTTTATTGTGTGGTTGGATTGTGTTTAACAAAGTTAGAGGCATAACGTGAATAGCATGTTAATGGGTGGCATCAGATCTGGACCTGTACATGCTCACTTTGTCAAGTTTTAGTCAGCGTCCTAAATCTCGCTCAGGAACTTCATGAGCCCCCTAAAACTGATGTCGAGCAACTGCCAGCCCTCTCCAGCATGGACAGGTCAGTCAGTGTCACTCCACAGATCATTGAAATTGTTGACGTAAATGTCATTGTGGTGCTGTTTGATGAAGACGCTTCTTTATTAGAAAGGAGTTTTGTTTTTTTGTGTGCAGTATCACCGTTGACGTGCCTCATCTCTGGGGCTGCAGCTTTGCTTCTTTAGCTTCTTTTTTATTTTTAACCGTTTTCTTTCTGTTTTGCAATTTTAGGTTTTTAATTCTGCTGGCATTTTGTTTGCCTTAGCCTCAGTGAGGTGGAGAGAAACAAGTGGGGACAGCCTTACTCTGACACACTCACTGCACTAAAATTGCTCCCGCCGTGCCCCCTTTCATTGCCAACGTAACCCAACAGCCTCCTTTCTTTCCTGCCATGCTCACCTCACCCCTTCTGCATCAGACTTGGGCTTTGCTTTACCCCCGCAGAAGGTATGGACGTTTGGACTGAAAGTGAACTGGGAACACGCACCAAACCGTCTGTATAAGCGGCTGCAATTGCAGTCACCACAATAGTCCCCACCGACACCCCATCACTGAGCTCATCTGCTTCATTGGCTCAGCCAAAATAGTGCATTTTGGCGTCGGGCCATTTGCTCAGAATCACATTCATCTCTAAGTATACTGCTTTGAGTTTTAAGATTTTAGATCTGAAGAAAAAGAAGAGACTTTAAGAAAGAAGTAAGAGAGGAAAAATGAAAACAATCAGGTTTGTCTCTGTGACTTTAGACTGACTGTGGTTTATAAGACAGGAGATGAAATCAATTAAATAAACCAAATACAACACCGGATTTAGTCTTGTTTTCTGGCATTTGCATTTCAAACAACATTATGCTCTGGTCCTCCGTATTTTTTTTCTACATCTGCATTATAAAAATCTTCATGTAGATCAGTTTTGGAGCCAAAGCGTACTTAATAATTTTCAGTATTAAGCCTTCAAGTCTCGGGTCAAAAACTGCATTTTGTACTTCCATTTGTCAGCCTCTCAAAGTCTGATATTAGCTTCAAATATGGACTGGATTAAAATCTGGATATAAAACTGAATTTTCTATTTGTATTAAAACTTTATGATAAATTCTTCTAAACACAGTGAACATGATGCAGTCTTGATGCGTTTGAGAACACTTAAATATCATTTTTGAAGTCAAGACAGACAAAATTAAATAATTACAATGAATTTAACTGATTATTTTAGACTTGTTTTTTTCTTTCCTGCTTTTTAAAAACATTTAAAGGGTTACTGCAGTGATTTAGTATTGCACTTCCATATTATGGGCAGACCCAAAAGAGAGAGAATGACAAAAAAGGAATTGTCAAAATTGAGGCAGTAGAGGTCAAGGTATCTTGACTTTAGCCCTAAAGTATGGGGGCAAGCCTAAAAATGTTGGGGGATAACCCACAAACCATGATGGCACCACAGACTGATCATGTCTTTTATTTCCCAGGTATATGGTATCACTGGACATGACTATTAAATTAACTTTGTCATGTAAAATAAGTGGAGTGCTGCAGCCCTGAAGGTTTGAAGAATTTCTATCTTGGATCTGGATTGGCCATGAAACAAGAATGTAATTTGAATATGCTTTATGTTGGTTGTTGTAGCTAACTGGGTCTAGCTAGCATGACAGATGGTTAACCTGCTGCAAGGCTGAGGGCACGTGATTGGTTGAAAGGTGAGGCGGCAACACTGTTAAAAACCAAATTCATTCACCAATGGTACACCTGGGTAGGTCATGATGAAAAGTTTGTGTACCAGTGAAAATGGTTCCACCTTCATGTGTCCTCTAAAGACCAAGCTGAGAAGATTTCTGTCAGTGAAAACAGTTTTCAGTAGCTGAGCCAAGCTATTATCGTCACTTCAGGAAATGTGTTTTGCTGCACAGAGAATGTTGTCGCTGTCTTGTTCTTCGCTCTACCTGCGCCGGCCCTGCCAGCCAAGGTCAGAGGTCAAAGGCCTGACTGACTGGAACCCCAAGCAGTACAAAATTTCACACACATACACACGCACAGATGAAGGAGACCACAGGAGAACATTCCACAACAGCAAAGAGTCGGGTGGCATGAACATCCTGAGGAAACAACACTCACTTCCTGACAAATTAAGCCAAGCCGATGGCTGCTCGGGTTGATAACCGCCACCGCTGGCTGACCACTGAGTGGCTGAGGTATAGCACCACCTTAGTGTCCGCTCCCGCCCACCAGAATCAGATCTGCCCCACACACGCAGTCAGCCAGCCTAGTCACTAGTCTGTTACCCTCCAGGACAGCCAGCAACGTTGGGAGCCTCAGTGTCCCTAAGGCAGGATGGGCCTCCTACTACTGCTGACCTTCACGCTCTTGTCCAGCTGTAAGACTGCTGACCTTGTAGATTAATCTTTAGGAACAATTTGGATATCTCTTTTTTTTTTTCTGGAGGTGGTTGATTGATTTGTCTCTAACCTGGTACTTTACTCTCTTATCTTGCTCCAAGACTTCCATCCAGGCAGAGTGGTGAACGCACAGCCAAGTAAGTACAATCTAAGATGAATTAAAGACACAAAATCTGGGATTAGATTTGTCTTCACACAGAGACAGTTTACTGAATATCTTGCTCACAAATGTCACTGGTTGGAGCAGAAGGTGGAGTTAAAAACAAGGCCCAATGTTTGTGGAACATTATTGCCTTAAAAAGTTGGAAGACACTACAAGAGAGACGCATGGTCAGTCATTGGAAACAGTCCTGTTTGTTATCAGAGCTTTCTGATCGTTGGTGTCTGTCGGTGGAAAAGCGATGGGAACATGTTGGCGATCAGTTTCACACGCCTCTCTGCCGTGTTGAGTTGGTTGGGGGTGGAAGGCATGAGTCAGTCCGTATCAGTTGTACTTGTAGAGATAGAGGGAATGTCCAGTTGTGATTGTGTAGATTATTCCTCTTGAATGTTTTTAGTGACTGAAGAGGTGAACAATCCATATTTAATAAATCAACTTAATAAAATGTAATGATAATAATATCATTGTAATATTAATATCACTAGGATATGAAACCGACTAGACTTTCTAGGCATTTCAAAAAGTACTTAGAATTAAGTTTACTTACAGTATATGGATCTTTTTTACATCAGATGTCAAAAAGTGAAAACCAGAAAAAATTATAACTAATACGTGCTGATTTTTATATTTTCTTTCCACTTGCTCTTGCAACTCCTCAGATTCATATTAGGGGATGTACTTAATATAAAACTAAAAGTACTCATTCTGCAGAAAAATAGTCCCTGTGCCTGACATATAATTATATACAATATTATTAAGTCGATGCCCTTTTCTCAAGTAGGATATACTGTGTTGATGTGGAGCTAATTTGAACTACTTTTTGGTAGTTCAGTCCACTGGTTCCAAACTAGGGGCCGGGCCCCCTATAAAGGGTCAAAAGATAAATGTGAGGGGTGTTTAAAAGATTTATGGGAGAGAAAAGAAGAAAGTTCTGATACACAAATTGTATGTTTTGTTTTGTTTTTTTTCTTTTCTATGCTCTTTGGACCATCTTTGCTCTTTCATGAAATATTGCATAATTTTAACTCTTTGGGCCTTGAACAATTATTTAAATGAAACCATCTGAGAAGTTTAAAGAGGAAATTTCCCTTTGGTAGAAATGAGTTTAATCTTTAATTATATATTTTATAGATTGTCACATTTAATGTAAAAATCTAAATCTCAAATTTAATTATAGCTGTCAGATAAATGTAGTGGAGTTAAAAATACAATATTTCCTTGTTTTGTAGCATAAAATGGAAATACTCAAGTAAAGTACCTCAAAATTTTACCACACCTGCTGTGACTCATGCCATATCGACAGCCCAGAGTAAATCTCTGCCCTGCACGTCTGATTTTTCTCATCATCAGCCCTGCCAGGTCCTGCTGAATGATGCTGGGTGTGGGCCAAATTCAGCAGGCTCTGAAATGGTGAAAAGTCCCCCAAGTGGCCTGTTTGTCTAACAAAGTGCTTTTCTTGCCATTTTTTTCTTGTTCTCCGGGTTTGTTTACTGCCCCACAACAGCAGCCTGTTGTCCCTGATACTCGACCATATGGGTGATGTTGTCAGGAGGCTTGACGTATGTGTACAGATGCTTTCTGTCTCGGAAAACTCAACTTTTTTGAGATTGGCTTTGAGAGAGGTTCAAAGTGTTCGGATGTTAATGACGCAGTTCGGCTACTGTAATTCATCCGTAAGTAATTAAAAACGTTCTGAAAGTAAACCATGAACGATAACCGTGAATAGGTCAAAAAAGTTTGGTATGAAAAAGGAAATGATCGACTCATGAGGCTGGATCCAGAAATAAAAGTACAAACTTTAAATTGTGTCAATAAGACAACATTTCTGATGTGTAAAAAGACAACCGGGCTGGCTGTCCTTTCTTGTCTTTGACAACTCAAGTGGCCATTTCATACCTGTAAGATCAGTGATCAGTGGGAGGATGCCAAACTCTGAGCCTATCAATGACTCTCTTTATCTCTTCTCCAAACAAGTTGCTTATAATAGCCAAAAAATAATCAAGGTCAGGTCCAGGTGCATAAAGACTCTCCTTTCCTAATTCCATTGTCTGGCATTGCATTTTACAGTTATGCATTCAGCATTGTTTCTTGCGTGAGTTTCATATCCAGTTTGGATGCTGCGGCATGATTAAATTTCATGATAACATAGCAGCTTCCTGAGTGCCATGCTGATACTCAATTTTATGGCAACTACAATAGAAATTTCAGTGCTAGTCATTTCAAATATGCCAGCAAAATGACCATTCAGTCGTGTTGATTGGAACAGGAATGGGAAGTGATTAAAAGGAAATTCTATTCAAACCTTGTCTGTGCAAACTGTGACGCATGTGGATGTAAAAGCTCAAAGGAAGGAGGGGAAAGCTGCACACTCAAGACTCCAATGCAGTCCTTCATATTTATGATTGGGCACTTCTTGCCTTCCTCTTGATAAAAAGCTGGAATCATCTGATACACATATATATTTAATATGTCCTATCTATGAGCCAGCAAAGACAAAATAGAGAAAAACACACAATTAGAAAAAGATTCTTATATTTGGATAAACCATTGAAAGAATAGACAGTAAAACTATCTCCATGTTTCCCCTACAACACACAAGGTTGAGCAAAAAAAGACAAATGTGTCTAAATATACAGTGTACTATATCTGTTAAGTAAAGGTGTACAAATAAGAAGAATAACAGAGAGAATGTTTGCTAAACAGAAAACATTTAGGCGTGTAATTGTAGTAGTAGTTATTTACAATCTTACATACGACATTACGATGCAAACAAAGAACTTTCTCTCCTCTCTCAGACTCTACGCTTTATTTGTAATCATCCAACCAGAAGAAGACATCTGAGACAAAGGACATTTAACTAAAATTTATAGCCCTCAACATTTTGATAAATGGATGAGAAGATTGAACCCACTCTCATTTCTCTGCACTGTAAATATCAAGCTAGTTCCAGGTGTCATTAGCTTAGCTTAGCATAAAGAAAAAGCGTGAAACTGCAATCATAGCTCTGTCCAATGCTCAAAATCCATCTACCTGCACCTCTAAAGCTCATTGATCAATGATCAACACGTTGTATCTGCTTTGTTTAATCTGTATATCTAAAATGACACATTTTGGTTTGACAGGGAGTTGCTGAACTCTCTAAATGCTAATCTCAGCTAAGCTACTCTAGCTCCATAGTTAACACACAGACATATGAGTTTAATTAAACTGTTGAAAACAGTAGAATAAAATGGACCTCGCCTTCAGTCTCATTTAAGTCACAGTTTTTTCTCAAGGAACCATAAAACAATAGTCATAGTGTACCTCAACATGCTATAACTGCACTCATCTGGCTGGGTGGGAACTGTCCTTTAGTATCCTTTGGGCTCTGAGTAGGCACCTCACCGATATCACTGATGCTCAGGAGATGGGTACCAATGATCTTCTAAGCAAATTTACAGACCCGCTGCAGAGCCCTCCGGCTCTGGGCCGTGCACATCCCATGCCAGTTTGTGATGTTTCCAGTCAGGATGCTTTCTATTGCTCCTATATAAAAGCTGACAAGAACTTGGCGCGGGAATTTGCCCTTCCTAAGCTTCCTCAAGAAATATAGTCATTTCTGAGCTTTCTTCACCTGCGTAGAGATGTGAGATGACCATGTCAGGTTCTCTGTGATGCTGATTCCCAGGAACCTGAAACTCTATTCACCTGCTCCACCTCAACTCCACTGATGTAGACAGGAGTGGGTATCTTTATCTTTATCTCCTTCCTAAATAGGCTACATTAATGTCACATGCAAAATTTTAAAACCAAGTAGTAAAATTATAAAGATGTATTTTTTCTATTGTTCTTTGAGTAAATATATATAATTAACCCACATTGAAAAGAGAACATGTTACTGTATATATGAACTCATAGTGAAGCAAGACCATTAAGAAAAAGTCTAAAAGGTCGAATGTAAAAGCTTGGACATAAGGCATCAAAGTCAACCTTTTTTCAGTGTGGTAGATTAGCTTGTACATTAAGTTAAATTAATTTTTTTTATTCTCTCCCTAGCATTCATAATAAAAGACATCACCCTGTCCATCGAGCCCAGTATTAATGTGACTCGGAACACAAATGTGACTCTGAGGTGCAAGGCCATTGTCAGCAGCTTGGGGCAGGAGGTGCTGAGCCGTGAGTACACTATTTCCAAGGACGGCGTGACAGTCTACACCAAGACCACCAGCACCTCTGAGGATCTTCTGTACAGTCTGCGCGAGGCCAGAGTCTTCAACACTGGCAAATATGCATGCAAGATAAAAATCGAAGATAAAGAGAGGACCAGCAAAGCCAAGAAACTCACAGTAACAGGTTGGTTTGTTTTTAGGGATACAGGACTCTCCCTTGTGGTTTGAGAAGTTCAGGTTTATCTGAATGTGTTCGGGTGAAGTTAATGAGTAATTTTTATTTCAAAAGATACTACAGCAATTTTTAAAATGTGTTTAAGTTAAATATCTGTCAATAAGATTGTCCAAAAACATTTTAATTGAATCTGGTGGAGGAACAACTGGATCTGAGATTTTTGCCTTTACACAATTAGCATTTTTATGCAATAATAAATCCCATAGATGTAAGGGGAGAAAATGTAAATAATGTAAGTACATGAAAAGTTTATTTAATATAGCATCTTTCACAGATCCAAGTCACAGAGTGGTTTACAAGAGCAAAATATTAAAAATAAGACCATCAAAAAAACAACAATAAAACATCATAAAAACGGTAAAATAATCAGTTAATAAAACATAAGCAATAACAGACCTTAAAACACAAAGAGACAAACAGCAGTTTAAATAAAGGAGCGTTGGAAACAAAATGTTTGTGCAACATTGGCAAAAGATAGTGCTGTTTAATTTTTGATTACTTCTGAGCGTGTTTCTTGCGTTTTGGGTTTCCAGGCCTGTCAAAACCAGTTCTCTCACTTAACAAGCACGTGGTCAATGAAGGGGAGGAGCTAAAGGCCAGGTGCACAGCGCCCGGTGAGACGGGCTCCATTTTCTTCTTCTTCTACGACAACTCCGAAGAGATCCAAAGGGAGCAGAACAATTCAAACCAGGCAGAGGTCATGATTCGCATCAGCGGGGGCGACCACAAAATTCAGTGTGCCTATAATGTCCTTATAACGCCAGACTCCATCAAGTCTGAGATGAGCAACACCATCAATGTTAGAGTCAAGGGTAAGTAGCATTTTGAAATTGTGGAACTTTTCAAAGCATTGGACCTGTCTAAGGGTGTCTTCGTTGATTGTGTCTCCTTAGAGCTTTCAATCTCACCAGTTTTGGAGATTTTCCCTCAGTACACTGTCTATGAAGGAGACCAACTCAACATCTTGTGCAACATCAGCAACCTCAGTCACAACTCTGACAGTGCCCGACTCTACCTGGTCCAGGGGACCAAGCTTCTCAGCAGTGGAGGCACCACTATCAACCACAGCATGGTCGCACTGGCAAAGGACCCTGGGAAGTTTGAGTGCCAATTAGTGATTGGAAGTGTAGAGAAAGTCACCACAAAGCAAGTTTTAGTGACTGGTGAGTGGACATTGTACAAATTGACGGTCAGCATTAATTATATTCGTATGGAGCCTACAAGTATGGAGTCCCAAAACTGACAAAATATAGTAACATATTATCACTAAAAAATATAACTGAAAACATCGATAAATAATTAAAATTGAGTGTAGAAAGAAATCTAGACCTCTCCAGTAACTTACAGTTATTGTTTCAGTAATAAGATCTTTTCAGTAACTTAGTTATTGGCTAGTTTTATTAAATTACATTATACAAATAATCTGATAACTTTAGCTTAAGTTACAGTGCATTCTTTGATGCAACACTTCTTTGTAAGGCTTAATGAACAGTATAAGCTCTCATGTACTAGATATTCTCTGGATCCCAGTTTGTATTTTGTGCCCCACTATAACTTTTGCTAGGAAGCTTCTCCATATTCACCTCTGTTAATAGTCCTCATGTGAAATATACCCAAAACAAAATACTTGACGGCGGGTGATCGGTACAGCGCATGTGAAACTCAACAAAGATGAGAAGGAAACGACATAGCTACTTTCATACAGTAAAGTTTACTTTTGTTGTCATAAAAATTGGATTATGTGCTGGGCCGCCAATTCAATAGGGCTGTTGTAGACTTTTCGTTCAGAGGGGGGGCCATAGGGGGGTTACAGGGGCACTGGCCCCTGTTGACTCTCCCCAATATGGTTAAGGCCCTGGACATTATATGGTGCAAAGAAACTTGTTGAACGGTGGTGGATAGTTTTGTACAGAACCTGGTGGGGAAAAAATAGAAAGAAAGGCCCTTTTCTCAAAATGAGTTTTTCTCTGGGCCAGAAATCTCCACTTCAGTAGCGCTTACATATAACAAACTTTCCAGTTGTATTCTATTCTATATCCTGAGGGGTTTTTTTACAGAGGGGGTTGTTCATATATAATTCATAGTCTGATGTATATAATAGTTTATTCCTAAAAACATTGCAATAATGGCTGTTGTCAGTAGTGGGGCAGTGATGGAACAGTGGATAAGATGCATGCCTTTGGTGTGAGAGACCCATGTTCCATAAATGTAAATTTATGGAGAAAAGAGATATCCAAAATCCCCTTAATGTAGGTAATCGGCTGGGGACATTTCATTACACCTATGCTGTCTTGCCTTTTGTACGAACATTTGTCAGGCTATATATGATCAATACTTTGGTAATCAGTTTGCCGTGGATTAGAGTTTCAATGTGTGTCTCTGTGACAGCTGATAATGGTATAGATCACCGGCTTTAGATGGAAAATCCATCCATCCATCCATCCATCTCCATCCACTTATCCGGGATCGGGTCGCGGGGGGAGCAGCTCCAGCAGGGAACCCCAAACTTCTCTTTCCCGAGCCACATGAACTAGCTCTGTCTCGGGGGATCCCGAGGCGTTCCCAGGCCAGTGTGGAGATATAATCTCTCCACCTAGTCCTGGGTCTTCCCTGAGGCCTCCTCCCAGCTGGACATGCCTGGAACACCTCCCTAGGGAGGCGTCCGGGAGGCATCCTTACCAGATGCCCAAACCACCTCAACTGGCTCCTTTCAACGCAAAGGAGCAGCGGCTCTACTCTGAGCTCCTCGCGGATGGCCAAGGGATCTCTAAGGGAGACACCAGCCACCCGCCTGAGGAAACCCATTTCTGCCACATGTACCCGTGATCTCGTTCTTTCGGTCATGACCCAGCCTTCATGACCATAGGTGAGGGTATGAGCGAAAATCGACCGGTAGATCTTTTCGCCACAACGGTGCAGTAAAGCGAGTGCAATACCACCCCCGCTGCTCCGATTCTCTGGCCAATCTCCTGCTCCAGTCTACCCTCACTCGTGAACAAGACCCAGAGGTACTTGAACTCCTTCACTTGGGGTAAGGACTTATTCCCTACCTGGAGTTGGCACTCCACCGATTTCCTGCTGAGAACCATGGGCACAGATTTAGAGGTGCTAATTTAGGAGTTCCTCAAAGTGTTCCTTCCACCGCCACCGCATACAGTATATAAGCTATCATGATATTTTAACAATGAGTGTTCTAGCCTTCTCCTGTGCGCATCCTCCTTTGTCTATGAATGGGGAACCCATCTATTAGGTATTCAAAAAGTTTGTTATTTGGGAAAAATAATGGAAATAGATAAATGGCATAATGTATACCCCCCCCCCCCACACACACACACACACACACACACACACACAAAATAGGGATTTCAAATTTGTTTCCGTCTGATAATATCTTACTACATTTTGTCATTTCTGGGGTTCCATACATATCAGTATTTGAACTATTAAATTAATCAATGCATAGAATGACTTGCCGTGTTTTTAAAAATCTATCCACAGAGCTGTTTTCAATGCCCACTCTCACCATGTCTCCTGCTGAAGTCTTTCAAAAGGAAAATATGACCCTAACCTGCAAAAGTGAGAGCTATGCCTCTGAAAGACTCAGAATGGAGGAGCTGACTTACACTCTTGATCCACCCAACAGCCTACTGAGCCCCAGGGATATTGGAGTATTTTCTGGCAAGGCCCTGCAGTATGATTTCAACTATACCTGTGTAGCTCAAGCAAAGGGCATCACGAAACACAGTGAAACCCTTACTGTACGTCCCAGAGGTAAGATTCCTTGATCCCTCTTTCACATGCAAATTTTGACACATAGATTAAGAGTGGATTTAAGGCATGCACCTCATTACATACACGTGTCAGAAATTTTACACGTTGGTCAGTCACTTTTACATAAAGTCACAATGGTGTCCTTTTTAGGTCAGTTGGACCTTTAATAATATAATTTTTTATATTATTTAACTTTATTATAAATTTATTATACTTTTATAATAATAATAATTAAGCATTAGTAACATTTCTGTAAAATGTCCTACGCAGTGCAAATCTACAATGATTAAAGGTTCAGTGTAAGTTTTAGTGACATCTTAGTGGTGAGAGCTGCGAATTGCACCCCCCTACCCTACCCAAGCAAGCAGTATAGCTACGGTGCCTGAGACAGGACAAAGATGTCCTCTATGAGATAAAAGAGATTGCCAGTCAAGAAATTAGGTTTCTTTTAGATATATTAAGAAATTATATAAATTATGTAAAACCATATGTTTTTCTGAATATTATTATTACTTTTTCATTACTAAACAACAGCCACATGAAGTGATGAAGTACTACATGATGTGTCATACTCCTGTAATACATTATTTTACATCTTGGGAGGGTTGGCTCATCTGGACAAACATACCAAAGTAAATGAAGAAATTCTCAAACACTATCACATCTAGTGCATCAGGTATGACCACTGACAGATAACAGGACAATGTAAGGCTCACTGTTTCTGCACCACAGTCCATTATAAACCACAGAATACATGAAGTTTACAAAGGCATAGTCAGGTGAGAATCAAGGTTCCTCTGGCTTTGCTTAATTAGATAAGCAATCTGCAAAAATTACCAAAATGTCTTTTTAAATTTTTTAAATACAGCAGAAACACAAAGTAGTGCTGACGGCCATAATTTTAGTATGTGGTAAAACGGTGCAACGTTTGTAATGGGCTTTTAGCATGTAAAAGTACAAATTACATATTTGTGTGCACAGTGGGAAGCAAAATCCAATAAGTTTTTTCATGCAAATTTGGAAAGTATTCATTATTGGTCACTTGATAGGCACACGGTCTTGTTATATATCACCATTAGCAGTAAAAAGAAATACATGTTTTCCACCAGGGCAGTAAGATGTGAAGTTTAGCTGCTGATCTGAGCTTCCCTGCTGTTACTGTTTCAATACCAATAATATTCATCAGGTGTTTTTCTCAGGAAGGTAAGGGCGCATTTCTGTCCACGTAACAAAGCCATAACAGAGGCTGGAGAAGAACTACATGAAGTTACAATCCAACTACATATTTTTTCTACAAGCGCAGTAAAAGTTTAGCTGGCTGATCTGAGCTCCGATGCTGGAAGCTGCCGTTTTATTGCCAATTAGTGATCAGCTGATTCTCAGGAAGGTAACAGACAAAGTCAAAACAGAGCGCTAGAGAGAGAGAGAGAGAGAGAGAGAGAGAGAGAGAGTCACTACATGAAATTAATCCAACTAACTGTATAAACCACAAGCCAAAGCACAGCGCTGGAGAATAAACCAATCCATCTAACAATAAATGTTTTTCAGTCAGTAAAGGTTTGGCTGATGCTTCCATGATCTAAACTAAAGTTACCATTTTATTGCCAATTAATGTTACTGATCAGCTGATTGTCTAGCTAAGTAACCAGTGCTCTGATAATCTATGCTGCATATTTGATAGGGCCCCTGAAATGATGTTATAATATAATCAAAAAACAGAATATGTCATAATACTGTGAGAGTTATAACTTTATGGGATTGGAAAAGGGAACACATAAGGTTGCATTTTTCGATAGGGCAGAGCGATTTGATCGACTCTGCTGTCGATTTGCGCTATGGTAGCATTTTTCGACAAGGCAGCATAGATCCTCAACACCAGCGAAAGTCGGACACAATTTCTAACCAGCATGCCTTGTTTTAAGTCCAGCATGCATCACATTAAGTCAGCGCTGCACAGCGCTGCATGAGGTCAAACGCACCTATTGTCTCATTCTATGGTCTTTATGCACAGCTGAAAATATGCACTGCATTTCTGTCAATAGATCCTCAGAAATATTGCACACTGAACCTTTAACATAAAGGTGTGAAAGGTTTAAGTAAGGGTTTGCACATATTGGGAAATGCGCTATTCACTCTCTTGCTAAGAGTTAGATGAGAAGATTGACAAATAACCAGGACATAGTTAGCTTAGCATAAAGACTGGAAACAGGGGAAACAGCTAGCCTGGTTCAGTGCAGAGCTTTTGTTCCTGCTGCTATAGGCTTCTTTAATAATTCAATGTGAGAAATGGAGCTTTTATGTAGTATGTACTTGTTTTGTTTCTTACTGATGGTGGTTGTTGTTTGTGTATGTGTTATTTATATTACATCCTGCTGCTGCTGCACAACAAATTACCCCTCGGGGATAATAAAGACTCCTTGAACTTGAACAAACTATTGTCTGTGGGTGAAAAGGCGAGAAAGCTAAATAAGCTTATTTCCCAGAATGTCAAACTTCTGGGAAATAAGTCTTACATTCTTCAGCAACTAAACTGTTGACAAGTTAGCCAATAGCTGGTGAACATAGGGAGCATTAAGCAAATAAAAAGCAGATATTTCCTTCAAAGTTAGTAGAGAGTAAAAACAACTTGAAGACGAGTACATATTGGACATTCACTTGGTGGATAAAACACAACTCCTACCGTTACATCACTGTAGTTTTAAACACAACGCTGTTCTCTGTTCTCCAGAAGTGACACAGCTTCCTTTTGCACACTGCAAGGTGCTAAATATTGTGTCAGTATTGTGCTTCTCTCTGTAAAAGTAACTGAATAAAGATGCAAGGAGCATTCAATGACAAAAGCATAAAGCCAGCTAGGTTAGGTAATTAGGTTTTCAATTAGCGAACAGGGGTTTTGTTTTTTGTTTCACAGACTTTGTCCACAGCAATACACACAGCAAGTGTATTTTATTTGTCTCCTCTTCTTCAGTTTCTGTCTCCACTCCAAAGATCTCTGTGGTTGGCAGGGCAATTCTAGGACAGCCCTTCACAATCCTCTGTCAGTCGGACACAGGCAGCCTGCCGATAAATTACACTCTGTGGAAGGATAACGAACACCTGAGCACAACCAGCGTCAAGCAGTCCTTTGAAAAAGCTATCTTCACAGTCACCATCACCAAGCCTGAGGAAATAAGCAAGTTCATGTGCAAGGCCCAGAATAGAAACAAGGACAGTCCAATCAGTGAAAGATTGACTACTAAAGTCATAGGTAAATATTCAAGCATGTTTATCCATTTTATTTTATTAGTTTATTTTCAATTTGCTTTATCAACAGTGGTCAATAAATCCAGATCAATCATAGAAATGCCACATAGTTTTGATGAGCCACTACAGATCTATGCCAGCTTTATAAAAGGGCGTATAAAGTAGCTTTTGACAAAACAATAACCTCATATCGACGTTTTCATTTTTCAAAGGAACAGTTTGACATTTAGAGAAATACACATATCTGCTGTCTTCCTGAGAGTTAGATGAACAAACATGACAGTGATTTTGAACTAACTCTGCATAACAAAAACAAATGTTGAACCATTTACTTTAACGTAATGAGGGTGTCTGATTAAGTTCTTCTTATATTTTAATGACACAATAAAACCTCACTTTCTATTTGACAGTGTTATCTGATCTCACTACTTTTCCACCACCTTTTCGTCTCCCAGTGCCTCTGACGAACACGACTCTGACCGTCCTCCCATCCCCAGGAGAAATCTCGGAGGGAGATCGTCTCTACCTCATATGTGGTGTTTCAGGCACACCACCGGTCACCTTTAAGTGGTACCGTGAGGGCCGTGAACAGCCACTGCATACCACCACCTCCAATGACAACAACACAGACTACCAAGTCTCTCCGTTGTCCAAGGGGCACAGCGGCAGGTACTACTGCGAGGCTGTCAACTACGCCAACAACGCAATTCAGAGTGAGCGGGTCACTGTAGAAGGTGAGACTGGGGGGAGGGACCCAACCTACTCCAGACTTGCTGTTCTGTGATTGACCCTGACTTTTCTACTTCGTGCTAAAAAAGAATCCTTTATGGAAATGGTGGGGAGCTTATGCTGCACGTACACAAAACAAAAGCTAAGAATCTAGGGAGAGAAATTAAATTTTAAGGTGTCTGCAGATTAAGTACAAAGCCAATTTTACCTTACCCACAATCTTGCTTGTGCCTCCGGCTAGTCCTGACTTTTCCCCCATCCTGTGCAGCCGTGATGTAGTACAACCAGTGCATAGTAAAGTTTAACAGGCTGCTTTTAACCTACAGAGGTCAGTTCAGCAAAATAAAATCTCCACATAATATCTAGGTAGCAGTTACTTTTCAATGGCTCAGTTTATTTTTGCAGTTTGCCTTTATTCACCACAAGCAGCCAACTCACAGCTGCCCATGTTAGATACAGCTAGCTTACAACACACAAGCATAGGCTTTGTGTGTCTGTGTCTGTCTGTGTGTGCATGCTTGTATCTGAGCTCTGACTAGCACTGATCTCAAAACATACCAGGAAGTCTAATACCATCCATACATCCATCGTCAACCGCTTATCCTGCATACAGGGTTGCTGGAGCCAATCCCAGCTTACATGGGGCGAAACGCAGGGTACACCCTGGACAGGTCGCCAGTCAATCGCAGGGGGAAGTCTAATACTTTCTACTGCAATATTTGCACTGTTTTATGGACAGCATTCAGAAAAAGTTTTTAGTATTTCACTTTCAAAAATTTGTGGGATTTGAGGCATAGTTTAAAACAAGACCTTACAGCCAAACTAGCAGTTCTGTGAGGCTGGAATAAAGGCTAAATGGCTTATAGTGCTCACAGTGACAATACTAACCTGCCAATGTATAGCAGGTACAATGTTTAGCATTTATTTTACATTTTGGACTTTAGCATTTTACATTAATGTATAACTTTGCACGCTTTGACGCTGGTTTTTTGCATTGTTTTTATAACGAGTGGTTCGTTGGTGTACTGCTGCTGTGACTCGTAACCATCTATTCATCAGTTAACACGAAACATAAAGTACAGCTGAAGCTCTCATTAGTTTATCAGGTATTCAGGTATAAACCAAAGTACTGGACAAAACAAATTTGACCTGATGATTGCACTAGATAAAAAGACAAGGGATCACCAAAGTGAAGTTATTTCATCCTGACCCTTAATCTGTCTTGAACATTCTTTGTTATCTTGTCCCATTTTATTCCCTCCCCTTTTTTCCCCTTGTGTTTTTGTTTGTCACTGACTTCCCCTTCTTTCTCTCTCTTTCTCTCTCTGTCTCTCTCTCCATAGTGGGCCTGGCGATGTGGAAGAAAGCGATGATCGGGGGGTTCTCTCTGCTCGTGTTGTCAGTGGTGGCGGTGGTGTGTGTGTTGTACTTCAAATCCAAGAGAGGTAGAGAGACCCACAGTCCTCCAGCAAATCAGGCCTCTTATGTCTAACTATGTATGAAAAACCACCTTCCTGCGCCTACTTCCTCCTGCTCTTCTTCTCACCTCTTCTCTCCTGTTGTAGGTAAAAGAGAACCAGCTGCTGAATTGTCAGTGTGAGTTTGCTCCACTACTTGCTTACTCTGAATTTGACAGATAGGCTTCAGTTGAAGTTAGTCACTCTGTATCTAGTTAAATTAGCTGGGTTTGATGGCTGAAGTTTTATGAGTTTTGCGTTTCTGTTCTACCATACTGGCTGTTTTGCATTTTTGTACAATAAAAACTTTTAGATTGATTTCCTACCTCCCTGATAGTATTTAGTTAAATATTAGCATGATATGAAGATTAACTTTCGGAAACTTAAATTCGCTTGAGATAGGCAATACTGGGCATTTTGACAGCTTTGTTTTTTGTGATGCTTTTCCAAATGGAAAACTCACAATTTCTGGTGTGTTCAAGAAGGCTCTGACATCAGCCATTTCACTGTTTTGGAGTCTCTGCTGGTTGTCTGTCAGCCTCACGATGATGACAAGAATCAGGGATGTTACTGCTCCTGGCCAAGAAATAGTCACCAAACCCTACTTTGTTTTTGTACGAATTAAACAAACTAGATATAACATGTTAATTAGTTCGCTTCAGATGTGCCAGTAGGCACATTTTGTTAACTGTTTCCACCTGTCTCTTGACAACAGCTTCATATTTAGCGTACACGCATGTTAGGGGTATCAATCTTCTCATCAAACTCTGCAAGACGGCAAATAAAAAAGAGGCTAATAGTAGGACTATTATTTTGTGTAATATGTGCAAGTCATGAAGGTAGCGTTAAAGGTGCATGATTCTCCTTGGATATTAAAATGTATGTTATGAATAAAAATTGTTGTTTGTTCTGACAATTAGTGGCACTATGGAGCAATTTATTTTTACATTGTTTGTTTGTGCACATGCACAAGGACCCAGTGTACCCACATGAGGCATGAGGGGCACATTACCGATGATGGTTTCTCACTATTTCATTAATATACAGTTGGTGGTAAAGCACCAAGTAATAAAGTATCAATTCCCCAGAAAAATACAGGGAAGATGAAAACTGCCAGCTATCAAACATCGATGTAAACAATTAAGGATTTCATGCTTTAAAAAAATTGCTTTGTGATGGAGGAAGGAAATTAATTTAACACGTTTGTTAGGTCTTCATGAAATACACAATGTGCTTTGGTAAGAAACTCACAATACTACAACATGCAAAACCACCAGTATGGCTATTGAGGTGCGTTATTAGCTTGTATCAGAATTGCTTGCATATAGTTTTTATGTTTTAGATAATTTAGACATTTAGCTAGTAACTTTTCAGTGCTGCCAGAGATTACTTTATTTTCACTGTTTCTCAGAAAGCCTTCAAGCCCTAAATGAGACTCTTTAGCAGTGAATCTAACCCATGGTACAGAGGTTTATACGGCAGCCACAGATATCTTGGTTTTACTATTCTCCTGTAAACTAGACTGTCCTCATTGGTCATCATCTTAACCGCCATTTGTGATTTCTCAGTTCTTAACAATAATAGCATTTTTCCTGCCACAGCAATCAATTTGCATGCAGTGCTCATGTTGTGGTGACCTGGCTACCTTTGTTTATGTAAATGTCTGTGTTGCTTACCAGTTGTAGATAATATCCTGTTCAAGTTTATGTGCAAGCACAATGTATATTTGAGCGTATTGTCTTCGTCTGTCTCTGTCTTTTTTTGTATGTACATCGTGTTTGTGTCTAAGTATGTATTGCAGAGGCAGGAAGATTAGGATGTTGTTAGGATACAGTTCTTCCAGAAGTAAACTCTCAGAGGTTCAAGATGTGTTATGCAGGCAGAAGCTGTTTAAGTAGTTCAGCCATAGCACATGGGATTGGTTGTCAATTCTTGCAAACTGGTTAGAGCTCAAATTATCATCTTCTTCCAGACGCAGCGCCAGTCTATGATGGCATGGAGGGGAGAGTGACCAATGGGGTGCGAGATAGCTCGGCATCGCTTCCCGCTGACATCAGCAACAGGAGCAGCTACAGTATCGCAGCCACAGTGTAGAGATGCTCCACAATGTACAGGACTTGAATCCAATTTTTTATAAACTTTCAAAGAAAAGACTTTAAGAGCAGTATTCATATTCATGATGCCAAGTATCACTGACGAGTTGTCTCAGTGAAAAGGAGGGGCTTGTTTTGAAAAAAATATTAAACCAGGACCCGCTACTCCCTCTCCCCTCCTCCTGCAATCTAGATGGCCTTTGATTTCATACTGTTGCCATGTCCGTGTGATTTTATGTCCTTTATTGTTCACCTGCTGTTTTTGTCCAATGTGCATGTTTAAATAGGTTTGGTGACAGATTGATTTGTATATACATTTTTATCACCATCACAGGAAATGTGTGTATATATTTTTGGTTGATCCCTTGACTCATTGGAAGAGACACTTGTAGAATAAAGAAATTGGTTTTATTTAGAAGTGTGTCAGTACCATTCATTACTAATAGTACTATTCATTCATTCATAGGTCTAAAAACATTTCTATTATTTTCATGCCTGCGTTAATCTTCCATTCAAGTATGTGCTTAGGATGGTGCGACCATCCTAAGCACAGGTCCAAGACAAGAATACCAACATGACGTTGATTCATTTCCTAAAAGGGAATGAACAACAGAGACTCCCTTGAAGAGTTGAAACAATAGAGTCTGCAAGAAACTTCCTATGTTGGCACAGAGCAGGTTGGGGGGGGGGGCATGTTGATAAAACTGGTGGTGTTGGGGAAGGTGGCGCTTACTTTGGCCAGGCAAGTTTGAATGCGTGCAGCAGGCGGAGGAAATTAATCACATAAGCCTTGTTTGTGCTGTGTATGTGATTACATTACCAACTGGGAAGTTGCAATGGGAAGTTGTTTTTGCCAGAGCTTATTGTGCAACTGCTGCTGAATTAACAGCCTATTGTGCACAAGGCAACGGAACATTTCTTTATGTGCCAGATGAAGACTTGAAATCTGTTCCTTTGTTATTGGTTTTATTTTAAGAGTAATAAAGCCTCCACTGAAGCCCATATTGTAGAGATGGGCCACAACAAGGGCTTCTGAGCTATACAGAACAGAATATAATCCTGTTTGTTGACTTTTGGCCTTTTCAATAGTTTTTCACTTTCCTGCCAAGAGTGAGATGAAAAGATTCATAGCAGTCTCATGTCTGACTGCTAAAGTATGAAACTACAGCCAGGAGCTGGTTCAGTAGCTTAGCTTAGCATAAAGACAGGAAAAGATGTAAAAATAACAAATGACCCGACTGTAAAAGGCACGTTGGTTTTTATATGGATTAAACAATCAAGGTAAAACATGTATGAACAGAGTTTTTAGAGATTGGCAAAGAAATTTTATCGTTTTTAGCCGGACTACCTCTTCACCCTGTTTCCAGTCTTTATGCTAAGCTAAGCTAATTGGTTGCTGGCTGTAGTTTCATATTCAGCAGACAGACTTCTTCTCATACAACTTAAACACTGTAGCACAGTTTCACTGTATATGCCATTTCATTTACTGCTGACCTCTTTATACCACTTTGTATTTGTATTTTAGTGGGAATTAGTTATATTGCACAACTTCAGCCTATCTTGACCCAGGTCACCGTTATAAATGAGAATCTGTTCTCACTCGGCTTACCTGGTTAAATAAAGGTTAAATAAAAATTTAATTAAAAAGCTAGAAAGTGAATAGGTATTTTCCAAATATTATAATTGTTTCTTTTGGAATTACTCAACCACACATCACATGTCAGGTGATATTCATACATGTAGCTCTGTAATGTGTTGTTTTACTGCTAATTACCTTTTAAGGTATGTTTCTTTGTTCTAATCGGCGCAGAACTTAATTAAAGTCTGGGTTTAGCGGCTGCCTGATGACCTGATGTCTGTCTTTCTGTTTCACAGTGAGGGTGGACAGAGCTACAGTCAGTGTATGGAGCAAGAGACCACTTGACGCAGGTGAGCTGGGCTTATAGTATGTACCATTATAATAAGACTTTTACTGAAAATGTCTTAGAGTTCTATGAAAGCATGCAGTGTAGCAACTATTGACATTTATGAGCTAATGTTTAATGCTAAAATGTGTAAAAGTTGTACCAGTACAGAAGTGATTCAGTAATGACAGTTCCACAGTAATATCTACCTAACGTTTGCTGATATTAGCAACAATTAGCTGCTGGTTGTACCAAACCAAGTAAGGCAATGTGTGTTCAAATGACCAAGTTTGAGTTTGCTCAACTTTTCATTTGTAAGAAGCAGAATGTGTCGTTTCGTTTTTTAAAGAGTTACATAGTCTTGCTTTATGTGCAATATGTTTCTATACCATTTGTGGGAGGAAAACTCTACCTCTGCCATCTACATCAGCTGACAAGTTTGTTCACTTGCCATGGTGTTTGATCTGTCAACACGCAAGTTCAGTAGCTGCTGTGATTTCATCCATAGCTTTTTTAGGACTTCTTCATGTTAATTTGAAGGAAATTGTAGTTAACTAAACTAACACAACTTAAGGTCCTTAGCATATACAGTAGTCATATGGTTGAAAGCTCCGGAAAAGTAAGTGGACCTCAAGTTGGGACTGTTTTGTCAGAGAATTTTGTTGATGTGTTTGGTTGCAGCCAATGACGAGGAGAGCAGCGTGATATCCAACGAGCCTGATGTGGAGTACACTGAGGTGGTGCATCCCCGGGCAGTAGATCCTGCCAGAGGTAGACACTTTATACAGTAACACACACAGAGGAAAAAAATATATTGTTTAGGGTCCATCTCCTAGTTCATCTTTTTATGCCCGTTTTGTTTCTCCAAACTCTGTTATTTTGATAACGTTTCGTCCCGCTATTTTTAACCATTCTGCACATTCTCTCCTTCAATTCCAAACCTCCTTGCCAAAACCTTTTTTGTCTGCTTTGCCCACATTCCTTTATAGTTGATGATACAGACCAACACTTCCTGGGAGAGGCCAAATTACCCATAATTAACCTCCAAGTTGCTACAGGGATAACTGCTAGGATTTCCAGAACCATTGAAGACCTCATAAACAGGAAGGGTTGAGCTAATTGCCATGCTGGTTTCTGATACTGGCCCCTTCTTCATGACAGTCCTGTGCTAAAGGTCCCAATGGGCTGGAGATGGCAGTTACAGAATATGAAACAACCCGCCTATTTTTAGATTTCTGTCAAGGATAGATCAAACAGACAGTGTCTACTAAACGTTATCTTTTGATGTTCCAGCAGGCTAATATGTTGCTTTTTACATTAACAGCCCCGCTGAGAAAAGGCACAGACACAGTGTACAGCGAGCTCCAAAACTCTCCACATGGTGAGTTTAACTCCTTTAAAGCTGCACTGCTGCAAAATTTTTACATTAACAATGGAAATGACCAAGATGGCCAAGTGTAATTGGGAAAGGGGTTGCTCATAGTGACAAACCTGCACCTTTGCAGTTCCTTTCTTCTGCAGAGCGTTTTAGCATCCACCAGCTTGATGTTTTGGTTTTCCAGTCCTTAACTTTACTGCTTTGGTTTGGTCTCACCGCTCTCACCAGCCTTGTTTTGAGTCACAACGGGCAGCACTCTTTTCTATCCACCTGCCCAAAATTTAGCAGCGTATTTTCCTTTTGTGGTCGGAAACCTAAACAGAGAGAGAGGAGAGTGATAATTGGTCTTGGACTGGTGGTCAGAAATGAAATTTTAATGGATGAAAGAGTTGTTTGTTCTTTGTCTGTTTGATGTGTAAATTGGTAAGTGTTTGCTAACGTTTTTGCCATATCAACTCATAATATATCAATGTTGAATGTCAGTGCTTTTATTACAACATGATAGAATTTGTGACACTTCCAGATCACACCACATATCATTTCTAAAATGAGGTTACCGATGGAAGGACAGTTTACACAGGCCGGCTACAAAACCATTTCCTGTTACTGCAGGCAGGAACTTCCTGTTATTAGAAGAGCTAGATGTGTCTACCAAGTAGTCCATTGGAGTCCTAATAATCCTGTTTAACTGTGACAAAAGTATCCTGAGGTTGTTGAGAGAAGCATCTGTAAGAGTGAGAGGGAATATTCTAACCAATGATTCAGATTACAGGGATTTATGGTTGAAATAAAGGCCTCAGCAGAGGAGGAACAAGTGAGTCAGCAAGGTCCGCCACGTCATTGTAACTGTCAAATGACTAATGAATAACCCTGAGGTCAGCCAGTGAGTGAGCAGGATACACACCCAACATACATTTAACCTGTGACGCTTTTTCCTTTAGGTGCCGCTGACCATCACGACTATGTGAGTAGTTAGCAGCACAATCACACTTCGAGTATTCTTGTTATTATTATTATCATAATACCTGTGTGCTTTTTATTTTTTATTTTTTGCCTGAAACTTGAAAACCATTTCCACTCCATATATTGTTCGTATACTATAAAAATATGCACGCCTAATGTTATGAAGTTTTCTGCATTTGGAAAAAAATATTCAAAGGTTGACATATTTAATTAGATTTTTTTTTTAAAAGACACTTGACTTAATGTTATTGAAACATTTCATATGTCAAATCTGCCAAATTGTTTGTAGATGCAAATACTTTTCTTGTTGATAACTTTTAGAACAATTACATTTAAAAACAGTCCCATAGACATCCATTGTACTGAAATCTCAGCCACTGTATACAGAGCAAACCTAATTTATATTTAAAAAATGCTCTGTATTACACACTGATCAAATTTACGTAAGCTTGTCATGGTGACATGTACATTTTATGACTTATTACAAGGTTTGTAATTCACAAAAGCAATTCCAGTTCTGTTGTTGTAAGACAGCACAATGCTCTGTAATCGTGTCCAGGCCAGCCTCTGTTGCACTAGTTTCTGTAATCAGCATTTTTTTCTGAAAAATTAGGCCTGTTCCTGGAGTTTATTATTCATATTCTAAGCCAAAACAGCATCCATACAGCACTTGCTATTAGAAATTGGAACCTTCATGATTTTAACAAGGTTAAACATTTACTTTGTGAGCACAAACAAACTCCATTTCACCAAAGCCATTCAACTTTTAGTTGCAATCTCTGCTGTATAAAACAGAGTCCTCTGTCCTGCTGTTATAACAGTCACCTCTGAGCTAACCATGACCCATGGACTCGCTCATGGACTCCTCTGACGAGCCATGGCGTTTAACCAGCTAATGGGTAATGTTGTTTGTTGAAGGCGACAAAAAACACGAAATATTAAATAAACAATGATATTAGATTTATTTTTATTTTTTTAAATGACTGTAGTTTTAGTTGTAGTTGTAGTTTTGTTAGTATTTAAAGTCATGAAGCGAGCCACATACTGTTGAGAAAGGCTCAGTTCCAAGGCTGGATTTTAACGTTGTTCCAAATGTCAATGGGATTTCAAATTAATTTTTTGTTTTACTTCTGGAACAGCACCCAGAGGTTCTGGTTTCACTCTGGCTCTGTATATAAGTTAATTATGATGTCATGCTTGAGTTATATAAGGCATAAAATTCTGTGGAGCCCCAATTATGACTCAGCACCTTTATAGAGGACTAACTCCATTCAAATTTAGAAATAGCCAGTTGTGCACACTGATTAACTGTGAATAAGCTCATTATAATGGTACCGTAATGCATTAAAGCCTGATGCTGAAAGTCTCCATTCACTATCATTACTTATGTAACTCAGCTAATATATTAAGGTTAATGAGTTTTCATATAATTATAAACTCATGAAAAAATTGTTACCAGCGCTAATAGCAATCACACTCATTTTCTAAAGGAAATGCTTCACTAGTTAAATCTTAACACTTATTCACATATTTCATTTTTCATTTGTCCAGCATGTAGTATTTCATACAAACATTTTGACCAAACTTAATTCACTGTTGATTTAAGTCCCACTTAGAAAGCAGTCACACAAGTTTTCTTCCCCATTAACTTGAAAAGTGACTTAAATAACAAGTTTTATACAGTAGCTCAATTCATGTATGTTACAAGTTATAAACTAAATTACTAAAACCATCCAGGTGTCCCTGCATTGGCTGCCTCCTGGTCACAGTGATCTTTTGCAGGCCTATAATCCAGAGCGAGAGGGAAATGCTTGTCAAAGTTTCCAGACAAGAACAAAGGCCTTTGGGCTGGGGCTTCCTTCCCTATCGCCTGCTCAGATCAGCGCTGTGACCCAGTCAAATTAACTCCAAGCCCATCTTGGCCAGCATACTGTCCCCCAGCATGCCTTAATCACTGCTGCTCCTGAGTGCTCTGTTTGTCCCTACATGGTGTTAAAGTCATCTGAAGAGAGGAATTTGAAATAATAAGCTGAGGACATGACATCATGTTCTAAAAACTTTCACCGCTGTATCTTTTTGATGACAGATTATGCGGTTTGGTCTGACAATACTCTTATTATGGTTTGTCTGCTCCTCAGGAAACTGATGTTCAGTAGACAATTTGAAGTTTTTATTGTGGGGAAAAAACAGAGCATCCTCCGGCAGTGTGTTATCAGGATTTGCTCCAGTAATAATGAGGATTAGAACTTGGGTAGTTAAGGAGATGGATGAAAACACAGTTAAAAATCTGATTTGAATATATGCAGGTGCAAACGTTTTGCACACATATTACCAGAAGCCACAAAACACGCTTGTTTTTAAAAAAAATCTTCTAATGCAATAGTTTTAAATATCACCTAGCTGTGACAGTGTTTAATGCATCTGATTTGTGTGTCAGCAGGGTTCAGTAGAGTACGCTGAGCTCAACACTGAACAACATAAGATCAGTCACTCCCATCCAGAGGTCAACAACTGCCAAGCCCTGCCAGTGCCCGTGGATTAGTGATTTCCGCCTTCTTTTCTTCACACACCGCTCCTTGTCCCTTCCCACTCCCATTTCTTATTCACACTTTTTGGTAAACTCTACCAAGTACGTTGTCAGTTTCCAATCAGTGAAACAATTGGCTGTAAATATTTGTTTATCTCAATAAAAGCATGTCACATATCCTTACTGTGTTTGGTGGTGTGTTTTCCGTGAAGATGGCATGATGTTACAGCTAAAAAGAAAACAACTGGACTATCACCGTCATCTGTAACATCATCTATTATTGTTAGTTCCTCAAAGTTCCTCAAAGTGCTTTGCCTTGCTACAGAGTACAAACACACCCGAGTTCTTGCATAAGAAGAGGGTGGTGCAGGTACAATAAAATTAAGGTTAAATAAAAATAAGAAATAGATGTACCATTATGACCGAACATAAATGTCCTTTGGTGTGAGAGCACATGCGCTTGCTTACACAGGTTTCACCAGCAGGCCTACCGTTGTGGTTTGCCTGGGTTGATTGTATTCCTGAAGTTATATGGACACTACTGTGATACATTACATACAGTATATATTTATGCATAATAGAAACAGTATGACAATGTAGAGTGGATAATATATATATAGCGTTCAGCTATCAAGCTCCTCTCCTGTGGAACCAGGTTCCAGTTTGGGTTCAGGAGGCAGACACCATCTCCACATTTAAGAGTAGGCTTAAGACTTTCCTCTTTGATAAAGTTTATAGTTAGTGCTGGTTCAGGTGAGTCCTGAACCATCCCTTAGTTATGCTGCTATAGGCCAAGACTGCCGGGGGATTTCCCATGATTCACTGAGCTTCTCTCTCTTCTTCTTTCTCTCCATCTGTACGCATCCTCATCCCATCAATGCATGTTACTAACTCGACATCTCCCTATTATTACTGTTGGTATTATCATTAACATTACGATTGTTATCATTAACACTACTATAAATATCTGCACCATTTTTCATTCAGTCTGTACCTCTGTGTGTATATTGTGTAGGCTGTCTCCCTCCCCTCTCTCTCTTTCTCCCTCTCTCTCTCTCTCCTTCATCCCCAACCGGTCAAGGCAGATGGCCGCCCACCCTGAGCCATGGTTCTGCTGAATTGAATTGAATAATATACATAGTAGGTAGATTATGTGAAAAGAAAGATGATCAAAATATTATGCCAGTATTTAGGCTGTATTTAAAAATTTATATTTATAGTGAGTATTTCAGTGCGCAATTATATATAATGTATCATCTCAAAGTGATACAGGGAGAAAAAGTTAATTATTTAAAATAAATAAATAAATTTGTCCACTAACACTAGCCTCAGTAGACCAAGTGAAATGCTGTTTTGGATTCAATGTTTGCATATTGAATGCATACAGCAGTGTTTATTAATGTACACTGTCCCTGTTAAATAAACCAATAAATAAGTAAAACTATGGGAAATGTGGTCAATAATAAGTCAAAATAAACATGGCAGGTGCATGGGAAATGATTAAAATACTTAATGGTAAGATGACACATAACACTGAATGTCTCAGACTGACCGTCTGTGACTGTGTAAATGTTTCCTAAGGTTTCTAAGCTTCAGTCAGAATTTGTCTTTTATGATGCCATGTAGTCATGAATGTTTATACATTCAGAATTCAGGTGTCTCTGCTCAGGTGCTTTTTCATTTACTAACACACACGCTGCTTCTGTTGAATCACACAGCTTGAAAACAAAATGGCCTGTTGATGAAAGGATCTGTGCCGTTCAATGGTGTCACGACCTTTAACGGCTTTTAAAAATTCTGCAACTTTAATTTGATATATTAATATGTTTTGTGAATTTAACCCTAACCACTAATGAGAATTTCAGTTAATGTACTGTATATTTCAATAGTGTTGTTTTTCCCTAGTATTCACCACTGGGGAACGCCATTGCACCAACAATACAGCAAATAATTCTTCTTCCCCCTCACTTCACAGTTGTTTTCAGTGTTTGTTTGTGGCACATAGAGCCATCTTGTGGCAGAACATCTAAGTTCACTGGGATAGAATCACTTCTAATGACATTACATGACCTACCATTGAAAAAGTAGGTAATTATTGAAAAATGCAAAAATTAATACCACAGAAAATTACAGCATTTAAAGAAAAATATCATGCTTAAGTAAGACCACAAAACATATTTCATTTACATCAGAGTGTTAAGTATATATACCAGAATATTCACAGAAGCAGTAATATGTTATCATAGGGACTTCCATTTTGATAATTTATTATTTCCAACTTGTAATCATGACGTTGTAAAATTTTTATATTTGTTGTCTGTTTTTATGTGAATTTTGGGTGCAGCTCATCCTTGAATGTTGCGGACAGTTCACATTCCTTTATGTCCTTCTGTCAATCATCTTCATGTGCTGATGTTGCTAGTAAAATATTGTATGTTTCATCAGCTCCTTGTTGATCTGTACATGTCTGAAATTCCTGTATTTTTCAGTGGCTGTGGGAGCTTGCTTTATATTTATTTACTTCTTTTTTTTTTTTTTATTGTGGAATTGTTTCACTAATAGAGGCTGTGCGATGGCCTGGCGGTGGCTTTACATTTTTCAGAGAGACACATGAGACAGAGGTAAAATGCAAGCACAAACGTGGCATTTATTGTCTTCCAAGCCAACAAGAGGAGACACCGACACCAACAAGCAACAAAACAACTTGCACTGGAAGTAACTTGCTGCCTTTTATACACTCCCTCCTACAGGTAATTAAGTGGGTAAAACTACTCAGGTGGGACCACCATCATTTAGAATACTAAATAATTTACCCAAAAACCCAACACCACAGAAAAATAGAGCCCAAAGAATGAATATTTACATAAATACAAATTTCTATCAGTAAATCAATAAAGCATACTCAAAATAATCACATAAATCAGCATTGTTGATGGCTTTACTCCCCCCTTCTCAGCTTCATGGTTTGCTCCTGCAGCTCTTAAGCAGGTGCTGGGCCTACAACACTCCTTTGCCTCCGCCCCCTGCTGAAGAGACAACCAGGAAGAGGTGAGTACTTACATTGTTCATCTTCTTGTTTACTAACTAACAACTAACTAAAATAGAGTAAAAGCAGACAATACTATATTGTGAACCTTGACTATCCCTGATTGAGGTTTCTTTCCACACAGGCAGGATGGCCAGACCCCCCCCCCTGTGGAACCACTCACAAAGACAGCTATCAAATGATTCACAAATTAGATAAACAATCAAAATAACAATGTGTCTGGCTCCTGCTTTATCAGTTATCCCCACCTTAATACTTACTTGACTATTTCAGGTAATGGAACCCCTGGTCTCCATTACAGAGGCTTAATTTTAACTTTCCTCCTAAGGCGGATTACCTGTATATTACATTAATATGATTTCATTTTGTCTTCTTTGTCTTTCAAGTCATGTGTGATTTCACACCTTTTGATTATATACTGTACATACATCAGGGCACTGAATTAACCCATACACCATGTGTTTAAAATAGCCTATGTTTGGTCATTATAGCTGCTATTATTAATTGTTTTATATCCACAGTGAATCAAATGCCTATGAGTAATACGAAATGTGAAGTCATAGTGATGAACCCACAGACAGTTATCAACCAACTCTGCACCTTTAGCCTTTTAGCATATTTTAGCTAATTGTTTTGGTTCTCCATCTGCATCTCATCAACTGTTTCCAGCAGCAGCATGCAGCAAAACATAATATTACATAAACATACATAAGCCCTCTCCATACTACCTGTACAGCAATAATGGCAAACTGATTAGAAACACTTAGTGACTAGCTGGTAACCATAGTGCGGTAGACCATAGACTTTAGCAGCTAAGAGACAGATATTTCCCTCAGGACAAAGCAAAAACTAAGCTTAAAGGAGGTTAAGTTTGAACTTACGTGCCAAAAAGCACGGCTCCAATTTAATGCTGTACTGCTGTGCCAGCTGGATGTGTAATTAGACAAATGTTTTCTAGCTCAATGAGCAACTCTATAAGGTGAGGCCATAATAATCTATTAATGCAGCTTTAAAATAGGAATTTAGTTGTCCTACCTGAACATATTACATTAGATGGTAATTTTTCTTATTGCCTCTCTCTCTCCCTCCCTTTCACAGATACACACACACATCCACAATCCAATCTTAGTGCAATATTTTAAAAACAAAAATATTCTACTTTATACCTATAGTTAAGGTAAAAAAAAAAAAAAGAAGTGAAAAGCTTAGTAGAAAGTTCAGTGGAAATGTGACAGAGGGAAGTTAATGAGGAAGCTAATGTTGTCATGTCACTGTTATTTACACAAGGCCATTGAGCAAACAGAGAAAAAGTAAAAGAGATAATCAGATATGCAGTAATGTATAGTAAGACCCTGAAACATGTCCTTGGTGATGTGTAGGTGGTTCCTACGACTTTAATGGCACTGCACAAGTAGTCCTATGAACTGAATGTGTAATTTGTGAAAACACACACCTCTATGTTTTGTTGAAAAAACAAAATTCATTAAAAAATTTGCTAATAGGTATTCTTTATATATTCTATATGTTGTTAACAACTCGTGCTCTACAGTACTGAAAAGCTCATCCTAAAGGAAAGGACACATTTTTCTTTTTAAAGATACGTTTAAATGGACTCTCACATGGTGTACATTATGAATGAAACATGCTGTAACCCGGTAGTTTCGGCTATGACGTCTGCATTGTTTGTTCATGTCATATTCAGAGTTTTTTATAATTAAATGTCCTTCCTCCAATAACCTCAAGGACTCCAGGAACCTGCCATGGTAGTGTTGGCATGGCAACTGCACTTGGACTTTTTGGCAAACGTTCATCTTTCTCTCTCCGCTTTCTCCGTCTCTGCCAGCATCCTTATTAAAATCCCATTAAGCTTTAATGACCTGAATTCATCCAAATGGTCAAAACATGAGCTCAAGAGCTGCGTACGTCGATCAGCGTATCCTCATCTTTCATTCTGTCCTCCTGCTCTGAATTCATTCTACTTATTACTGAACTTCCTGGTGCAGTCATTCATATAAGCAATTAAGTTTCCTGTTTGCCAGCCTTTTACGTCCTTCTGGTTCAGAGCAGCTCAGAATCTCAAGGTGCATACTACAAAACAGCAGCATCCATGGTTGGACCTCAGGCTGAAGGAGCCTCGTTGAATTACATCCTCCCTCCCCACGTCTCCTGACTCTCTCAGTCTCATAGTGACTGAACAAATAAAGGCAAAAATTGCCAAAAACTATAAATACTCAGACCATTTGGATGAATATATGAGAGATTTAAATGTATGTTTAAAAAGAACATATTAATTGCAAACATGTGTCCTTTCCTATAGGATAAGCTGTGAAGTACGAGTACATACTGTTTCAAAAGAATACATTTTAGCACAGTTGTGAATCATGTGTATTATTTACAACAAAACAATGTAAAACACTTAAGGCCATTAATATACACTGTGTTAGTAACAGAGTTGTGTGTTGTATTTGACATTCAGTTGTCGGATATACACTCGCCAGACACTTTATTATGTACACCTTCCTTGCTTGTTAACACAAATAGCTTATCAGCCATTCCATGGGAGCTACTCAATGCATTTAGGCATGTAAACGTGGTCAAGACAACTTGTTGAAGTTCAAACTGATCATCGGAATGGGGAAGAACGTGGCATGGTTGTTGGTGACAGATGGGCGGGTCTGAGTATTTCAGAGACTGCTGATTTCACGCACAACCATCTCTAGGGTTTAGAGAGAATGTTCCAAAAAAGAGAAAATATCCAGTGAGCGCCAGTTGTGTGGACAAAAAGGCTTTGTTGATGTCAGAGGAGAATGGGCTGATTGGTTCGAGATGACAGAAAGGCAACAGAAACTAAAATAACCGCTCGTTACAACCAAGGTATGCAGATCACTATCTTGGTCAGCCAGTTTGACACTTGTTGAGACTGACTGCACTGGATGGATTGCTTCGACATTTTTACAGATATTCATGGTCTCAGAAGATGAATGCTACTTACTCTGGTGATCCCTGGATCAGGTTGACATTTGTGGTTTTCGTCAACTTGACAATTGATTACCATGAAATCAGCCACAACTGTACTTTGCTTTGAGTGGGAATTTGCAAATGTTAGCATGCTAACAAACTAAACAAGATTATACCTGCTACACATCAACATGTTAGGACTGACGCTATGATTATGTTAAAACAGCAGCCAAGTGCAATGTCCACATAGAAATATGAAACAGTAGTAAAGGTGATAGTGATGGAGATGAATAATGAAAGCAATATTGATGATAATAATAATAGGACTAATGATCATTATTGTAGCAGCAGGTGTTGAGCAGGAACATAGCGGCAGCAGGCGGCCTGCAACCACAGATCCAGACTCCGCAGCTCTGGAACCAGAAACACCTGCAGAAAGCTACAGAAAGAGAGAGGAGCAAGATGAGGAAGCACAAAACAACGGGAGAGGAAAGAAGTTGAGTTAGTAACATGAATTAATGGGATAAGAAAAAGAATACAGATGGAGGAGGAGAGAGGAGCTCAGTGCATCATGGGAAATCTCCCGGCAGTCTTTGTTGAGCTTCTTTTAAATGCTTGTTCCGTGAATGTACATTGAAAGCAATGGAAGGACCAGAGTCGAGGAAATATAAGTTATTCAGATTCTGATGCTGAATATTGGACTACAAAATGTCTGCTGGGTGTGTCAATAGTTTAATAGTCAACTTAATAGTTTAACTTTTTGCTAACAAGTATAGATTATCAACCTAAATGGTGATAATAATATCAGTAGTCATAATATCAGTAGTATTCACAGCTTGTTTCTGCTACTCAGAGCTCATTTTCCTGATACTGATTTGCAGCTCAGTAGTCTCAAGGCTTAAACCTGAACCTATGAATCTCTAATGTGCCTGTTTCTCATTTGTTACATTCTTGTCTTATAATATAATTAGGATAACTGCTATTATCAATAGTGTTATATCAACAATGGATCAAATGACTAAGAGTAATGTGAAACGTGCAGCTTACCTGAATTCATTTGATCCAGTTACCGGAATATTTGGTGCAAACAGTCCACATCTCTAATCTGGAGGTCTCTGACAAGCAAGAAAACCTCCAGTAACACTTACTAAAAACAACTTTATAACTTTATAGTCTAAAGTACTTTGGCTTGTATTTGTACTTCTACTTTGGTATCAGGTCCTTTAGGTTGGTCTTCATACTACAACTGATCCTGGAGTTTAAAACTGCTTTCCTTCCTCCATGCACCTTCTGGGCTAAACCCCCATTCTACTCATAAAAAGGTGCAATGACATAATTGCTCCCATCATTATACTCGGTTGACTGTTCAGGGTTGACCTGCCTGATCACATAAAAGTTAAACAAATAATAAAAAGGAGATAACAATTGCAGAGCGGCAGTCAGCAGTATTTGCATTTAAAAACTGCCCTTGATAAAATAAACAGCCTCTCCCTCTACCTGCAACTTAATAGTTTCACGCAGAAACTGTGAGAGTTAGCATGGATGGTGGAGAGCACACACAATAAAAACTACTGTTGTGCTGTAAGTGCAGTAAAAAGAACATATTAACAGTTTGTGAATTAGTCTTCAAAATTCACCAGAATTACCTATTAAATTATGTATTATGTAAATTATGTAAATTCCATAATATCGATTAGGCTATCATGATAAATTATGATAAGTCTTGAGGCAAGCTTGGCATTAACATATTTTGGCTTCTCTTATGTGGCATGAGGTATGGTATGAGGATGTGGACAAACCAGGCGCAAAAGAGACAAACTGTCAAATTGCTTTAGCCAATCGGCTTGTAGAGCTTGCTGCTCTGTCAAACAAGCAGTGCCAGAGATTCATGACACGTATGAATTGCATGGAGAGGGAGGCAATTTGTCTATTTGTCCTTGTTGGAACAAAATGGAAAGCTTGCACTGAGACATTATGGTGGTATAGAACACATGCTATGTAGTCTATACTATGGTATACAGTATTTGTTATGTTATGCACGCACTTTTACTGCATAAACATACACCAAATGTGTTATCCTCTGCAAAATAGACAGAATCTAGTTAAAGCAAAGTAAACACTAGTCCACAGAGTACTGCAGTCAATTCCTGACTAAAGACTAAAGTTAACAATAGCAAGCTTAACTGATTATTTATCCGTGTGATTCTATGACAACCATATTATATCACATTTCACCACAGCTTTAATGTCAGAGATGTAGAGTTAAGGATGAATACTAAGTTGCTTAACATTGTTGCTTCATTCAGAAGAGTGTGTTGCCAGGAAACTGACACAAGTTTTGATATTCAATCTCACTTTTCAGCCCATTTGCATGAAATCTACCCAAAAATTGTCTGCTGTGTCATAGTCAAAACATTTGAAATGCAGTTGACTGCATTACAGAAGTCACCCTGAGTACTGAACTTGTGAGGCAGTACACACTCGTCCCTGATGCAGTGTAGTAACATGAGGCATTTCCCAAATACCAGAGACAATGTCATATACATTGTAAGAAAGTAATCATAATTTTATGATAAACATCTGTCTGATTTAATAACTGGAAGCATTTTTTTTTATTGAATTTAGCTGGGTATTGAGCAGATACTTCTAAGTTCATGTGGTATCCGCACTTAATTGTCTGATCTGACTGCAGTTGTGCATTAATCCCTTAAAATGCCTAAATATTGAGCATACGTCAGGCTACAATCCTCTACGCTAAGTCAGGAGAAAACCAGGGTCATATTTAGGTTCCTTAAGGAGTTTAAGCAAATTGGGGGTGTTTTACAGCTAAACAAATATACAGTGTGTGATGGCAGAAAATTGTTTCTCCTTCCATTCTGTCTCTTATGCATGTACTTATTTGTATTGTTTTGGAGCCAGTATGTTTAATTTTAACCTTTTTACAAAAACAAAATAAATAAATAGATAAAGGCTGCAATGTGCTCATAATTCATTTAATCTGTCCTTCATTTTTGTCTGAATTTCCCTGACAGTTTCCTTATTCTGCACTGGTTGAACCTGCCCCTTCAGTATCTCTGGGTGTAAGCACTGACTGTACCTGTGGAACTGCTTCTCTGGTTTCTCATTCACCTGATACTGATACATGAGATGTTACACTCATACCAGATAAATCTGGGGTGTCAAAACTGACAATCCTTCCATCCTGTTGTTAACAATACACTAACCAGACAGCGATTACCTTCTCTTTATCTTCATCTTAGCAAAGACTAACTTGTCTTTGCTAGTTTATGACTTTGACTTCCTTGAAAAAAATATCCTCTTTTCACCAAAACAACAACAAAACACATTTTCTCACCTATCCGAAGTTGTACCTGGCCACGTACATGGGTTTGTTTTTATTTTCCCCTGTTGTAAGATTTCTACTATGGGGCTCAATACACCACCTGAGATAAGCAATTTCTTTATTTAGGTGAACCAACCCTTTTACCCTAACATCACCAGGACATGATGTTAATAATAGTAATCATTAAATGAGTTATTTTACTAGATTTCAAGCAGAGTCAGCTATGCAAACAAAACAACACCTATATTTCAAAGGCAAGGGATAAGGGATAAAAAAAAGTGTAAATACAACACATTTACATATTTCACTTATAGAATATAACATTTGGATAAACAAAAATAATGCTGCATCATGTAGCTGCATTATGATTTCATCTACATTTAGTTGTAAATTACATAATCGGTTTAAAAGGCGTGGGTGCTTAATAATCTTGTTTTCCATATAGTTTTCCATAATCGCTGTGCCTTATCAGTCAGGGCTGATGTGCAGGCATGCCAGCAGAGAGCAGGGAGCGCCGCTCATTCACTTCCAGGTGCAGTCCGCTGCGGTCCAGTCACATTTCAACACGAACTGCTTTAGGCCTGATAAATGCGCATGCGCACAACGCCTGACCCCTCCGGTTTCTGCGTGCACTGCCACGTTAGTAGCGGTAGACACAAAATACCAGCTACTCTCCCAACCTTAAACAAGGAATAGGACCTGAACTACGACCAATTTCTCAGCTAAACCGCAGAATACCGTGTCTGCAGCTCTCATCTCTGTCAGGAAGAAGACTCGACGGCAACTAACGTTATGTTTAAGTTTTTGCTCCTCTGCACACTGGCGGTGGCCAGCCGGGCTGAGATCACTGAGGAGGAAGATGTCCTGGTGCTGAAGAAAAGTAACTTCGACGAGGCTCTTAAAGCTCACCCTAACCTCCTGGTTGAATTCTGTAAGTAACAGCGGCTTCACAATCTCCAGCTAACGCTAGCTGTCTTCAGCAGACTCAACGGTTACCCGGCTAGTTAGCTAGCTAAATTAAGCCTGGGTTCCTGTTAGCATTAAACTTTGACACTTCTGACAAGTTGCTGCGGTTAACGGCCAACGTTAACTTACTGACGACGTGCTCAAGTTTGCATCCATGCGTGAATCTATTTCAGCTAGTTGCCCACCAGCTATTCCACCTGAGTTCACACTGCAAAAATGGACGAGGCATTGTTTATCAGACTGCGGTTTCTCTTTGTCAAGACTATTGCCCGTTTACATTTAACAAACGTTGGCTAACTGTTAGCACCCAGTATCCTCGAAGTGCAAACGGATTCTGTGTCGATATCAAGCTTGACACAGTGCCGTAAGCCTCTAAGCTGCTTTGGTACTAACCTTAGTCATTTTACAACTTCTGTGTAGCCATATTCTTGCTTTTACTTAGCTGTAAGGTTAGCTCCAGAATGTTACAGATTGCTAACAGCAGTGCACCAAATTGCATTTAGAAAATCGACCAGTGCGTGCATTGTCACTTTTGGCGTCAGAATAATACTGTAATAACATCGTTATTAACACCATGAGTTGACAGAAACTAAAAAGTAGGTGAATCAGTAAAGTGCGGGATTATAAAGTTTCGATTGCCTGCTTTGGTTTCATACTTTATGTTTCAGTTTTCGTGCTACTCAGACAGCCCATTTACTGTCTTTCTTTTTTAAATTCAGTTCTTGTATTGAAGTAATTTATATCCCCTAATAATAGGATTCGTTGTCATGCCATATCACAGGGTTTAATAAGCCACTTCTTCATAGCCTGCAGGCCCATCCCGCTACACTTTTACATGATTGTTGACCTGCTCACACATTGTGTGACAAATGAGTGCACCAGTCAGAGATGGCCGTGGAGAAGACTCTCCAATGAGCTCAGGATGGGAGGGATGAAGGCTTTGCCCACGTAGTTTTCAGCTGGGCGGGATCTGAGTTGGGATGTGGAGCTAGGTTGACGTGTACTTTACAAAAGTTCATCTGTGTGTTCATAGTGACTCGACTGGAACAAGGAAGTTTTGTTCTTTGTCAATAATTTAAGGTGATGCAATGCAGGTCATTTTATTTCAAGTGTTCTTTCTGATAAGGAGATTATCTGTTTGGAGTTTTGTCCAGACCTTTTAAATGTACAATTAAACACGTCATGTCTAAGGAGTTCTCTCTTAAAGTTCAAACTATTCCTTGGATATTATCACAAACTTACTTCTCCAAAAGTTGTAAATAAAATTGTTGTTTAGTTTATAAAATGTTCCCAACTTCAAATTGCTTGTTTGTTTATTTTTGTCTTTTTTTTTTTCTGACCAACAATTAAAAACCTAATGATATTTAAGTTACAATTAAATACAAAAAAGAAGCAGCAAATCTGCACATTGAAGTAGCTGAGGGGGAAAAAAGTGCATGTTTGGCGAACGATTAAATATTCATCAAAATAGTTCAGTTCTGTTGATTGTCCAATCGATGAATCAACTTATCTCTGCTTGATTTTAAGAGGACAGTGTAGGTTAGCAGCTATGGCAGTTATCAAGTGTTTTTGTAAAATCAGAGAATTTTTCATAAGGATTTTTTGTTACAAAAATGATCAACTCCCTGCAGGAAAACTGGTTTACTTAACAACAATGTCCTGCCAAACTTCCTCCTGACACTCCTGTAGATGCCCCATGGTGTGGCCACTGCAAGGCCCTTGCTCCAGAGTTCGCCAAGGCCGCTGGAACGCTGAAGGCAGAGGGTTCAGAGGTACGTCTGGGTAAGGTGGACGCCACAGAGGAGACCGAACTGGCCCAAGAGTACGGCGTCCGGGGATACCCCACCATCAAGTTCTTCAAGGGCGGAGAGAGCCAGTCACCCAAAGAGTACTCTGGTGAGCATCAAGATTTTATTTGTGCAGACTTGCTTGCATGAGATGAATTATTTAGAGGTTGAAGGCAGTGGTGGGAAATTAACTCTTATTTACAGGTCGGCTGTGGTGTTTTTGTTTAGTCATATTATATTAATATTTTATATTTATTGTTTTTATTCTCCTAATAACATCATGACTTTCTGCATTTGAATTTAGTTATACGCTCATTTTAAAAATGTTTAGTGTATTTTTCTCCAATGTGCAGCTTGGATTTTTTTATTTTTATTTTTTCTCACAAAGTGATGTAATCTTGGGTAACCCCTCTCATAGTAAAGTGACTGAATATTATTTCATAATATAATGCTTGATAAATCCTAGTTCTTAGCAAAAAGAATCCGATCTGAGTACTATATGCAAGCCCTATTGACTGTCTTCATCCTGGTAATATGATCTGCACAGCAGCATAAACACTAAGTTAGCCAATCAGCTTTCAGCAACATGACTGAGACAAAATGTGGGTTGGATCTTCCATGCACATTCCTCCCATGCTGACTCTGAGCAAGGCCTCCAGCTAGAGAATGTGCAGTTCTTCACGTCGCCTCTTCTGTGCTGGCCCGGGCCAGACTTGATGTGGAAAGGGAGGGAATGAGTAGGTTGGGAGGGGTTTTTCTTTTTGTGGAAGTGACTGCTCTGACTTGAGTCTCCCGTCCCCCACGCACTCCCTGAGACCTCACAGCACTGCACCAAGACTACGTGCTGTGTCACTTCATCAACATGTTTCTCAATGAAATTGCTACTACGTTGCATCACTTGTTCACTCTGATAGTCAGGTCTGACTTAAGTCTAGTTTAATTGCAACAGTCTTAATCAAAAGAAAGATAAATAGGTTTTTGCAGCCTCACAAATCTGGCATAATTTTTTATTTTGTATTATAATTTAATTATCCTACAACATGGTGCTTGGATTTGAAAGTTAAAACAAATGAGCAGCGTTCTGGATTGTCATCTGAAGTTATAAGAGCTGTTAGCCAGAGGTTTTAGAAATGCAGAACTGGTCTGTTGTGCTGCTGACATATTTTCACTTTCAAAATTTACTGAGAATGTATGAAGGGTGTCTCTGCATATTCAGTGCCTGTGGCTAAACCACAGTAGAGGCAGTGCAAATTCCCTGACACATCAGTTCCCCTGAGGCACTTCAGTATTTAAGTTAAGGTCAGCTACATCTCTGTCTGTCTGAGTAAAGATGGCATCACTTTGGCTGTGTTCAAATACTGAGAAAAATGTTTCCTGCTATCCTAATATGCATGGAACCTGAAGGCTGATCACATTGTCCATTTTTATTTAAAGACAGGAGTACTTGAGTTATTGTGTTTGTTGTCTTGCAGCTGGCAGACAAGCAGATGACATTGTCACTTGGCTGAAGAAGCGCACAGGCCCGGCCGTCACTATCCTGTCCGAAGTTACCGAGGCAGAGGCTCTGATCGCTGACCACGAGGTGGCAGTCATCGGATTCTTTAAGGTATGATTCTGATTTGTCAAGGTCTGAATATAACGAGTTGAATTCATCCAGAGTCATTTTTGTAATAAAGCTCCTTCTGTTTGTTTATATTGAATGAACACCGTTTTGCTGTTATCATTGGGGATCACTTGGACAGTGCTTTACATGAAGGATTTCTTGTGTTTGTAGGATGCTAACTCGGACGCTGCCAAGGCTTACGAAAAAGCAGCTGAAGCCATTGATGAAATTCCCTTCGCCATGACCTCCGACGATGGTGTTTACTCCAAGTTTGAGGTGTCCAAGGACAGTGTTGTCCTCTTTAAGAAGGTGACTTCAAGTTCTTCATTGTTCCATAATAACTCATCTTGATGTCATACTGACACATAAAGTGTTTAGAGCATAGCACATCTAAAGAAACACAAATATTACATCTGTCTATTCAGACATATGGGACAAAATGTAGTTACAGGACATCTCAAGATACAGACTCCAAACTGGTTGACTCGTGATTATTTATTATAGATATTTTGTAAATAGGTTATCCATGGCCTTACATCAGCTTATGAAACACACATATGGAAGCTGCTGAAGACACCCCAGTGTTTTTGATCTACACCAAGGTAATGCGATGCTGTCAGCCTCACAGTATCCGCTCTCTGTTGCTAATCCTGGCTCGTCTGAGGTGCTTCAACGTTGTATACGTGCCCCTGCCTTCGGGCGTGTTGCTCGACTTACCCAGTGAATGACCTCAGCGTGTTGAGCTAATGGTGATGAATGGTAAAGAGCTTTATTAGGTGATGGTACATCTTTCAAGTAGCCCCATTGGCTATGAGCAGACGAGTGAAGATGTCTAGCTCAAGAAGTAGTTCCTTTCCCGTCTTTCCATGTGTTGTAGCTCATTGAAATTACACAAGATGGGATTTTTAAAAACAGAAAATGCTTGTCTTGTATCCCAGTTATTGCTGGCAACAATCCCCTTGAAGTATAGGTCAGACATCATTTAGCCGTCTTATCAGCAAAACAGTCAGCGTGTGGATTTGTCAAGTTGGGTCAAGGTCCAGTGTGTCCATCAATAAAGAAAATGAGGCAACTAATGTGAGGGTGATAAATTTAACTCTAATATGACCACATCTCATATTGTAAGACGCTGAAAGGTTTGAGACTCATAACCATGCTTCCTAAATGCAAAGGGTGACTGATCGTTTCATTTAATTTTCGACCATCATGCCATATGTCGCTTTCTGTTCTGGTACCTCGTGATGGGCATAATGTCTAACATTTTATAGTTTGTTAGATCAGTAATTAAATAACTTCATGCAGCCCCAATTGCCCCAGCGAAAAACAACAAACTCTAAACTCTGTGTTTCTACAGTCAGTCCTTAGAGTTGATCTTTCATTTTGGCACATGAACCAAGTCTCAGTCCTCCCACTGCCATTGTCTGGCCTCTGATCAATGTTGGTAACTTTACCTTGATACAAACACTGACATGTGAGCTTGTTGCCTACAGTTAGGCAAACCCTCCAAAAGCAGGAGCTCAGTCTTAATAAACAGCTGGGGTCTTTCACTTGTTTATTGCAACTGAGGTTTGAGGCTTATGTTTCACAGCCTTGGTCAGTGCCCGCAAGGATGGCAATAGGCCACCAGCCAAATGTCCTTTTTCCTATTGTGTGCCAGTAAGAGCTGCTTGGCACAGCTGCACCACTGCTATTCTTAACACTTAATAAAAAGTCCATTGGGGTTGCTGGCTCTTTCTTCAGATGGGGGTTACCAGGGGATTTGTCTGAAGTGGGTTGTCTGGTAAATCTGTTTGGTGTCCACTGGCACTTCAGATGGGTGGATAATATTTGAATCTAAATGTTTCCATGTTTCCTTTACAGTTTGATGAAGGGCGTAATACCTTTGATGGAGAGCTGACCAAAGAAAAACTCCTGGCTTTTGTCAAGGCCAACCAGCTGCCTCTGGTCATTGAGTTCACTGAGCAGGTAATGTCTGGGGCTATGCACATCAACATTATATTTCCCTACTCCATACAACTGTCCACAAGTGGTAAAAGTCCAAGTGTGGATCCCTTCATGTCAAATGTGTGTATTCTGTTGTCTGCAGACTGCCCCTAAAATCTTCGGTGGAGACATCAAGTCCCACATCCTCATGTTTCTGCCCAAAGCTGCTTCAGACTTCCAGGACAAAATGGCTGAGTTTAAGAAAGCCTCAGAGGGATTCAAGGGTCGGGTAGGTGGACTATCTGAAAATGCAGGCCAGTCTTTCAAATGCACTTGTGTTTTAACCAATCACATGTGATCGGTGTGCATTGTGTATAAGCTATATGCACATCTTTAAATCTAAGACTTTGCTCAGCCATGATATATTTTGAAGAAAAAAAAATCAAATGTTGACCTCTTCCGTCTCCCCTGTCCAGATCCTGTTCATTTTCATCGACAGCGACGTGGACGACAACCAGCGCATCCTGGAGTTCTTCGGCCTGAAGAAAGAGGAGTGCCCCGCCATCCGCCTTATTACCCTGGAGGACGAGATGACCAAGTACAAGCCTGAGAGCGACGCCATCACAGCAGAGAGCATCATCGATTTCTGCACGCTGTTCATCGAGGGCAAACTCAAGGTAAGACAGTTACGGCAGCGCGTGAATGTTATAGGTGTACTTACACATTCGTGCTTGGGATTTAATTAATGTTAATTTTAGACTTGGGAGTCTTCATATATGATATCCCGAGGGCAAGTGCTGAGTGCAAACATATTTTGGACCAAGCAACGAATTTATATCCTTAATCCTGTCTTGGGCTTTACTCTTAAGAATGTGCCGTAAATACTGTTGACAAAAGTGGATCATGAGTTTAACACGTAATTAAGCATTATGTATTCTAATGAAAATTTCTGTATTCACTTTTTTTTTTCTCACAGCCCCACCTCATGAGTCAGGACATCCCTAAAGACTGGGACAAAACCCCCGTCAAGGTTTTGGTCGGCAAGAACTTTGAGGAGGTCGCCTTCGACCCTTCCAAGAACGTCTTTGTGGAATTCTGTAAGAGCGTCTTCTTGTCCGCAGACATTTCCATTTCATCAGCATTAAAACATATTCATGATTCATAATCTTTTTGAGGTGGTATCAACTATTTTTAAAGGGGTATTTTCTTGCAGTCAAAGCTCAGGCAAAATAAGGAGGGCCAGGATTTAAGTTTCAGACACCGAAGCTAGAGGCTTAGCCAAATCTCCCACCTACTGTTTGAGCAACTGAGCTAAGTCCTTTTCAGATGCCCAAAGTTGATGCTAGGGACTCACTCTCAGCCCACTCTCTGCAAATGAATTTGTTATCTGACACTGACGTTGAAAAGATCCAGTTAAATATAGACACTGGATTATTTTTATAGCCATCCTAATTTAAATTTACACTTATGTTTGGAGGAAATTTCCATCGTTGGCTTTTAAATACAGCTCTTGTATATCAGGGTTGGCCCGTTTTTTTTCCTGACAGGTGGTGGTGGTGTCAAAGGGGAGCAAGGCCATGAAACTGAGTCTGCATGTGACACGTTCACTGTGTGTTTGCCTCCTTCCAGCTATACACTGCAGTGGGATGTATAGACCTGTCTGAAATCAAACATCCAGACATCCTATTGGCTAGAGCTTGATTTAGTAGACTAAAAGAAAATACGAGAGATTTTGCATTTAAATGCTGGTCAAGATCCCAATAAGCTAAAGCCGATACAAGAGTACTTGTTATTTTGTCTTGATGGTGTTTGTTTGTGTTTTTTTGTCGTATTCCAGATGCACCTTGGTGTGGACACTGCAAACAGCTGACTCCCATCTGGGAGAAGCTGGGAGAAAAATACAAGGACAGTGATGACATAATTGTGGCTAAGATGGACTCCACAGCCAATGAGATTGAAGCCGTCAAAGTCCACAGCTTCCCCACTCTTAAGTTCTTCCCTGCAGGAGAAGAGCGCAAGGTGGGTGTTCAGAACTTCCAAGACAACATTTCTCTTTTCTGTCACATTTGATCCATCAGCAGAGAGATTAAATATTTAATTGGTATCATCTCTCATCTTCACGATGTTCTGTAAACGTCTCCATTTCTGTTGACCTATAATCCTTTCTTCTACCCGTAATAATTGGATTCGCCCTCTTATTCATTAGACAGTTGTGAGTTATAGTGATCAGAGTGGTTATTTGGAAGATGATTGCCATAGGGGCCTCCTAAGTATCATTGGTGCCTCTTGATTTAGCAGTGCTAACCTTGTGCAGAAACCTGAGCTTGCTGGCCATAGATGTTTCTGCACCATTATGTTGGTGTTTGGTTCTTTTGTAGATTCCTGCTTGAGGACTTCAATCACATTGAGACAGTCTGCTCAGCTTGCACCTGCCTCTTTCTATAGTGTGCTTTTATTTACCAGGGCTTCACGTGCCTGTCAAAGTCCTAGTGATTGTCCTTTTCATGTGCATCCTTATTTTAGCAGTCACCCTTCTGGCTTGTTGCTGTGTCACTGCTCAGAGATCACCTCTGGACAAGTTATTGGCACCATTTTAAGAATGCCAAAGTTTATTTGCTGTTTTCAAATGGTCAGGTGTCAAAGCTCAGTGTTTTGTTTTATAAATAAACTCATGCATTCATGCTTGCATTTTATAGACTTTTTTTTTTGTGGGGGTGGAGATGGGATGTTTTATCAGAATTGTCTGATCAACAGGTGATTGACTACAACGGGGAGAGGACACTGGAAGGCTTCACCAAGTTCCTGGAGACTGGTGGTAAGGAGGGCGGCGCCCCTGCAGGAGACGAGGATGAGGACGATCTGGATGCAGAGGTAAAATCATTCACACTTTACAGGAAGCAGTACTGTTGTACCCTCATGAGAAGAAACTGTTAGGAAATAATTGTGGTCTTGCCCTTCTTAAAAAAATAAAATAAAATAAAAAAAAATACTATTGTACGCAAATGTCTGAATTCTTCACTAAACTTCCTCAGGCTGTCTGAACTTTGGTGAATGTAGCTAACTGTTCAGGTCATCTTGATGTATTTTGACCACATGAAAGAAGCCGTATGGTAACACAAAAATCCAGCTTTTCATGCAATGCTCTGTTAGACTGTTATGATACAAGCATACATGCTCAGTGTAGCTGTGTTTTTCTTTTTTATGTTTTTTGGAGTTGAGTCCGATCAGCTACCCATAGATAGATAGATTCAGGGGACCAGGATTTTAGGCTGTAACCTTTGAACAGAACCAAAAGCAAACATGTATATGGTCAAATGAATAGCCAGTTGAAGAAAATGCCCATGTTGGTTTTAAGAAGTGTGGCAGAAATTGAACAGTTCCTAAACTTACTCCAGGTGCAAAATGTTTGAATGTTGATGTAAATGATATTTGTCAAACTTTCCACCATATATTTTGTTAAAGATGCAGGGGATGCATGTTGAGTGTTAACAAGCCCCCCCCCCCCCACCTTCCTGTGGGCTACAACTCTGCTGCATCCAGTGCACATTGGGAGGGGGGTCCTCTTCTTACTTGCACTTTTCCCCTCCACTATTGCCACCATGCCCCCTTCTCAGAAGTGTAATTGCAGCCCAGCTGAATGCTGTTCGCTGATGCTATTTTCAGCTGTCACAGCTGCTTACTGGGCTTTCCCTGGAGACCTGAGCCTTCAAATAAAAACAGCACGTGCAGTGCTGCAGTCAACATTAGGGCCTTCCTCTATCTGACACATCTCCTCACGCCACCTGCCCTCAGAGTAGACGTGAAAGAATGGCTGTTAAATATGTCCTCTGTATGTCGAGCTGTGGTTGTGACACAGTGTTGATGACACAAATAATTTTATAGGCATCTGCTATAAACTAGACCTGCATTCTTGCCAGATTTGAGAGATTCTGTTTTATTCAACACTCTTCTCCTCCTCTGCTTTCCAGGATTTGGATGATGTGGAAGAAGGACAGGACGAGGATTCTGATGGTGAGGACGACGGACATGATGAGTTGTAAGAGCTGGCAGAGGAGAGAGAGAGGAGAGAAGTCCTGCCCCAACCCTTCCAACCAGTCACCATCACCACCTTCACGTCCTTGTGGACCTTCCCTGTCCTGTGAACATTAATACTTCCCCTTTAACTGCCTCTCGTCAGTCAGCCGGCCTGCTAGCCAGCCCGTCAGTTACTCAGTCAGTCCATCAGTGGAATGGCAGGGCCTTTTTTGCCAGCCACATCTCCAACCTTGCAACTTCTGGCCAGACTGGTCTTGTCCCCCCTGGAGGGACTCTATGGAACAGCGCACCACCTCTATGGGAGACCTCAATGCCTTCTCTACAAAGCTCCACATCAGCTGTTTGCCTTGTATATTTTAAACCAAATGTAAAAATGGCATTGATATCCAGTTTTGAAATTTTTTTTTTTTTTTTTTCTGGTGAATTTGCTCCCCTCCTTTTTAAAAAAAGCATTGCCATTGTTCAGTGTGGGTATGAGCTAAATGAGTGTTGTAATCTGTGTTTGTAGGTAAGGGGCGGGGGGCTGCTGATGTTCTTTTTCCTCCAGAGGACCAGGGTTTTGTGTGTGGTGGTCTTGTAATGACTGATCTCTCAGGGGACAAGGGGCCATCCTATAGATGTGTTTATTTTGCAATGTCTGCACTAAAATAAACCCCACAGTGCTTGTCCAGTGTAGAACAAAGCTGCCCCCCCCCCCCCCCCCCCCCCCATTTGTAGCTGAGACCAATTATTCATTCTTTTGGTGGGGGTAGTTACTTTGTTTTCATTTCTTCATTCCCAGATAATTTCTCAGTTCAATCTCCTGATTTCAGCACGGCTACTGACTATTTTCTAAAAGGAAAAAGGTTAACTTTTTGGGGAAAACCTATTTTATTTAATTGTTTTGACTATGACTTTTTTTGACTTTGTTTTTTTTTTTAATTAAGGACTTGTCATGTTTGATGTTGACCATTGTGCCCAGCTGTAGCCAGTTTGGTCTTTGGACACGCTCTCAGACCTGGAGCAGGTTCTGATGGGTCGCACTGCATTCATGCCTAATCAGAGATTCCCGTGGTTACTGAAGCAGACAGATTGGTACAGTTTAGTGGTTAGGTTGGTCTGAGAGAAGTGTCTATTATCTGAAGCGGGGAGGGAGCAGTTGTACCCCCCCCCCCCCACCCCTCACCCACACTGTACCTCCAGCATCCCTTTTGGCTCTAACCAACACCCTTGTTGCTATAGCGGTGCGTGTGTGTGCTGTGTGAATGGTGTGAAATTGCTGTGTGATGAGTTGAATGATTAGTACATATTTTCTGGTCTGTTATGAACAGGAGAATGAATGTACTGTTTGTTGTAGTCGGTGTGTTTTTTGGCAGGGAGGGGAGGCTTGAGTAGAGCAAGGCGATGGGTTTGACAGCTGTACAGCGGTGGGGGAAACTTAACAAAGCATTCCATCATATCCAAATTGATGTGGAACATGTGAAGTGGTGGCCAATAAACAAAAAAAAAAAACATAAAAATGCATCTGTCTTCAGTAATTTATTTATTGCACACGTCCAGATTGTCAACTGTTTAATTCCAAGTAAGGGGATCAGAAAATGCCATTACACTTAATCACTATTTAATAAGTATCAGTTCTAAAACAAAAGTGACTAAGAATCTATGTACTGTAATGCTGAACACCTATCATTTATAAATTAGCTTGGTAAACAATCCCAAACAGAGTAACCGCCTGGCTTAAACTTTTAATACTAGCTCCAAAACCCATGTTCAGTTTACTATAATTTGAGGCAAAGAAAAGCAGCAACTGATGATCTGCAGGCGGCTTGCTTTAGGCAGTCGAAGCCGGTCAGTCATGTTGGACTGAAACTCAACAAATAATGTATGGGTTGCCATGAAATATTGTGCACAGAGGATGACTCCCGCTGACTTTGGTGATCCCATTTTATCTAGTGCCATTATCAGGCCAAAATATTTTTTTCTAATACTTTTGATTTGTGATCAAATATCTGCTAAACTAAATGCATAATATTCGCATCATTCTCAGATACACTCAGTGCTAGTTAGCTAACACTCTAAACTAAGATTGTAAACAGAATGCCTGTTAAACATCAACATTACGTTTGTTGGTGTGAGCATATTGGCATCCTGGCATTAACATGGCTGTAGACTTATTTGTGCTACGTTCAGGGCCGTAGCCAGGTCCCTGGTAAAAGTTGGACCGAATATCAAAAAGGAGGTCTCTAATAAGGTCCACACTGCCAGGAGTAAAACTATTGTGAAGAAATATTAAATAGTCGCTTGTAATGTAATATTTGAAATGTTATAATGTAATTAGTCAAATACTCAGAGCAACCTATAAAATACCTGCCCTGTGTAGTAAATTGTAGAATGTAACCCCTTCCCCTGGTTGGTAAAACCATGAAGTAAAGGCCCTGGCAACATTATTGTCACTTTAGTGTTACACTGGCGTAAGACAAGATGCCAGACACGACACTGGAAATCAGGGCTGAAACTCATTATTTTTCAGTTAATGTCTAGATCGTTCTTTTCAATGATCAGTCTATAAAATGTGACTCTTCATTTGTGCTTTTTTAAGGTTGCATTGCTGATTTCCCATTAGCACTAAAGAGGATGACCCAAACCATTCAGTCATTTGGAAATGATCATCACCCATCCTGTGTCTCACATCAGCGATTAAGATAGAATATGACCCATCAAGACAGCAGCCTTTCCTGACTGTTTATGTCAGGCAGTTAACAGTCAACATCCTACACACAGCACTTCACCCCTCCACGCCCCTGCAGCTGGCACAGACACACTCCAACATTAAACCATTTTTATCCTGCCTGGTGTTTACTAGAAGCCTCCAGCCTCGGCTCTTGGGATGTCACCACTATCTTTAAGTGGGAAGCATCTGGGTATGTGGGGGTGACAACAGAGGCAGAGGTTACTGGCTGTCAAGTCTGGAGACGTGAGCTGTATCAGAGGCTTGTGACAGCCTAGATGGATCTGGCCAGGAGGCTACTCATCTTCCAAATCTCGTCACTAGATCTGTGAGGTGTTGCGTCCTAAAATAGTCAGACAGAGAGAGTATAAAGACACCCACAGGGAGGCTTGGCCTTCAGAGGAACTCCACTGTCGTTACACAGGGGGACACTGGACAGCAAGAGAGCCACACTGAGAAGCACTGCTTGATCTTTCTGCAGGAAAACAACTGCCCTTGCTTATTTTTAAGACTTTTTTTTTGTTAGAACTAAGGAAAGTCCAAGTCTGACCAGGATGAAGTACTATCAGTGTCCCATGACCCAGAGCATGAAGATCAAGGCTTACACCCAGGACTGTGGTGTCCCAGTTAGCTGCAAGAGCTCAGCTTCGCTGAAGCCAAGCCGCAGTGTGCACTTTCCCAATGACATCGTCTTCCAGGACTATGTGCGACACGGCGAGCTGGAGAGGATTGGACTTTTCATCCGAGCCAGAAGAGTCAACCTGGACACCATCTACCATTCTGGTGAGAGCCCGACAAACATTTACATCAGCCTAATCTAGGAAAGTCTTACACAGTTACAAATCTTTCTTATTAAAGCACATCATTATTTTATGCTGAATTAAAGGTTGTTTCTCACTGGCCCTCTCTATGTAGGCATGGCTGCCCTTCATGAGGCCGTCCTGTCTGGGAACTTGGAGTGTGTAAAGCTGCTAGTCCACTACGGAGCAGATATCCACCAGAGGGATGAAGAGGGATGGACCCCACTGCACATGGCCTGCAGCGATGGCTTCCCACATATTGCACGGTTAGCATCTAGACTTTGCTCTATTTCAGTTTAACATAAGACTAAGTAACTTGTTAAACAGTAGCCACTGTTACCACATGTGACAATTACAGGATAATGGCTTAAACATGTCTGACAGCTATCATTTAGCAGCCAAAAGCTACTGGCTATACCAGACCAAGTACCACACCCTTTTTCCAATCTGGGGACATGGCTTTTGTCAGCTATTGGACAAGCTGTCCGCAATGGTCTGTAGTCTGAAATGTGTAGCATACGTCATACCCCCACAAACATACATTGGCTCTACAGCTCTCCTACACCAGAGTAAGAGAAGCTGGAGGATCTGCTGCATTCTTGACCCCCCTTGACCTTCCTGAACCTGAAATATGGCAGATACTCGCCTCGATTTGCTAGTGTGGCAGGCCAGCAAGATCTCATCTCCTCTATATTGTGTTTTTTCCAGCTACCTTCTCTCGCTGGGTGCCGACCGTGAGCTGGAGAACGACTGCGGAGAGAAGCCAGCTGACCTCATTGAACCAGACAACAAGGAGCTGCTGGAACTCTTCGGGCTGGCTGTCAACGACTGAGAACATCTGGCTTTAAAGCCACAATCTCGTCTCAAACCTACTGACCAGTCACCTGTCTGTTCTGCGGGGAAAAGCCAGAAAAGGCCACTTCAGTCCAGCATCCTGATTTTGTGAGCTGCTTCAGCTCTGGGTGTCAAGGACTGTGGATGTGTGGTGGAGGGAGGGCTGACAGAGCCCGCTGCTGCCTCCTGAAAGGAGAGAACTTCTGCTGGCAGGGGATGGCCTCTGATCTCCAGCAGGGCAGATGTACTATATCCTGTGAGAGGTCTTCCAGTCTTTTTTTAAAGTAAACTTAATGAATGATTTTATATGGCATGTCGCTGGAATTAGGATGGCTTCTGAATGTTGAAACTTGTGTTGCCACTCAGCTCATTAGCAACTCTCTGAAAGCTAAGAGTGGCAAACCATACAGGCTTGTGCTGACTGCCAACTGTTTACAGTTAATCAGAAGTTATAATCACTCTGTTTTTTTTATTTTTTAACTTTAATTCTGATTGTATTGAATGTATTCATGAGTCTTTGTATTACTTTTTAAAATAAAGTTTGTCAGACAATAGCTTTTAGTTGTGTTCAGTTTCCTTTATGTCTCAACATATAAAGCGCTGTGATGAACACGCGTGCGAGAATCACTTTTACCTCCTGGTCATGCTCAGTGTAAACACATGAAAGTGCAGCCATCTTAAAGTCTGCAACATTTATAAAGAGTTTATCATAACTGATGGCCAACGTGTTGTTTTCAACAAGTTTTTCTCCATACTACAAAGTCCACTTTTCATCCTCAAAGACTCAAAGTAATACAAAAATTAATCTGAATGGATATATGAACCAAAATAATCAAATATATAAAATCTCCTATTCCATTTGAAAGGAAATATCTGATACAAGAGATTCTTCCTGGAAACACAAAACAGTCTGGTTAATCTCATTAAGTGGGATTAAAGTCAAAATCAGTCAGCGGCACATTGAAATTCAGGTCATATGCTTCAAAACCGCTGCCACAAATCTTCTGGGGCAATCAAGCATACTGATGAAACAACATGTCACTCACATGTACCGTGCAAAACAGGAGGCATGGGGTGCATGTGATGTAGGGTTTTTCTTTATTTAATCACATACTAAAACTGTCAACAGAATACAATTGCTTCCAAATGTACTTTGCATTACAGAAGGTAGAGAAATACAAAAACATATTTATTCACATCTGATAAAAAAAAAAAGAAATCCATTAACAGGCCTCTCTCTCGGTCTCTGCAGGCGTGCAGCAGTGCCGCCTCCACAGGTTCATTCTTTGAACTTCCACTCCTGTCGACACATGGGGCACTGCTGCTGGACCTGCTGCGAGTTCAGCCATTTCAAGATGCAGTGCATGTGGAAACAGTGGGAGCACTGACCCCAGACCAGCGGGCAGTCATCCCCAGGCACTTTACCTATAAAATAAGTTTAATTAAAGTTACAATACTTTAATATTACAACTCAGTAACTCTTACTTACTGTATGACCAATACTCACAACTGAATATAAATGGAAACTGAGGCCATATACTGTATATTACACCTTCATTACTGGTAAATTATTAAAGTTCACTATATTAACTGAAAATAAATTTATAATTAAAAAATTATTAATTATTAAATAATTTCCATCATGATTTATATATCCTGAGTACTTCTCCCACTGAAGTAAAAATGAAAAATTATTTTGAATTTGAATGAAAAGGCCTCAAATGTGCACCTTTAATACCAATAAATTAAAGGCCTGTCAAGGAAAAACTTACTGCTGAAGCACATTATCTGGCTTTGGTTCAGCTGTCACAACACTTTTCACAATGTTCAAAGGTCTTGATGCAAAGAGCCAAAATGATTTTCAATTCACTGTTTTAAGAACATTTTCCTGGTCGAAAGCATTTCAACAGAACGGCTGACTACTTTACTTCACCCCTCTGTTTAGTTACTGTCAAAATGTTGGAATGTGTTGGGTGTCTGTTACAGTAGTGTAAATTGTGGTTTAATTATGTTAAGCTCTTTCCAGCAATACAGTATTACTGTAGTTTAGATTACTACTGCAATATTACAAGTGATTGAAATATCCAAGTGCTTGAATAAAACATATTTTGTGGCAGATACAGGTTAGGTTAGAAAGTATTTGCGTGCACAGCCACAATCCTTTCATGCATTATGCTGGATAATGATAAATAGAGATAATTCAGTATAGAGTCCGGCGTTATGTTAGTATGCATCCTAATGCCAGACTTCAAATATCTACAGTGTGCGTACAGTAAAAGTGCATATTCAATAAATAAAAATAAGTTGTTCTTCATTTAAAATACTGACTTTTGCAGATTTTTTTTTTTTTTATAAAATCCAGTCATTAAACATATAGATGTTGTGATGTTATTATACAAGGAGGCAAAAATTAGGAGTATAGCATTTTGTGTGAAGCACTGCAAATTAACACACTGTTGTAAAAGAACATACCAGATATGTTTACCCCGAAATAAATCCTTGCTAAAGCTACATAATTATTTAATTTCAACGTGAAATGCGGTGTTGATAATTGTGGTTGAATACCTGAAGGTCCACCTGCAGGAAGTTCGTGACATTTGATGCCAGGCACGTTACGCACAATTATGTCACCCGCAGCATAACGCTAGCTAAGCTACTCACAGTCTGGGCAGCAGCCGTTGAAAGGCATCCTGCAGATCCCACAGTTTTCATCATTGGCCACCCACAACCAAGAGGCCACACCGTTCCACTGTCGGATCTTTACCTTCATCGTCCGCGTCTGTTAAGAGCAGAAACACTCAGTAACCAAAGTCAACAACACACTCCCTTAAACGTTAGCATTGGAGCTAATGTTGACAGCTAACTCTGTGCTCGCTGTTCAGATATATTAGTTCACTTACTAGTCAGCGTTTAACGAGTCCTTCCGATATCCAACAAGAGTCAAGTTATAAACTTTCTTTGCAAGCTAGAAATCATGTTATGGCCAGTTTGATGTTAGTCAACCACATGTAGCTGTTAGCTAACTGTAGCAACCCGGGGGAAGGAAAAAAAAAAAAAAAGTCCATCTTCTTCTTCTACAGAAATTCCGGCCGGCCGGGTGTCGAAACGCTGCCCTCTACAGTCAATTTAGGTCAAAGCCGGTTGGGCGCAAATAACTCAGATAATTTTTCTGTTCAGCCCCTTTACTACTCTGCCTTAGTTTCCTCACACCTGGCATGGACCACCCACCTGTGGCCCCCCTGTCTGGGCCTCTGGCCATGGACCTAAGAACTCTGGGCCTGTGTTCCTGCCTCTAGACGCTTAATTGCCCCCTTGCCCCTCACCCTGGGTCAGTTAGGACATTTGTTTTCTGTTTCTGAGGGAGAATTTTCTATATGGATCCCAAAGTGCTCCCGGTGGCTGTGCCATCAGTGTGTGAATGTATATAATTTCTGTCACCTTGCAGATTAAGACAAGTGAACTAATGTTATATGTTGCTTACGATAACAGTTAGCCTTTTTATTTAAGTTTCTATTATTTCATTCATATTTTTAGTTTCGTATCATATTTATAGGCCTTCTTGCTATGTGAGAGCTCAACCAGCAGAGGTCAGAACCCCCTTCTGTGGCGCCAACAGGCAATAAGGGTTTGACCTTTTGACTTGTGTTTATATCAAAGAGAAGGCTGACACTGCTACCAGAGGAAGCTAATCACTGAGTTTGAAGGACTTGCAGAATCTCACCTGCCTCCCAGCTGCTCTTTCTTGGGTTTAAGCAGCGGGACGAGGAGCTGAGCGTCTTTTCTGTAATTTCACTTACTTACGTACACTTGACACAGCAGAACTGATATTATTTCCCTTAGAATTAGCCTACAAAACTTTATGCTGCTGGCCTCTGTCAGGCGTGCGCAATGACGAGGGAGTGAATAGTGACGATTCTCTCTGACCAATCAGTAGTCTGCTGTGTTTTCACGTCATTAATAAATGTAAAAGTGTAGAGCAACGATATAAAACCAATTTTGACCCCATTATTGAAAAAACTAAATTGAAAGTGAACTCATGGTAAATTAGAGATATTTCTATATATGGGTCCTTTTGTCCAAAGCAGAGGGGATATCTATGTCTGTTTTATCACTTAGCATCCCAACCAATGTTATTAAGAAGCTAGATAAAATACTTTATGATTATATCAGGAGACAAAAGCCCCATTATCTAAGAAAGTAAATTATTAGAAGAAGTTTAAAACAAGGCGGTCTGGAGATTCTGGACTTTAGTATATTGAATAATACCTTTAAAATTAAATGGATTATAGAATTTCTGAAGAATCCCAACCGTATCTGGAATGCTTTTCCTGCATACTTGTTTAAATCTACTTGTGGTATAAATTTCTTTTTAAAATGTAACTTTTCTGTTGACAAAATCCCAATTAGATTAGCTAACTTCCACAAACAGGCCTGGACACTTGCACACAATCATACCTTCAGTCCTCATAGATACTTTATTTGGAATAATAAAGACATTTTGTACAAAATGTACAAACTTTTTTATTGCTCATGGAATTTTTCTAGTTGGACAACTCTTAAACAAGAATGGATAATAAAGAATTCATATTCAGAATTCCTTCAAAAATTCAAAATTCCAGTCACACCCAAAGAACATGCCATTGTTTATGAAGCTATTCCTGCAGGCCCTCTTCGATTTTTGAGAAATGTTTATTTCACAGAAAAAAACATTGTTTCTAATATTTTTTTTAATAGAAGGAATTAATATTGAGAATAAGTTGTGCTGTAACCAACATAAGAAATGTTTTGGACTATACCATACTCTCTGCAGCAAAGTTCTTTTGGTCTTCTATTGTGAGTGACTTACAGTGGGAAAAGGCATGTACTATTCTTAACTAATATTGTATTAATAATAAGGTAAAAGAAGAGAACTTTGAGATTCAGCATTGTATTTACCCCGCCAAAGGAGTGTTACAAAGATTTAAACTTAACATTGATTATAACTGTGATTTTTGCAATTTAGAAAGAGAAACTATATTTTATCCTTTATGTATTCTGGAAAGATCTGGAACATTTTATTAACAGAAAAATGGGTAAGAGTATACGAATTAATGTATTTGGTGCAGGGCTGGGCAATAAAACAATAATGATAATTATCGGAATATAATTTTTCTCAATAACAATATAATAAATGTTCAATATATTGTCAATAAATATTTGGTTTAATTCATTTGAAACACAAACAAATTAGCTCTGAGGAAAAGGGACTGAAAAAAGATTTACTATTTGACTATGATTTTTATCATAATAGTTTTAAAGGTTCAGTCTGTAATCTCTCTCTCTCTCTCTCTCTCTATATATATATATATATATATATATATATATACCTTTAATTGTTCTACCTCAGATTTGTTAAGTGATCCACTTTTTGACATTGTTTGGTATTTTATTAATAGTTTTAAAGGTTCAGTGTGTTATATATATATATATATTTAAGCATCCGGTTTCTTCTATTATCAGGAGCAAAAATCAGCCTTTAAACTTGAAAGAAATAATGACATGACATATATTGTGATAATTATCGATATCAAATGTTATGTTATTGTTGTTATCACGTTAATATTTTTGGCCACATCGCCCAGCCCTAATTTGATGTCATGTTATATTTTGCACTTCATGGTCCAGATACATTAACTATATTGTGCAGCTCCTCATCATACTTGGAAAATTCCACATCCACAAATCAAAATGGACTGGATCCAAACCCTGCTTCAGTCGAAAGCAATAAAATGTCTAAATATAATAAAATAACTTAATTTAATTTGAGCTTCTGGCAATGTAATATGTAATTGACTATATGTGTAATTTGCATTTTTGAGCAGATACATGTACTTTTGCAACGGACAAGGGGCATTAATAATAAGTCTGTATGGTCCCACACTGATCAATAAAGTTTTGGGTGAAATGAGAGGGGGCGGGACTTCGTGCGGCGTCACTTCCGCAAAGTATTTACGCACTATCCGCTGGTTTAACACCGCGCCACCGGAGACAGCCGCTCATCAACAACCGCTTCTCAACGCCGAAAGTTCTTTGTTCGTCTTCAGCGCTCGCTAAAAGCCCCGAAACCACGATGGCGGATAAGATGAACATGTCTCTGGACGACATTATCAAGCTGAACAAGAAAGGAGGCAGCGGCCGCGGAGGAGGATCGTCCCGGTCGGGTGGAAGTTCAGGTCGGGCCGGTGGATCGTCGAGGCCGCCGCGGAGTCGACAGAATAACTTCAACCGTGAGAGAAACAACAGAACCACACCGTACACCCGGGTATGAAAGAGAAGCAGTTGAAACTGAACCGAAATGAAAGTAGCGTGGCGAGGTGTTTAAAAAAAAAAAGAAATAAAAAAGGCGTTGTTGATTGTTTAACCGTCGTGGTTAGCTTTTTACGTGATAGCGGACTTCCCCAACGTTAACTAGCGTACTTAGCAGCAACAGGGGAGACTCTACTAGCGGTCCTGAAATTACCTGAAAGGGGACAAAACCTCGTCCGAATAACTTCACATGTCTTCTCTGTGGGCCGCGGTCCACTCTGCATTAACAGCGCCAGAAGCAGCGGGTTAATTTAATGTCGTCGTTGTCGCAAAAACATGGCCCCGTGTGAGACTAGCTCGGATGGATGTTTGCTCAAGATGGCTGCTTTCAGAAGTTGTCCCTTGAATCGTCAGGTGAGGAGGATCAGGTACTGGTCGCCAGTGTCCTTGCATGGAATTTAACCAGCAAAAAAAAAAAAAAAAAAACAACCCCAAAAACGTTTATTTCTAACAATGGAAAAACACGACTCTGAACAATGGCCACAGTGAAAATGTTGCTTCATTAAATCCTTGTTAGTTTTCGAAGGACTTGAATGGGTTTCATCTACTCCAGGCAAAATCACCACCTTGATGGGACTGGAAGATTAAAAAGGGAAAAAAACCTGAATGATGCCTGATTCTAAAGACATTTTCAGATATTCTGGACAAATTACACGATTTATTAAGTGAAGTGACTTCTTCTCAATGGCTGCGCATGCTACAGTGGTGGGCAGCCTCATCAGTGTGGGGACATGGTTGTTTCAGCCCTGGTATCTTGGTCAAGCCTTTTGGATGGCCTACAGATGTGACAATCACTCACCTATGTTGGCTTTTGTGGTCAAATAATTATCTGCTCTCCAGTCCACCCATTGTGAATTATCACCAACATGTGGAACAATTGTCTTTTGTTGCTCTTCACAGCCCAGAGAGTTACCAGACAAATGGCAGCATGACATGTTTGAGGAGCACGCTGGTGGACACAGAGGACAAAGTGCAGGAGCAGAACGAAGTGTAGAAAGTAGTGGCAAGCTGCTGGTTTCCAATCTGGACTTCGGCGTCTCCGACTCGGATGTCAGGGTAATGTACTAAACCCAGTTAATCCACTTTGCTAGCATCAACTTGTTGTTGTTAACATGACTGACGTTCCTGTTTTGCTTCCCAGGAGTTGTTTGTAGAGTTTGGGACATTACAGAAGGCATCTGTACACTACGACCGGTCTGGTCGCAGTAAAGGAACTGCGGATGTTCACTTTGAAAATAAAGCGGATGCACTTAAAGCAATGAAGCACTATAACGGTGTCCCACTTGATGGTGAGTATTCGAGTGTCATGCTACAAAGACATTGATGTACTTTGGTTGGTTGCTTGAGAAGAGCTCAAGTGTCGCTCACAGGTTTCAACTTTAATTGTGTTTTATTTCTTAGGCCGACCCATGAAAATCCAGCAAGTGACTTCAGAGGTTGACACACAGAGTAGACAATCTATGCAAAGGTAAGTCAGGTAAAAGTGGCCATGCACTTTGAGTGTACGAATACATTGAGTTTGGGAAGCTCCATAATTGGAAATTATAGAGACAGTGGACAAACTCTTATATGCTGAGCTGGCGTCACTAACAGTCACAACACGTACGTGCCAGTTATTAGAGGTTGTTAACGTTAATTTTTCCCGGATCTTTTTGCAGTTCAAACAGAGGCTTTGACCGGAGCAGACTTGGACAGCCCACGTTTGAAAGGAGTGACAGGAGTGACAGGAGGCAAGGTGGCGGCAGTGGAGGTTTCAGAGGTGGAAGGGGAAGGGGAAGAGGAAGAGGAAGTGGAAACAGACCCCAACTTTCTGCCGAGGAGCTGGATGCCCAGTTGGATGCTTACAATGCTAAGGTATGTACTCTGGTTGTAACCAGTTATTTTTATTCTGTATTCTCACCGTACTGTGAACATTGATGATATAATAATTCTGTTTCTTATGTTTTAAATTTCAGATGGACACCAGCTAAAAGCACTCAGAGCGGATGCTGCTCCTGTCCCTACTTTTTTTTTTTTTTTTAATTTTTAAACACTGGTTGATCAGAGATGATAGATCGGACATTATGTTTTGAAGCCATTTTATTGTGTGGACCTTTATCTTCTGTTTTTTCTTTTTTTATAAATATTTCTCAGTATTTTTGTAGCCATTTTTTCTGGGGAAGTTTTGTCTTGGGGATTTTTCTCCCAGGCCACCAGCTCCTGTGCTCTTTTCCAAATGTATGGACAGTGTCTTTAAGCCTGCAACATAATTGATTTTTAAATACTATTTTTTTTTTTTAAGTCACGTAAAAATGATTCAGTGGTTTCACAGACTGCTTTAATGTTAAAAATGTTACATAGCATAGTCATAGTTGTCGTCATTTGGTACTGTATACTTGACACATGGACATTTCAATGAGTTTTGTACATAAATAATTATATTGGATCGTCCTTCTGGTGTTTGATTATTTTGACATTTCTCCTCCTGAGACATCTGCTTTTAAAAACAAATGAAATCCAAAGGTGGCCCAATGAAAACAGAATTGTGCGAGTTATTGTGTATATTTCTTGATTGTCTGTTCTATCAAAAGTTAGTCTCATTCTGCGAGTTGACTTTGTAAAACACATGCTTGACCACCGTTCAGGCATCTTTATAGTAGATAATGATCATAATTATCCTGGTTATCTTGTTTAGTGAGAACAAGTGATTTTAATGAATTAAAAGAGAATCGTATCTGTAATTCCTTAAACTCTAGTGCAGTAGGCAAATAAAAATAAAAAATACATAGTGTGTATTGCTTGTATAACGGGATTATTCGGTACCGTGCGGCACCGCAGTGCACGTCACTTGCGTGCACGGACCTATTCCCGGAACTGTGTTACGCGGGCGGCGCACGGGGCGGCGCCGTTCCGTTGTTCGCCATACTTACACAGGAGCGCCGAGCGACGAACGCACTTACTGCAAAGGCACCTGAAATCACCACTACATTTAATATAAAGGTGAGTCTCCTCAGATCGAAAGGCAGCTAATATAACCTTTTTCTAGAACAACCCCGCCCGGCGCACACCGGGGAAACCGTTTATATTTCACTCCTGCTCCTCGTCAACTGATGACAACTTGTCAGGCTAACGTTAGCCGCAGGCTCTGGTTAGCTGGGCTGGATTGTTCCCAGCGAACGAGCTAGCCCCTCTCTTCAGTCCCACCCTGTACGGCAGGGTCGGCGCCGAGAAAAGTTCAGCCCCATTGTTGAGTAAAAATCAATTTAATCACTCCGGCTAGTTAACTTTCTGCAGATAGCACTGTGCTGGCGTGCTGTCAAAAGCGGTATGTGAGTCATTTTTTGGGGGGGAAAGATGCCAGAGTACAGTGGGACCGTTAGCTAGCTACCTCAGTCACTACATGGAAACTGACGGTACTGTTTGTCGGGATGGTAGCGGCGGGTTAGCCTTTCGACAGTAATGTCGACTTGATACATTTGTAGTGAGCGATGCGTAATTCAGTAGCATTTGCAAAAGATGCATAATCGTGTCATCACAGCTTACTTATTTCTGTGAAACGCTGTATTCAGTTGCACCGATTTCCAAAGCTGCGATTTGTAACATTGATGTGCCGGTGAAAACGTAAGCTACACACATTTTTCACAATGGGAAACCCCATTTCTTTTGTTTGCATCTCGTCCGTATAACCTTGTGTTACTTAACAATTGTTGTTTGTTCTTTGTAAGCCAGCAGGGACCCAAAGAGACTGGATAGGTAGTGCTGTTTCCCTGCAGTTGGCTATTGTTTAATACTAAAATAGGTTTACTCAAAATTAGACTAGGCCACACACAAGAGAAAAACTTAAGTGAGTCAGTCAGACTCCAGCCTCCTGTGTTCATCCTCTGTTAATGTGAATTTAAAGTTTCTGGATTCTTGGAATTTTATAATATTCATCATATATTTTGCATGACAGCCCTTGATGGAGCCTCTTTTTTCGACTGTTCAAATGGATCAACAGAATGATTAAGAAATTAGACAGACTTTAAGGAATTCAAAGCGGTATGTCATGAAAACACATACCAATTCACGTGTCTAATCAAGATCAACCTCCTGCTACAGCAGCCATGCACAGAAAGCCTTTCCTGCCTAAAGAGAAGGGAAGAGGAACTTCTTGATTTTTCACCACAGTGACAAGGTTCAATGCCAGTAGTTACATAATGCATTCACGCTGCAGCACCTCCCCCACCAGCAACTCTTACAAACAGCCTTAATTCAAATGTTGTCTCTTGCAGACATCAATTTTACTTATGCAAAACAATAGAGTGCATTTGGGGAACAAAGGAATGTTCAAATAAAAGAGTCTGGACTCCTTTGCTGCAGTGTTTTATTATCTGACCCATCCTCTACTGGGTCTACGCAGTCATTTCCATAAAGGTTGTGATGTGATATTTAAAGTCACATTGTTATCACCCAAAGATACCAGAGAACTTGATTCTACATAACGATGTTCAAAATTGAAAGAAAATGTTTCTTAGATGGAAAATGGGATATTTAATTAAAAAAAAAAAGTGCAACCAGTTTAGATTAAATTTGAGCATAAGAATATTTTACAGATGCTTTCCAACCTATATGTAATTGCTTGTTAAAGGTTTCTTTCATGTGCCCGTGTTTGTGTGTATGGCGGTGAAAATGTGAAAAATAGTATTTTATATTTGGGCCCTGCTTTACTGCTTGCTGAGATTCCTCTGACACCTGCTAGTTTGGGCTGGGAAGAGGAGAGAGAGTGATAATCACAACAGTCAATAATCACAATAATCACGCAGTCCTATCATGTCCTAAAACTTTCACTTTCACAATTTACTGTGGTTGAAGGTGGCTGCTGAAAGCATTTCAATCCCTCATTGTATAATGTAAACCGCAGTAGGTAGGTATTAAAATATTATAATTAATAGTGTCTGGGGAGATGAAGGTAAAATTAGCTCATAGTTATGTTTCGTTCAGCTGAATGCATGTCTGTGGCTAACATTTATTTTCTTGATTAATTAGTTAATAATTTTTGCAAAAAAAAAAAAAGCAGACACAGTTTTGCTTGTTTTGTGCGATGAACTCTTGGACATTTGGAACAGCATTAGAAGATTAATGGATTATCAGTTCTTTTCAATACCGAATTATCTGCTGATTAATTTCCTTCATTAATTGTGTGGTTTGGAAAATAGTTAAAAAGTCTTTGTCTGACCAACAGTCTGAAACTCACTTATATTAAGTTAAGAACTATAAAATACAGAAAAGCAGCTGATCGTTTGAGAAACTGAAAGCACAGACTGTTTGGCTTTTTGGCTGCAAGACCTAATCGACTATTGAAATGGTCGCTGATTTTCTTTTGATCGACCTGTCAATGATTCGGCTAATGGTTTCAGCTCCAGCTGAATGTTAAATGTCCGCTGGTGTTTCTGCCCTCTGCAAGTCTTCACACATGTCTTCAGTGCCATTGGTTCAGGCCAGCTGAATATGGCACTCCAGTGAAGGATTAGACTCAGAAGCCCATAGAGAGTTTACACCCTTAATTCCCTCTGCTGGTTTTTCCACATTACTGCGAATTAGTGTTGTACACAGAACCACCCTCATGGAGTAGCAGACTTCAAAATTGCTTGTTATAATTATTTACAGTATTAAAATTGCTTCACTTAAGTGATTAAAGGTAAACTACCAACACTAAGGTGGTGTAGGAGAATGTAACTTTTAAGGAAGGGACACAAATTATAACGGTTCAAATGTCTGCATTACTTCAGTCTGAACGAGGGACTCGGGGCCTGCTGCGCCTGTGTGGAGCTGTGGGTGGGATGGCCATAACGTGAATGTCTTTTGGCATAAACAAAGCTCTTCCTGCTTTTGTTACTCGTCATGTTCCAACAAAGGGATTTCTTTCCAACACTAACCTCCTTAGCAAGGGATGGCCCTGCCTCAGGGAAATACAGACTGAACAAATAAGATGATTTGCTGTCAAAATGAAACTTAAACCCATTGGCTTAGCATTAATTTAAACTCACTGATCATTTTCTTCTTGAGTCTTCATTTGATATTAATCTTGTGTTTTGATGTGCACAAAGGAAATGTGCCGTTAACGCCCCCTACCTTTCCTCCTCCTGTACCGACTTTGTCTCCAGACATGGCTGAGGATGAGGTGACTCCGGAGCAGCTAGCAGCCATCGCCGCTGAAAATGAGGAGCCAGAGTCTGTGAACTACAAGCCACCAGCCCAGAAGTCACTTAAAGAGATCCAAGACCTGGATAAGGATGATGAGAGTCTACGCAAATACAAGGAAGCCCTGCTTGGCTCTGGGGTCTCTGAGGCTGGTAATGCTTTGTGTGTGTGTGTGTGAGAGAGAGAGAGAGAGAGAGTAGAAAGCAAGAAACATAAAATGCGTGTGGTTAAATAGATAGTTGTCTTAGTTTAAGTAGCTTGGATGCACAAACGCATTTATAGTGTAATCTACAAAAAGTTTGAGAAAAATATCTGCTATATTTTTCCAACCAATATTGTTATTATGATTAGAGCTGCAAATATGTTCTGTAAATGAAGGAATTACTGTATTAAATGTGATTTGTTGGTACCAAGTGTGATCATGAATTTATCCAGTTTCTTTGGATGTATAAAACCTCTTAAACCCCGCGGGGTCGTCTTTAGCTGTAGCTGCTTCTAACCTGCTTAGATCGTTAATACAAATATTAATGCTTAAACGTATGGTCAATGTGTCAGTATGAACATGCTAACTTACACATCGGTTAGATTCTCCACAATTCAATAGTTCATTTAAGGGGAACAACGAGCCCCAAAGTCTAATTCTTATAGATTTACTGGTGTAACCTGCCTGGTTCAAGAGAGAAAAAAAATTATGACTGCCGTTACCTTTGAAGCGCTTGGTAGGTCCGCTTGTTAAGCCCGAATGTGTCCGTTCCTTGATTATTTATATTCCTTTAGTCTGTGAGGGTCCACCCATCAAAAGAATCAAAACAGCTTTTCATAAAAATTAATCCAAGTAATGAATCCTGTCATGTGAAGTCCGTCGCTCTCTGTCTGCTAACTTCTCTCATCCTGCACCGTGTTGTTGTCGTGATGTTACTTCAAAATAAAAGCGCATAAGCAGCCTGTCGGAGCTAGACCAAATGAATGATGTGTATTTGATAGTTTTTATACAAGTATTATTCTGTTTGAAATAAATAAACTGTTTCATAGTAGTTTCAGTTTTGTGCAAAAGGAATTAAAGGCCTGTCCCAAATAAAGGCAGGGTCAATTCAGTGATTGTAGCCAAAAAATCCCGGGCTATTATTCAAAGTTTTACGGTAATTACGTAAGTTAAACGGAAGAAAGAAGACATGAAGCCTAAAGTATCTACTGGTCGGGTTTTTAGTGCATGTTACACAGCTTGTGTCGACACCTGTATTTATTTTAAATAGAAGCTTATCTTAACTGTAAGATGAATGAATAAAGGCGGCCGAAGCGGCTCCTGTGTAGACAAGATTTAACTGAACAAGCTGTCTCAAAGCCTTGAATATTAAAGGTCTAAACTGGTTTTAAGGCGATAAAGCATGGTGGCCCAGTGGATGGGCACTGTGGCCTCACAGCAAAAAGATCACGGGTTCCTCTGTGGAGTTTGCATGTTCACCCCGTGTCTGCGTGGGTTTCCTCACTATCAAAAACATGTTAGGTTCTCCAGTCACTGGCTGCACAGTGGCTGCACACTGCTCGCTCGAGTGATGGGTTAAATGCAAAGAATGAATTTCACTACATGTATGTGACAATTAAAAGTACATTTATTTATTTACATGTAGAATTAAAGGTGGGGTTTGAGATTATACATGTCTTTGTGTCAAATTCAGCGACTATCTCAAAGTCCGCTAGCTGTGTGCGCTGAGAAAACAAATCTGGTGTTTGTACACAGCTCTGGCTGACCCGTCACACACATAACACAAATCATAATCAGCCACCTTTAACATTAAAGTAAATCTGCTGGTGACCGTTGTCGTTTAGCTGATGAAATGCCACCTTTCACCCTCTACTTCTGGTGATACGTTTTTAATTATACAAGTTTATCATTTCAGTCTCAGCTTTTGTGATTTGAAAATTGCGGTCTTTCAAACTGTGACTTGGATTAAAAACGAGGAATCAGTTGGAGCTGATGTTTGTGAGGTACAATAGTTCATGGCTCGTTTGTGTCACAGCATTTGTGTTTGTTGTAGTTTATGGTATAGTATCAAACTTTTCTATTTTTCCAATACATATGTCTATTTCTGTCAGTGAGGGTTTGACTCTGTGCTGCAGGTGCTGTAAATTCATTTGGATTCACTGATTGCCTACAGAGATAGAAACAGACATTTGTCTTGGAAAAGATTGATACTATACTATATAAGACTTGATGTAAGTCACGACAGAGATTTCATTTCAAGTCGGATGGAGATTTAGATGGCTAAGGTGCAATATTGCGACTCTTTCCAGATTTTCTGTAAACTAAATCAGACTGCCAGAGGGAGTTGTGTGTATTCTGTATGCATGCATTCACGGAGAGCTGTAACCTAGTATATTCTGGTTGAACCCCAGATCAGTATGCTGTCTCTCAGTGAAGGTTGCGTCAGTGGGACTGAAAATAAACTAGAGTCTAATTAATGCAGAGACTGTCCCGACTACAGCAGAGCTGTCCTGATTTCAGCTCCCCCGAGCCCAGTCTCTTAGACAGCTGCTCGTTGCACGGCATGTGCAGTTGTCTGCATGTGTCTACAAAAGTGTTGTCACAATAAATACCTGTACATTAATTACACACATACACTGTTATGGGTTCTCTGGTGAAAACACTGCGCAGTGAAAGCTGTGAAAGGAACTGTAAATATATAGTGTTTAAAATGTCACGTTTGGGGATGTATGTTTAAAACTGTCTTGGTTGTCTTTATTGAACTATCTATTTCTTTGATCCCGCCTCAGATCCCAATGTTCCCAATGTCCAAGTGATCCGGATGTCTCTGATCTGTGAAACCGCCCCAAACCCCCTGGTCCTGGACCTGCAAGGTGAGACACTGTTCGGGCTGGTTTATAAAGCAGGAATAGATCAAACTTCTTTAGTTAAATGTTAGTCAGCAATGTGGGTGTCCACAAATCATTCTGACAAATTGTGGAGCGTGTACGTCAAATGAAAGAGGCCAAACATCAACAGCGGAACTGATAATCTACAGTTACCCCGGCACATTCTGCATCTTTACATCATCTGAACACAGAGGACGAACGTTTTCTTCCGTATCGTTTGCCTAGTAACTATATTTGTCCCACTCAAATATAGCATCGCTATCGACCCCAGCACTGACTCTGCTTGTTTTGATTTTCATCCAACAGTACTTACAGATCCGTCTGTAACGGTTTGAATATATGCTGAGCATGCTGGAAATGTATATGGATTCATTGATTGCTTACAGAGATGGAGAAGTATAGAGGAGGCACAAAGACTGGATTCTTTTTTTCATTTTGGCTGATTACTGTAAAAATGTACTCCCGATATTCCCAGTGACCATTTAGCAGTGAAGACCCCCGCCTCTGTAGCTGCTCAGGCCCAGCTGGCCTCAATTTAAATCCATCCAGAACATTCTGTCCTTTCCCTGCATCACTTCTGGTTCTCCTACTAAAAATAATGATTGCTCACCCTGTAAATACAATTAAAACAGAGTTGGACTAATTGTGGGTTTTTGAATGTCCCTGCCAGTAATTTTAGCTAAACATGCTTTTTAATGAAAGGTCCCTGATGTCCCCTTATGAACTAAAAGTCAGTAATATATTTTTAATAGTTTTTTTTATTTGACACATTGATGTTAAAGAACCAATAAGATCTGGCAAGTTAGACAGATAAAAAGCCAACCTCGTTGTTTGAGACTTAGGAACACAGTCATGAAATGTTATTTTAGTGTGACTGGGATGTTTGAATTGATGTTGGAGACCTGCAGGGCACCAGAAAGGTCAGACGCCTGTCCGCCAAGTAGTACTGATCTGCTGGTTCTTTTTCTACCTTTTGGACATCGGCTCTATTTAAACAGTAGTAACATTAAAATAGTCATCCCAAGTTTTCTATCCCTAATATTTATACTAGTGAGGAGTGTTTGTTTATAGTGAATAAATATTGTACACAAGTCGTAGCCGTTGCGAGGCTTTGGTTTGTCCTCAAGGTCCAATACTGAAAGCTCTGACGGCCATCGTAATAAATGAGTACATCAGGACTGGAACTGTACTCAGATGAAGTGTCTCTGTATCTCAGGCTGTTTCTGGGGATTCTGGAGAAGTTTTTGTGGCTAAACAGAGGAATTCGCCCTTTTAAAGGTTCTAGGCTAATTTAATTTAAGGATGGGCACCAAAACACGGTATTAAACAGACTCTTGGGCTAAAGACCATAGTATTTATGATCCAAACACACAAACGCACACACACGGCAGATCAGAGAGGCTGTGGTGGACACCGTGAAGTGAACCAGTTGAAGTGAAGATGACACCAAGATTACTTTGTGTTGTGACAGCTCACGAGTACAAAGCCAATACTAATAATCAATAGACCTGCTCGACAAGCATAAACGTGTCAACATGTAGAAAGCTATGAATCTGCCTTGTTCCCAGTCTCTCGTCCTCTCTGTTTTACGCAGCACGCTATCTCGGCTAATAACGATTTGTTACAAACAAGCTCTAAAGCGAAAGCTGTCGCTCTGTTAGCTTAGTTTATCACACATCTTAAAATCTGCCACATTGTTGTAAACTCAGCTGCTGGCTGAGACAAACCAGGCACTCCCCTCTCTAGTAGCCGTACTTACAGGCAGTGAATCACATCAGCAGAGGAGGAGGAGGAGGAAGGACTGACGCTGACTTTAAACTTCACCGTTTTGATGAACTATGATGTATTTTATTGATATTTAGATATGATTGCATTCAGATATTATTGAGTTTATATAGTGACTTTGCGGCTGTAAATTTTACAGTTGCTGCTCTAGGTCTACCTTCAGTGGCTTGCAAAAGTATTCATACCCCTTCGAACTTTCCACATTTCTTCACGTTACAACCACTAACGTAAATGTCTTTTATTGGGATTTCACGGTGCATAGTTGTGAAGTGAAAGGAAAATGATACATGGTTTTCAAAAAGTGTGGCGTGCAAAAGTATTCAGCCCCCTTCTACACTGATACTCTGTGCTACCAATTGCCTTCAGAAGTCACCTAATTAGTAAATAGAGTCCATCTGTGTGTGTAATCTCAGTATTAATACAGTTGTTCTGCAAAGGCCTCAGAGGTTTGTTAGAGAATATTTGTGCCCAATGAATACACCAGACAGATCAGGAATAAATGTTTGGAGAAGTTTAAAGCAGGGTTAGGTTATAAAAAAAAAATGGCAGTATCATGCTGTGGGGATGCTTTTCTTCAGCACGGACAGGGAAGCTGGTCAGAGCCAAATACAGGGCAATCTTGAAAGAAAACCTGTTGGAGTCTGCAAAAGACTTGAGACTTGGGGCGGAGGTTCACCTTCCAGCAGGACAACATACAGCCAGCGCTACAATGGAATGGTTTAGATCAAAGCATATTCATGTGTTAGAATGGCCCAGTCAAAGCCAGGACTAAATCCCATTGAGAATCTGTGGCAAGACTTGAAAACTGATGTTCACAGACACACTCAATTTAGTCTGACTGAGCTTGAGCTGTTTTGCAAAGAAGATTGGGGGGGAAAAAAACAACCATGTCATCATTTTCCTTCCACTTCTCAATTATGTGCCACTTTGTGTTTGTCTATTACATGAAATCCCAATAAAATACATTTACATTTATAGTTGTAACGAGAAAAAAATGTGGAAAAGTTCAAGGGGTATGAATACTTCTGCAAGCCACTATGATAGCTAGTACCTCAATGTGTAAAGGCAAAATCCCCCAAAAGTCAGGAGAAGTCACATGTGTGGCATCAGACAGCTTGTTTTTTGTTTTAGTGAAATGCATCTTCAGTTTGTTTGTTAAGTTGCTGCTCAGGACAAGTAATAGAAACTTAGTCAGTGAGTTAGATCGCTGCCAGTAAAGGAATCAATGCAGCTCCTCTGTGCCAGACCCATCTGATGCTGTATTACTGTGGCCTCAACTCAGCAGGAATGTACTGGAAGCTAACACACAAATCAAGAGACTGTTTTTAGGGTCTTGGGAACTGAAAGTGGTGGTCAGCACCCAGGGGGCTGCCGGATGATTTCAGAGGCCTGTAGAAAGAAAATCTTGCATACAGATGTATTATTTAGTCTATAGTATCATGTATGTGGATGCATTCGCTCTCTAAATGTTTTGTTACGGCTAATGGCTGACAAGGTAGAAGAACTGGTTATAAATGATGCGAAACTGTTCGAAACACCTGGGGGAAAAAGTGAAAGTATGATGTCACACAGACTCCAAACTTAAACTGTAAAGAAAACATAGAACAAGTCTTAGTATTGTTTGGTTTGGTCCTTAATTCCCCTTATGATCAGCATCACTGTGAGTATAATGGAGTAAATAATGATGCCTGTGCTTTTGTCCCCTTTTGGTGCACAACAGGAGACCTGGAAGCCTTTAAGAAGCAGGCCTTTGTTCTGAAGGAGGGAGTTGAATACAAAATAAAGATCAGCTTTAAGGTGAGAGCTGCTGTAGCTACATCTATACACTACCGTTCAAACGTTTGGGGTCACTTAGAAAATGTCCTTATTTTTTAAAGAAAAGCAGTTTTAATCAATGAAGATAACATTAAATTAATCAGAAAAACAGTCTAGACATTGTTAATGTGGTAAATGACTATTCTAGCTGGAAACGGCTGATTTTTAATGGAATATCTACAGAGGTGCACAGAGGCCCATTTCCAGCAACCATCACTCCTGTGTTCTATAAAACTGGCCTTCCTTTGAGCTAGTTCAGTATCTGGAGCATCAGCATTTGTGGGCTCTCAAAATGGCCAGAAAAGGAGAACTTTCTTCTGAAACTCAACAGTCTATTCTTGTTCTGAGAAATGAAGGCTATTTCATGCGAGCTATTGCCAAGACACTGAAGATTTCCTACTATTGTGTGTACCACTCCCTTCAGAGAACAGCGCAAACGGGCTCTAACCAGAATAGAAAGAGAAGTGGGAGGCCCAGGGTCACAACAAAGCAAGAAGACAGTACATTAGAGTCTCTAGTTTGAGAAATAGACGCCTCACAGGTCCTCAACTGGCAGCTCCATTAAATCCGGGATGCTGGCCTTCTAGGCAGAGTGGCAAAGAAAAAGCCATATCTGAGACTGGCCAATTAAAGGAAAAGATTAAGATGGGCAAAATAACACGGACATTGGACCGAGGAAGATTGGAAAAAAGTGTTATGGACAGATGAATCCAAGTTTGAGGCGTTTGGATCACACAGAAGAAGATCAGAACAAGTGAACAGACGCTGGAGGAGCGCCTGACATCTGTCAAGCGTGGTGGAGGTAATGTGATGGTCTGGGGCTGCTTTGGTGCTGGTAAAGTGGGAGATTTGTACAAGGTAAAAGGGATTTTGAATAAGAAAGGCCATTTTACGCCATCCCATACCCTGTGGACAGGACAATGACCCAAAGCACTCCTCCAAACTATGAACTATTTAGGGGAGAAGTAGTCGGCTGGTATTCTGTCTGTAATGGAGTGGCCAGCGCAGTCACAAGATCTCAACCCTATTGAGCTTTTGTGGGAGCAGCTTGACCGTATGGTGCGTAAGAAGTGCCCATCAAGCCAATCCTATTTGTGGGAGGTGCTTCAGGGAGCGTGGGGTTAAAATTCTTCAGATTACCTCAACAAATTCACAGTTTTAATGCCAAAGATCTGCGAAGCTGTGATTGCTGCAAATGGAGGATTTTTTTGCCGAAAGCAAAGTTTGAAGGACAAAATTATTTCAAAATAAAAATTAGTATTTCTAACCTGGTCGATGTCATGACTATATTTTCTATTCATTTTGCATTTGATGAATAAAAGTGTGAGTTTTCATGGAAAAGATGAAATTGTTTGGGTGACCCCAAACTTTTGAACGGTAGTGTGTATATAGGAAACATGTTTTATCATGGAATGAGTGTATCTGTCCTTGTTATTCACAGCCTTTCTGAAAATGTGAATGTTCCAATACACCAGAGTTGATTCAATGTGACACCAATATTGTTTTTTAGATCTCTGAGATTTCATTGATACATTGAGGCTTTTACATTTTATAATGTTTCTGGGATACTTTGCTTCAAGTCCTTGTTAATTTCTAACTTATTACACAAGCACAACACAGCTGTTCTCTTGAACAAAGATTGTGTCTCCGCAGGTGAACAGGGAGATTGTTTCGGGTCTGAAGTATGTGCAGCAGACATACAGGAAAGGAATGAAGAGTAAGTAAACACTTGCGGTATAGATGTGTTTGAAAGGATGAAAGGCAGATTCTTTAAAATGTAAATGTTCTTAGTTACGAAGCTGAATTACTCTTTTGAAATGTGAGCTCTCTATGCTTGTCTCCTTCTGTTATCTGTCTGTACTAGAGCTGCAGCTAACGATGATTTTAGTAATCGAGTATTCTACAGATTATTTCATCGAGTAATCCTATAAGAAATTATTTTGCTTGGAGGCGCCCCCTCCCCTCTGTACCGGGATCAGCTGTGTAACTCATGACTGTGACATCAAAACACAAACTCACGGCCCAACCAGGCAGAAAAACAGCAACAACAAACGTGTACAAATGTGTGTACATTTACTGCTGAGAATTGTGGCTTACTTTTGCTAGCCTTCAACTCAATAATCAATCATGATTTCAGTTAAACGCTAAAGTTGCTGTTACTTTACCAAGTCTGACTTAGTGATGGCAAGTTTGAGTCTTTTGACAGACTCGTTCATTCAAATCTCGTTCATTAAAATGAACTAATCTTTTTTTGAGTAATTTCGTTCATTTGAACTAGACTGGTTATTGCGGCGCTGCAGCCCTCTAACGGGCCATTAAAAAACAGCGTAGCGTTCTCAAACACGGAAGGCTGCCTGGCTTGCATTATTTGACGAAGTTTAATGCACAAATTCACCTCTTGATTACTGTATATCATCATTATATAAACCCCCCTGGGCCCACAACCAAATTCAAGCCATGTAAAAACCACAGAAATATGTTGTCAATATGTAATCACCACTACTCCGGCGAAATCCTTCCATTTTCACAATCTTTCCCGAGTAGTATACAACCAGACCAGCCATATAAAGGCTTATGTATATAATTACTATCATTATCTCTAACTGCTCATTCATACAGTAACGTTAGCCCAACGTCCCTATTAATGAGTAAAATATTAACATCAGATCTGCAGTAAATATATTGAAGTAATAAGCTTGATTCACTATATGAATAAACACATTCTTATTAAAATTCAACCAATTTAATAATAATCTGGATCAAGCCACTAAGTTCTTAAAGAACTCCAGCGCAGAGAGAGGAACAAAGAAATAAACACACATAAACGCAGCAGTTTGGCAGTTCTGGACGCAGAATGGGCCACATCAGAAATACACATGAGCACATCGCTCTCAAACACTTGTATGTTGTTCTTCAACAATGCATCTAATGTGTGTTCAGTACTGTTACATTTGAATACATTTATTTACTTTGAAAGTAATTTTGTAACTGCATTTCCTTTTTTAAAAAGTCTTCAATTTAACTAGGTGAAACCTGCAGAAACCCTGAAACAAGTCTTGACTGAACAACCATAGATTTCTCTTCAGTTGTTCAGTTCTGCACATTGAACATCTTAAAACATGAATGTGGTCCTAATTCTTAAATACCACTGCTAACAGTCCTGCTGATACTGATGTATCTCTGAAGACCTTTTAGAAGATATGAACATACGTTTGTCAGGTCACTTTAAAGTGATGTTTCACTATTTCGATTTCAGGTGAACTTTCATGTTACTTACCCACTGGTTAGCTAAAAATTAGGTCAAAATTCTATAATGAATAAAAACCTAAGACGAAACAATAAAGACAGAAATTGTGACGGGCACCCCGGTGGCTGAGGGGTTAAAAGGTGCTGATCCCAAACCTCAACATCCCTGGTTTTGACTCCAGTCAGGGACACTTGTTTGTCATTCCCATCACTTCCTCCCGTCGTTTCTTAAATTAAAGGACTAAAAGAGTGTAGAAAAATCTAAAAAGCAGATGCTTCCATGCACCAGATCCCAACCCAGTTTCACACCTATTGAAGATTTTGGAGCAGGGTGCAAAAAAGTGCTCTCCGCCACCAAATGATAAAATAAAACTTTCATCTACAAATGAATTGAGTGACTGTATTTGATGTCCTTTTGTTATCTCTGGCTGTTTGTGTCTTTCTATCTGCTGTACTCAAGTCGTTCTTGTAAAAGAGATCACCTGATTAAATAAATGTTGTGTATATACAAACGAGGAAATATCTTATAGAGGAATAGAGTTCATCCCTACAGTAGAGTTCCACAAGCCTGCGTTACAGATTAATTTTTTTCTCTCTGACCATAATCTCCATTCTCATGTGTTAACAGTTGATAAATCAGACTACATGGTGGGCAGCTACGGGCCTCGTCCTGCTGAATATGACTTCCTGACTACGATGGAGGAGGCGCCGAAAGGCGTGCTGGCCCGTGGCAACTACGTCATCAAATCTAAGTTTACTGACGATGACAAGCACGACCACCTGTCCTGGGAGTGGAACCTCAACATCAAGAAAGACTGGAAAGACTAAAAGAGGCCTTTTTCTTTGTGGGCGAGGGACTACAGTTCCCCCAGCCCCGTGTGTTCCTCAGCCACCCCCCATCCCCAACATGTGTCCACCATTTCTGCCTTCTTTGTTTATACTTTGTTGTGTATTTCATGCTCTCATGCCTTAGTTCTCTTTAACACCTTGGCATCCTCCTCACCTCTCTGTCAGCAGCAGTAGCAGAAGCAGTAGCCCCCCCTCCTCCCGTCCGCCCGTCCGTCCGTCCGTCCGTCCGTCCGTCCATCCATCTATCTATCACCTCCCTTACCTGCTCAACATTTCATTGGTTGCACACAAGCCATCCTCACTCACCCCCCACTGAGCTGTGCCATGTAGCACCTTACTCCCTCACACCCAGCCCTCTATCTTTCTTTTGTTCCGGGTTTTTGCTGCTTGAAGAGATTAACCCCGCCCTCCACCTCTCCAGAATGGTGTCTTCCTCTCGCAGTATGAAGTACATGTGGAAAAGCAACTGTACAATCAACTTTTGTTTGCCTTTTTTTTTTATATAATTGTATCGATGGTTGTGTAATGTGATTGTATTCACATCACTGTTAGTCAGCTGTTGTGTTCATAGAAGGCCCCACCACATCCATGTGCCCCCCCCCTTTCTTGCTTGCTGTCTTTTGATATAATTACCAATACCTGCCTTGGAAAAACAATTCATTCACATCTGCTCTTCGCCGCCTCCTTCCCTTCCCTAAATGTATTCACCCACTCCCCTTCAAATGGGACTGGGGCCAAAGTGAACATGGGAGTAAAAAGTATAAGGGTAAAAAGCTGCCTTATGTATCAACTAATGTCTAAACCTGTTCATGTCTACTTAGCATGCCTTGTGTGTAGGAGAAGTGCTTGCTATCAGGTAGTCTGTATAACAAGGGCTTACACTCGCTACCAACTAATAACCATCTGTAGCCCTGTTGTAGTAGAGATTGTTTATACAGGTTCCTCAGATACAGCTCTGCACACGCCCACTACCCCCAAAATAAACTTACCATGTAGTTGGAGGGGGCTGAATGTTAAGAATTGGAGGAAGCATATCAAACCCAGTGAAAATCAGTATTGATGAAACTCGGCGCACTCGTTTCTTTTAGCCACGAGGCCTTAGCACTAACTATGATCATGTGGAGAAAAACAAACATTTCTAATATAGCCTTTTTTTTTTTTAACATTTATTGAAATTTTTTGTTGTTCCCCTTTTGCCTTAATGTACATCATTCCCCCCTACAAAGCCACCCCTCGCTCGTTCAGATTGCTTCTAAACTCTAAGCCTGCAGTCAGGAGATCCCACGTGTGGAGGAGTAGTACCAGAGAAAGCACAGGAGGAGGCTGAGCCGGGCGCCGTCTGCTGCTGCCGGAGTCCTCGGCGGTGTCTGGTCTCACTTACAGAGAGACGCTGGTAGTGCTGAGAGAAAACTGACCAGGCCTTCAGCCTTTTTACCCAGAGGGGTCGGGTGACACTACTACGGAAACACATGCTCAGTATTTAATGAGGGTTTTAAAACACAACTGACCAGTAACATTAAATTGAAGTCGACTCGTACTGTACCAGAACATATGGATGTAAACTTTCTTTGTTGTTTTGTCTGATAATTATGTATTCCTGCTCCATACATTCCTTCACATTGTACAGTTTCTATGAAAACGCTGGCATGCTGGTGGGGTTGTATATTCTATCATCATTTGTGATTGCTCTTCTCAGTCAATAAAGGTTTTGCTCAACTTGGCCTCTTAACACTTGTTTTTTGCAAATATATCTCCGAAAATGTCAGTTTCTTTCCCTTAATTTACTTCAAAAAGTGAAACTTTATCTTCTAGATTTAGTATGCAAAGTAAAATATTTTTTTTGGTTTTACCCTTTATGATTACAGCGAACAGCTCATGGTAAATCTATATCTCAAAATATTAGAATAAAGAATGTATACTACAGAAATGTCAACCTGAGAAGAGCCTTTCATCACTCAGTGTGGTTCAGTACACAACCACAATCATAGGGAAAGATTTCGACAGCTGTTCAGAATACACTCATTGACCCTCATTGATTCATGAAAACTTGACTGGAGTATGGTAGGAAAAGGTGCACAAGCAACAGGGATGACCGCAGCGTTGAGAGGTTTGTCAAACAAAGCTGATTAAGAACTTCAGACAGCTTCACAAGGAGTGGACTGAGGCTGGAGTCAGAACATCAAGAGCAACCAGGCACAGATGTGAGCTCCAAGTGTCACATAATGTCAGGCCACTCCTGAATCAGACAACATCAGAAGCTTTATACAGAGACTGAAGAGAACTGGCAACTGGAGCGTTGCGCAGTGGTCCAAAGTCCTCCTTTCAGACTAAAGTAAATTTAGCTTTTTATTTGGAGATCAAGGTCCCAGAGTCTGGGGGACGAGTGGAGAGATGAAGGATCCAAGTTGCTTGAAGTCCAGTGTGAAGTTTCCACAGTCAGTGATGATTTTGGGGTGCCATGTCCTCTGCTGGTGTAGGTCCACCGTGTTTTCTCCAGTCCAGAATCAATGCAGCGACTACCAGAGCCCTTCATGCTTCCATCTGCTGACAAGCTTCATGGAGACGCGGTTTTCCTTTTCTAGCAGGTCGACGTCGAATATCAATTTCTTTATTCTAATATTTTGAAATATGGATTTTTGATCTCCATGAGCTGTAAGCTGTAATTATCAAGATTAAAACAATAAATGTAGAATATATTTATAAGTTTTACTTTTTGAATTAAAATACTGGAAAAAAAGAACTTTCCCACGATATTCTAATTTTCTGAGACACACCTTTAAGTGTAGTACTGCTTGTACCTGGACAAATACTGCAGGAGTCTCATATTTTACTGTGGGTGATTGTGTTAATGAGGCATTTAAACTTCAGTTTAGGAGTTCAGTTTAGTTAGTTCAGGTTTAGATGCTTAGTCATATACGGTTGTCTTTGGCTCTGAAGGAGCGCTGAGTTGTCTCAGCTTGATCTTTAAGTCTAAACATTTATAAGAGAAAGCCTGAAGTGTGGCTTTTGAAAGATGTTCATATTTATAAGACACAGTCTCAAAAAAAGATACTGTTGTGTTATGGGAAATGTAGGATGCAACATTTTTTGGAGCTTGAACCATATCCGGGACCAAATGTCAGGAAATCCCTCCTGGTTTGCTTGGATTTTGAATATTCCTTTTTCAATGTACATCTTCTCAGTTACTCAACTTTATAAAAGTCCAATGCTAAATTGACGGAGTCTTGCACACGTATTTATATCAATAAAAGTTTTTAGACTAAACGCCCAGTCATTCTTCAGGAAATGATTGGATTTAACTTTAACAAGGATGTTTGTTTTAAAACATATTTTACATGGTAAACTGCCTCAAATGCTGAGTTAACATAATATTACGTTAAAATGGAAACATTTTACGTAGAGTTAAGCGCAGAAAGTGTGGCTTTAAATGGCAACACTGTATATATACACATGACTGATGGAATTAAGACCAGTCATACCCACATAAAACAAAATGGGACAACAGTGTACAGGTCATTACTTCTTTTTTTTTTTTTTTTTTTTTTAGACTGGATGCACCAGAAAAGGCTTAAAATGTGGGTGGCTGTAGCTCACATCTTCACACTCAGTAGCCTCAGTTATACTGTTTCAGTAAAAGTCAAAGATAATGTATAGTGATGTGTAAGAGCTAAACAACCACAAACAGAGCCTTAATCATTTATGCCCATACTGTATTTTATACTTAACAATGTATGTTTTTCAAAGCAAAATAGAAATATCACTTAGAAATGTATATCGAAAGGCACAGCATCAAAATACAATTTGACATACAGTTTTTTTTTCTTTAAAATTGGAGTAAACATTCAAAAATTGACCCATCTGGCCTGCCTGTTGAGTAACAGCCATCCGTCACAGGGTGAATACTTAGCTTAGGGGTTGTTGCTTTCAGTAGCGTCCAGTCAAAATGGCAAAATGAAATTATTACTGACTTACAGTACTAAGAACATAGCATGCGTTCTCCTAGCCCTCTTGAAAGAGCTGACGTTTGTAACAAACATTTTCTGTAAAAATCCCTCTGAACATGAGCTGCATCTGACGTCCATGATTAGCACCCAAAACTCTCCGCCCTATTTACAACAGAGACCACGACTACACCTCTACATCACTGTCAGGACAGATGGCCCCTGTACATAAATATACATATTAAATATACATTCAGAGGAGCAGGGAGAAATGGGCATGCAAATTTGGTCCACCTTTACAGCAGTCAGCCAAAACAGAAAGCATCGACCCAAGACTCATCCTGAGAAACAACACTGACCACTTGGTGTTTTCCCCAAAAGGACATGCAAAACTGGGGCTGGTTTTTGGCACATTTAAGTCTTTTTTGTGTGTGTGTCTTTTTCTAGTAACCACCCCTACAACTGAATGGCGTTTATGTGTCCACCCCTTCAGAGGTCAAGAAAGCTATCTAAAACATTACTGTGAGCTCGCACTGTGCATGGCTTTAATTCTCAGAATACAGATTTTATACAAAGTATCAGAGAAGCAAAGCACATTAAAATATTCCAGTTTAAAAAAAATTCAAAAAAAAAAAAAAAAAATTATATATATAAAAGTGGACGCCAACAGGAATCATCCTGCCAGTCCACAGGAGGTGCAGTTCAGCTTGTTATACAGTAGATCTGCCAAAACATAAAGGCCCAAACACAGGCTAATAACCCTGAAATCTATGTGTTGCTCCAGTTACTGGTGAATGTGCTGTGCAGGTGTTTTACGCTGCCGTCTCCCTTACTGGTTTGTCTCTTCTGAGTTGGGCAAAGAATGTAATACTTTTATCTCCATGTAGGTTTTCTTTAAAGGTTCATCTTGAGAGTTTGCTGATGACCCGAATGAGGGCGGCGTTCTCATCCTTGAGCCTCTGGTTGTCTGCTCTGAGATCCCCCAGGACCTGCAGAAACATCATGAAACACTGCTGTTTGTAGCTTTTACACTCCTTAAAGTAGAACAGTAACACAGCGCTATCTATTTGATAAGATCAACAGGAGATTGTTCCACTGTTGTTAAGCTTGTGTTTTATGTTTAATGCTCCGCTGAGAGGATTAACTGGGCCTCTGAGCACACAACAATGGGGTGTGAGTACAGGGCAAAATAATTATTTTCCACTTACTTTTACAACTCCTCAAAGATACTATTATCTTGTTTTCCTGTTAATGTGATGCTAACCTGAGTTACACATAATATATATATATATTCTCTCATTAGGTTTCCCTCTGAAAATAGCATTTCTTGTGCAACTGTTATACTCATTGTACTTATTTGGAGTTAGCTAATTCAGTACAGTAAGTAATTAGTGTTGAAGTGAACATCTGTACCTTTAGCTCGTCCTCCAGTTCCACAGCTTTCCTCTGGAGGGCCATCTTCTCCTGGGAACAACAGTTTGAACATCACAAAACTGACTGAGGCAAACATTTCACCTGCAGTTATTTACAGCAGTCTGCAAGTTCAGTTTTTTTCCTGACACTGTGGCTTCTCGCACTGCTGAACCCGCAGTCTTACATTTTATCACACATTACAAAGTACACTGTAAATGCAAACACCACATTAACGTTCACATGTTCAGTTTTAGTCACAACTCAAGAACAGGAAATTTACTTTGTTCAATTTCTAACACACAAAAACAACCTTTACCTATGCTTAACCTTTCATTCTTTAAAAAAAAACATAAAAAACAAAAACACCCACACACAACAAAAAACACATTATGCATTTCTATTTATTGTGATACAGAAATATGTGGTGGATGTATTAGTATGTTTACAGTACTGGAGGTTTGTTCCTGGCAGAACTGACAGTAAAAAACGGCACACTTACAAATCTCTCCAGTTCCAGCAGGGCCGGTCTGTCTGTGCTGCTCTCTTGATTCTGCCACAGAGACAAACAGTAAATACAAATTTCATACAGGTGACAGCAGAACTACACAACTGCTGCAGGCAACTGAAACACAGACTGAATACAGTTTTATTTGAAATTAAGATATCCACTCAACAATACCTACATTTTATACCTCAAGAGATTATGCTTTTTGGCTTTTTCTCCCAACAAAAGGTCAAATAGAAGTGAGATGCTTCACTTGGTAGCTAAAACGGAGCGTTAACCACACAGGGTGCTGCAGCAATGTGCAGTATGACACAAATATGGTGTAGAATAAAACCATATAAACCTGTTCTGGTACAACCCCTAAATAAAACTAAAATAGAACCTAAAAATGAGCATAATGTGAAGAAAACATAACCTGTAAATTAAGGTTCTGATCGACACAGAGTGGATTGTTTATGCTTTGCTATGTGCTGGTTTAGAAATGTACAGCTGTTGTTAAACATAAACAACTATTACAGGATTTGCGCTGCTGTCTATGTTCTCACGCCGTCCTTGATATGACTGACTCAGACGTCAGCGCCCACACAACATCCCTCTGTTCATAATGTCACGCACACAAACATTTGCAAAAGCAAACCTGACGAACCTGTCGGAGTCGCTCCAGCTCTACCTTGTTTTGGCTGAGCAGCAGCTCCATCTCCTGCAGCTTGTCCTTCAGAGCCAGGTTGTCCTGCAGTACCTTTAAGTACAGCTGGAGGGAAACACGCATAACACAGACCATCAGAGTAAAGCAAACTGAAGATAAAAGCTTCATGTATGCAGGTGGGAATAGTTTGGTTGATGCTACAGTAAAGCCTGTTCATTTCTCTCTAAAGTTTGTTGGGTATATCCTTCCTGTCCTGGTTTGTCTAGATCTCAGCTATAGTTGATTTCAGCCTGTGTGGGTGTGTTTTTTAGGAATGTGTGAGCTTCTCTGAGAGAAGAGGGTCAGATATGTACCGTTCTGTAGTCAGCTGACGAGCCTCCCAGTTGACTCTCACTGCAGAGACACATGAGAGAATTTTAAAGCCCTGACAGACAATCCTCCTCCACATGTCCTGGAAAAAACACTGCATTTTTGTTGACTACTTCATGGAAAAACAGGAGGCGTGCATACAGTCAAACAGTCTTCCGCTCATACAACTTCACAACTTTACAGAGCAACAAAGTCACGATCAAACCAAGGTTTACACGCTCATTTAAAAGTTAAGGACAAAACAGAACACTCACGTGGAAGTCCTGTTTGTATCATCCAAGTGAGCATCCGCATCTTCATTCTGAAAAACCAGAAGTTTCACATTGTCAGCTACGCAGCACTACAGTTACGTCACTTCACAAGCATGTCTAATCTGAAATAACGCACACGAAAGGGCAGATTATTTCACATAAATATGATAATTCCCCTATGTGATGTTCAAAGATGAATGAAATCCAAACACACACTTGCTTATCATTGCAAACTTTAAGCTAGCACTCATACTTAAGCTTAAAGGGAACATGCGGCACCTTTTATGTGGAAGTCTAAATCAGTATTGATTGAGGATTGAATCAATAATCTGATGCCAACAAAAACTGAAACATTCTGCTGCAGTGAATTTCAGCACTGGCAGTTTTGGTGGACACGAACCTCGAGTGTATGTTACAGAGTTATGGATTAAAATTTTAATTCAAACTTTGACAGGAGGTGTGCTGTAAACCTTTCAGATCCTGAAGATAATTTGGAAAAGACAACCAGGACCAGCAGGGCTGAGAGGGCAGATGATCATCGAGCAGGGCAGGAAATAAACTTTTTAAAATGCGAACATCCACAAGCTACCAACAGATAAATGTTCAAATTCACCAGCATTCTCACACTGTAAATCATTATTTTGTGTCTGAAATCTACCTGCCACTGGTGAAAATTTCCCACCTACTTCCCAGTTTAAGTGTACGTTTTATTTTGAATTTTTTTACCTTGCCATCAAACAGCCCTGTATGATGGGGAACTAAAGCTGTTGACAAAAACAGTAATTTTAGCCTGCGGAACACAGGAGTTGCTGGTCTACTCCTGCCTCGGTCAGTTAATTTGTTTGTTAGTTGTATTAGTTCCAAACCCTCTTCAAACACCAAGGCACACAAACAAACTAACCGATCAAGGCAGCAATTGTCTGGTGGCTTTGAAGAGAGCATAGATGAATATACCTGTTGTGCCTGAAAGTTTGTGAACCCTGTAGAATTTATATTTCTGTAGAAATATGACCTAAACATACATACATACGTATTTGAACCTTTGCTTTCAGGATGTGGTGTGACCCCCCCCCCTGTGCATCAATAACTGCGACTAAAAGTTTACGGTAACTGTTGATCAGTCCTGCTCGACTTGGACGAACCTTAGCCCATTCCTCTTAACAGAACAGATTCAACTCTTGGATGTTGGTGGGTTTCCTAACATGAATTGCTCACTTTAGATCCTCCTTCCACAACATTTTGATTAGATTAAAAAAAAAAAAAAAAAGGTCAGGACTTTGACTTGGCTCATTCCAAAACATTCACTTTATTCTCATTTAACAATTCATTGGTAAAAAAGACTTGTGTGCTCAGACTTATTGTCTTGTCACGTTCTCTTGAGATCTGTTCACAGACAGATGTCCTGACATTTTCCTTAGAATCACTGGTAAAAATTCAGAATTCTTTGTTCAAATCAATGAGGGCAAGCTGTCGTGGCACAGATGCAGCAAAACAGGCCCAGATCATGATAATACCACCACACCACCTTGTTTCACAAATGGAATATGACTATTATATGCTAGAATGCAGTGTTTTCCTTTGAGCGAACATAACACTTTTCATTCAAACCAAAAAGTTCTGTTAGGGTTTCATCTGTCCACTAAAACATTTTTCCAACAGCCTTCTGGCTTGTCCACATGATCTTGCGCAAACTGCAGACAGGCAGCAAAGTTCCTTTTGGAAATAAACTGATTTCTCCTTCCAGCCCTGCCACGCACACCATTGTTGTTCAGTGGACTCTCGAACATTAAACATTGGCTAATGTGAGAGAGGCCTTTAGTTGCTTAGAAGTAACCGTGGGTTCCTTTGTCAAGGACAATTACACATCTTGCTCTTGGAGTGATCTTTGTTGGTCGACCACTCCTATAGAGGGTAGCCATGGTCTTAAGTTTCCTCCATTTATACACACTCTGTCTAACTATGGATTGGTGGAGTTCAAAGTCTTTAGAGATGGTTTTGTAACCTTATCCAGCCTGGTGAGCATCAACCAGTCCCTCCGTGATGTCGCGATCGCAACTATTAACATAAATTCAACAAATGCCTGTGAATTCAGCGCGACTTGCAATTTAGACACTGCGACTTTTCCTTAAATCGTTGCCGTCAGACTAGACAAATAACTGAGACACAGGCTGTTGCATCCCGGTCAACTGCAAGCGCTGAAAGAATCAAGGTAAGCTGGTGTATATATGCATGGTTAGGGTTAGGCTGTTGAAGTAGTCTAAAATACCTGAAAGCAAAGGTTCACATACTCTTGGTTTCGGTCTGATATGTTTATTATTATTTATCTCTTGATCTACTTTGTGTGAAAATCTAAGTGTGTTTTAGTTTTACACAGATAACTCAAATATTCAAACCTGTGACTTCGTGTTTAAAGGCTGCTCCATCCATCGAATGAAAATATTTGACATGCCTTTTATACAATTTCTCTAAATTCAGCCTGGCAGTTTTATCATCTTTGGAAAATGTGGGATCACCACTATAGTTAAAAACAAAGTTTGGCTGGGATTGTAATGGCTGACCCAATGGCTGCTCAGTGGGGCTTAGAAGCTTTAACTCATTTTGCATTTGAATCTTGCAACATTTCACAAGAAACACCAATCATCAAGACTTCCCCGTCATTCAGTTACATCTTGACAAAGAGGAACTGGTTTGTCCTTTCCCCTGCTTTCACTACTTACTGTACATACTGCTACAAAAATGAAATAATTAATGAATGGGTCTGCTAAAGCCGGCTGCTAGCAGTTGCTGCTAGTGTTTAACAAAAATTTTCTACCTGGGTTTCTTTCTTACCTCTCCACACGGCTGAATGATGCCAGTAGAGCGTCTCTCCCTCCTCCCTCTCCTCCTGTCCTTCACTCCCAGGCGCTTCTCTCCCTCCGGTTCCTCCTGCTTCACCGGGTCTGTATCTGAAACACATGGGAGTTTGACAGAAAACACTCCTGAAGGACTTTTTGGGAGTCAAAAAGAAAAAAATAAATAAAATCAAACCAACCACATCCCGTGCCACTGTGGAGAAGGAATAACAGCATGTAACTAACACACTTGTTTCAGTTAAGCAACCATGCACTTATCAGGTAGATTAGTTTCCAAATGTAGCTTTCTCTAAAACAGGAAACTGTCTTTAACCTCTGTCTCTCCTCCAGATGACTGCAAGTTGAGGCTTAAGAGCAATGAGCTCAGTTAACATCAACAAAATGCTGTTTTTGGCTTTTAGCTCATGTTCCAGCAGGTTAACTCTGAAAATTAACCGGATGCAATTATTGGGCTGGCTCATCTAAAAAGTGTGTCACTCAGATAGATCAGATGGAGAAGTTCTTAGTTCCCCTTAAAAAAAACAACCAAAAAAAGGAAGTTGTGCACTCTGAAGATATACACAACTCACAACAAAAAGGTAGCCACCCTTCCAGATAAACCACCACAGTAGCCTTAAGAACCCATGTGAGAAAACCTAATTTCCTTTCAAACCTCTCTTGAAGAGTACTCCACCCAACATCTACATCGTGTTTTTATTTAGTCGTCTTGTATTACCGTAAACAGATGTGAGACTCTAACCACATGGTGTGGCTGATTGGATCTTTCAGGCAATATCGATATGTGGGAGTTAACACTATGATGAGCCAATTGTCTTTTTAAAATAAATTTTAATAAAAAGACCCCTTATACGTGGCTACTAAAGAATTATGACTTTGTACTGGGCTATAAATGTTAGAGTTGGAAAATAAACTTCTCAGTGCTCTTTGGCAGATGTAATATTGAAACTGTAGATTACATCAAACATATCTTTGTATTGAAATTTCTTGTTACTTATTGGTTGGACATATCAGGAGATACCTAGCATTTCATCCTCACTCACCCCTTTCAGCAGGCGTGACCGTAACAATTGGGCTGACAGGCTGGATGTTGCGAGGCGGTGGTTCTGCAGCTTTGGCCACAGTCTTCTCAGCTTCTTTTAAGTCGGTCAGAGTTACACCCTGCCAGCACAGAGCAAAAACAAAACCCCTCAGAGGCCTGATGTTGCACTCAGAAATAGTTCTCATATTTTCTTGGTGAAACTATGCGGCATCTCCATCAGTCAGTATGATACTGCACTTACAGTAAGTAAGTAACCACATCATTACTCAGTAAATGATTCACTCTATTCCAAACTGTGTTCAGGCAAGTTAGCTGCCTTTCAGTATCATAACATTTCTTCAGCATTTGCAGCACTTGCACACACTAGTGATATTGTTACAGCAGCCGAGTAAGTGTGTCAATAAAGTAAAAAGTGTTTGGTTGTAGCGAAGTGTGAAAAGTGGTGAAATCTTAAAGGCATGTAACTATACAATGCAGGAAAAGGATTTACACGGTTATTAGGCCTGAATGATTCTGGGTCCTGAAAGTATGAATGACTTTGAAGATGCATTCAGTTTAGACCAAGTGAAATCATATTTAGTCATCCTTTTTGTATTCAAAAGTAATGCCAATGTGTTTTTAAATGTATTGTAAATGGTTTATCATTTAAAAGGATATTTAAGGAAATATCAGAAACGCATGGGGCATGTCAGCGTCTGTGTTAAAGTGTATGTGTCAGGGAATGAGAGACATGAGTAGTAGTATTGTAAAATCCTAACAGTCTCCATCTGTAGTAAGCAGTACCTGCGTGGAGCGGCGAGACTGCCGCATCAGCCGAGAGCGAGCTTTCCTCTGAGACTCAGACTCTTCGTCTCTGACTGGAGCCTGGAACCTAAACGCACAAACATCCACAGATGATATACAAGTATTCTTTAACTTTAACCATTAGTATGCATCTAAATGAAATCATTTAAGGAGAATTAAATTTTAAATCACAGAACCGTATGGATACAGCATCAAGTAAAAAATAAACTGGTGTTGAATGTGAATATTTTTTGTTTTGCCATTTTCTTACTTGCGCCTGTCAGCATTGGTGGCGTTGGGGCTCTCTGCCGAAGCATCCCTTGTCTGAGGAGTGGGCTGGACTCTGGCAGTGCGGTTTGCCTTGTCCTGCTCCTTGTCCTCCTCATCTTTCTCCTCTGGTGTCTGAAGCACATACAGGGAAAAAGTTTTAACTGTAATCAACTGTCAATTAAAATATTTATTTATGGCCCCAGTAGGGAAACATAATTAATGTCAGCATACTGTTCACATTAGTCTTTTTAGTTGACCTGTTTTAATCCAGACCAAAAGCTTTCACATCTAATGTTTCGACACATCAGGGTGTGTCTAAACCCTCTGTTGTAATGCTGGGCATGTAGGCAGTCATGTAGATTAAATGAACAGATAAAAAACTGAAATACATGCATGTCCACATTGGGAAATTATTTCTGCGGTTAGTTTTCCTTCCACCTAGAGTGTGTTTCAGCATCACACCCAGTGAGACCTGATACTGGTCACCCTCCTTTTGAAAAGGCTAGAGAACTATCATCATCATCATCATCATCTCCAGGTGGGGATTGTGAATGTTTCTACTGTCATAAAATACCCATAAGAAGGGTGAAATTATTGCCGACTGTTCTTCTGTAAAGAGTAAACAGCAGTTGCACACCTAGCTTACAACAGCCAAAAGAAATACATTGGATTAACAGCGTTTCGCTACCAGGCAGTGAAATGTCACAAAGTCAAGACAATGAACCTGACTACACAGGACGCTCCCAGTCTATTATTAGTGAAGGCACCATCATGTCTGCCATCAAGCCAGTTTTTACTAACAGTTAAGTGTGTTTCCGCTAGAGTTCCCAGAAGTCATCCTGCTACAGAAAGTGACTGCTCGCCAAGGCTCTGAAAGTTTGTCTAAATGTTTGGTCTGCCATAAGTAGATCAAAGTGATCAAGGCACCAATTCCATCTATGGTGTTTGCCCAGGTCCTTAAAACATAGGCATTGACCATGTAACAATCAACTTGGTCAGTCAACCCTGGGTTTCCCAAATCCAGCTATGACCGAGTTCCCAGAAAAGGGGCAGGGTCTGCAGCAGATCTAACCATCATGAGACTGAAATAGCATTAAGTATTAAGATGAACTGAAAATAAGTCACTTTCATGTTCCACTTCTACTCTTTGGTCAACACGATATTGTCTGTTTAATAAGGAGAAAGTTTAGATATTTTTCAAATGAGCTGTAATAACATTAACTGGGCTGGAGCAAATAGAGCAGGCAGTGTCAGATACAAGCTAGTAATGAAGAGTTGTGTACAACACCAAACCATCAAGTTCTATGCTGCGCAGATAATATTTTGTGAATATCCAGCATGGCAGCAGAAAAAGGAAATCAATCCTGCGAGTTGCCTTTTTAAAAACATCAAAATGTATTCAACAAACAAATGTGTATAAAAGGTGCTCAGCTGATAAAGAAAGCTACGGTGCGACATACTGGACTGTGCTGTGTGGTTAGTACCTTGTCTGCAGGGCTGACTGTCGATGTGGTCACACTCTCAGTGTCTGGACTGGACATGGTGGAGTTTTCTGGGATAAGAGAACGAGCATCTTTTGTAATCTGTATGATCACATTTACAGAGCATGTAGTACTTTTGTTCAAACACAGCGGCTGGTTTACCGGGGCTGCTCTCTTTCTCCTCACTCGCCTCCAGGCCCCCTGAAACACCCCTCTCTTTAGACTGGTCCTGCACGTTCATCTTGTCTTTACTGCTCATTCTGCACACTGATGTTCTAGAAGACATGAAACAGGAACAGATGACAGCACTGATGGAGCTGAAAGGGTGACACTGCCCAGGGAGACTTTTCAGGTCTACAGTTTATTCATTTACCAGGGACAATGCACATCAACCAACATCAATGAGCTCATTTTCATCCATAGTTCCTGGATAGGTTACAAGAAAGTAGTGCCTAATTGCTTCAACAAGTACTACTAAACAAAACAATACATACATAAACGCCTGTTTTCTCTGCTGCTGGGAAAAGCCACTATTCTGCTTGTAATGTGAGGACACCGGGTCGGGATGTAGTCCTGTGTGCGCTACAGCGACAACACCGCAGTTAACAACATGCAGTCAACTAACACTACAAAACAACCGGCCCCCATCACAACATAAACTTCAGGTAAGGATGTACTGAAGCCAGTCCGACCAAACAAGATTCAGATGATGTCAGTGAAAACAGAAATTTGCGTAGACACTAATGTTATCTGGTGCAAAGTTGTATCACTTTCCACATTACTTCACCAACTATCGCGACACATATTACTATCCTGTGTACCACTGGTATTATGTCAAAGGGTTGATTTAGCTTGCGAGAAAGGATGTAAGTGTACAAAGCAAATGTGGAGCGATTTGTTTACTAGCACATGGTGATGTAAGGCAGGTCAGCCAGCTAACGCTACATTAGCTCGGATCTACCGCTGTTTGCTTCGTAACGTTCAATTTAGATCATTTTACCAATACTAAGGTACACAGCTTCTCCAAGTCTCAGTCACTGTAACTACTCCGATTGAGGTATTACTGGAAGTAAGGCATTTTCCAATACATATATGTCTGTTAAACATTTAATTTTTTTTTAGTTTAGGGTTAAAGCCTTTCAGGGGTTTTACAGAAAGTAACGGTTTTTAATTGGGAATAATGTTATATAATTCAGTATAAGTTACAGATGAATACAAACCTCCGCAGTTTGTTTGGTGCATTTGCAGCGGTGGATCCTTGTTGGTTTTGCCTGTCCAATATAGACTGTGAGAGAGAGAGCGAGAGCTGTCAGTGAACTTCTAAATCACAAAGATAATGCATTTCACACAAGGTAAAGATAAACACTTTCTCACATTGGCTTGTTTCTGTGATAACTCTTCCAGGAGCTCTTGAACACTTTCGTCAGCTACATCAAATGGTGTCTGACCCTACAAAGTAAGGAACAACAAGACAAACATGAAACCAAATTGTGAGCTTAGATTTACAGTATAAAGTTACCCTACAAAATACCAAATTCTGTCTGAAAGTCATAATAAATGTTCTTGGAAATGAAAGAACACTTAACATAGAGGTATGATGCATTAAAAGAGATTTTTATTCTTTTTGGGAACTCACCGCTTTGCTGCAGGCCTCCATATTGCACAGTTGTTCAGCTAGAACGCGACAGGCCTCGCCCTGACCCCAGTGTGCTGCAGCGTGCAGAGGTGTCCAGCCATCAAAGTCCACAGCCGACACATCCAGCCCACACTGACACAGTATCCTGAACAACAAAACAAGGTAATTACAGAACTGCATAAGCATTTATGTCGAAATACAGACATCAAAGAAGAAAATAACATTTCTAAATTCACATTAATCCACTGTGAAAAGTGTCAGGAGATGCTTACTTGAGAGCTTCTAGGTAGCCTTTGGCAGCAGCCACATGCAGTGGGGTGGCCCCGGTCCTGGGATGTCTTACATCAGCAGGTGGGCCCTCATTCAGCCATTTCTGGGCATCTATCATGATCTGTTCCTCCTCCAGCCGCTTTGCTGCCTCCAAGTCCACACCTGGACACAAAAAGATTGTGAAATTTGTGTTTCTTCAGTACGACACACACACACCCACCCACACCCACACACACACACGCTGGCCAGTGTGTTATATTAAAATTATTTTTATTGTTTAAACAATGGCATTTCAGCCTTTAATAACAGACTAGGAATGCCACTTGAAACCTGGTTCTGAATGGGTATTTTTGCTTGTCGGCCTCTCGCTCCTCTGCTCTCTGTGTCGGTCAATGTTTGCCCGAGGGCAAGGCCGAATTTGAATTCAGTTAAATTCTTGTAGACTTTGAGGGTGAGACCATCCAGCCTCTCCACTGTTTCAGCAGTACCTTCCCATAAGTGAATGAGTATCTTCACATCAGCAACAGAGGGAGGAGGACAGAGGAGAGGACCACTGATGCCAAGGGGCTGTTAGCCAGTGTATGAGGCGACCCATTTAAGCATTTTGCATAGAAACACAGAAAGAGTTGTTATTATAAGACGCGGACACGATAGATATTTTACAAGCATGGAGCAGTTTAAGCAACAGTGAACACACCAGTGGAGATGTCATTCGGCACAACGTTTGATTCGGTCGTTTCAATAGGCTGCGTCATTAAAAAAAGACTCCTCCACATGCTGCGCACATGCAGCTGAAAACTGAATCACCGTGTAGAAATCCAAAAGACAAGGTCTGTGTCTTTTTGGCGACTTCATAAAACATATTCTACTGCTGATGGAGAATGTCAGAGCAGACACACACAGGGAAAGAGACACAGAAAGAGGCGAAGCAGAGGGTTATGTGTGTGGAAAACTGAACTGAAGGGAAAGGGAGAATGTTCAAGTGAGCTAGTGAGTAAACACTACAGTAAAATAAGGCAGAGAATAATTTAAATGCTTAAATAAGAAATAACCTGGGCTACTAGAAATAGGAATATAGCCCATTAAACCCAACAGCTATCCACGGGGTGTGTAGCTGTCAGAGAAAAGCACTCACCCTGTCTCCGAGTGTAATCCTGAAGAAGGGACTCAGTGGTCTCATCAGGAGCAATGTCCAGAGGAACATCACCGTCACAGTTTACAGCAGAGAGAGACGCACCACACTGCAAAAGGAAACTGAGAAAACAAACATGGACAGAGTGAGAATACATTAAAGGAATGTTTACAAAGTCTACACAAAGACAAGAAACTCTAATCCAATCACATTACCTCTATTTATGTGTCTGGGGTACCATTACATTTAATCTTCAAAGCAAGACCAAAAGGCATTATTCACAGACCAGGAACAAGAGAAAAAAAAGTTAGGTTAAATTGTTTGAGCTGCATGTGTTTGTGTGCCAGGCAGGCCCACTCATGCTTTAGCTGACTTGTTGTCCTGCCAAACACAACAACAATGTTAGCATTGTTGAATGCAGAAATACTCTGGCACCCACGCTGCATTCTGGTGTCCCCAAAATGGCAACAAATACTGTATTATACAGTTGTTACGCTGCTGTATTCTGCTAACTGTAGAGACATATACTACACACTCTGCAATGTCAGGGTTGCCGCAGGAGGCAGCAACATGCAGTGGTGTCCATCCCTCACTGTCAACCTGGTTCACATTGGCACCACGCTCCAAAAGGAAAGACACCATCTCCATGCTGCCATCAATGCAGGCCTGTGTAGAACACAGGAAAACAAAAACACAAAATAATGTAACTGTAAATGTTTCTCATTCATCTTAGCATCAACCAGTATATTTAATTAAATCTCAAGAGGAGAAACTGCCTCACCTGGTGAAGAGCAGTAATTCCATCTGCATTAGAACAGTTGATAATTTCTGACACATCCTCCTCATTCCTCCCTTTGGTCTCTTTGGCTTCCTTCAGCATCGCCTGGGCCTCTTCTGTGTCCCCGCTGGCACAGGCAGCCAGGAACTCTGCAGCCCTGTCAAATCTTACTCTTTTCCTAAAGACAGGGGATACAGGCAGCTAGATGACTACACTGGTGCACTGTTGTAGCTGCTTTGCCAATTTAAATTAAGGAACATGCCTTGTAACACCAGTGTGTTTAATCTCAGGAGTAGAAAAATAAATAAATAAAAAGAGACCCCGTACAACACAGTTACACTAGAACTAAAGGAAAAACAAAATGTGATTTCATGAGACTGTCAGAGGGGGTGAGTTAGAAGACACGGCTGCCAATACATACTGTAGTTTTGTTACTGTGAACAAATCCCCTGAAAAGACTAAAACCAACATTGCAATGCATTTAATAGAGACCCCTACACTATTTGTGAATCTCAGCCCCAAGGACATCGGTTCCTACTGAAGACAAAAGTCTTTAAAAACAAATACAGCATTTAATTTTTAAAAGGACAGCTGGGCACTGTAGTCTTTAGCAAACAATTATCAAACAGGAATAAATCATGTACTTCTTGGAGACTATTGTCAGCACCGGATTTGGCGCGCTAGTGATTATTTAAGCAGCAGGATGGTTGGTGCATGTGGCAACTACATAACTCAAAATACTTGATAAGGTAACATGTCATCCAGTGCAGCTCAGTGATGTGTTTTTAATAGTTTTTGAACAACAATGGAAGTATATGGAAATAAATAAGCTAGATGAGGTACACACAGGAAATACTTGCTGTAGGATCAGTTCATTGGTAGTTTTGGTCTTCAGGTGTTGGCAATAATAAAAATATATATAGAACCCCACAACATTTGAACATGGTCATTTCTTAAGGCCATAATTTATGTGTTGTCACACAAATGTCCGTTTAAGTGTCTTTCAGTCAGCGCTGGTGAGGGTCTACTTTCATCAATATTCATACTGTTGCAGCATTTATGACAGATAGCCCTGCAACTAAGGCAGCATCTACTGTGACACAAGATGGTTTTATCTAATTGAACACCAGTAAGTAGTGGGGTACGTGTCAGCTTAGAAAGGGGATGGTCACTGCCTGGACTGTTGGTACACAGGTAAAAAAACAAACACTACAAAACTATGGCAGTCCCAGAAATCTTGATATTTGAATGGAGAAAATGAATAAGCCGGGAGCACAATGCTCCTGGCAGACAGACCCTCACCAAGACTGACAGTTTGGTAGCTAACTAGCCGGCTAACTAGCCAGCTAACTAGCTAGTTAGCTGGCTAGTTAGCCGGCTAGCTAAGTGTAACTAGCTAGTAAACACTATATATATGGTCAGAAATAAAAACTGACCACTGACAGGTTAAACATAAATTGAACATTTTGAGCGCAATTAAACAGTAAAGCTTATTCAGTAGCTGGGAGACTACTCTAATATCTTGTGAGATGTTGTCTGTCATTTTGTCCAAGTAACGTTACACGCACTCCATTCCTCCTTTAGCATATCTTGAGATGTTTAAGCTAAGCTAGGTGGCTGTTAGCTGGCCGCTACTGCACAACAGTCTGACAGGAGACGTTTCTTTACCGTCGTTTGAGGAGGGGGCTGGTTTCATCTCTGACCACAGATACCAGCTGGTCCCTCGACCGGTCGCAAAGCTCGGCCTCCGGCTCTCCTGCTCCATTCTCGGCATCGCCCCGCCACCTCCGCCTGGGCACCGCCGACGTTTTGTTGGTGCAGGATTCGGCCCAGCGCTTCAGCTGCTCCCGCCGCTTGGTCTTCGCCGAGTCCCCCATTATTTATCAAAGGAGGACAGTGTTTTTAAAAATAAAACATTCACTGGCAGGGAAAGACACACCCTCCATGTGTATACTTCCACTTCCTGGTTCTTGCTATGGAAGTGGAGCTTCGGCTCGTGCTCGTTGGCGTCGGGAGCGCGCAACGCTGCTCAGGCTTGTCTGTCTGACGTCACCACCGCTTTTCCGTAGCAAAGGGGAAATGTTGAAATACCTGAACATGCAGCAACCACTAGGCTACTTCCCGTCATAGACTGAGACTCTTGTTGAAATAATATCTACGACGAAGGCAACTACATCTTCCCAAACGAATTAACCCTCCGGTTATCTTCAGATTTACTAACATCTTTTAACCTCAGCCCTTAATTTGACCCCAGCAGTTTGAACCACCAGAAAATGATTGCTATGAAAATTGTCACAGAAGTTTACCTGTCAGGTACGTTATGTTTAAATAAAACACGCGTTGTCTGAAGTGTCCACGAAATGCAACCAGACTTTTATCGTATTCCGCAGTCACGTGAGGGTCTGGACTGTAAAGAAAGAGTCCCTTAAGAGCGTAGGTTTCGTTTCAACATGGGAGGGGACACAGAAGAAGCAGGGGTTCACATATTTTCCTGTATTCTGTTGAGTCTTTCTGCAGAACTTCCAATTTCTGCATTTTCTGCATCAATTTATGGTGGAAATGTATTTATTTACGCAGAAGATAGGTTTATATGTCACATTATAACAGGTTATAAAGTGAAATTTTGTGACTCCCTTTTGCTACTTAGCAGACAATATACAATAATACAAAAGTAATCATGAAATAGTAAACAAATAAAATATAAAACAAAAAATTCCCCGAGCACAGCAACTACAATGAGGTGCTGGTAGATAGCAGTCTATGAAAAATCAAAAAATAAACTACCTCACACTGATCTGACTTACTACTTTATTCATACTAATAAACTATATTCAATGGAGCAAAGCTGAGGACAAATTTGAGGGGAACCACAATATTCTGGCTTCAGATGACAATGCCAAGTCTAAAAATTTAATGCAATATAATGTGGTAAGACTCTCAGGCATTCTGTAGGCTATTGCTTTCACATGTTTCCTCGTCTAGATCAACTTTTCTGATTTAATATCGTCCCTGCTGAGTCAACACACATGCAGGCATGATTTAGTCTTTCCTCCTTTTTTGTGTCTTGTTCAGAGGTGTAACCTTGAATTCATTGTAATTCATTGGGCTTCAATAGCTTCCATGTTTCAGCATGTTTTCTACTGATGTTAAAAAAATCTTCTGCATATTCAAAACATAATCCATGTGGGTTTTTTTTAAATCCACCTGCCCTATACTTTTCTGTGCATTAGCCTACTTTATTGCACTGTTCATATGGTATTATCCCTTTGGACAGTCTGACTTTTTGGTCTAAATAACTGGAGTAGGCCACCACCGACAAGCAAGGACCGTTGTCTCAGATGAGATCAGGGCCACATTGGTTGACCATGTGCTCAACCATGGTTTGAGTATGAGGGATCTGGGCAGAGAGTACAGCCCAACCTCAGCACCTACACAGGCATATCCATCATCTGTACATTCAAAAATCTGTAAGTTAAGAAAATAGATTATTTTAGCTTACTGTATCAATCAATCATATCACATGTATATTTGTGGATCTTCTGCAGAACTGAGATACCAGGCCATGGAAGAAATGAGGCAGGATGCAGTCTAATTTTTTCCTTATTGTTCGCATCTCGCTAAACGTCTAAAAATTACACTAAAGGGGTACCGAGAGCGTTAAAAAGCGATGCCAAAGGGCCTTGACTAAGCGTAAATATTTGTGTGTTTATGTATATTGGAGTAGGTATACATCACTGTAACAATAGTTTTCAACCACCTAAAGTCTCATGCTGAAAATGCAAAAGGCATATACCTACTGATGGATGTGTGTGTGTGTGTGTGTGTGTCTGTGTGTGTGTGTGTAAATACAATGCAAAAAATTAGTTTGGAAAGAACCACTTAGAATATAGTGTTTGCTTTTGGTAGGGATTTGTAGAGTTTGTAGGGAAAATGGCCCAAAGATATAGGAAATGTGTGTAATTCTGAAATTGCAAATTAAGGGTGTGTGTTCATATAAATGAGGGAATATATACACGAATGGTGTTCATCCATCCAATAGAGTTCCACAGACTTGGCAAGAAGCACTGAAGCTGTTCTGGAGGATAGTAGAGGCCTGACACCACGTTGGTGGTGGTTGAGGTGAGTCCCCCCCACTTCACTGTGAAGCGCTTTGAATTTCAATGATAAAGTGCTATATAAATGTAAATTCTTATTATTTATTATACTGAGACATTTCAATTTGTCACTCATCTGTACATAAAACATATTTTCTTTACAGTACTTCAATCTACTTGCAAAACAGTACTACAGTAATTGAGTTATGTAATGATTTGCAGTACTACAATACTGTAATGAGAGTAGATAATAGAATTGTGTGTAGTCTTTTGGAGGAAAAAAAAGTTGTTAAAGCTGCTTTCAGTGTAAAAGAGGAAATGTGCTTAATATATTTTAGCAGAATTGGTTCAGGGGGTTGGTACTTAAATTACAGGATGTGGTCCTTGTGTCTGAAGTACCCGTATTAGTGTGTAAACAATTTTAAAACTACTACTAAACTGGAATGCCTTCTTACTGATTTGTAAAGCAGCTAATGATTTATGAACAAAGCCTTTAAAAAAGCATTACAGTTTTTCCTGACTGCTTGCACAAAATGCTGAATTTTGCCCATTGTCTCAAAACTCTTCTATGTCAAAGTGAAGTTCTGCAATCAAACCTACACTTCTTTTTTAAAAAGGGTATTTTTGGAGTAAGGGGAAACACACATGCACAATATATATTACACATTTAAAGCAACATTACAGTGTTTCTCTATTGCTAAAACACATTTCTTGAAATTATGCCTCTTTTTCTCGAAACTCTAAACACAAAATCCACAACTTCTCACCCAATTCCCCAATCATCCTGTTTTCAGGTCAGAAGGAAACTTTCTACTCAGAACCATTCAATCTTGCTGAAAAACCAAACTTTGCCCTCAGACATGACACACAAGCCCTCAAAAACACACACATTACAACACAGTTTTACACACTGGTGAGATAAGTTCAAAACAATACTAAAAAATCTGGTTATAAGTAATGTTGCTTGTGGATCTCCCCCTCAAACATTTTCACATGATGAACGCAAAAGAAATAACAAATGTAAACATTTGCACACATTTTTTATTCCACAGTGTTCTGTACAGTACAACACAATAAACAACAAATTATTCTGCCTCTGCAGCCTGTCTTTGGTCTGGGACAGGCCAGAGATTCTTGTTCTCCACCTCCTCCCTCTTCCTCCTTCACCTCCTCATCTTCCTCCTATCCAATCTCCTACTGTTCCTCTTCCTTCACCTCTTCCTTCTCTCCATAATGCTCTTCCTCCTCCCCCTTATCTTCTTCCTCCTCCTCTCTGGTGTCCTCTACCTCTTCCTTCACATCTCTCTGGATCCATTGTTCCAAAACTGAATGAACTGACTCTGGCCCTTTTATCTGTCTATTGAAGCTTCTGATTGGTGTGTTATCAATTTAGACTCTTTGTGTTTCCACCTTTGTAGCTGTGTGCTAATTGAGCTCAAGATTTGCTGACTTGAGTGAACAATATTGAATGTCAGTGCTTTCTCAGTGACCACACGGTGTAGGCAATGAGAAATGAAAGGATTTGTGTGTAGAGTTTAGAGAAATGGGTTGTTCAAAATCCTGCTAATAGTGTTTAAGCAATGGAGAAAAACTGTAACACACTAATGAACTTAGTGCTGTCTTTAGTACTTTGTCGACCTTTTTATTTTCTCAGACAGGCCTCTGAAAGATTGTCAATTAACAAAAAAGAGAAACGTTGTGTTTTACCTTTGCAGGTTTTTACAAGAACAAAAGTAGATTTATGATACATTCATGAATACGACATGTTTTTGTAAACTTGCAGCAACCGTCATGCCTTGGGTAAGCCGATCCCTGGATCGGACTGTGAAGCCGACCAAAGCCTGCATGGAGGGATCCATGTAGGCCCAAAAATGACGTCAAAGCATGGTCAGAGAGATAAGATTTAAACCAGTCCAAAGGTGTATCAATGATACCAACAGAGACTAATCTGTCAAGGAGGATCTTATGAGAGATGGTGTCAAAGGCCACACTCAGATGAAGGATGATAAGAATAGTTAATAGTTCGTAGTCAGTTGCAGTAGTCAGATCATTAGTGATTTTTACCAATGATGTTTCTGTGCTATGGCAAGGGCGGAAACCAGATTGAAATTGTTCAGAGGTTATTGTCAGACATGTGCAACACTTACTTCCTGCTTTCTTACAGTGCAGACGCTTTTTCCTGCTAGAAATCAGCAGCTCTTGGATACTTTTAAATCACTGGGACTGTCAGATAAAGTAGGCTCTTGCCATACTTTAAAACCTTTTATGATCTTAGTGCTACGCGAGTGCGGCCTATCAATAGCACTAGCCTGTACTGCAGTGACTGGAGCTATAGCTAATGCTAATTAGCAACAAGATGCCCCCCTTCTCCACGGACGACTTCTACAAACTTCTACAGAAAATTACTGTGCTGGAAACCAAGATCCACAGGTTAGAAGTGAATGTGGAAGTGAATGGATTATGTGGGAATGACACCACTTTACCGTGGCCCCAAAACAGTGGACAAGAGCATGCTAACACACGGCTAATTAGCACCAACAAGACTACCAAGAAGCAGGAGGCCTGTGTACTGGGTAATAAATCTAAAAGTGGGAGTCCTCCCTGGAACGCTCTTGGTGCAAACCCTAAGAGTAAATCATTTTCTGGGGAAATGGGAGGACGAGTAACAGGCAGAACCCAGCACCCTGAGATTTGTGATGCAACTGGCTGGCCTGCATTATCATCCAGGCAGAGCGCCTCTTCAACCCTTGTTCTTAGTAGGACACAGCCGTGGACAGCTGCGAAAGGGAGAGTTAGCAACAAACCTCCCCAACAACCGAGCACATCAGGGCCAATGATGTTGTGAAGCAACAGTCTGAATTGTTGAAAAAGGACTTTAATAATCTGTTGAACACGGTCAGCTCTCTGAATGCTGAGGTGTTTATCAGTGGCCCTATACCGCCAATCCGAAGAGGAGCTGAGAGATTCAGCAGACTGATGGCATTGAACACGTGGCTCTCAACGGCATGTGCTGTCCATTCAGTGCATTTCATCGAAAACTTTTACTTTCTGTGGGACCGCAGACATATTTTTAAGGCAGATGGACTTCGCCTTAACAAGTCAGGAGTAAAATTGTTCAGCTCAAACCTGTTTTACTTTCTGTGTCACTCATCTGTTCCCTCTGCCAAGGACAAGAAACAAGAAGAAGACATAACACAACACGCCAGAAACCTTGAAGGAGAGCCACCCCAACTCCCGCCGGAAGAGAGCTCTGATCACGGGAGACAACAGAGCCAAGAGGAAGAACCCCCACCTCCCTCACTGAAAACCAACAGTGAGGATTCACCATCTTTACCCTCCTAATCCCCATCCAGGTCACCCTTATCTCCAGACACCCTTTCTCCCCTCTCCCCCCTGCTGGACTTCACTGATCACATGGAAGACCTGGTTAGAGCTGGGACAAAATTTACTCCCCACACCTTCCCTCGCTCCACTCCCATTTTCTCTACCATAAACCCCCCTCAACGTCCACCTCCACCACTGGTTCTAAGTCCTCCAGGTTTGACACATCTGTCAAAAGTAAGTCGCCCAACCCGTCCTCCCACTCCACAATGGCAAAAAAGCCCAGTAAGCTCTGTCTGATATGTGCTGGGTCCAGGCTACAAGGAAAATAGCACTCACGACTCTTCCCAGGACAAGTGTGCTGGTAGTCTTCTCCATCCCTGTCTTGATAGGTAACAGAAAAAGCATGGTGAATGTGTTAAGAACTCAAGATATCCTGCAAATTTAGTATTAATTAAAGCTCCAACAGGTTTTTTCAAAAATGTTTCTAAATGCATGGCCTCAGATCTACTACAAATTGTCAACATGTCTCTTTGCTCAGGTTTTTTCCCACAGGCCCTGAAAACTGGAGTCATTAAGCCACTCTTAAAAAAGAGCAATCTAGACAGTTCACTAATGAGCAATTATAGGCCCATATCAAATCTCCCATTTTTAAGTAAAATCATTGACAAAGCTGTTTTTCAACAGCTTAGTGCTTTCTTGGCACTAAATAACACTTTTGATGTCTTCCAGTAAGTTTTTTGACCACACCACAGCACTGAGACAGCTCTTGTTAAAGTCTTCAATGACATCCATTTAAACACTGACAGTATCTTAGTATTATTGGATCTCAGTGCTGCATTCGACACGTTTGACCACAACATATTACTAGACATACTTGAAAACTGGGTTGGACTTTCTGGCAAGTACTAAACTGGTTTGAATCCTACTTAAAGGACAGGGACTACTTTGTGTCTATAGGTAATCAAACATCTGAGCTGACAAAAATGACATGTGGAGTTCCCCAAGGCTCCATTCTGAGACCTCTTTTGTTTAACATTTACATGCTTCCACTGGCTCAGATTATGAAAAACAACAAAATATGTTACCATAATTATGCAGATGACACACAGATTTACATAACCATTTCACCAGGGGACTATGATCCCATACAGGCGCTGAGTAACTGTATTGAGCAGATCAACGATTGGATGTGCCAGAATTTTCTTCAATAAACAAGGATAAAATTTAAGTTATTGTTTTTGGAGGCAGGGAGGGACGATTGAAAGTCAGTGCTCGACTTCAGAAACGCCAGAAATTTTGGTGTGGTCATGGACTCAGACCTGAATTTGAGGAGCCATATTAAGACAATTACAAAGTCAGCCTACTCTCACCTGAAGAATATATCAAGGATTAAAGGACTTATGTCTCAGCAGGACCTGGAAAAGCTTATCCATGCATTTATCTTCAGTCGACTCAACTACTGTAACAGTGTCCTTACAGGGCTCCCTAAGAAATCCATCAGACAACTGCAGCTGATTCAGAACGCTGCTGCTCAAGTCCTCACTAAGACCAAAAAGGTGGATCACATCACTCCAGTTCTGAGGGCTTTACATTGGCTTCCTGTATGTCAAAGAACTGATTTCAAAATCCTGCTGGTAGTTTATAAAGCACTGAATGGTTTAGGACCAAAATACATTTCCGATCTTCTGCTTCGTTACGAACCACCCAGACCTCTCAGGTCGTCTGGGATCAGGTCTGCTTTCTGTCCCCAGAGTCTGTTCAAGTTTATAAAGCACTGAATGGTTTAGGACCAAAATACATTTCCGATCTTCTGCTTCGTTCTGAACCATCCAGACCTCTCAGGTCGTCTGGGATCAGGTCTGCTTTCAGTCTGGGATCAGGTCTGCTTTCAGTCAAAACTAAACAAGGAGAAAAAGCGTTCAGTTATTATGCTCCGTATATTTGGAACAAACTCCCAGATAACTGCAGGTCTGCTGAAACAGTCAGTTCTTTTAAATTAAGACGACTAATTAATTAAGAAGACTTTTCTTTTTACCATTGCTTTCAATTAAATATTTAAGATTTTTCTTTTTATTGATAACTTACACTGCACTGTAACTTTTACTGTCCTGTTTTCTTTTTCTTTGTTTTTAGCTTTTTATCATTGCTTTTTTCCATTTAACTCTTTTAACCCTGATTGTAACACTGTAACTTTTATTATTTTTATTATTTTATGTTTATGTTATATTTCCCTGTTGCTTTCATATTTTATGTAAAGCACTTTGAATTACCTTCTTGTTAAAATGTGCTATACAAATAAACTTGCCTTGCCTTGCCTTGCCATGGACCTGAAATGCAACTGTTTTTTTGAGGATTTGAGAAAGAAAAGGTGGTTAGCAATAAAAGGACAGAAGTTGGTAAATTGTTGTGGTTTGCACCAGTTTTCTGAAGTAAAGGAGTTATTACAGATGATTTTAGAAATGAACAATTCCAGAGGTGAGAGTGAGGCATGTTAAGTGTTATCAGGAAGGATAGATAGGATAAGCAGGCTTTTACCAAGATGGTAGGAAGGTTATGTTTATGTTCCTCAGTTGCGCTGACTGAGGACCTCAAATTTACCTCACTTCATTTGTCCAAATATGCACTCTGGCCTGTGAATCTGCCTTTGTTAAAACAATTAATGTTAAAGGGATTTTTGGATTAGGGCTGTATGAGGTACCTATCCATAGTCAGTGTATTACCTGCAGTAGATGGCGCATCCCCAGTTTGGAGAAGAGGTGTGTTCAAAAAGAGGTATGTTCAAAAATCCCAAACTATCCCTTTAAGCCTAGAGTACTAACTCTTTGGTAGCTTGTAAACATTCCAACAGGGACACGGGGTCAAATTCCACGTCACATTTTTCCTGTGGCTCTATAGTTTGTGTCCAACAGAAAAAGTAGGACAAGTAAGTAAACATTTCATTTGCTTTTATTTGTGCTTTTCTAATCTTCGTCTGACAGAATATACTGTAGGTGCAATTATTCCTTGTATACTAATTGTGAGCCTTATGAGCCCAGACATGGACACCCATTTGTTTTTTATGCAGGTTAGACTGAAGGAATGATCAAAGTGAAGCATATAGAGAAAATCTACAGTACAGATGGTTGACAGGTTGAAGGGAAATAAAACTAAATTAAGGTGTGGTGATGTACTTCTGTATTTATCATGTTTCTACTGGAGGAGTGGACATGATTCTTTCTAAAGGAATTTCCTCATTTGGTGTTTTAATGATGGTGGAGAGAGCTGCACCTTGATTCATATAATTTAATAACAAACCATTCAGGGAGCTCTTGCACCCTGTATGGGAATATGTGCATTCATTATGGTTTGTAATTTGTCAGTACACAAAAGAGGAACTCGTTGGATAAGGTGCTGAGACCCTATGATGTTTTTGTAGCTTCAACTCAGGCATGAAGTCTGTCACAGTGGAATATCTGCTTTGGTTTCCTCCATTGTCATTCTCTTCTGGAAACGGAGTGACAGGAACATTGCAAAACATCAAACTTTAAAAATTGTCATCTGCAGTACATACTCATGGCCCGGTATTTTCTAAATCACAGTTATTGTCAGAAAATTAAGCACCTTGAAAATTATTTAACTTCATTATTATTATATGCTTTCACTTCCTACTTTCATGGAACAAAAAATTAAGTTTCCCCTATTTCCACGTTTCAGAATGTCTCCACCCTCACACACAGTAGCACACTCAGTCCCACCTCATGCTCTGACTCGGCTAGCACGAGAGTGGCTGGCAGAGGACACACCAAACTTTGACCCAGCAGGAGTTTGTGTGGGGTCACAAGAGATCGAGGCAAGGTTGCTATGTAAAACACCACACAGTGTCCTGGCAGGGAGCCCATTCTTCACAGCAGTGTTCACTGAGGTCGGCTGTACCGTGGATTGGATTTACCAGGAGGGTGCTGAGATCGGTAGGCACCATTCAGCACCAAGATCTTAGATCAGATACATTTATTAATCCCTAGAGCAGGGGTCGGCATATAAGTCTGGCATCGGACCAAATTTATTTCAAGCCGTTACATGGCGGGCCAGAAGGTAATGTGTGGAACTCCCATTAGGAGGGTTGTACGATAGATTCCAACTAACTGCAGATATTTTTTTCTCCCTTGTTAAACAAATAAGGACTATAAGGACACCTTTGCACATGCTCACAATAAAGCATGTGCTGCAGTGTGTGTTTGATCCGGATAAAAAAATCTATGGACGTTTATTCTCATTTCCCAGAGGAGATTCAGGGGAATCCAATCACATTTTTCAGAGGTGTGTCAAGCAAGTAAAATTTCTCACGCTTTTATTTTGGAGGCACAATTATTTAAGAGGAAGTGGTTATGTGACTGACTGTATCTGTCATGACTGAGATCTATTTCAACACCAGCCGCTACAAATTTATGTATTTATTATTTTTCTGCTATCAAAGCAATCTGGCCGCGGGCCAGATATTATTGCTGGCGGATCCTGTTCTGGCCCGTGGGCCGCCTATTGCCGACCACTGCCCTAGAGGGTAAAATAGTTAGTCACACATGCACAGTGACAAATAACAATACATAAAAAGGCAAAACATAAGCGAAGCACCTTAAAATGCAAATACAACATGTTTTCGCAGCTGTGGTCATTAAAGACCCTCTATATTTTTCTGTGGAGCATTTTGGCATTTTGCAACTGGTCATTCAGCACTTTTTAAACAACATCAACACCTTCCAACTCAAGTATGGCATGAATGCTCCTTTGCTGCTGTCTTGACTATGAAACAATTGAGTGAGATTAAACTTTTCCTTGTGTGGGAGAAGAGAGGGGAGGTAGGGAGGGGTATCTAAATAAATAAATAAAATGAAATCTAGAAGTTTGGACCTATTTGTATCCGTTTGTTCCCTCATCAACTTTACACAGTCAGGTGAACCCAGGATGTTCGGTTACAATATCGTCACTCTATTCTGTGAAAAACTGAGACTAAAATATACAAAAACAACTTTCTCCCCTTCATTCCACTACTCCCACGCATACAAGCTGGACACCCTGCACTGTTCTCCCTTTTCCCCAGCCACATTCCCACAGACAAACCTGAGAATAGGACTCTACTGAGTGCACTCTTCTAGTTTTAATGTCTCTTGTGAGTCTCCCAACTTAATAAAAGTGCAAAGCAAGCTGGAGTGCTGTACTGTAATTCTGTTCTTATGGCTGTAATGCCATTACTGCAGCATTAAACAAAGCTCTGTCCAACGGTAAAACATTCACCTACCAGCAGTTTGAAAGCTCACTGATTAACATGTTAAACCATATTTGCTTAAATTGTGCAAAAACTCAAGCATAAAAATTAAGTTGTAGTTTTATGGATGTTATGTGCCAAAATATTTCCTGACACTGTGCTTGACCAAGAAATAGTTAAATTAAGAAGTTAAGAATACATTTAAAAATGATTTGCTTGTTTTCCAAACGTGTGCCTCTTCTTTAGGTGTGTGCCCCAAAAGGTCATCTAAACTCCAAGCAATTGTAGAGCTGTTGCTGCTAAAATTAAACATTTTCATAAGTCAAAAAACATAATGCGTACAGAGCTACCAGGTATATCCAAATGTCTATAGATGGCATGTAACATGTAAAGCAATGCATCATTAATATTGACTATATTTCTATTACCAAACTGAAATGGGCTGACCTGCATATCAAAGGGCTTCAATATAATAATAACAATATAATACATTCTCAAAACATTTCGTAACATGTGATGCCAGGGCTGTAATGAAATACTATGTTCTTAGATTTACAATGGCCCCTATTCTACCACAAACACCACAGAGCAATACAGATGTCCTGGCAAGTCATAAGACCTGATTTGAAATTACTATTACTATTATTATAAGTAAACGAGAAGAAAAATGTGAAAAACATCAACCATTTAATGTTGATTTTTCCTCTTTAAAATAAATTAGCTCTGAAAATTCTGCAAGGCTCCACTTGATGTCACTTCTTTAATGTTTTTATCGCCACAGGTCCAGATGCCATCACGCTGACTGCTGTTGTGAGAGGCCCAGCAAGGTGCCTCCTCCTGGGAGAAAGGCCAGCTCTAAACTGCCTGGCCCGGGCCTCAGGGATCGCCACTCGCTGTTCTCAGCTGCAGGCAATGGCAACGGTGGGAGGCTGGCATGGAGAAGTGGCTGGCACACGCAAGACCACCCCAGGCTTCCGTCTGGTGGAGAAGTACGCCATGTTGGTTGGCGGTGTGTCCATGCACAGACAGGACCTGAGTGGAATGGTGATGCTGAAGGACAACCATGTCTGGGCATCAGGAAGTATTACACAGGTGGGCAGCTGCATGCTGTGTTAAGTAAGTTAATCAGTGTTGGAGAGAAAATAAAAAAAAACACACAAAACCATTATGATTTTAATTTTGAGTTTAAAAAGTTACAAAATCCCTAATCTAACAAAATCTCCTGGCAATCCATCCAGTAGTTTCACTAAAAGCCAAAAATGTCATCCAGATGTTGGTGCTAGAAGAAAAGTCAGAGGATCACTAAAGTCACAAGAATTCATCCTTTGGGGACCATGAATGTGTGCATCTAAATGACAATCCATCCAACTAACTGACCAAAAGATAGTCAGACACCTCTATCCCTAGAGCTGTGCCACTACAGTCAAGTTGCTCAAATTCAGATGTGGTTAAATATCATAATAATTTATTTAGAATCCCTAATAGGGAATGGTCTTGTTGAGGTTTTTTCCAGTTTGTTCCCTGTTTGTTCTCTAGGCTGTGACAGCTGCCCGCTCAGTGTGTGGCTTCAGCAGTAAGATCGAGGTAGAGTGCCGTTCAGCAGAAGAGGGCAGAGAGGCAGCCAGAGGAGGAGCAGACATTGTCATGCTGGACAACTTTCAACCTCAGGTAAATAATATTAAAAGAGCAAAAGCCCAGGTCATTTTTAATTTTTATTACCTGATGTCCACTCACTCTTCCCCGTAAGATCTACATGAAATAATAAACCTTCCTCCACCATGTCTCTCACCTATAGGAGCTCCATGTTGCAGCTCGTGCACTAAAGGAGGAGTTCCCAGCTCTCCTGATAGAAGCCAGTGGAGGAGTGACTCTAGCGAACTTGTCTATGTATTTCTCCCCACATGTGGACATCATTTCCCTGGGCTGCATAACACAGGGCTGCCCAGTTGTGGACTTTTCTCTCAAGGTTCAAAAGCCTGTTGCTCACTCAGTCCTCCAAGATTGACGGCCACCACAAACAGAATGTACAGACAGTCCCATGTCGACTGAAGGAGAAAATGTTGTGAATGAGATTGTGTTCTGATGAATAGAGGATACTTTCTTAGTGTGTTCATTAATTTCCCGTAACTGTTATTGCAGTGGTCAACTCTTGAGAAATACTTCACATCCTCTTTGCTCTCCGTCATTAGTCATTTGATGAGGCTCAAAAGAGAATAGAAACTACACTGTACTTTCTTTTGTGCTGGGGCCGTGTAGGCCAAATGGCAATTTCATGTTTTTCTTGAAAAACAAAATAGAGAAACAGCAAGTAGAGGAACAGCAGTCAACAGAAATCAACAGAAATTCACTGTAATACAGAATAAAAGGAATATTAAGCTAATATTATAGGTTGGCAGGTACACTATATGTGGTCATATGTAGAGGGGCCACTTCATCCATTTGAGTGCAGTGGAAACGGCACTGACATATCATCTTCAAAGTTGATTTAGCCAATGTGTTAGCAACAAAACACACCTATTTACACATCCAGCGGACACAGAGAAACATTCATTTATTTGGAGTTGTGTTTCTGGCCATCTGAAGTCCAATATTTCCTTTCCTTTTTAGTCTGTTTTTAGTTTACACCAACTCCATAACAAAATATCTGGCTCTGTAATAGTTAAATGCTCCATTACACTCACTGGCCACTTTATTAGGCACCCATGTACAATCTATAATCCAGCACAACAGTCCTGCCATAAAAACTACCCTACAAAGCTTATAATTTTTAGATGTATTAATTCAGTTGTATGTTCATTAGTGAGGTCAGACTTAGGGTCAGAGTTGGAGTGCTGGAGTTGGGTTTTTACTGGAGTGTACTGGACTGCATTATACTGAGAGGTTTTTCAAATATATTGTCCACTCAAGAGGGCAAAATACTAGAAACACCTCTCAATAGTAAACATATGATCATCCTGTGAAAAAAGATGGTTTGTTACATATGTTAAGTTCAAATTAGCTCCACCTTGACAACATTTAAAATGCTGCTAAGTAATCATATTCCAGTAATGAATGGGGCAGTTCTGTGTAATGAATATGTTTACTTTATTTACATTTTACTAATACTAATGTACTTTTATTCAAGTAAAAATCTGAATGCAGGAGTTTTAGTGGTAATGTATTGGGCGGCTGTGGTTCAGGAGGTAGAGTGGGTTGGCCGTTAATTGGAAGGTCGGCGGTTAAGTCCCCGGCTTCCCCTGGTTGCACATTTACATATTTAAACTTATGACTTCCTTCTGACAGTGAGTGTAATTACACAACACTGTAGACATGCTCCTTTACACTGAGTTTCTCTATGGTTGCTCCCCCTTCAGCTCTGGTAATCCAACCACTGCTGGTTTGCATAAAACACATCACTACCAGTTCACTACGTCTAATGATACAATCAAAGAAAACAGCTAACAAATATAAGGGAAAACTTCCCAGGGAATTGAATTGTGCCTTCAGTTAGCTGGAATCTGCATTAAATCATTGTTCAGCATAATTTCCTTTTGATGACTCAGACAACCTTCTATCAATAACCACCACTATCTTTATTCTCCGGTTCCTTTTTCCTTCAATAAAACGCCCCAAAAATCTTTAATTGTAAACTGGAGGGTTTAGGATTTACCAAAGAAAAAGGGAAGCCTGGTGGGCTAGAGACATTTTGCTGAGAGCATGGCTGTGTGAACAGAAGTGTCACAACCACCTGTTACGGAAACGCCCTCAAGCACACAGGAAGCATTGCGCAGACACATGTCTAAAGAAACACCAGCAGCACTGTTAGCCTAGAGAAGAGTGATGTGGAAGATGCAGGGGCCGCGTCGCATCTTCCTGCTCGCCTACATGGTGGCTGTTGGTAAGATCTAAAATCTTAAAAAAAGTTATTTATCGGCAACAGGAAAGATAGGAGTGCTTTATGTGTGTTGGGAACAACATGGTGATTTTGGGACTCAAACCCTTGAGACATGTATTGCAAATACAATAAGTAAACCATATCATGTGTTTTTTCCCACTTGTTAACTAACTATTAATGTTAACTATTTTACAAATGTTATCAGATTAAATTTTCATGTAAAGAAACTGTGCTGGGTGTAAAAGTTTAGGAAATCAATCACAGTTAGACCACAAACAATTTGAATAATTCATGCAAGTTTGCAGCTTCGTGTTAAGACTTTACCAGTTTTCAAAGAAACTACTATTTACAGAAGAAATTGTGCCAATAGGAGTTGAAAGGATATGTGGATTATCCAGGGTAACCAGGACATTGTTTTTGAAGAAACAAATTGCTTTTGAGTTTTTCAAATGTGTTCTTTTTATTCCTGTACTGTAGTAGGATAGTGATTAAGGTGAACGGACTTTATGTTGCCAAAAATATACAACGGCCGGGAGAGTTGAACACACGGCAACTTTTTCCTACATTAAGAAATGGCTGTTGGCTGTTAAATTACCATATAAAGTAGCCTATTTACACATTCAGCAGACACAGCAACATTAGCATTCATCTCTAGCTGTCTTTTTGGTCACCACCCGAGATATGGGCAAAGATACATCAAAATGTATTTTAAAATAACAATATCAAATACCCAAAATTCTACTCTTTTTTTGTATTTCAAAAGTATTATATACTATATATAATACTTTTCCAAGGTGCCACGAGAACACTTCTACTGACCTATTTGATCTCTCCCTGACTTGACTGAGCAACAGCTTTTCTCTGCCTAATGAGTCATATCTGATCAAACCAGCGAGGGCCACAATGTTACACCAGTGCCACTCCCTTACCTCTTCTCTTCTTTGTCTGCTTTTCTCTCACTCATGTCGCTCCTCAGAGGTGACTGTCTCTCCGTGCTCCTATCTCTGACTCCAATGTCGTTCTGTCAAACAAAAGAGGGAGAAGGATTTGCTGACTTGTTTGGGAACAAACAGTTCCCATTTCACACTTTGACTTGACGAGAAGTTTTGAGCTACAACAAACCTGCTGTTTAATGGTGTTGCAATAACAAGTCACAACATCTCTTGGCATTATAAGTAATGTTGTATAACAACTCTGAAACGCTTTTTAGTCCCTGAGCACAAACGATGGAAGCTTCATTGAGACTGTAGTAGAAAGCTAACCTTAAGCGTTAAATTTGAGGGCTGCTGCTTGCGTCAGATAGTTTGCTGACCTTCTTCTTTTGGTCTGGATCCATTTTCTGTTCTGATCTCAACAAGTCTATGCTGAGTAGGCACCAATCAGAGGCAGCGTTTTTACGATGTCATGTAGACTTCTCAGAAAGTATTGGACAGTATTTTTAACTACTATAATGATTGAACTACAAAATACAAAACACTACGATATTTTGATAGAGAAAATGAAGTCATTTTCATCAGCCCTATCAAATACAATTTTAAAAATTTCTATTTTGTAGCTGAAATATGTAGTTTAAATACATGCATCTTAATACAGCCCATCCATGTCTCCACCAACCTCTTGAGGAAAATATCTGTCTCTTGCGCTGCTTGCTCCACTATGTTCATCAGCCAGTCACTGACTTCATGTGTCCATTGGTGCATCACATACAAAACCACAAATGCAGAAAACAGAAGAAAACACAGAATCATGAAAAATCAGACACAACAATTGAAGTTTCCCCCAGAGACTTCTGTTTTGTTGTTACTCAGTTGTGTTTCTTTTGCTTCTTTATTTGCAATACATTTTATGATGTGTGTGTGTGTGTGTGTGTGTGTGTGTGTGTGTTGTCAAAGTAGTAAATGTGTTTTTCAGTTTGCTTGAGTTGTATTTATTTGCAGATTTTTTGTGAATACATTTGTATTGTCAAAGTCTATTTGGTTTGCTTACCTTTTTTAAAGAACTTTATGTACTTGCTTATTTGATACTTGATATTTAAATTCACGTGTTGGCCAGTCCGCGTACCCCACCTTCTTTTAGGCCTTTGGTTACACACAATGCAATTAAGCACTTGAATGTTGAGGATAGCACATGGGGTTTGGAAGTCAGGGAGAAAGCTTTGATTAGAAATTAGTTCTTTTCAGATTTTTCTGCTGTGATCTTACAGTAAAGGGGCTCTACCATGACAAACTGACACATCCTCATACTTAAATGACAAAATAGGTTGATGTCAATTGACCCAAAACAACAATGTCCATTGGAAAGATCAGCAACATACAGTATATGCCCATTCGACAAAATGACATGTATGAGCGTTGGCAAGTACCAGTCCAACGTCAGGCATACCGGACCTTAAAGGTTCAGTGAGTAATAATTCTGGTAGTGTAGACGCCCATCACTACATTAAATGTGTCCATAAAGAGAAGAAGAGGAAAAATAAAATAAAAATAATAATAATAGTCTCTGAGTAGTCATCTGGTTTATTAGAAGTTTTAGGGGTGTGGTGGCGCATAGATAAGATGCTTGCCTTTGGTGTGAGACATCCACCATTGTGTCCCTGAGCAAGACACTTAACCCATCGTTGCTCCTGAGGCGTGTGACCTCTGACATGTATAGCAATTGTAAGTCGCTTTGGATAAAAGCGTCAGCTAAATGAGTAAATGCAGAAGTAAGAAGAGAAGTGACAGGTGTTATTTAGCACAAGAGCCGACAGCCTGTGGATCTTTATATCATGAAGCCACATGGAGTCAGGACAGATACAGCTGATGGCAAAAAATCATGGACATAATTAATTTCATGTAGTGACTCTCTTTAAATATTGCACCGTTTTACCACAAGCTGAAATTATGGCACTCAATACTACTTTGGTTTCTGTCGTATTTTATAAAAAATTTTAAAAAACATTGTAGTAAGATTTTTAGATTGCTTATCTAATTAATTAAGCAAAGTAAGAGGAGCCTCGATCCTCACCCGAAAATGCATTTGTAAACTTCATGTATTATGTGGTTTATAAAAGGACTGTGGCACAGAAACAGTGAGGCTTACATTTCCTGTTATCTGTCAGTGGTGATACTTGATGCACTAGGTGTGATAGTTTTTGAGATGTTCTTCATTTACTTTGGTACGTTAATCTAACTGAGCCAACCTTCCCGAGATGTAACAAAAAGTATGATTACAGTACAGTAAAATAATTTATTACACAAATTCAGTATGAGACATTGTGTAACATTTCTTGATGTGGCTGGTGTTTAATGAACAAGTAACAATAATATTCACAATAACATGTGGTTTGACTGAATAATCAATTAAATATAATTTGTTAACATATCAATGTAAAGAAACCGGATTTCTTGACTGGCAACTCTCTGCTATCTCATAGATGACATGTCCTGTCTCAGGTACCGTAGCTATACTACTCACCTGGATAGGTAAGGGGGTGCAAAAAATAAATACACAGAGACTGTAACTGTGTGTAAATCATGATCATTTAAATTATCGCCTACATAGATATTTTATTAATTTCATCAGTGCGATGCCTCTCAAATTTTTCTACGGACCAAACAGGACAGGATCGGGACTCAGGACAACTCATATTCTGGGAAAGTCACAAATTCTGGGACTTCTGGTCACCCTAGTCTGTCATTAGTATGACATGTAGTTCTTGCAGCTCCATGAAAAAAAACCTAAAGTTAAGGGATAAACATAAATATGCACAAAATCTCAACATAAACATGAAGTTGGACAAACATGAAGTGTTGAACAAACATTTGCCAAAGACTTTTCTTTGTTTTAACTGTATTTATAATTAATTGTATTGTTAAATATGAAAAAGTGGTTTGTGCAGACCTAAACAAGTTCTGATGATTTTTTTTTCCACAAATTACAGCCATCCCTGTCTCTTTGGCTTTCAACATCGATATAACAAATCCTGAAGTCTATAATGGTTCACAAAAAGATTTCTTTGGCTACAAAGTGCTCCAATTCATGTCTGGCACAGACAAAGGGTAAGTTTGCATTTCTGAACATGGAGGTTAAATTGCTCAAATTTCCATTAGCCGAGCATGGTTTCCTTTTCTGTTTAGCAGTGTAGATGGAAGATAATTCTGGTTTATGTCATCAAGAGCTCCTGTGAACATTTTGTTGATATTGCATCCTGTGACTAATCTTGCAGTGGCATCAAGATATCACTCAAACTCTGCTTACAACTGCAGGAGTTTTCTGTGTTACTCATGTCAGCCAGGCCACTGTAATGTTTAAGATTACTATTATTGTGTTTGTTGACCTCATCCACAGGCTTCTGGTCACGGCACCATTACGGCAAAATGGATCTGGGGGAATAATCAAACCTCACCAAAACACCCCACAGTGGTTCAAACCTCAAGGTATGTAATTTCCACTTCGAACAATTCACAAATATGAATTATAAAAGGGAAAAGGTTCATAATGTATCTGAAAAGCATTGTGTATTTTTAAAATACTAATCCGGTGTTACTGTTGCAGTAGATTCTCTCGAAGACGCATCGATCAAACACCTTGGTTTGTCGATAGCTGTAGACGCCACACACTCCCAATTCACTGTAAGAAAATCACAAAAATAAATACATTAGATAATTCACCGTTTCTGTGACATTTCTTCAAGTTCTGAGCAAAACAATTTAATATGATGAATCAAATGTCTTACTGCTCTTCTATTCTGGTCTAGGTCTGCAGCCCAAGTGTGGTCCATGAATGTTATGAGAACTCCTATCTGAACAGCGTGTGTTACAACATCACACAAGATCTTCAGCAAACCTCCTATTTCAGACCTGCTTTCCAAGGTAAAAGACATTTAGACAGTATAAACATCTCCCGCTGTTATAAAAAATTATTCTCAATGTTTGGTCCTGACTAAATATTCTGTACACATTTTAACTCTATTTTTTGCAGAATGCACAAAAAAGACAGTGGACCTTGTCTTTCTATTTGATGGATCAGGAAGTATGACAGAAACAGAGTTCAACAAAAATAAAGATTTCATAGTGGATATAATGGACAGCCTTATAAACACATCAGTCAAGGTCACTGCACTACTGCAACATTAAAACATTCATAGGTCTTAAATCATGCACACAATATTATATGACAACTTATGTGTCTGCTTTTTTTCAGTTTGCAGCAGTTCAGTTCTCGTTTGATTACAAGATGGTTTTTAACTTCAATGACTTTAATGAAGGCAGAGCTCTCGATAAACTTAAGAACGAACCCCATATGAAGAGTCTCACCAACACACACAAAGCTCTCAAATTTGTGTTGTAAGTTACAAACAGTTCTCAAACTCTTGAACTATTGAATTACATTAAAATATCAGCTGTTATTGACAAGAAGTGGCACAGTCCAACTGTATGATTATGACCATATTATTTGTAGATAGGTTTAGTTTTTTTTTAATATTCTGAGCATTAAAAATGTTTACATTTGTTGTTTCAGGGAGGAAATCTTTGACAAGCCAGATGCAGGTGCTTCTCCTGACGCAACTAAAGTTCTGGTACTAATCACAGATGGAGATCCCAGTGATACAGACAATTATGGGATTATTAAAAGATATAATGAAAAACAAGTCATTCGCTTTGTCATTGGGGTAAGCTGTCATGTGATATAACCTGTCACAGTATTTTGTTTTATTTGTCCTGTAGATAAATCTTTGTTGAATCATGTGTTTATTCAGCTAAAACAATCAGGGACCTCAGGGATCAATCCTTGGAACTGATCTGTTCACTGCTATGCAGATGATTCAGTCAGTTTATAAGTTTTTACACTGTGATAGTTATTTATTTATTTATATATATACACTCATTTATATATTGATAGCACTGACAGCCTGGTTTTGTATGCAAAAGTGTTTTTGTTTTTATGTACCCACATAAAATTGAAAGATTTCTTCATTCTGCATTTAGTTGTACTTCTCAGAAGAAAACAGACCTGTTCAGACGTGTACATTTACCAACATGGGAACATTGCAAATACTATGTCTTTAATTAATACTGTAACAATCATGGCTGATCTCAGCCTTAAATAGAGCAACTTGCTCTGATTCCAGTTTTGAGTGTCTTACTGTGAACATGGTGTCTTGCTGACATCCGACTTGGAGGGACTTCATAATTTCAAGCAGCATTCTGGTTTCAGGTCAAAGCTGCTAAGCTGGATAAATTTACAGACATTGCTTCAGATCCAACCGACAAATATGCTTTCCAAATTGAGAACTACGACGGACTCACAGGGATACTAGAAAAATTTCAGAAAAAGATCTTCACAATGGAAGGTGATGTTCAAGTGCAATAATGTTACAAAAATACACTTCATCTTCCTGGTGTGTCCCTGCAATAGTAACATAAAATGCTTATTTATTATATATATTTTATATTTAGGCACCAAAGTGTCTCGGGCGGGAGAAATGACAAATGAAATGTCTCAGAGTGGATTCAGTGCTGTCTTCTACAAGGTGAGTAAAGTCAAAAAGACATAATTCACCTGCAATGTCCTGCTATGCTGCCGTCTTTTTATATTGTAGTGTAGGTTTACCCCAAATATCCAAATTAACAGTTTGGGGCCTGACGGGAGAATAATCACACCCTAACCTGTCACTAGATTAGCTGGATAGATAACCCGGATAGGCTGATACCCTCACTACCAAAGATACAAGAAAGCACAAAGCTTCAAATCAGTTTCATCAATTACATCTTGTTGTATTTAAACCAAATAATGAAGAACAGAAGTTTCTCAGTCACAGAGTGTCATTAAATCAACAGAAACCAAATTCATATTCTCCTGATGCGAAATTTAAATGTCCCTTAATTAATTCCATTAAATAATGACTTCAGATAATCCTCAACCTTTCAGTGAAGCTAAGGTGTGAGTTTTTTGTGTATATGTGCAACATTTTATATGCCCTTTCAACTCAGAATGAAAGTAGTTCAGTTCCTTTTAGATCATTTTAGTTGAGATCAAGTGTGCGTATGTTTGTTTGGGGGAACTGAACCAGATTCATCCAAACCCGCTCAGTACATTTTTAGCAGTGCGCTGTTGTCCAGGAAAATTCAGGAAATCCAGCTGGTAACTGCCAAGCAATTTACTTATATTTTACTTATCTGTTTTTCTTTTTAGAGCAAAGCTATCCATTACTGGATTAAACTTCTAGCTATCTTTTAGCCACTCTCACCCCTCTTTCTGTTCTCGTCCATGCTGCTGTTGTTGTTTTTTCCCTTCCCCCAGCTCACAGGTGTGTTTCATTTATGTGCTCACCTTCTCACCTTTCTGCTACAATATGCAGAATGTGTGACATCATACCAATGCTAATGTAGCATTTGAGACCGATCGGAACTGGGATTTTTCCCAGTTTAAACTTCTGACTTCCGTCCTCAAAGTGTTCCAGGTGCATAGTGGTGCATGATGCCGAAAGTGAACGAAAACCATGGCTGACCGTGACAGAGTGGACACACAGTTGCACCCTCAGCAGTGTTTTAGGTGTTACTTCAAAGGATGGAAGTTTAACTGACATAAATAGCCTATACGTTACTAGTTCTGCGTACCCCTCTGGCTACATCAGTTGGTAACCCTCAAGTCAGTCAATGTTGTAGTTAAACTTCCTAATGTTTTGGCATTTTTAACAATAGCTTTTATGCAGAGAAGATGATTTTTATGAGAGTCTTTACCAGCTACATAATAGGCCTAACATATTTCTACATCAATGTACATGCAGAACAGGTTTTACTATTACCTGACCTTTTAGTCCCATACGCACCAGCACGTACCTTGAGATCCTCGGGCAGAGGTCTGTTGTCTGTTCCAGAGTCTCGACTGAAAACTAAAGGGGACAGAGTGTTTGCTGTCAGGGCCCCGAGGCTCTGGAACAGCCTGCCCGAGGAAATCAGGTCGGCTGAGTCGGTGAACTCTTTTAAGTCCCTTCTTAAAACATACTTTTATAGGAGAGCTTTTCCCGATCTTATTTGACTTTATTTTATCCCTTTTATTTTATTGTATTTTACTAATTTATCTGTATTTTAGTCTTTTCAATGTTTTTGTATTGTTTTTTGTATTATTGTCTCTTGGGTATTATTGTCTTTACACTTGTTAAAGCACTTTGTAACTTGTTTTTGAAAAGTGCTCTACAAATAAGGGTTCTTATTATTATTATCGTATATGTATTTTTTAAATTTAAATATATGCAAATATACTTTTTGTTGCCTTTTAGTTTATGGGACCTGCCATTGTTTTGTTACGTAATTCAGCTGCTACTCGTGAAGTCGTGTACATATTTTTTTTCCGAGTTCACATGTAGGAAATCAAGTGAAGTAAAAAATAGCTCATTTAAAATGTACTCAGAGTAAATGTTACTTAGTTCCTCCTAAAATAACTTACAATACTTATTTAATTTAATCGCTGTCTTTTGTGATTTGATAAGGGCACAAAGCCATATTGCGCTTTCAATTTTAGTTTGTTTGACAGATACTAGCCAAGAGTATCTGTCAAGAAATAGCGCAAAACAGTTTTGATAATGTTTTCGCTTCATTATGAAACTGTGGCGGAACAGATTAGACCATGGCGGTCGCACTGGAGTGGAAAAATGGGAAACACAGGACTGTATATGGTCATATCTCTATTTACACTCAAACAGGTGGTAATTTTAATAGGACATCATAGGTGTTAGCATAATTAATTTATAATTAACATAAGCATAATTAACTAGTTACCAGGAGGTTGCTTGTGCCAGCCAACATTAGCAATGTCATGCACCGATGCCATTTGGCTAATCTGAGCAAAGCCTCTTACCAAACTTTGAAAACTTCTTTTCAACAACTTGTGGTACAAGCAGGGTGTGAACTACAGGGGAGCTTGATCTCCTTGATTTTTGGATGTACAATGAGTTCCTCTCTGCTGCCTCACTGGACCAACCTGCCAAAATTGAAGTTGACTGCACAAGTCAGACTACTCAGTTGATTTGTTGACCTCCCAAAATAACTAGTGTTGGTACCACCGGCGCTCCTTTCTATAGAGATTATTACATATTAATATGGAAAATATTTTTGATGTTGTTGATTTTCATTCTGGGCTACAGTCAAAACATTCGGGGCTAAAGGTTTCTAACCAGACCTGCGTATTTCTGTCAACAGGACACCTTGATCCTGGGTTCAGTTGGAACGAAAAGCTGGCGTGGTTCTCTCGAAGAGGTTCAAGAACAAAAACAAACACAAATTGACGATCCACACATGCAGATGGACTCCTACATGGGTATTTACATACAAGTTATTTCTTTCTTATTATCTGCTTCTTTATTTTAAAGTCTTTGTATTTGGCATGAGATGTTGACATTTTGAGCTTGTGAAATGATGTTCACAATTGATTTCACAGCCTGCAGTTAGTGTTGAGGTTACTTCATAGTGTATCACCTTTCAGTGCACGTGAAAAGAAATTGCATGGACATAGAAAATCTTTGTAGCTGTAGAAATAATTTGCATGTGTAAAAGTTTTACCCATCCACGCTACTCCGTTTTTGTTTACGGAATTTTAAAACGAATACGATCTCCGTCCACACCAGCGTTTTAGCTGTGTATCAGAGTTGATCTCCATCTATACTAAAACGACTGAAAACGCACATCTAGTGGCCGTTCACGTACAATGGGCATGCGCGTGCCGGTGTAAACATGAAGCAGATGGTCTATTCCATAGTTACAGAAGATCTGGCGAAAGAATGAAGAACCACACCAGATTTTTTTTTTGCATGGACCAATAATGAGCTGGGACTGTTACTGAACAAACTTCGCCGTTTTAGTCTGGATATTAACCCAGTGCTAAGGGTTAAATATACTAGGGGGCAAGTTCATTACACATAAGCATTAAACAAGAACATAAGAACAGAACAAAACAAGGAAAAGAAAACCACCAAGGCAGTGACTCACTACCTGCAACCCGAACAAAACACAACTCTATACAGGTGTCGGATATATATTCTTATGTACAATTATAGAAAATAGATAACATAATAGATAACATGTTCAAACCCCACCAGCTATGCAGCTGATCCCTACCTGGGTCTCCCCGACTAAGTTACCCCTAATGGATGGGCTCTCCTGGTAACAGTGGTCCACCACCTGCTACCAGCGTAGCAGTCCACTGGTCCGGGCTCTCTTGACGAATAAAGCAAGGCACAAATTCCGATTAAAATCTGATTCATAACATCGTGGTAGGACAGCCAGCTCTTCATGCGGAGGACAAAAGCATAAAACACCCGCGGCTCACCAACAAGTGCCTCTCAGCTAATCAGACGCAACTTCCCCCGAAATATAGGCTAAGTGTAGGTCCTATAAAATAAATTGACAAAGACGAAAACTAAGGACATTTAATCTTTCATTTTAGTTTATTTTAGTTAGTTTTGCAAACCTACTATACAGTTTTAGTTAGTTTTTTGTAAAGCCTTGTTTTTATTTTTCTTTCACATCTAGTTTTTTGTTGTTTTGTTCATCTTCATTAACAATAATAACCTTGGTTGATCTTAGTTTTAAGTTGAATATCCAACTATATCCCGATATAGGTAATTTCATATCCCAACAATGATACATATCTGCATTTGAAACTAGGCAGAAGAGCGATGGGGGTAGCCAAGAAGTCCAGGGTGAAGCAGTCCATCCAACAGCACCTGCTGAGGTGGGTTAGCTCATAGCACCGACAGTTAGTTCAAAGCTAACTTGCCACTCCCTCAGGGCCTGCCCGTGGCATAGTCAACATAGGCGGTTGCCTAGGGCACAGAATGTCAGTGGCGCTGCAAGAGAAAGTTTTTGACTTGGCGAGAATCAAGTCAGCCCAGCTGATGCAACACCGGCGTAAGCCGTGATCAAGTGCAACTCGTGCTGTGATTCCAGACAGTTGTGACAAGTGGTGCTGCCTGATCACAAGTGTTTCACTTAGTTTCGGTTTCACGTGCAGCATGCAGTCCCAAACTGTGTCGGTCAAACGGTCTACAGGGGGATAGCCTACTAGCAACAGAGCAATTACATAATGCAAAGCAGAGTATTGGGTAGGTAGAATTAAATATATTATGAATTATTATTAAATGAGGTATTTAAGACTTTACGTATTTAAAGTTTAAAGTTATTTCCCCAAACAGAGACTCAAAATGGGGAAGTCTAAGCATGTGTACTGACTCGACTACTGACAATTTCAAATCTGACCTAGGGCTCCAGCACTGTCAGGGCCTAACCTGACCTAGGGCTCCTGCACTCACTTGCTTAATGAGTGGCACTCTTTTCAATACAGCAGACCTCGGTCAGTTAATCACAAAATACGTCTGCTTGGAGATTATCTAGCCAATAAATCTAAGGAAACAACTATCTTGGAAAACCTACACACCAAAATACCTGCTCCAGTCTCTCTCGCTCTCTCTCTCTCTCTCTCTCGTTTCTCTTCCTGGTCACTTCTGACCCCTTTTCTGCATGTACACACATCATCCAATCACAATCCAACACATTTGTGACCACATTTAAATACATTTCTCTTATAAATTAGGATTAGGCATTTATGAAACAAAATAAAATAAAGCACATATATGGATTTGTAACATTTTAACCCTCTGAACATGAATTTGACATTAACCCTACCATGAAATTATTTATTTGTTTACCACACAAACTATTTATGCATATTTTAACTGCGTTACATCCTTTGAGATGAGCAGTTGCCTCTGCCATCAGTGAATGAATGTGTGTGTGTAAGGTGAATTTAACATTAGTGTAAAACATTTGAGGGGTCGGACGACTAGAAAGGTGCTATAGTCCGTTTACCATTTACGCATTCAGATGCATTTGTTTCACATACAAACAGAAGGTGATATACAACTGAAATTATTTATGATCTTCATCTCACAAGCTCAAAACATTTTTTGCTCCCTTAGATGCTTGTCAAAAACATATGCCTCAATAAATTACTTCTCTCAGTTTCCAACCTAAGTGGTGGGTTTAAGGTAGCTCTGTGTTGTAAATGTAACACTTTCATCTGTGACTGACGCTTTTGCAGGATACTCTATTTCTGTTGGAGAGAAGAGTAACGCTCCTCTATATTTCACGGGTGCACCAAGATTTAACCACACGGGACAAGTCGTACTTTTCAGAAAAGAAAACAAGAACTGGATTGCAGCCCAAAGACTAAATGGGGACCAGGTTGGTAACTGAAATAATTTCTTTATTTGGTTCAATTCTTAACATGTTTAAACCTCAATCTGCTATTGCTGGTTATTGAAAGCCTTTTTGTTATGACACCATTACAGCTAGTGTCAGTCATTTCTAGAACAGGAGACTATCCAGATAAGGTTGCTCAGTAAAACCTAGAATCCCCTCACATTTACATCTACTGCTGCATTCCATTTACTTTGCATTTATAGAAGCTCAATGCTGCATGTTGCACCTTTTATGAAATTGTGCAAAGGCATATTATTTCAGCGGTTGTAGACAGGAAACCAGAGAACTTCCTTGCACTGGCACCTAGAGTTGTTTAAAGCAAAATAAACCTATCCTAACTTTACTCTACTTGTATAAACCATTTTTTAAAATGAATGATTTAAACTTCACTTTTCAGATTGGTTCCTACTTTGGTGCAGAGCTGTGCTCAGTAGATGTCAACTCAGATGGTAACACTGACTTCCTGCTGGTGGGAGCTCCCCTGTTTTACCAGCCTCAGGTGAAGAGAGAAGGCCAGATCTACGTCTATACACTGACTGATGAGGTGGGCTGTGATAAAGGTTCAGATTCAGTCTAACACTATTTTAGCTCTCGTGAGAGAAAATGTATGCATATATTTTCACAGTCATTTAACTTATGTTCTCGTTCCAGATGCAACTGAGAAGTGAACTGAATGTGACCGCACCTTCCATGGGGAGATTTGGCACCACCATATCCAGTCTTGCAGATCTGAACGGAGATGGACTCCGAGACGTCGCTGTTGGAGCCCCACTAGAGGATGATAACAGTGGGGCTGTTTACATCTACCTTGGCAACAGACACCGAGGGATACGCAGTCATTTCAGCCAGGTGAGACAGAGAAAACCTGACTCTATATATATATATATATATATATATATATATATATATATATATATACCTGACTCTCTCTCTCTCTCTCTCTAATAACTTTAAACATGCAGCATTTGACTCCAATACATCTCTACTAAGTACCTGTGAGTGCAGTGTAAGTAAATGTGAGTGCAAAACATGCACTGTTTCTCATTTATCAAGCATCTGTTATTCCAGAGAATCATGGGAAAGAAAGTGGAGCCTTGGATGAGATTCTTTGGACAGGCAATTGATGGGGACATCGACCTTGGAGAGGACGGACTCCCAGATATTGCGGTCGGATCACAGGGCATGGCTGTTGTCTTGAGGTATGGTACATTAAATATGTAGCCTCTCAAAGCTAGGCTACATATTATTATACATATACATATTTTCTATAGTGCTTTAAAACTAATCGGGTGTAAGAAAGACTCTTATTGATGTCTGAATGAGGGGTAGAAATGTCAATAATCTCCTATATAATCTACTAAAATGGCTTCTGACTCAAACGTATTAATCCATGGCTCTGCCAGAGCAAAGTAGAAGAGGGATTTGAAATTGTGAACTGTTGTCTTGTTTACCCATGCTTCATGAATTATTATACAATCATCCTATAAAAAAGATTATGTGCAAAGTCTAATAATCCATTTTCAATCAATTATTTAATTTTTTTCAGGTCCAGGCCTGTCTTCAATGTTACGGCACATCTGTCTTTTCACCCTAAGCAGATAAGCACTGATAAAATTGTCTGCCCAAGCACAAAGGAAGATTTAACATCGACAGAGGTTGACTTAACTGTCTGCTTTGAAATGGTAGAAGTAACAAAGATCAAACCAGGTAGAGACCTGACCCAGTAATGTGATTCATTAACACCTGCTGATTCTGCTGATATTTAATCCTGCTCTATGCCTTTGCAGGGGTAATGACGCCAGAACCTAATATCTCATACACGCTCGGCGTGGATCCAACGAGACAAACACATCGAGGTCAAATAGACAACAAAGCTTGGATTCTTTCCGCTACCCATAACCCGAGGGATGAAGACAAATGCATCAACCACACCATCTACATGCCAGTATGGAGATTAATAAATCATATTTATCCTCACATACTCTTTAATACGCATATGACCAACAGTTGTGGGCTATAGCCACTCTATGCTTTGGGGCATGTGACCAGAGGGCTCTTCATGCTACAGACAAATTGCGTTCAACTACGTCCTCACAAACAAGAAAATGTTATGTTACTTAGCCTTATTATAAGAAACTGAGGTTGTAAAACTGTAATCGGGACTTACTATTCAGCTTCATCACCAAAACAGTTATATTAATAGTGATCTAATGCACTTATTCAGTATTCACTCCATTAGTTTAATATTTAAACCACTTTATAAAATAAAAAAGTTCCTGCTTTTCGCCTATGCTGTTTTATTCAACTATATGCAGATGACTCTTTTTGTTTTTCCAGAAATGTGTGAAAGACACATTATCACCTATCATCATCAAATTAAACTTTTCCCAAGATGACAATGGGGGCAAAAGTGGCATCCTGAATGTGGACAGCAAAAGGCAGGCTGTTGTTGAGGTTTGTACAACAGAAGGTTGCTGGCAGTCACATAAATGTGCATCCTGTTTAGATAAAGAAAAGCATCAGAGTTGTGCACAGTACAAGGCACACATACTAAGATGTGAAATGGAATTCTGTTTTATGGATGTGATGATGACTTTTTTAAATCTGTCTTTTTTTAAACTCTTTCCAAGTGGGGATTTACTGGTTCGAAAAGCTATATTGTTTATCTATTGTGTGCCAAAGGACTCATGCATTGTTTATGCCATTTCTTTTCTGGTTTGCTCTGTATTTTTAAATGATTCATTTTTTCAACAGGTTCCATTTGAAAAGACATGTAGACTAAATGATACCTGTATCGCTGAACTTGAGGTGGATTTCATGTAGGTATATCCGACAAACACAGCTCATCAACTGTAATATTATCATCATATGACCAAATGCATGTCGCTTTCTCTTAGGGCCACAAAATTATTGGTGGCAGAAGATAACTTCTTCATCCTGGATGTAAATCTGACTAATCGTGGTGATGACTCATACAACACCAGCCTTACGATGCACTATCCTCCAGGCCTCTCCTTCTCTAGGATGACTATTGTAAAGGTGATTCTACACAACAAAGTCTGTTCACGGGTGTTGGGATGTACTACTGCATTTGTTAAAAAAGTTAAATTAAGTATTTTGTGGCTCCTGAGGGAGCTGCGCAGGGTCTGATAAATTAGTGAAGTGATGACACTTTTATTTTATTTCTTGTTTATTTGACAAGGATAAATGCTTGAGACAATGCTTTATAAAGCATACAAAGTAGATGCTGTGCATGCAGGTTTCTAGCCATGACTAATTTGCAACCCCTCTCCCTTGAGTCAGCGTCAGCTTGGGCTGAAGACTATAAGTTTGAAAATAAAATAAATCTCGGGGTGTGGAATTACAAAGAAGTGAGCTCACCAGACCTCTGTGGTCCTATCCTCATCTGTGCTTGATGCTAGAGGCTTCGGGCTACCTGAACACACCTGAACCTCAGACCACACTATTGGTTGCTGAGTTGCATTGTGGCGAATGTGAAGAAGAATGAGTTGAGGAAAAGTACCTGTAACTCAAGCTACACGTGATAGACTTATCTATGTTTTGTCCAGTTATTTAGCTTCACAATAATTCCATCAGAGAATACTTTAAGTAAAGGCCTGATCATTCAGTCTTTGTTGAACTACGTGTCAGAAAAAAACTCATGCACGGTTATGCAAATCTGACCGCAATTCCTAAAATACACTATCACATCTCTGCACCCTTTTTATTTGAGCATGTACATGCAAACACATAATATTCTTATATATGTTGTGTTTATTGACTGATTCATTAAAATTATACTAATTATGATTTATGTTACGAATAACTTGTAACATCTGTCAGCAAAACCTCCACTGATGGCAGTCATCCACTGCTAAGCTTTCTTTCACACTTCTTGTACCATTCTGTCTCTAAAAGAGCAGAGGAAATGAGCATAAATGATTTGGAGGATTTGAAACCCACACAGGATGTGTGGGCAAGACTGTTTTTCATCACAAAATTAAACTGTGAGAACTATTGCTTTTGGAATCACACTCTCTTTAAACTTGGCTGAAGGTTTCAGCTTAAACTGAAACACCATATGTCAAAGTATAGTCGTGTTCACACAAACGCTACTGCACTGAATTCAAACGAAAAGCTTTTATTCTAGAGACTCTCAGTTCACATTTGTTTTTTTCTTAAAACAGAACACAAGACCAGCGGTCCTCAGCTGTCATGATCTAGATGAGATATTCGACAAAACTGTATGTGGTGTCAGCCTTCCTGTGTTCCACAGCAGATCAGCTGTGAGTCATACTGCACCCAGACACCTTCACAACAGACACAAGTGAAGTTTCATAAATCAAGAACTGTGACCAACTGCTTCAACCTTTGACATTTACAACCATGGCAACTTCTCTCATCTAGATATTTAATTCTTTGTCTTTGAGTCATATCTAACATCACTGCCTTTTTCCTGTGAAGGCAACATTTCGCGCTTCTTTCCGGCTCATGAATGACTATAAGTGGAATGACACAATTTCGATTACCATTACTGGAGAAAGGTAATGGCCTTTTCATACAACAAGAACAAAACCAAACATTTTCCCTGCATTATTAGATTATTTACTATCGTTACATAAATCATGTTTGTAAGAAATGCCTTTTACATCCTTAGTGAAAATGCAAACTCCACCACCAGTTCCGTGACCAAAAGCATCCCAGTACATTTTGAAATAAAAATGCAACTGACAGTGTAAGTGGCATTATTCACATAAATATTTTTATATTTTATATTTATATTTTATACTTATATGTGCCTAGTCATTTTTTTATTATTTGAATTATTTAATCATTTGTTTTCATCCAGTCAGTAGTTATGGTATTCCACAGCTCCCTGCATGTTGTGATCATCCTGTATACTTTTCAGGAGCGACGACACCATCACCTATCTGAACTTCACCACAGAGGATTCTGAACCTAAAAAAATGATCGCCATATATAAGGTGAGGCATTGTTCTTTGTCTGTTTCTCTTTAGCTGCCAAATGCTGTACTATATTCACCAGCTACTCACTAACTTTGTCTATCTGCTATTTGGTAATGGGCAGGAAGTGTACAGTACTAAAAATATTTTTGATGTGTTTTCGTTTGAGACATAACGACATTGCTTCCCTTTTTATTTAACACATATTTTAATTAGGTGTGACCCGTTGTGATCAGTGATATTTTTTTAAAGGGCAGCCTGGCCAAGACAGCAGCATGAAAAACGTTACAGATGACTTAAAATAACAGAAAACCTAAAATAATTATGCACAGTGACAAGTACTAACCATTCATTCAGTGTTTCCATTCAGTGCTTTAAAATCCAACATAGAGACCAATTCTCTTAGTTTCGAGTTTCTTCTCATGTAACGCTCAGCAAGAAACACGTATGTCCCATAATTATGAACTGTCTCTCTTTATTCGCAGGTAGAAAATCTTGGTATTAACGCTTTTCCTGTCAACGTGTCCCTGTTCTTCCCAACTAAACTGGAATATGACTTTGAAATGAAGAACTATCAAGTCTTTGTCCAGCAGGTAACGTCCAGACTGCCAGAACACTACTTATATGTGTACTGCTGAATAAGAAGTGCTTAATGCTTACCAATTACTTTTTCTTTTCTAAGAACAAAACTCAATGCACAGACATTCATGACAAGGAATCTGAAGTAAGTAAAACAGATTCAGCAACAAAATATTTTAACTGAATGAGTCGTGAAATGATAAATCCCTTAATAAAATTAACTGTTGCTGTGTTACAGTACTGCTCACAAAACCAATCCTGCAAAATGATCGTGTGTGACAGTTTCATCCTTGACAAAGAATCATCCACTGAGTTTGTATTGTTAGGAGAAGTACAATTTAGGAATCTCAAAGAGCGTGCAGCGGTACGTAACAACAACACACACAAACAACATCCACAGACAGAGAACACATCACACATACCATTCAAAGTGATGAATATATATTTTGCATGTTCTTACTTTGCAGAATATAGCCTTTCTTAAACAATATACCGGATTCGGGGCAATGGTTAAATTTAAAAGCTTTATACACGTTGACTATGACAAGAAACGGTATGTTCAAGAGGTATGTTGAAGTTTGACTACAGGAATGCTATTTCAAAGATACTGCTTGTACTTTTCAGTATATGTCATTGATCATATTTATTAACCACAGCACAACTATGGTTTTAAACAGGGGAAGTCTGATGAAAGTGGCTCACGGAAATACAATGATACAACAAAGAAAGGGGTACATTCAGTCTACACATGAACAACCAGAACTACATAATTCACTAGATTTGGATCCTCATTGAAATGTGCTTTGAAAAGTTCCACTTTAAAAACTTATTTTCTCTGCCTGCAGAATGAAGTTCGGATTGACCTCATAATTCACCAGAATGTACCGCTGATCAATGCAACTGGATCTGTACTGGGATTCTTACTTCTGGTCATAATCGCACTCATCATGTTTAAGGTGAGAGTAAATTTTTTGAAGAATTCATTCCAAACCACAATCTTACTACATAAAATAAGAGTTAAAGACAAACTGCTAACTTCATATTCAGAGCTGCTGCTTGAATGTTAATAACTGAAATAAAAATATGCAAATTATGATTTTCTGCTCTAAAATCTACGTGGCCTTGGTCTAATGATTTTTCTTGTGTCTGTCACAAGTTGGGCTGCTTTAAGAGGAAAGAGATGGGCAATGATGACGAAGAGGAGGAAGAAGAGCATTGCATCTTTACTGAATCCACCCCCATCAACGCGGTAGTCAACGAATCAGAGACTGACTGCGAAGAGAAAGAATTTCTTCAAGCAACAACAGAACTGCAGCCTAATGATACAAAGGAGGAACTGGAATAAACTATGAAAGTACCACTATGGAAGTGGGCTGACATATTATGCTCACGTTCTAAATAAATTCTGTCCATTAAATATGAAATTGGATCCACGAGCTGATAAGCTTAGCTTAGCATAAAGACTGGTATGGGACACTAGCCCTAACAGAATCCACCTACCAGCCCCTTTAAAGCTCACTTTTTATCACACGTTATATATTGTTTGTGTATAAGGAGTGGAAACCTCACATAAAAACGATCCACTTGCGGGATTTTTCTATTACCTCTGACGGCCAGTATGCCAAATCCTATGTGAAGACTCTGGGTGGCATTTTAGGTGCATGCGCGCTCCCAAGCCTCTTGCCTGCTGCAACTGAACTGTACAGCTAGAGGTGGAAGAACTACTCATATATTCATACTTAAGTAAAAGTACAGATACCACACAAAAAATGTTACTCAAGTAAAAGTAAAATTCATCCAGTATAAACCTACTCAAGTAAAATCAAAAAAGTACCTGGCTTTAAGTAATGAAAAGTAAAAAGTACTACACATTCAAATTTATTGATCTTACAAAAAGCAACCTATCTCTTTAAATTCACTCCAGACAGGTTTGACACAGCGTAAGTTATAGCAAATCACAATAAGGAAAACTGAGTCGCAAGAGGACAATTGGGGGGGATTAGCCTATTTTATTGCTCTGCTGATGTGGTAGTATCTCCTTCAGACCGTCTGACAGACACAGAAACCTGTTTGGGACTTTGGGTATGTGAGAATGAGAGAAGGAGGTGGAAACCAAAACTAACTTAAAATGCACTTGGGCTCAAGTAGAAATCTCACCACAAATCCAGAAATGTTAACTTCAGCACCTCTCATAAAGTGGACCTCACAGTCCCGCATAGAGAAAAAAAAACTTTACCAGCTACTTTATCACTTGGTCACAAACTGGCTGCGACTCACAGTGCAAAAACAGAGGTGCTGCAGAGTCACACCTGTCACCTTCACCTGGATCTGTGGGACCTGCTAAAGACGTCTGGACTGGGTCTGTGCTGGTACTGGCTGAGGCTGGACGTGGATCCAGAGTTGTAACTAAACTTGTTTTTAAGTGATGGACGAGGAGTGCCATCAGGGGCACCTGCGTATGAATGCATTTCCACATGCAACACGGTTATCTTTTCTGAGCTAAAGTTTATAAACACTGTAACCCGTCTGCGTTTATCAAACGTAATAAATAGTTTCATTTTACTCAAATATTGTTCAGCCACAGTCTGGCAAGAAACCAAGACCCAAGAAGTGTAAGTCAACAACCCTTTTTGTAGTGAAGTGAAAATAAAAAGATGCAACAACTAAAAATACTCGAGAAAAGTACAAATAAAAAACTACTTAAGTACAGTAACTAACCCAAGCTAATGACATGGAGTCCGCTAAGACAACAACCCTTTTTAAAGTTGATTATGTGGAGCAGATCACAGAGCGTAGGGCCTCTCACATCTGGCATCTGCCAGAATTGCCAGATGGCCAATCCGGGCCTGACAAGCTTGGAGTAGTTCAACCTCAAGTTGATAAAAATGTTACTGTGTTATGTTGCAGTGGGAGTTTACCTGAGTTTCCAGCACTTTGTATGATGCTCATGAGCGGATTTTCTCGCTCATGAGGTCGAGCACGCATACGAGCACATACCTGGTTACAATCTAAAAACCGCAACGGTAGAGGCGGCAGAAAACTATAGTCCCTTTAATCCACACAAAAACACCAACCAATTGCAAGTTTGGTTTTAAGGAGGGCTGCGTTACAGGCTATTCTGCTGCTGTTTTTGGCTTGACTGCTGCAAAGTGTGTTTACAATTGATTATAATTCTTTGGCACTGAGGAGCAGTATAGGAAAGCGTGTGGCCATATTTAGTAAAGTATTCTCCCTGGTGTTTCGGGAGAATAATGCAATGGAAGGATAGAGATACATATTGATAAAGTAGGTAAATCTCTTATCCATGTTTATTATTAATGCATGTTTTCATTGTAATATACAAAAACATTGCTACTACACAGTCTTTAAATATTTCTGATCTTCTGCGTGGTATTTATTGAGCTCAGGTTCTTCTTGTATTATAGTTGAGTGCTTGTGACGATGTATAACGTTTTTGTTATAATCATTTGAGTGAATGCAGTGGTACATTTGATGCATTGTTTACTGACTAGTGATCTTGCAAAACATTGTCTTTGCAAGCAGCAGTCCTTGGTTGTGAGTAGTTTTTAAGAAACAGGTTTGCTTCTTCAAGCCTGAAATGGAGTCACCTATAAGTGGTGCTTCAATGATGAAGGTCGACATTAATCTGTCTCCTTGTCCCCCTCTGACTCAAAATAACGCCACAAATGAGTTTTGTTCATCAATGCCTCTATTTTTGCCCTGTAAAAATAAATATGACAACAGGGTTTGGTTTATTCTTATCAATGTTGCTGTGGTGACATTTGATTAAGACAGTGGTTTACTTGTAACATGGGTGGATATTAAATTAGTTACTGATTGACATTCTAAAAATAAGTAAATTTCTTTCTAAACGACTGCTTGCGAGTGCACATATACACAAGAGGCCTTATTTGAAGATCCAGTGTGTAATATTTAGATGGCTCTATTGACAGAAATGCAATATAATATTCATAACAATGTTTTCAGTGGTGTATAAAGACCTTACATAGTGAAGCTTTATGTTTTTACTACCTTAGAATGAGCATTTATATCTACATATACCCTTACATGGAAGTCGGCATGTTGCAGCGTCATGTTTCTGCAGTGTCATGTTTCTGCAGTAGCCCAAAAAAACAAAAGATAAGGATTAGAAGATGAAGTTGTATTAGTAGTAGTAGTCATCTGGGTTGTTAGAAGTAAGAAAATATGTTAAAATTGGACAAAGTGAGGATCACACAGTATGCATGTAATGGTGAGGATTACTTGTAACTCTGGAACCCAGGAGGATTAATTTGTTTCAAACTATTTGTTCTTCCTTGAGATCAGATTTTGTGTAAACAGAAACAGTATTATGAACATACCTTCCATTGTAATTTCTGGCCTTCTGTTGTTTGTGAATATATAATTTGCTTATTCATGCAGTGTTGTGTGTTAATTTTGTTACATGTTTTTTGCTCTCTCAATTAAAGCACTTTGTCCATCGTGTCTGGGTGAGTTGAATTTCCAAGTATCCAAGTATTATCTCGCCACCTCCGTTTCCTGTGTACTTTTCATGGTATTTCTTCCAAAAAAACATTTTTTGAGAAATGACAAAATCTTTTAATTAATTTAAACTGACATAATAATATGTATCCCATATTTCCTTTTGTATGTATACAAAAAAGCATGGTGCAAAAAATGTAGGTTGTAAAAACTGCACTAAAACAGCAAATAAATGCAAGAAAGCTTTACATAAATTTTAATGCGTTTGTGAGGTTTACTCATTTCGAACACCTAATATTGGCATTGAGAAAGTAGGGATGATTGGATTCACCAATTCACAAATTGAAGTGCTTAGTATAATATTATTGCATCGCGTTGGATTGCATTATCTTGCACTGAATGACATTGCGCTCACTCAAATCATATTGCATTGTAATAGGGGTGACTATCCAGCATTGGTAGTTGCTTATGTATCTTTAATGTATCTGACTGATGGCAATGCATCTTGGTGCACATCCCTATGAGAAAGCTGGATTAAAAGGATTAGCCTCAAACTACCACTCAGTCTTTAATCAACCAGAAAGAGTCCCAAGGTCAGCTCAGCGACAGCGTTAACTTCCCCAGCACCGTGGAGACTTTAACATGGCAATGTGGTTGCTTGGGACAGCTAACCATCTGGGTGGGGGCTATACAGCATCCTAGGCATGTTTTCACACTCATCAAAAGATGCTATAAAGGCTTCCATGTGATCACTACTAAACACCTGCATGATTCTAAGGGCAATGTTGGTCTGTCTGTCAGTCCGCTTCTTTGGTCCTGAAATGTGTCAAATAATATTGGATGCATTGACATTAAAAAGTTGGTACAGATATCTGTGGTGTAAAGATGTATCCTAATGACTGACTTGATGTGTTGACACCAAATGCAGTCTAATCATAGGTTCACAGAGTATAAACTCTAAGTAGACATTTGTGATTTTATCTCAACAAATATGGACTGCCATGAAGAAAGATATTCTTTGAGCACCATCATCAGGTCAAAGTTTTAATTTACCCAAAACTTCAGGTTATGAAATGCCTGGTATGAATGAGATTCCCATCAACCTCAGCTTTTCTTTATATGGAGTACTTTTTAGCTAATCTTGGCACACTAACATGCTAAACTAAGACTGTGAACATGGTAAACTTTATAGCAGCTAAACATCTGAATTGTTATTGTGCGCATGTTAGCATGGCTGCAGATTCTTGTTACCATACATTTCAGCTTATTCTTTTACTTTCTGTTTAAATGCATTTACTACTGTATCAAATAGGCTATGCAATCAATATATATTCCTAATAATATATATCAGTTTATAATATCATGCAGAAGGCTACCATATGCATTTAGTTTTTCTTGTAAACATTTATGTTTTTGGCAACTGTTCTGCAACCTAAAGTCAGTCCAAATGGGCAAACAAATCCAACAGGGCAAGGTACGTGGCCAGAGACGGGCAGCTGGTCTAAAAACATGTGCACACCGCAGGCAGAATTTGTGGAGCAGAAACTGAGTACATAGTACCAGATAGGGATCAAGATGTGGAAGCAATGGACCGTAATGGCTTCATTGCAACTTTGACAATCTGGCAAAGGAGAGAGGGAAAGTGGCCTAAATAAATAATATGTTAGGGTTAGATGAGGAAACAAGGCACAGGTGTGTAGGGTGGAGTAGGATTGGGTGACTGGGGAAGTCTGATAGTATCTGGTAAACAGCTGAGGAATGGAAAGTTCTGTAAAGTATGAAAATGCAAGGGCTAGGGCCTTACCTCAATATGCAGGTGGTATTGCTGTAATCCAAAATTGATTACTGTCTGTTTCACCTTCTTTGGATGGTTGATGGTTGATTCCTGTTCAGTAATCCACAAGGGCTGGAATGCTGCAAAAATGGAAATAAAACAGAATCTGGGTGACAGACAAATTGATCTTGTTGTGTGGTCCAATTTCAGATTTATTGGCAGGTTTGACAGCATAAAAGAGAAAGAGATGTTCATTTACATATTGGACATTAACTTGTACTTAGTTTGTTGTTTGGAGTTCATGGATAATTCATTAAACTGGAGTTTAACCAGCCATCTCTGAGACACACATGTCAGATGTTTCCCTGTTCATGTGAGAGTGACCAGAACCGATAAACTGCATTTTAGTGCAGTGTATCTCAAATTGTTCAAGGACAAGGATGAGGCAGCGGTATTGCTAATGTAACTTATTCTGTATGGGCACAATGTTCTTTGTTTCTGGCTTTACAGAGTTGACTTCGATCAATGCATTTACCTTGGTAGTGAATGGATGAATCTGGAAATAGGGACATAAATATAGTACAAGAAGAAAAGTTAAGGGCCCTCCTCTGCTCTGCCAAAAAAGGCAGACTGTTCTTAAGCAAACAAAATTACAACACCCTCCCCCTTTCATTTTCTGACCCATCCTCCCCCTGCAAACATTTTTGTAAAGACCCGCAGTCTGGATGGAGTCTAATGGAAAAGATGCATGTGAAGCATCATGTTGTCTGGCTTACCTACACGGTGGCTGTTGGTAAGATCTAAAACAATATTTATCTAGTAAAGCTAATAGCTAGGAGTGCTTTATGAGTCTGGGGAAAGAGTTGAGGTGGTCTTTCAGCTGAGCGTCTAAAGGATTAATTCAACATTTTGAGAAATGTGCTTATAGGCTTTCTTTCAGAGAATGAGATGAGAAGACATTTCTCATGTCTGTGCTTAAAGTAAAGATCTGATGTGAGGACGTGTTTAGCCTAACCTAATGTAAAGACTGCAGACAGGAGGAATAAGCTAACCTGTGTTCAAACACATTCGCAAACAGAAATGTAGAAATCTCAAATTTGTGGCTTTATGGGGAGTTACATGCAAACATCAAGGTTACAGACAGGGTTTTAGGAATACTGAGCCCTCTTAAGCAGCAACTTTTGTATTCCTCATGCTTTTTTTTTCATTTGAGATGTAACTTAACTTCTAGTCCATGTTCTGAAAGCTATAATCCTGATGATGATGTGCCAAGTGATTTTTCTTACAAATGTCAAAGGTATGAAGAGATAGGAGGATAATGAGAGCTCCGAGGTCTGGTTATCCAGATGGCCTTGAGTCTTATCTCTTCCTGTTACTTGTTTGCTTTAGGTCACATATATGCACATTTTGCAATAACTCCTAGAAAGTAAATGGGTCATTCTGGTAATGAAGGAGGTGGGCAAGAGTCTGATGATCAATTTAAAGGAGGTTGAGTGAGTTCAACAAAATATCTGATCCTGGGGCAGCAGCAGCCAAATAAGGACGTCATTTGCTGTTTGGTTTTGGGACATCCAGTATTGCTTGGATGCATTCATTTTCCAGTTGTTTACCCTCCTGTTTGAGAAACATGTTGCAAACTTCCTTTTCAGGCCTTATAACCACTCCCTGCCTGTAAGTGGAGAAAGTTTTTTCCAATTTAAAAAAAGTACAGTAATCACAACTTAGTACAGTAAATAAACTGAACAAAACACTTTTTGTTTTTTGCAACATTGTCCCCTGCAAAGCAAAGGAGGAAAAGACTCAGGTGTGCTGGATGCAGCCTTACTGCAACAACACACCACACCTATCTCACCACAGGCCAATTCCATTGCCTGTAAGAGATTTTCTGTAGTACAATAAATTAATTTTAAAAAAGTAAGAAGATGTTCAGTGTTAAATGGCCCCAAGGTTGAATGACAGTAGATAACCTGTCCTTTACTTATAGCTTGGTCATTAGAAACAAGTGTGCAGAATTATGAGTTGTGAGTGAGTTGTGTGTAAAAGATGCCAGCAGTGTTGTAGTTGTGTTTAACGTGTATTTACCATTTTGCAACTCAAATGCATCACGGTGCAAAATGTGTTTTAGTGAGTGAGAATATATTTAGAGTTTTGCTAAAAAAGTGGATGAGATTTGCCAGGATTCAGAGGGGAACCCAGAAGCAGATCAGACAAGTTTAACAGTTTATTTGATAAAGAGTAAATTGTGTAAAGGGGGGTGCTGGCAGGCAAGAGTGGGGGTCCAGCAGTGGGGTAAGATCCAGAGGGTGGCTGGCTGATTGGCTTGGAGAGTGAGGGTCCACGCACTCTGTCTTACAGGAGAAGTGAGCAGAGTGAGTTGAGTTCTGGGACTGAGTTTCCAGGGCTGATCTCAAGAGATGGTTCCTGAGACAGAGAGACACAGTTAATTCTAGGCAACCACAGACGAGAAGCGAATAGCTCAGGCAGGCAGAAACGGGCAACTAAGTTCAATAACTGGCTAGAAAGCAGTAGCATCCGTAATACTTCACAACAATCCAGCAGTGACTGGATGTGTGGCAGGGATTGATGAGGTGCAGGTGCGGTGACGACCTCAGCCAGGTGTGTGAGTAGCCAGAGACTGGCACGCCCCCCGAACACTGCCAGGAAAGTGACTCAAAACACCACAAGATGAAAACACAATGAGCACCCAGCACATAAATCCCAGACCAAAACAAACACTCAAACACTCAACACGGCCGGGGGATCGTGACAGGTTTTGACAAATGGGTTAAGGCCACTGAGCATTTGGTTCAGAGAATGTGGTTTAATATTTTAGCAATTGTGAAAAACTGTAAGAAGCGAAATAGGTCTGGGTTGAATCTTTTTTGAAATGGAGGCTTGGCTTAGAGTTGTGGCAAATACCCAGAAATGATTCGGTAAACATGGTTGAGAGTAGAGGTGACAGCAAGTAAAACCTTCAAGAAACCTTCAGAATTGAACATATAATTTCTTTCTGTAAATTGCAGCCACATCTGTATCTTTCACTTTCAACATTAATATAATAACCCCCCACATCAATACTACGGAACAAAACGATTTCTTTGGAAACAAGGTGCTTCAAATCATCTCTGGCAAGAACAACAGGTAAGTACTATGTTTCAGTCAAAAGGTATTACTGGTAATAGCAAGCCCTCCTTGTTATTACTCACATTGTTAAACACTTGATAATGAT